TTGGAATTATGCCCTATTGTCCAACTTGGTGCTACAAGAGGGCCGTATCCTCCCATCTGGGCCCGTATCATAAGAACTCGGTTGCTGGTTAGGTAACCACCAACCGGCGGTTTTAACCGGTATCATAAGACGGTCGTAAGGTTAACCATGACCTTGTGGTTAGGTGACCTGGTTACCTAACCAGCAACCGGCGGTTAAAATCAACCGGTATCATAAGATGGTGGTTGCTGGTTAGGTAACCATAACCACGTCGTCAAAAAAGCTACCATGGTCGATAGCAGGGTTGAAAAAAGTAACCATGGGCTTTTAAATTTCATAAAAAATTTTAAAATTAAAATAAAATTCTGAAATAAAATTTTTCTAATATTTTAAACAATTCTTTATCGAAATATATAAAGTTTGTGAATTTTGACCGTGAAAAAAATTTTGTATGAATTTTATAAAAAGTCACCCTAAAACTGAGTAATTTCCTTGGGTAAAAATTTGCGTTATGACGGAAATTTTTTATAAAAAATTATAAAATCTGGATAAAATTAAGAAATAAAAATTTACGGATATTTTAAACAATTCTCTGTCAAATTATATAATTTTTATAGATTTTTACCGTCAATAAGATTTTCTATAGATTTTTGAAAACAACAACCTAAGGACAAGGAATTCTCTAGGGTAAAAATTTTTTGTAAAAATTTTTTCAAATATTTAACTTGATTCCTTATTAACCTACATAAATTTCACAATTTTTTTTTTCATTGAAAATTTTTTTGGATATTTTTATAAATGTTTACACTCCGCGTCAAAATGATAGCTCCACCCCTATATTCTATTTTTATTTCCGAATAAAAAATATCAGATTTTTTCTAATATCCCTTCTAACAAGACAAGCTCAAAAACATACAAAACAGAAAAAATTTCATTAAGAATATTTTATTAAAGTTCCAATTCGTGTTTTTGATGTGCATCAAAATGATAGCTCGACTTTTAAAAAGCTTAGGTAGGGTGCATCTAAAATTCCCCAAAAATTTTTGTGAACTTATCTATCAATAAGTAATAAAATATAAAGAGAACGAAGTCGAAAACTATCTAGATCATTGAGATCTCAAGCCTCCGTTTTCAACGGGAAATGGAGGTACAGTACTTAAAAAATATTTTAGACCCCTTAGAGTAGGTGCAAAATTTTTCTTTTATACTCGACAAATAGCCAATAAAATTTGCTTTAAGATACGAAAGGACCCATCCTTCTAAAAAATTTGTCCGGATAAGCGTTCAGGCTAGAACAAATGATCGCTAAAGACAGTGTATTTTTAGGCTATTTCTTGGCAGCAGTTCTTCTAGCCTGAACGCTGATCTATTTTTCAATACCTCTAAAAATTGTCATTCTATTGGACGGGCCATTCAAATAGGGAGGCAATTTAATTAGAATAAATACGGTATAAGACATTTTAAACGCGCCACTCACTCACCCGAGAGTGAGACTTAATTACACACAAGGAGGTGCGTGCTATTTGCGAAATTTTTTCTTCGCGCCTTCGCCTCTGTATCAAAGCCAAGGGTGGGCATTTCGAAACTGCCTGATTATTATTGTTCCCTATTTAATTCTCTATCAGTTGATTGTATTTCGATTTTATTTTATTGTGTTTTAATAAAGTTATGAGAGAAAACAAGTGTGCAATTACTTATGCCGCACCCTGTAGTTGAATTACCCAATTTATTCAAACATTTATTTTAAAATTCAAGTTCCCCTTTTTAAGTTTATTCCCGGTTTTTTAAATTAAAATTTATTTAAATTTATATTTATGTAAATTCTTAACGGAATATTCCTGTGTTCTAAATATATTTTAAAAATATTTTTCCAGACATTTAAATAAATTTAAATAATATTTTTGTGTACTTTTTGTTTTTAATAAAATTTAAATTAAACAAATATTCAAAAAATTAAATCCAGGAAGAATTAAAAAGATGGCTATAAAAATGCATTAAAACTGAGAATGTACTCAAACTAAAAATTTATTTAAAAAATATTTCTAAATTATTAAAAACATTTAAATAATTTATTAAAATAAAGCATGAATTTTTTAAATTATTTTTTATTTGTGGTAGTTATTGCTGAAATTGGAACTAAAAATAAGCTTATAAAGCCTGGTAGTTTAATTTTTAATCTATGTAGGGTTCATAGAGGATTGACTAATTTCATAGAGGATTGTCGGAACAGAAAGGGCTCGATTAAGTATTTTAGGTCCCAATGAGCCTTTTTCTCTTTCTCCTTTTTACGATCAAAATTTGGTTATGGGGGTGGATTGGAATTATGCCCTATTGTCCAACTTGGTGCTACAAGAGGGCCGTATCCTCCCATCTGGGCCCGTATCATAAGAACTCGGTTGCTGGTTAGGTAACCACCAACCGGCGGTTTTAACCGGTATCATAAGACGGTCGTAAGGTTAACCATGACCTTGTGGTTAGGTGACCTGGTTACCTAACCAGCAACCGGCGGTTAAAATCAACCGGTATCATAAGATGGTGGTTGCTGGTTAGGTAACCATAACCACGTCGTCAAAAAAGCTACCATGGTCGATAGCAGGGTTGAAAAAAGTAACCATGGGCTTTTAAATTTCATAAAAAATTTTAAAATTAAAATAAAATTCTGAAATAAAATTTTTCTAATATTTTAAACAATTCTTTATCGAAATATATAAAGTTTGTGAATTTTGACCGTGAAAAAAATTTTGTATGAATTTTATAAAAAGTCACCCTAAAACTGAGTAATTTCCTTGGGTAAAAATTTGCGTTATGACGGAAATTTTTTATAAAAAATTATAAAATCTGGATAAAATTAAGAAATAAAAATTTACGGATATTTTAAACAATTCTCTGTCAAATTATATAATTTTTATAGATTTTTACCGTCAATAAGATTTTCTATAGATTTTTGAAAACAACAACCTAAGGACAAGGAATTCTCTAGGGTAAAAATTTTTTGTAAAAATTTTTTCAAATATTTAACTTGATTCCTTATTAACCTACATAAATTTCACAATTTTTTTTTTCATTGAAAATTTTTTTGGATATTTTTATAAATGTTTACACTCCGCGTCAAAATGATAGCTCCACCCCTATATTCTATTTTTATTTCCGAATAAAAAATATCAGATTTTTTCTAATATCCCTTCTAACAAGACAAGCTCAAAAACATACAAAACAGAAAAAATTTCATTAAGAATATTTTATTAAAGTTCCAATTCGTGTTTTTGATGTGCATCAAAATGATAGCTCGACTTTTAAAAAGCTTAGGTAGGGTGCATCTAAAATTCCCCAAAAATTTTTGTGAACTTATCTATCAATAAGTAATAAAATATAAAGAGAACGAAGTCGAAAACTATCTAGATCATTGAGATCTCAAGCCTCCGTTTTCAACGGGAAATGGAGGTACAGTACTTAAAAAATATTTTAGACCCCTTAGAGTAGGTGCAAAATTTTTCTTTTATACTCGACAAATAGCCAATAAAATTTGCTTTAAGATACGAAAGGACCCATCCTTCTAAAAAATTTGTCCGGATAAGCGTTCAGGCTAGAACAAATGATCGCTAAAGACAGTGTATTTTTAGGCTATTTCTTGGCAGCAGTTCTTCTAGCCTGAACGCTGATCTATTTTTCAATACCTCTAAAAATTGTCATTCTATTGGACGGGCCATTCAAATAGGGAGGCAATTTAATTAGAATAAATACGGTATAAGACATTTTAAAGAAATGATTAGAATATCTAATAAATTTAATTTCTTTCTTTTATGTATCTTTATTTAAAATTTTTAATAAATTTTTTTAGATGTCAAAAATTTTTCCCTAAAAATAGCTAATTTACAGGTAGACTTTTTAAACAATTCATAGAATTTTTTCACTGTGAAAATTTTTAAAATTTATAAATTTCGCTCGAAATTAGTTTAAAATATTAGAAAAATTTTATTTCAGAATTTTATTTTATTTTTAAAATTTTTTAAGAAATTTTAAAATTCAATTTTTAACCTTAGTATAGAGCAAAGGGAAAAAAAGTACCGTATAACTTGTATTAATTGCCCTCCCTCAAATAATTACCCCACTTCCATTAATTACCCTATCCAGTGATAGATTGAAACAATAATTACCCCCAAACAAATGCCCTAAAACACGTTGGAATTTCAAACCTTATATAATTACCCTCCCTCGATTTATTACTCCCTCCAGCGGAAGGTCGAGCAATAATTACTCAGGGTAGTTATTAAAGGATATATGGTAATAGAAAAAGAGAGAAATATTTTGGGATATACATATTTAAAATTCATTTAAGTAGTCTCTGCTCCTTTATTTACATGATAAATATTTTAAAATTAAATATAAAGAATAAAAACATTAATTAAAAAAATTTAATTTTTATAACGGTATCATAAGAACGTGGTTGGTGGTTAGGTGACCTTACGACGGTGGTTAACCACGTGGTTTTCTTATGATACCGGTTTACCACTACCTTGTGGTTACCTAACCATGGTTAGGTGACGATGGTTAGGTAACCATCGTTAGGTGACCGAGTTCTTATGATACGGGCCCTGGCGTCCCAGTCTTTAAATAACATATCTTTGAAAATGAATACTTGACGTGAAGGCTTATATTTTATAGTTATATAACGAAAGGGATTTTCAGAGTTAACACTTGTGATTCAAGGAATTTGTTCTTTTTTTAATTCTTTAGTGACACCCCCCCAGCTTTAAATAATTATAAAAATTAATTTAAAAATTATTATTCTACAGTACATGCATTGTTAGCTAATGAACAAAAGTTTGTTCAAGACAGACATAATTGGCGTCGTTCCCAACTGGCAGGTGGCCAATCACAAAACAAAACGGGGATGATGCCTACAGCCAAAAATATTTGGACAATGGTTGGATTAACAAAGAAATTTTAATTTTAAAAAATTTAAATAGAAATATGACGCATCTTTAGAGGCCAGTGCCCAGGCATGGACCAATCAATGTACTATGACCCATTCCGGTAGTGCTAATGGGGAGAATGGTTGTTTTCTTAGCAATCAAGAGACTAATGGTAAAAAATTTGTTTGAGAGAAGATATCACGGATAAAAGTCCTCTTTCAGTGGTAAACGCCTTATCAACTTGTTGTGATCTTTGGTGGGCAGAACTTGTGAATAGTGGAGCTCCTAGCGATTTAGTATTGACAAGTTCGAATTGGTATCCAACTGGGCATTGGAGCCAGGTAGATCAATTTTGAAAAAAAATTTTTGTAATGTGTTGGTGATAATTTAAAATAAATTTTGATGAAAGGGCATTCCTAGGGCCGAAACGAAGAGCCGATAATTTTTCGGTTCGGATATCGGTTCCGGCTATCCAAAAATTTTCTAAGAACCGACACCCCCTAGGCATTCCTCTACTTTACCAACACAAGCAACTTTTCGATTCAGATCTCTGATCCTGGCCTCGATAACCATAAATTTAAGTCTTGGCTTATCTATAGATTCCTAGAGAAAATTTTGCTAACGTTCTTTGTTTTACCAAAAACCTCCAAATAAACCATCCTTCATTACTCCCAAAATTTGCCATACCAGGCTTATTAGCAATGCCGCTATGCCTTACTATAAAAATCACCATTAATACCATTACATAATATTAAATTTTTATTTAAATTTATATTAAGATGGCCTGGGCAAATACTTTAAAAGTTGGTTGTGGCCTCGCTTACTGTCCTAACAGTACATATAAAACTCACATTTTCTGTCAGTACAGTCCACCGTATGTTCCTTGGATTTATATTTAATTTGCAAAAAATCTTAATTAAGCGGAAACTATATGGGACAAAAAATTTACGAGCCTGGACCAGTTTGTAGTGGTTGTAATGTTGTTAATGGACAATTGCAGTGCCAATACGGACTTTGTATTTGAAAAGGGGATAATAAAGAAATTTAATAGTTATTTTGATAGATGTCAAGTTTATAGATAAAGCTTATTTTATAGTAATACGGTAAATTTTCTGATAGGCTTAACCTATATTTTTGTAAAATGCATGATAATAAAATTGCAATTTTGACTTAATTTTTGTTGGATTAACTTGCTGTTTTTAACAAAGATTATTGCAACTGTTTATCTTTTTAGATATTACATAAAAAGTTTAATTTTAATATTTTATTTATAAAATAAAAATATTCCAGTCAAGTAAAACATGAGACAAACTTATTTAAATAAAATTTGAATTTTAATTTATAAATCCGGAAATAGACGCAACTAAAGGAATATTAATTTTCAAAAAATCTTTTTTTAATTATATTTTATCAAAAATATAGGCATTTTTCATAAAAAATGAAATTTATTTATTTAATTTTTATATATTTATCACAATGATTCAGTTTTCAATAAGTTGTAGTTATAGGTGTAGTTGATGTTTTGTGGTGATGTCCATGATGGTGATTGCCGTGATGGTGATGCCCATTAAATCCAACATGTCTTTGGGGCCTTGCACCTGACGGAATTTGTCCTCTCTGTCCTCCTAAATTTCCTCCTTCCAAACTTCCTCGATTAAATTCACCTCCTATTGGACCTCCTCCAAATCCTCTTCCTTGGTTCCCTCCTTCACCTCCTTTATTATTAAATTCTTCTTCAGTTCCTTCACTTCCAATTCCACCATTTCCTCGTCTTCTCTCTCCTCTTCCATTAAAACCTCCATTAAATCCATCGCCTCCTAGTCCTCTTTTAAATCGTCCACCTTCTTGAAAGTTCGGTACATCTCTATTTTCTTCTTCATTTAGTCCTCCTCTAAATTTTTCTTCTCCTCCAAATTCTCTTCCTCCTCCACTTCCAATCCCTCCATTAAATCCACCTCTTTCATATCCTCCACCTTCTTCTTGTCCTCTTCCAAATCCTTCTCCTCCAGGGAATTCATTTCCTCCATTAAATCCTCTCCCTCTTTCATATCCTCCACGTTCCAATCCTCCTTCGGTAGGTCCAAATGGTAAATTATTTATTCCATTACCAAAATCTCCCTTGGATCCGTCAAAATTCATTTGAATAAAAATTACAAGAATTAAAGAAGAAATTGGGGAATTCATCATTTTAAGGGGTTTTAAGGGTTTTACAGGGATTGAGGGGGTTTTTAATTTTTATTTTGTGTCAAAGTATTTTTATCAGTCCCATCTTCCCTCAGAGTTTAAATACCCTTCCATTGTAGTTTGAAAACCCCCAAATAACTTTTTTATTAGTCACCAAGCTTTACATAATATTTAAATAATTCCACGTTTTTTTCCAACTTTAGAGTTGACAAAAGAGGTAAAAATGGGTTTATGAATCATAAATATTTTTTAAAAATAATTTTTGAAGTTTGGGAATTTTTATTGTTTGTTTACTAAGAGCTTTGAAAATAAAAATAAATTGAACTTTTGTGTTATTTTATGGCTGTTTTTCGATTTTTTAAAATTAATACAAAGAACCGAACATTAAATTTTGCCATAAAATGAGTCATGAATTTATAGGCAATTTTTTGGTATTGTCAGGATTTAAAGGTAAAAATTAATAATAATTTTTTTTAAGCCTCTATAAAATTTTCTAAATTGTAAGTCTTCATTTTTAGTGTCGCAAGCAAAAATTTTGTAAAATTTTTGAAGGCCAAAGCCAATTTTTTTAATTTTTTCGAATTTTTATTATTTCTACTCATTTTAAAAAAATTTAATAAAATAGATAGAAAGATGGCCTTTGATGCCCCTTTAAGATAGAGGTGCATTAAAATTCGGAGAATGGATGGGTACGAAAAGCACCGCAGGCAAAAATCTTTAGATTTTAGGAAAGTCAAAGCCAATTTGTTCTTATCTTCATCACTGCAGCCAAAAATTTTGAGGAAAGTAATAGAAAATTAATTTCCGCAAAATCTGTTTATTAATAAAATTATCATTCAGCAACGCCTCTCGTTAAAAATAAAATAGTACGATAATCTACCATTATGTATTTATGAAAATTTCAACTACAAATTTCAAATGAGTAACTGTTTTGAATTTGAGAAGAAGAGAAGAGAGATGGAGAAGCTTCAGGAGAAGCTTCCTCCGATCTTTAAATAATTAACTGTTTTGAAGATCGGGTTTTTATTCTAGGGTATGAACAAGCTTCTTCTCCCTTTCACGACCTTTAGGTCTATCCAAAAAATCAAAAAAAAATTCTTTCAATACAAAATAATAAAAAAAATTAATTTTTCTCTAAGTTTGTTTATTAATAAAATTATTATTCATCAACGGCCCTCGTTGAACTGTAGTATTCTGAACTTCAATTTTAGTCCTCTCAATATTTCTAGCATGTATTGTTGAGACAACTGTTTGGGAAGCATTGCATTTAAGCAATAATGCCATATACAAAATTCCACACAGGGCAGAATCTACAGCAGTAAGTAGAATGACAATCTCTCCCTTCTCTCCAGCATTGGGAACACCTCCAATATACATACTTGTGTACTTAATAGAATTATTTTAAAACTAAGACTGGAATATTATTTTTAAAATTAAAAATGGTAATCAAAAACCAGGGATGAGCAGGGTAGCAAGGTCGATTGGAATTCCAATCTCAGATTTCGAAAATTTGAGCTAATTTCCAAGTTCCGACTTTTGAACAATTTCCAATTTCCGACAGTTCCGACACCTTCGTCATTTCCGTCGACCTCTGCCGGGTAGGGAAAAAGGTCGAGTCGGGTATCGGGTTGAATAAAGTCCCTGTGCCGATCCTTGCTTGAAAATGATCTTACTATCTGCTTAATCATCCAATACCCATATTCTGACCTCATGCTTAGCCCTATAAATTACCCGCTTCATTCATATATAGTCCTCATTATTTTTCCTATGAATCTTTATTCAAAATTTCAACAAATTCACAACTCTTTTTACCTTATTAAAAATTATGGCTGTAAATGTTGGCACAACTCCTAGAGCAAATTCAACAAAAAGAGTAAACAAAATGACCCGATTCTTCTAAAAGAAATTAATTTTATTTATTTAATTAATTTTTATTTTTTCCCCACCAATTTTTTGGCGGCCCCAGTCTGATGCAACAACAACAAAAATACAATAGACATCACAACATTAGCGCTACTCAAAACAATTCTTGAAGTAAGTTGAAAATATAAACGCCAGTTTGTGGTTGTGCAACTTGCTGTTTCGCATATAGGGACTATAATGAATAATATTAAGAGTCTATAAAAATAAACTTCCGGAAAATACAATTATTCCATGGGAGTTTTCGTGTTTTCCGGAATATTCATAGAATACATTTTACTATAATTTTCCGGAAAATGTAGGGTATAGAATTATTTTCCGGAATATTTCTTTACGGAAAAACAATACATTTTATATCATAAATTTCCGGAAAGAATTAATAGAATTATGTATTTTCCGGAAAAATAATATTACGACTATTTTAATTATAAAGGTTTCCGGAAGCAGCAATTTATAGCTTCTCTGTTCCGGAATTTGTATTACAATTCCGGAATTAATATTAATATTCCGGATTCTTTTCCGGAATCTGTATTACATTTCCGGAATTAATATTGCAATTCCGGATTAATATTACATTTCCGGAATTATATTAATATTCCCGATACTTTTCCGGAATTTATATTCCGGATAAGTTCCGGAACCTCTGTATTCTCTCCTATTCCTCTACTATTTCAACAAAAATAAAATAACTTACTCAATTCCGGATTATCATCAAACAGGGGTAGTTCAAGCAAATGTCCTAGCATATTCACCCCAACAATGGCCATAAAAACTGCGAGACTGATCCATCGATATATTTTGCTGACCCATGTTAAAGCGATTTTTAGGGCTATACATCTTTCTACTGTCAAGAGTAGCACAACTGAAGGAATTGCCCCGTAGAAGACAAATTCGGGCATTGAAAGCCAGAAAAGAAGATATGGGGAGTATTGATTCCCGTAATTATTAGCTATTGTTTCGCGACTTGGACTGATCCAAAATAATATTCGATAGAGCTGATAGGGTATTCCAAGTATCGAGAATATGACATGGGAGCAGAAAAAGAGACGCAATCCAGGCGAAAGCTCTTTAATTCGTAAACCCTTGCCAAACTTGATGGCGATTAGAATAGGACACATTGTTGATACCTTAAAGTATTTTTGAATTTATTTTTTGAATTTTTTCGTACCGTAATAAAATGACATATCAACGTAATCCAGTTTTGCACGTATTCTATGTACACAATATAATCCGGAAAAGGAAATACAATTGGTGTAGAATTTGTGGAATTATCCGACATAATTTTTGAATTTCTAAAAATATGTTGAAATATTTTATTTTTTAAATTTTAATATTGTGCCTTGCGTTTTGCGTTTTTTTAATCTTTAACTATGTAAATAAATTTTTCAATGGCTTATATTTTCCGGAAGTATGTATATTTTCCGGAATTTTCCTAAAGGTCTATAAATTTTATTTTTGAGAGGAGCATTATTCAAAATTTCAGGCAAATACAAAATCAGTTCTTGAATTTTATATAGCAATTATTTTTGGAATTTCGCCAATACATATAAGTTTACGGGAAAATCTATGGATATTATCATCAGAAAACACATTTTTAGAAGCATTTTTCAGATTCTTCGGGAAACACGAGGTTAAAGATTAATCCGGGGGGCTTTAACACTCTACCGACTGAGCTACCGAGACACTCCTTCTCTTTTAATAGAAGAGGAGTGAGCGTTTTTTACTTCTAGTGAGCGTTTTAAATGCTAGCCAGCTGGATCCTTCTTACAATATTAATTTTAAAATAAAAATTAAAATAACTCTGAAAACCAGATACTCAACATTTAAATAAAAAATTTTTCTTGACATAAGTATAAACATCAAGACTATGAATTAATTTTATTATCGTATAAAAAAGTTGAGAATTCCAATTAAACTAACAAAAATAAATTTAATTATGTATTATTTATTTTTTAAAATAAAGGTAAAATTAAATTAGTAGGTACTTTTACCTTATAATTAAACTAACCAAAGTTTTTGTTTATTAAAAATTGTTAATTTAATTTTTAAAAAAATATTTTTTTTTAATTTAAATTAAATTTTGTGTTTTTTAAACAAATACGATATAAACATATGATGAATTAATTCAATTTTCTTGATATTTTTCTTCCATTTTTTATTTTTTATAGAAATTAACTTCATAAAAATGTGTACTTTTATATTCAGATTAAAAATCTAAACAGAATTTCAGAAAAAAAGATTTTGTGGTAATAAGTAGGGTTGTTCACTACGTCTTATAAACGTGTACTCTCGATTTTTGGTATGGACAGGTTTTCAACCGAGGCAGGCTTATACATCGAGCCCAGTATACCTCAAAGAAAACTTAACTTCGTTCAAAATTGTCGAATCCGAGATGCCTTGTTATAGTATGATTCAGCTTGTCGAGGCGCACCAAGTCATCCCGGATTCGACAATTTTGAAAAAAGATATAACTCAGCGATATACTGAGCTCGCGGTATATCGGGGTGTACCCGTTTTCGACCTCCAAACATGGGTTTTCGGTTCCTGTTCGGTTAACCGATCGTGAACTACGCTAATATAAAGCTCAGAAATTTTTTTAAAAAGATTCTTTCACGTCCAATTCATTTTCCTCGGAAATTTTGTTCTTCTGTCACTCCTGGACAACTCCAGGCTGGGTATCCTTCGAAATTTCTTGAATATTGGCCATCTGGGGAGTAGCAGCTACAGTTGTGGATGCTTGATTGTAGCGTGTTCGAATTGCAGTTACGTTGCGAATGATTGTTGTATTAACACTTTTTATTGGGTTTAACACTGCCCGACTGGAAATTATTTTATAAATATTCAGAATTTATTTATCGAAGGCACACTTTCTCATTTATTCGCCTTTTTCTCATTACTTTCCCGACTTCCCTTTTCCAGATCAAATAACTTATCTTTAGCTTTCATATTCCAAGAATCTAACCCAGAGTAAAGCAGCTGGACCCATTCAAGAAATAGTAAAAGAATTAATGGTACGCTTCTGAGAGCTCCTTGATGGATGGTCATTGACCGCTCAACTATCCCATAGCCTACTGATCGTTTTTATTTTTTCTTTGTTTGCTAGACCAGGAGGAAACTTCGGCCAGTTGTGAACCTATATCCTGGACTTAGGTCTAAGCTTATAATGTGATCTATTTAGGATCTCCATCATCATATAATACACAAAAAAACATGCCGATAGGGAGCAACCAACAAAATTGTCCCAATGGGATTCAAAACAGGTACCAAATGAATAGCAATATCCGAAAATACAATATACATTACTGTGCTTTGGTCAGCCATAAACATAGGCAGGAAAATTTGGATGCACCATGCGGCAATTTCGAAAGTAGGCAAAATTGCCTAAATTTTTTTCAAAAATTTCCAAAAAAATTTTTTTTTGTTTACTTGAAATAAAAGTGCAGCAGAAATTTGTTTATTATAATCTCGCAGTTTTGACGTCATTAAAGACACAGCCTTGCGAATGCGAATTACGCAAATAACAATAACTATGTAGAAACATATTGTCAAGGTAATCATAACTGCCAGGTGGATAAGCCAGCGAGGCTCGGACTGGAAATTATAAAAAAATTTTAATAAGATTATATTATTGGATAAACGCGGTAAAATACTGTAGGATCTGAGGATTAATTTCTTATATAAAATCAAATATATTATGAGTACTAAGTCCTGGGTTCTTAAAAGTATATTCAACATCGACTCTTAAAAAGGTCTAGATCAGGGTACTTATTTACTCCCCTCTCCATCAATTTTTTCGGTATATATGTGAAAAAATGGTCAGTCAGTCATAGTTATAGAACTCGTCAAGCTGTAAAAAAACTACCCCAAATCACCAGGGTTGTGGCCAGATTGAGGGGTTGCCGCTCTATTAGAGACCGCCGTTCAAATAGAGGCCGCCGCTCAATTATAGAAAATACGGTAAGTATATACCTCCATCATCTTGTGTGTCTACTAGGGTGGGCCCTTGACTCCTATTCACTACTCCCATTCACCGACCCCTATCTTCAACATGCATCTCCGTCACCAAAAAGTTTCTACCGGTAGGAGACTAACCTAAGTCTTTACTCATTTTAATTTTTATTCACCGTGTTCACAAACGAAACAAAGCTAATATCACTCAATCCAGACTCGCTAGCCATCATTTTAGCAAGCTCCTGCATCTCACCAAATTCATTAGCTCGTGGATAATCAGCCCAAGCAAGCAGTACAGCATGTGCTCCGTTCAAAAATAGTTGGGCAAAGATGAGGGAAAAGAATATTGTATTGGACATTATGCCTAAAATAGGTCTAGTCATTAATTTATTTAATAGATTCTTCCTCAATTCTATTTCTGGGTTTTTGGATTAGAAAGAAAGAAACAGTAGCTATAATCTTGTACTTGTAAAAATCTTATCTTATACTGAGGGATATCTTACGTATGGGATATAACTTTCACAAATAAATAGCCGGGCAACGTGCCTTAACAGAATGCATGTATCTTTTACATTATGATGTCCTACTCATAGGGAGATTTTTGTCAAAAAATTTAAAACTAAAACTTTCCATTACGGCAGAGTATGCAAAAGCGGTAGACGTATTGAGACATTGTCGTTACGAGGAAGAAGTGCTTTAAATATATTTTGAATTTTTTTTGGGTTTTTAATTAGAATAAATCAGAAAATATATTTTTTTATTCAAGGCCTTAAAAAAAATTTTTTTTTTAATTTCCAAAAAAATTTTCAAAAAAAAAATTTTTAACCATCATTTGTATCCAAATAAGATAAGCAGCATAACGTATTGGTTGAGTCGACTTTCTAAAAAATCCATTCATCAGAACTGTTCTATAGCCGTGATCTCCACAAGGGATCTTTCAAAAAAAAATATTTTTAAAAATTCCTAGGCAAATTTAAAATACAGGTTGAACGATAAAAGTCCAAAAACCAACAATCCAATCCATCAAACAACTCATTAATAAAAGCTTCTTGTAGGGCAACATAATTGCTACAGTTTTTGTTTTTATTAGGAAGAACAAAAGAGAATTTAGGGAAATTCCGAAAAACAGAACACAAGTGTCTACAAGACCGTAAACGAGGCGGACACTGTCTATTAAATTAATTAAAGTTTAATTTTAAAATTAAAAAAAAATTAAAAATAATAATAATCTTAAATTTAGTAATAAATTTAGTAATAATCTTAAGTTTAATTTCAAGTTTATTTATTTGCTCAGCTTATTTTCAAGTTTATTTTTATTTCAAGTTCGATCTTAAGTGTATTTTTATTTCTGATTTATTCTTAAGTTCAATCTTAAGTTTATTTTTATCTCTGATTTATTTTTCAAGTTTGATCTTAAGTTTGATCTCAAGTTTATTTTTATCCCTTGTTTATTTTTCGAGTTTGATCTTAAGTTTTATCATGTTTATTTTTAAGTTCACTCTTAAGTTTATTACGTCTATTATTCTTAAGTCTGATCTTAAGCCTACCTTTAGTAGAGAAAAACATATTTTCTGTTTTCCACCAACTTGAGAGATTATCATCAATTTCAAGAGAAATATTTAACATTTTTTATTTAAATTTTAATTTAAAATTTATCTTCTAAAAATTTAAAATTAATTTAAAAATAATTATTTAAATAGTACACTCCTCCACAAAATTATAGCCCCACCTATATTTTTCTCGGTTTTCATACTTTATCCGTTGTTTTTATTTTCAGACTTTTTTGTAATGATAAATAGTGGTCTAAGATTAGCTTTATAAAAAAATTTTGTTATCAAATCAATTTTTTCAAAAGTTATAGCAAATCTCAAATTTTAGGGTTCCACAAAATTATAGCCCCACTTTGAGATTTCGAGTTTCTAACATTAAGAAAAATCTACAAAAATTTGACCTAACATATTTATCGATTCTAAGAAAAAATAAAAAAGAATTAGACCCATATCTCACTTGGGTGTCGAGATCCAGATACCTCGAAAATCAACGTAAATCGGGGGTAAGGCTATTCAAAAAATATTTTCGACCTCTTATCGTTTGTTTTAAAATTTCATTTTGGGCTCATTCGAAAGCCCTTGAAATTTGCTACATGATAGTAATACTCATATCTTTCAGAAAAAATTTAATAGAGATATGCAGGACGTTAATCTTCCGGAGCTACTTTTATGGGGCATTAGGGGGCCTACTGAACTAATTATTATGGGGCTTACTGAAATAATTTTTCTAGAAAATAAAACTTATGCTATCATGTAGCAAATTTCAAGGGCTTTCGAATGAGCCCAAAATGAAATTTTAAAACAAACGATAAGAGGTCGAAAATATTTTTTGAATAGCCTTACCCCCGATTTACGTTGATTTTCGAGGTATCTGGATCTCGACACCCAAGTGAGATATGGGTCTAATTCTTTTTTATTTTTTCTTAGAATCGATAAATATGTTAGGTCAAATTTTTGTAGATTTTTCTTAATGTTAGAAACTCGAAATCTCAAAGTGGGGCTATAATTTTGTGGAACCCTAAAATTTGAGATTTGCTATAACTTTTGAAAAAATTGATTTGATAACAAAATTTTTTTATAAAGCTAATCTTAGACCACTATTTATCATTACAAAAAAGTTTGAAAATAAAAACAACGGATAAAGTATGAAAACCGAGAAAAATATAGGTGGGGCTATAATTTTGTGGAGGAGTGTATGTATTTAAAAAAATTTTTTAATCTTATTTAAAGTTTATTCTATTAGAAAGTTTGTTTTTAAGTTAAATTTCCCAAACGGATGGTACACCCTAATGCACCGCGAAGTCAACGTACCGGGGATTTATAACTTCTTTCAAACTTATTGGATCCGAGACGCCCGGATATGGTTCGATTTAGCTCTTCCAAGATGCGTCGAAACATACAAGGATGTCTTGGAATTTCAATAACCAAGATGGACCGACTTGGTTTCGAATGATCGAGTGCGTCATAAAATTATTTTACGCGAAATTGACGGACCGATAAAAAATTCTCGACAAGAAAATACATCGACAGTCGGCCGACCTTTAAACAGCAACCCTACTCTTCTTAAATTTTAAAACAGCTAAAAAAAATTAAAACAGCTGTAAACAGCTAAACTTAAGAAATAAGCTTAAACTTAAAATTGAGAAAATCTTAATAAATTGCCAGCTTTTTTTAATAATAATTAATTCACAGGTGTATTTGAAAGTAATATTTATTTTTTATTTAAAGTAAAATGTTAACTTGAATATACTTATGTAGCTATTGTAATATTTTATTAATAAATAATTGAAATTATTATGATTTTTATAGAAAACTTAAAATTTCTTAATTTTTTTTTGTAAACTTTGGATGCTTGAGTAAATACGTATGCCTGTAAGTAGAACGAGGCATACTATGCTGTGAATTTTTAAAAAGGAGATTTTTATTCATCAAATAATTTTTTTTGATTTTTAGTCTTGGGTTACTTAAATAAATAAAAAATTTCAAAATTTATAAATAAAAAAATTTAAAAATTTATAAATAAAAAAAATTTTAAAATTTTTTAATTAAAGACAAGCGCAATTTTTTTTAGTTTTTAAAATTAAAAATTAATTTTGGCAAAGAAATTATGTATTTTTTATTATTTTTTAAAGTAGAAAATTTAAATAAATTGTTATTTTTAATTTTTTAATAATTTTTTAAAATAAAAATAATGTTTAAAAATTATTGTCTTTTATCCTCACTTAAAAAAATAATTATTTAGGATTATATCTATGTAGTACATAATAAAAAAAATTATTTTTTAAATAATTATTGAAAAAAATAAAGAGAACGTTTATAAATTTAGACATGTCCAAAACAACAAAAAATTATTTTTTTTTATTTTTAAAAATTTGTCTCACGTTCCGAGCTACGAAAGCTTTAAAAAATAACTTACGTGTATTATGGATGGAGATAATTACTTTGAAAATTAATTATTTTTTAAATTATTTTAAATATTTACTATAAATCCCCGGAAAGGAGATCAAGAAAATCACGAGTTTATTTTTTATATTGGCAAATTTTTGAGGAAATGACCTTTTTAATTTATTTTTAAAAATTATTTTTTTAAATATTTTATACGTATGCGGATGGAAGTAATTTACTTTAATAAATCTTTTATTTTTTATATCAAAAGCAAAAAACCGGAGAAGATATCGAATGTGTGAACGGATGAAATGCTTACTTAAAATGAATTTTTTAATTTTAATTCATTAAAAAATTAAAAAATAATTGAATAACTAGTTTAGATTTAGGTTATTATCCAAAAATCATGCAGCTTTGCTTTCCAAATATTGAACTCAGAAAATAGGAAATGGACCGCGAAACGTTAAAAATATTTTTCGAGATATCGAATTCAAAGCTAGTTTCTAGATTAGTAGGATTAGAGACTAAGTTGTTTAGGAATTTTGATTTCCGAGGTTATCTTTGATTTCGATATTTTTGGATTTCTTTTTATTTACAATTTTTGAAAAATTTTCTGTTTCGAAACAGCTTTGATAGAACCGGGCGAGGAGAAATACAAGAATCAAGATCACTATTTTGAAAACCTAGATTTATGTTCAGATCTCTTCTAGATTTGATTTATATTATTGAGATTCAGCCAGCAAATTGCCGATGGCTCATCAACTTTTTTGAAATTTAATTTTAAACAATTTAGAATTAATTACCATTTCTATAAAATTCCTCTCAATTTTTAAAAAATAAAATTATTAATTTAGTAATTTCCCTCAAACCCCTAAAAATCCCACTCAGCCCCTCCAAACATTAATTCATCAAACAGCAACAGTTTTACCCTGCCAAAAGTCATCCTTTTTTAATAATTCTTTTTTTTAATTTACCACCCTCAAATCTTGTTTTTATTGTCCTCATCCAATTTTAGCTTTATTTTAGCTTTATTTTGGACTCCCTCTCCCTCAATTTTTTTGTCAATAACAAACAACCTTTATTTCATATTTTCAATTGTTTTGGGCTTTAAACAATGAGGGTTATTTTGGGGTGACTTTTTGTGTTATAGGAGGAGATTGTGTGAGGATATCCAGCTAGTAAATGAATTTTTCCGTTAGAATGGACTCTCCTCTTCTATCCAAAAATAATAATAATATGTAGAGGTTTGGGAGTTAATAAATAAAATTGAATTTTGGAATTGATTTTTGACTTTTTTTTGGGTAATTTTGGAAATTGGAAGATATGTAGCAGGGGTGTGCCGAAACGGATTTTAAAAAGCGAAACGCGAAATGCGAAAGTACAAAAAAGGCGAAAATCCGCGAAATGCGAAACGCGAAAAGCGAAACTCGCACACCCCTGATATGTAGGCTCTGTAACATGAGTGGGCTTAGTATCCTGTTAAAATCTCGTATTTTTTGAGAGATCTCGTTCGTTTTATCTCGTTCTTGTATTTTTTTGGGAATCTCGTATTTGTGAATCTTGTGTCTCGTATTTTATGGGACTCGGCCCACCCCTGTTATGTAGGCTGTGATCTCAAAAATTGTTAGTTATTTATCATTAATTTGAGTGCTCGGTCCTTAGAAGATTTTTGGGTATCTGTAACCGAAAATTTTTGAGGGAGAGAATTTTCGAAATTTCGCCTCGATAAGATAGAAAAGACAATTTTTTAATTTTGATATTTTTAGAAGGTCAAGAAGCCAGTAATGCTACGTTTTTTGAGGGATTGAATAATGGACATGAATAGAAGAACCGATGCTTAAATCCACGGTTATTCGGTCTTGTCGATTTTGATCTAAATTTTGGAACCTCTACCCTTGTTCACAAATTTAATTAATTTTAAATTTTTTAGAGTTACTAAAATCAAAAATTAAAAATAAAATTTATTTTTAAAAAATATTTCTCAAAGACTTGTGTTGCTTCAACTATCTGTTTGCTTTTAAGCTGCTCAATTTGCTAATTAAATTCAAACAAAGGCATTTATTTATGTACTTATTTTTGGTTTAATATTTCACTTAAGAAATAAAATAGTGAAAATTAATTTTTTATTTTTAATTTTATTAAAAAAATTTTTCTTTCAAAAATTTCTTTTTCAAAAATTTTCAAAAAAAATTTTTTTTCATCTGCCCCAGAAATTAATAAAAATTAATAAAAAATTATTTTAAAAAATTTTCCATTTATATAAAAATATTTTTTATAATAAAAATTTTTTTTCATGCCTGAATTGCGTGTATGCCTTTAATCTAAAAGTTATTAACAGGTGTCTCTTCTCGAAGGCAGGTGCAATCTATTTAAGTGGTGTTGTTAGGCTGGGGAGACTTGGTTGGGTTACTGTAGAGTATTGAGAGAAAAAGTTTAGGGGAAGGTTTCTAAGGAGAAAAGTTTCTTTTTTAATTAATAAAAAAGTTTTACAAATTGTAAAATTATTTATTATATTTCCAACTTGATTGTGAATTTAAATTACAATTTGTAATTACAAACTTGAATTAATTCAAGTTTTAATTAATTCAAGTTTGTTTTTGTCAAGTTTGTATTTTGTCAAATTTGTGTATTTGTTGTTAAAACTTTTTTTGTGTGATGGACAAGTTGTATTTTCTTTTTCAAGTTTATTTTCTCTTCCAAGTTGTATTTTCTCTTCCAGATTATTTTCTTTTTTACAATTTCCTTTTTACAAATTGTAAAAAGTTTATTTATTTTTGTTAACTACAAATAAACTTGTGCTGACAAGTTTATTTACTTTTACAATTTGTATTTTCCTTTTTTACAATTTGTAGTTTCTTTTTACAATTTGTATTTTCCCTTTACAACTTTCTTTTACAAATTGTAAAAGGTTTATTTTTATTAACTTAAGACCAACTTTATTCCTTCCCTCCCATTTCAACACCCTTTAGCAGTCGGAAATCACCCCTATTAACTACGCCTGTGGAAATGGTTGGTATTTAATGCTGTTAATGTGTTGTTTAGGAGAGTATTGGATGGAGGAATAATGAATGAAGTAAAACAGAAGACTGGCATTTTTATAAATTTTTTTTGTTTTTACTTGGAAAATAGTCAAAAGCCATGCAATATTTATAAGCTCTCTCCCACACCGTCACTTGACGATACGTTGGCAGATGAGGTCCTACTATCTATTTAGCTCGCCTGAAGAGAAAATAATTTTTGTTGTATTTAAAATAAAATAAATGGAAGAATCTATTTTTTAAATAAATAGAAAAATATTTTAAATAGAAAAAAATTACTGTATTTTTTAATTAATGAAAATAATAAATATGAAGCATAATAATTTTTAATAAATTCAAAAAAAAATAATGATAAAAAATAAATAATTTGATTATTTAAAAGCGGGTTTCTTAAATTCAGTTTGACTTGAATTATGAAAGGTCTCCTTTCCACGGGGGGAAGGACTTCCTCAATGCTTTCACTTTAGTGTACACTTCATAAAGAATGCCCCGGTATTTTTTAATGTAGAGATGTTTTGATCCTTAGTGTGTACAAGAAAGTAAGGTCTGATAAGTGTTCACTTTGTCTGGATAACTTGGAAGTCCTCTCATCCTATCATTTTATCCCATTTACGAGGTGTTGGTAGGAAATTTAAAAAATATATGAGGCAATAATTCATCTCAAAATTAAAATTATAAAATAATAACACTAAATTAATGAAAAATGCTTTTCATGCTCCTACTCATTTTCACACAAATTTCCCTTTTCATTAACTAAATTTTTAAAACAATTCTTTCCTTCCTCATAATAGATTCAAGCTACTAGCCTTCTACTAAGCACCTCCCCCTTTATTTTTCCCTCATTCCCCCCTTCCCCCTCCACCTTCCCCCATATCCCTCCCCTCATTCCCTCCTCCCCTTACCTCTTCCACTCCTTCCCCCATTCGTCCCTTCCTTTCAACCTTCCAAATAATTCATTACAGACCTTCCAACTTGTCAAATATTCTGTTTTTAGGGTAAACAGCCTCAACAGCCTTTAGAAAAAAAAAATTTTCCTCCTTTTCTAGGCTAATATCCAATTGAATATTCGATAGATTCTCGAGAAGCAATTGATTATTTATTATTTTATTAAAATTTAATTTGAATTTTCCTTTGCTTTACCTTTCTCCACACATTTATTTTTCATGTTTTCTCTATAAGCAAGTTAATTTTTCATAAGTTCTCTTTTTTGCAATTATAATTTTGATGGTTGAATAAATTTAAAATGTAAAAATAAAGTATTGTTAAATAATTAACAGTAATAATAAATATTTTAAAATGTAGGGAAGAATGAAAAATATTTTTGAATAATTTAAAAATTAATTTATTAATTTTTGGAATTAATTGAAAATTGATTAAATTAAATAATTTATTAGATTAAATGATAGATACCGTATTTTCTCAATTAATTCCCATCCCTCGAATAATTCCCCCTCTCGATTAATTTCCCATGCTAGAATTGGGTTGAAACGATAATTCCCCACCCCCAAATACCCTACTGCACGTTCAAAAGCCAAAACTCGAGTAATTCCCCTCCCTCGATTAATTCCCCATGCCAAGGAAGTGTTGAAAAAATAATTCCCCAGAGGAATTAATCGAGAAAATACGGTAGATAATTCATTCGGTTCTCGTTTTCAAATACCCCCTAGTGTCTCAAATGATAGTATATCAAAGTGGTGATATGTTAAATTGAGGGATACAATATTATGGTATAAATTAGGCAGATCAAGAGGCAACCAAAATTTTTAAAAGTTGAGGGGGGGGGAATTAATTTTGGAATTTAATTTGATTTTTCTGTTACTATGATTATTAATTCTATTATTAATTAATTTTTTTAATTTTAGAAATTTTTTTAAGATTTTCTTATCCAAAAATTAAAAGAAAATTTTTATCCAAAAAGGACAATAAAATAAATTAAAATGGACCGTTTCTTACCGTATACTCATTTTGGCAATGGCCAACAATCTCAACGTATTGATGACGGGAGAAGTGACAATGAATCGAGTAATTTAATTAATTAAATTGGGGTATTTAATTAGTAGAGGGAATAATCAGAAAATTGAATAGAAAAAATAATTCTGATAATAAAATAAAATTATTTTATTCAAGTGCATTAACATCAAAAACACAAAAATCAGAATTTTAAAAAACACAGAAATCAGAATTTAAGTATACTCTGTTAAATTCTGATTTAAGCTCTGTCTAAAATTCTCATATTTTTAATGTCAGCTATACCAAAATTCTGATTTTTCTAAAATCAGAATTTTGTGTTCATTAAAAACACAATATCAGAATTCGAAAACACAAAAAGTCAGAATTTTAAAAAACACAAAAATCAGAATTTCTGTTTAAAATTCTGATATTTTAATGTTTAGCTATTACCAAAATTCTGATTTTTGTGTTTATTAAAAACACAAAATTAAAAACACAATATCAGAATTCGAAAATACATAAAATCAGAATTTTATATAAACTTTGTTTCTATTAACTAAAATAACCCTAAATAATATTTTAAAGTTGTTGACAGTAATCCTGCTACCGAGCAAAAATTAAATGTGAGGGGAGATACTCAGTCAATGAGACTTCAAATGCCAAATAATGTGAGTACAAAAATTCAGAAAAATTAAATTAATAAAAATTATAGCCACACAATATTTTTGGAAGTAATGGGCAAGCAGGGGCGGGGGCAGTTTATGATGAAACTTTTATGCAGGCTAGGTGAATAAATTTTTTGAAAAATTAAAAAAAATTTAAAAAAATTTAATTTAAAGAAGCGCAGCAGCCCTCGCAGAAATGGAGTCTAAAATTGCTGCTCAATCATTTACTTCTGGTATGCTTATACCGCCGCAAGTTGATACTTCGTTTGGGCATCATTCTTCGATGGAACAAGTTGCAAACAATAGCAATACTGCTTTTCAGGTTGGAATAATTTAAAATCAGAATTTAATAAAATAAATCAGAATTAAAAAATCAGAAATTAAATATAAATCAGAAACACAATAGAATAATTCTGATAAATAAAAATCAGAATTTATAAATAATTCTGAAAGAAGAATTAAAATACATTAACATCGAAAACACAAAAATCAGAATTTTAAAAAACACAAAAATCAGAATTTTAAAAAACACAAAAATCAGAATTCGAAAATACAAAAAAAAATCAGAATTTTTTTCAGAATTTCTTAAAAATTCTGAAACCAAAATTAAAATACATTAAATCAGAATTTTAGTAATCAGAATTTTAGCAATCAGAAGAAATAAAATCAGAATTTTAGTAAAATCAGAAACTTATTTTTAAAATTCTGATAAATAAAAATCAGAATAAAAAAAAATAATTCTGATTAATTAAAATCAGAATTTTATTAAAATAAAATTGAAAACACATTTAATTCTGAATTTAATTAAAGGCAGAAATGGCCGCTCTATGTCAACAGCAAATGCTTCACGCCCAAATGTTGCAGCAAACTTGCTTCACTCCCGTTACCGGAATACAACATTATAACAATTCGGCAGCTTCGACAACAAGTAATACAATTTCAAACAATCTTCAATCATCCTCTTCTATGGCACATTTTCAACAAAATTTAAATAATTCTTCCCCTTTTGGCCTACACAATTATTACTCCCCTCACCAACAGCAACAACAGGCTAGTCTTTTTATTTTGTAAATTTAGAACAAAAATGTTAAATTAAAATTTTCTGAAATCTGTTTTTTTGAGATTCAGGTCTTTCTGATTCTGATTTTTTATTTCTGATTTTTGAAATTCTGATTTTTTAATTCTGATTCTTATTTCTAATTTTTCTGAAATTCTGATATTTTATTTCTAATTTTTCTGAAATTCTGATTCTTATTTCTAATTTTTCTGAAATTCTGATATTTTATTTCTGATTTTCTGAAATTCGGATTTTTATTCTGATTTTTTGTGATTTTTCTGAACTTCTGATTTTCTAATTCTGATTTTCTGCTTTAATTCTGATTTTTAAAAATAATATTCATAAAGAAAAACAGATGTTAAGTATTCCTTTCTTCTCTCCTTTTCCCTCCTCCTCACCCCTCTCATCCATGAACACATACAAAAAATAAACTTTCAATCCATCTTAAATTTAAACTAAAAATAAAGGCTATTCAAGAGAGGATAATTAAAAATATTTTTGAGGGAGAAAAGGGGTTTTGCTTGATTTTTGCCCCTTTTTTTCCTTTGCGCGGTTACTTGCCGAGAGAAAAAAAATATTTTTTACCTTATGTCGGAGTTTTTGATTGACTTGAAAATTAAAAAGAAAGGAAAAAAGAGATTATCCACTCCCTCCAAGTTAATTTTCTTTGGTTAATTACCGCGACCTTTTAACCCGAAAACTAGGCAGTTATTAAATTTAAAGGATTATTATTGGATAAATATTTAAAAAAATATTTTAGTAAAATAATAGAAAATGAGTGGTTAGTGCTAAAAGGACCTCTAAAAAAGATAGAATCCTGAAAGCTGCCTTGTGAGCTCCCTTGTCATGAAAACTGCCTTGAAGCTGTCCTGAAAGCTGTCTTGTAATTTGTCCTAGAAAGCGAAGGTTTTATAATTCCGTGACCGAAGGTTTGCTAACTATCGAGACATAGACCGTGGAAACTCCAAAAAAAGAAAATAATTGAAAAATCAGGACTTAGAGTCTTGAAATAGCTATAAAGACATCTACTTGAAATGAAAAGATTTTTAAAAAAAATTTTTGGAATTATCCAAGTTTCCGGTTTTACCCTTCAGAATTTTCAACATTTTCGTATGGGTATATTCCGTAAAAATCGTTTTCTGTGTTAAAAAATATTTTTTCCTAAATTGTATAGAGGCTTCATCGTGGGAATTTTGACAAATTTGTGTTGGTTATTATCCCATCCAAATATCCTTTTTATTGTTTGGATATTAAGGGTATACAAAACACTTTTAAATAATCGTTTCATATTTCTTCTCACGAAGAGAATAGAGGAAAAGAATTTTTTAAATTTATTTTTGGAAGAAAAAAAATTTTTTTTGAAAATATTATTTAATTTTTAGATTATGAACAAAAGTACCCTATTTTTAGAATTAAGCCTAGTATTAAATAAAGTCCTCCCATCCTCTAAATGTAAAGCACCTAAATGTAAAGCACCACCGTAAAATAGAGCCATGATTTGAAGGGAAAATAAGGCCATGTAGCTTTATTTTCGGAAATACTAGAGATGTCCAAGACCAAAAATTTTTCAAGATTCAAGACAAAGAATTCACCCTAATACCAAAACTGGAGGAAACCCAAGTAAAGTCTGAGTACAAATCTCAAACCCAAGAGTCTTGGGCAGAGGTCGATCGGAAATGACGAAGATGCTGAAAATCGGAACTGTCGGAAATAGCTCAAATTTTCGGATGTCGGAAATCGAAATTCTGATCGACCTGAGGTCTCTAGGACATAGATTCAAAATTTTGTATTAAAAAAATAATTTTCCTACTCATCCAGTAAATAAAAAAAATATGAATTATTTATTATAGCCACCTAAATCCTCAATAAAAATAACCGCTTAATTTTTTGGTCTTTATCCGTTTCTAAAATTAATTGACTTTTACAAACATAAAAAAAATTTTTATTTTATTCTCTTTATTCGTTCCGTTTACCTAAATTTTTCTGTAATAAATCTGTTTATGGAAGGTTTTCTGATTTTAGAAAATAAATAAACCAACCGCCGCCCTTTTGCCAAATATTTCTGGATACTCTAGGGATTACATTAGCGAATGAATTTGGGGTTCATAAAATATACGGGACTATGTGGAGGAATGAAATAATGAAAAGAAGATGAAAGGCGGTCTTTGACTATTTTATTTTTTTATTTTTACTTGTACATATTATGGTAGTTAATTAAAAGGGGATTGTGAAATTTTAAAAAAATAATAAAAATTAAATTAATAAATTATTTTTAATAAATTAATTTTTGTTTAAATAGACAGTAGAAACTCGGATTTATATTCCCCCTAATTTAGACCAAAGATGGGCTTCCGTTTTTAAAATGTGCCGTACACATTTCTGATACACACTAGGGACCAGGGATGGATCCGCTTCCGCGTTTAGCTTTTTAAAATTGAAGATTTTCCATCCCTGCTTGTATCTATCCATGATAAGAAGCAAAATTTCGATTCCGCAATCGAAAATTCTCAAGAAAAAATTTTAATTCGTGGTTTTGGAATAGGATATTGGATCGGATAGAACCCTGATACATACACACTAATTTATATACCTTTTCTTAGTCGGCTAGTATGGGGCTCCATCCAAAACGTCCTCGACGTCCAGCTAAGTGACCCCCATTATATTTACAATTTTTTCCGTACCAATGGGATATATAAATTAGAGATCCGCACATATCTTAATTTTATTCTAACTAGTCTTTTAACAAAAATAAACAAAAAAAGAGTTTTTTTATTTCAATAAATTAATTTTTCAGTCATTATTGGCTTCTAACACCTCCCCCACCACAAATTCATTTCTCCTTCCAAATGTTTCAAATATTGTTGAAACAAATTCTACAAACATTTCATTAAACAGAAATGCCCAAAAACAACAACAAAACCAACAACGTTTTAATAGTGGAACGGCTATCTCAACATTATATGGGGCAACGGCTAATTTAAATGCTAATAATAATATTGCTGGTAAAAATAATTTAAAAATCAGAATAATATCAGAATAATTTAAATAAATAAAACAGACTAATAAAAATCAGAATTTACTGTAAACATGAAGAAACTGAAAAATCAGAATTTTAGAAACCAGAAAAACAAATAAAATACAAATAATCAGAACAAATAAAAAAATCAGAATTTATTTAAGTTTTATTTGTTCATATTGTACATAAAAATCAGAATAAATAAAACTTGAATAGATCAGAATAAATAAATCAGAATATAAGAATCAGAAAAACTTTAAATTAAACTTGAAATAAAACTTGAAATAAAACACATCAGAACAAATAATCAGAATTAATAAAATCAGAATTTATTCAATTTTATTTGTATATAAAAAATCAGAATAAATAAAACTTGAAATAAAACACATCAGAATAATACAAAAATACAAATCAGAATAAATTAAAAATTACGTAATAAAATACACAAATCAGAATTTTAAAAATACAAAAAATACAAAATCAGAAAAGGAATTTATTTAACCTAAATTTTCCCTTATTTTAATCTTCAGAAATTCTAAAATTATTTAAATTAATTTAAAAAACAAAATTTAAAGAAATTGACACGGACCCATTGGAATTACAACATTTTGCCGAACATTTTAAACAAAGAAGAATAAAATTGGGTGTTACTCAGGCAGATGTAGGGAAAGCTTTGGCCTATCTAAAAATGGCTGGAGTAGGGTCCTTATCTCAATCTACAATTTGTCGATTCGAATCGCTGACACTTTCCCATAATAATATGGTAGCCCTTAAACCGATATTGCAAAGCTGGTTGGAACGGGCAGAGGAAGCAACTAAACAACAAGCTGTGGCGACTGCGGTTAGTCTTTATACTATGTTCTACCTAAAACAAGAAATATTATTTTATAGGCTGTGGAAGCTGGTGGTGTTGGGGGAGCGGGGGGAGGTGAGGAATTTTTATTGAAAGATCAGAATTAAAAATCAGAAACAGAAATCAGAATTGGGAATCAGAAAAAATAATCATAACAAAAATCAGAACAATAATTCAGAAATAAAAATCAGAACTAAAAGTTAGTTGAAGCTTTAAGAAAATATCAGAATTAAAAATCAGAACAATAATAATTTTTTCAAAAGATGCCTTAACCCTTCAATGCATCGCTGCCGCTACCGCAGCTTCCGCCGGTATATTGCCCTGTTCAGAGAAGAAACGTAAAAGAACATCCATTGCTGCACCAGAAAAGACAGAATTAGAAGAACAATTTAAATTACAAAGTCGTCCTACGGGTAGAATATTTTTTTAATTTTTTATTAAATCTTAAGATAATTTAGGTGATCGTATAGCTGCTATAGCAGAAAAACTTGATCTCAAAAAGAATGTTGTTCGTGTCTGGTTTTGTAATCAAAGGCAGAAACACAAAAGGTAAAAAATTATAAAAAATATAGTAAATACGATTTATATATTAAATCAGAATTAATAAATTAAAATCAGAATGTTTAATTAAAAATTGGTTGAAACACATACTGGTTTCAGAATTAATTAGTATTAGAATAATCAGAATAAGATTAATTCAGAAATCAGAATTCATTAGTTTATTAGATATGAAACACATTATAAAATCAGAATTAATTAAATATAAAACACATTATAAAATCAGAATTAATTAAATATGAAACACATTATAAAATCAGAATTAATTAAATATAAAACACATTATAAAATCAGAATTATATATAAAACACAAAAATCAGAATTATTTAAATATAAAACACATAAAACCAGAATTAATTAAATATAAAACACATTATAAAACCAGAATTATATATAAAACACAAAAATCAGAATTATTTAAATATAAAACACATAAAACCAGAATTAATTAAATATAAAACACATTATAAAACCAGAATTATATATAAAACACAAAAATCAGAATTATTTAAATATAAAACACATTATAAAATCAGAATTATATATAAAACACATAAAACCAGAATTAATTAAATATAAAACACATTATAAAACCAGAATTATATATAAAACACAAAAATCAGAATTATTTAAATATAAAACACATAAAACCAGAATTAATTAAATATAAAACACATTATAAAACCAGAATTATATATAAAACACAAAAATCAGAATTATTTAAATATAAAACACATAAAACCAGAATTAATTAAATATAAAACACAAAAATCAGATGCAATAAATCAGAATTACAAAATCAATTTCCATATACATAAAACACATAAAATCAGAATTATTCAATAAAATTATATTTTTGTATTTCAGAAATCAATTTCGTACAAATCGAGTAATATCCGGACTTTCTCAAATGGCCAGCAGTAGCGATCTTGATCAGCACCAAAAATCACCAATTTCACACCATCAAATACAACACAACCAATATCAGAACCCTTTAGACAATAAATTGGTAGCCTCGTGTAACTCGACAACTACAGCCGCGGCCGCATCTCTAGCAGCAGCGGTTCAAGCGGCAGCTGCTGCTAGTATGCATCATCAACTTAGAGAACAGCAAAGACAGTGTAAAGAATCAATTTAATTTTTGAATAAATTAAAGTGAAAGTGTGTTTTTGTGCTGAAACCCGATTCGAAAAAAATTTCGAAATCCTGACCCGAGTTAGAAGGTGTGATTAGGGAACGGCTTCTGTCCATCAGCGCATTTACGGCTTTACCTTTACGTTCCCTAACGGCAGCTATTGGGTTGATCAAACCATCTCCTATGGGACACACAGAAAGCTAATAAACTAGAAACTGATATCGAAGGAGTAGTACATTATTTAGGCCTAATTCATTAACCCAAATAATGTTCGCCCAAAAAAGGCAATCAACGGATCAAGGAAGTCAAGAGTTACCTCAAACCATAGCCAACATTTTTCTCAAACCAAGGCATCCTGCAACGGATTATTAAAAATTAAATTAATTTTAGTTTGCCAAAAAAGAGAGGAAGATTCAGAAGGATCAGCAATATTCGAAAATCAACAAAGAAAATCCTCTCCGGATTCAACCGATAACAGCAACTGTAAAATTGAAAACGAAAAAATAGAAAAACAAAAAAATATTTCTGAAAATGTTATCTTTAACGGTAATAATACTTCGGTTATTCAACATGCATCTTTTGGGGGTGGATTTAGATCAGATACTCATCAATTATTTTATCAACAAGAATAAATTTTAAAATTTAAATATATAAATATATTGTATAATTTTATGTGTGAAATAAATTTTTTATTTGATACTGAAATTAAATATGGAATAAATTCTGATTTATTTACTTGATTTAATATAAACTTAAAATCAGAATTTTATTAAATCAGAATTTTTATTAAATCAGAATTTTTATTAAATCAAAATTTTTATTAAATCAGAATTTTTATTAAATCAGAATTTTTATTAAATCAGAATTTTTATTAAATCAGAATTTTTATTAAATCAGAATTTTTATTAAATCAGAATTTTTATTAAATCAGAATTTTTATTAAATCAGAATTTTTATTAAATCAGAATTTTTATTAAATCAGAATTTTTATTAAATCAGAATTATCACTTAAATCAAATCAGAATTTTTAAATACTTATTGTTTAACAGTTCTGTTTTGTGTTTATTTTTGTATTTTATTCTTTTGTGTGAAATACAAATTCTGGTTTTTAAATTCTGTTTTTACAATTCTGATTTTTGAGATTCTGGTTTTTTACAATCTTAATTAAAATTCTGGTTTATATTTATGTCTTCACAATTCTGATTGGAATAAATACTTTTACAATCACAACTCAGAATTTGTGTTTTAGTTTAATTAAAAAATACACATCAGAATTAAACATCAGAATATGTGTTTTAGTTTAATTTAAAAAATACAAATCAGAATTAAAAATCAGAATTTGTGTTTTAGTTTAATTAAAAAATACAAATCAGAATTAAAAATCAGAATTTGTGTTTTAGTTAAATAAAAAATACACATCAGAATTAAAAATCAGAATCTGTATTTTAGTTTCATTAAAAAATACAAAACAGAATTAAAAATCAGAATTTGTATTTTACGCCTTAATTAAAAAATATAAATCAGAATTCAAGCTTTATTATTTATACAAATCAGAATTTGTGTTTTAGTTTAATTAAAAAATACAAATCAGAACTATTTACTACATAAAACATAATAATTCAATTGTATTTTCTCTCATCAAATTCAAAATATTTTTATTCTTCAGTTTCTCCATGCGGAATTAATTTATATGGTGGTCTCACGATTTCAGGAGCAGGATCAAAATTTCCATAGTCGGGAGGTGGAGCTTTACAAGTTTCAGAAATAATAATTAACATCAATATTATTGTTAATAAAATATTTATTTTAATCATTTTGATCATTTTTTAATTTATTGTTTTCCTGTGTTCTGGTTTCCCCTTTGCTTTTAAACCGTTAAAAAACACAGTTCGTGTGACCAAGCGTCATTTTGTGTTGGCAAAAATACAAAAACAAAAATACAACAAAAAAATAAAAAATGATTCAATTTTTGCACTCTATAGGGTAAGAAAATTTTTTTTTTGCAAAATTATTTTAAAAAATTTGTTGTTGGATTTATTTTCCAGCAATAATAAAATAAAGACGTCTATTTAAAATAATAAACGTTTTAATTTTTTATTGTTGGAAAAAATTTTTTTTTTCTTACAAAAAAATTTTTTTCCTACGAAAAAAAAAATTTTTTTAACTATAGAGTGCATAAATCAAATAAATTTTTATTGTATTTTTGTCCAAAGAACATTTATAATATGCCCAATATAGACCACACTGGGCCCCATGGAGGTGTATATTTAAAGGGTTTATAAGGGAAGGGAAAACCAGAATATCGGTAAATAATAAATTTTAACAAAAAAAATAATTAAAATAATGAAAATAAATATTTTATTAACATTAATAATGATTATTTTTATTTCTGTATCTTGCAAAGCTCCACCACCCGACTATGAAAATCTTGCTCCAAAGCCTGTGCTCCAGAAACCGCCATTTAAAGTAATTCAGGATTAAGCAGAAACTTGAAAGAAAAAATATTCTGAAGTTGATGAGAGAAAATACAATTAAATTATTTTGTGTTTTATGTAGTAAAACGTTCTGATTTGTATTTTTAATTATTCAAGTTTTAAAATACAAATTCTGATTTTTAATAAAACACAAATTCTGATTTTTTAAAATAAAATACAAATTCTGATTTTTAAATAAAACACAAATTCTGATTTTTAATAAAACACAAATTCTGATATTTTAATAAAATACAAATTCTGATTTTTAATAAAACACAAATTCTGATTTTTTAAAATAAAATACAAATTCTGATTTTTAAATAAAACACAAATTCTGATTTTTAATAAAACACAAATTCTGATATTTTAATAAAATACAAATTCTGATTTTTAATAAAACACAAATTCTGATTTTTTAAAATAAAATACAAATTCTGATTTTTAAATAAAACACAAATTCTGATTTTTAATAAAACACAAATTCTGATATTTTAATAAAATACAAATTCTGATTTTTAATAAAACACAAATTCTGATTTTTTAAAATAAAATACAAATTCTGATTTTTAAATAAAACACAAATTCTGATTTTTAATAAAACACAAATTCTGATATTTTAATAAAATACAAATTCTGATTTTTAATAAAACACAAATTCTGATTTTTTAAAATAAAATACAAATTCTGATTTTTAAATAAAACACAAATTCTGATTTTTAATAAAATACAAATTCTGATTTTTTAAAATAAAATACAAATTCTGATTTTTAAATAAAACACAAATTCTGATTTTTAATAAAATACAACTTCTGATTTTTAAATAAAACACAAATTCTGATTTTTAATAAAATACAAATTCTGATTTTTAAATAAAACACAAATTCTGATTTTTAATAAAATACAAATTCTGATTTTAAATATGAGTAACAAAACTTTAATTCTGAAATCAGAAATTACAAATTCTGATTTTTTAATAAAACACAAATTCTGATTTTTTAATACATAAAACACAAATTCTGGTTTGTATTTTTAATTGAAATTTAAAACACATACCTATTCTGATTTGAACTTTAATTCTGATTTGTATTTTTTTATTCAACTTGAAATTATTATCAGAATTTCTTTTTTCTGATTTTTATATAAACACATATAATTCTGATATTTTATTAAAAATCAAAATTCTGATTTTTTTATTTTCCACTGCGATATTGTTATTCATATAAAAATTCTGATTTGTATTTCCACTGTTCATTTCAGAATTTTAACACAAATAAAGTTTAATTTCTGATTTGTATTTTAGAGTATTAAAAATTCTGATTTAAATTTTTAATGAAACTTTTTCCTTTATACATATGTAAGAGTCAATTAAAAAATAAACCGGTTCTTCTACAAATTCTGTTTACTACTATTTTTCAAGGTCAATAATACAATTATAATAAATACAATTTAATTCTTTAAAAAATAAGTAGCTCTCCCCCCTACAAATAATTTTTTGTTTGTATTTTTCAATAATTAGTTTTGACTAGACGACTACAAAAACCCCCAGACTACCAACACTCCCTTTCACTCCCTAACAACCCCCCTCCTTTTTTAAAATTAAAAAAAAAATTTTATAGAAATTTTATAAAAATTTTAAAAATATTTTTTTTCCAATTTTCTTCCTTAACAACATTTAAAAAAATTTTTTTTAATGTTTTTCTCCATTATTCATCCGTTTTTCTGACTCATTTGTCAGTTCGACATTCCCTTCTCCTCCCCTCAACAACTAGTCAATAAAATAGATTTATTGGAAAATTTTTTCCCTGCCCTAGGTCACCACCCCTACGCTACACATCTAAACGAATCGATAAATCGATTCAACTCTACGGGGAGCTGTGGATACTAAAAAGAGTAAAACAGGCTAGCAGTTGTTGAGTGGAACTCTAAAAAACCTGTCAGTTAATCATGTGCAATACAAACACAAACATTCATCAAAATAAAAATAAATTTATGGAGGGGTGCACTTTTAATTATAAACCCCTCACTCCCTTTTTGTGAAATGAGTGACCGAGACCATCTGTCACTACCAGCCCCTTCCCTCATCTCTCCTCCCACTTTCCTTTTTATCCCTCTCTCCGACAAACAAACTAGACAAAAATAAAGAGAGGAGGGAGGGGGTACTTATATTTCAAAATAAATGCTCTATTACCTATACATTAGAGCCTGGCACTCCTCTGTCCCTTCAATTTTTTGTTTTGATGTACAAAATGGTCAGTGAGTGAATAGATCGATAAAGCTCATTAAGTGAGTCGAGTGGCCCTTAGAACCGTCCTGTAGTGAAACCGTCTTGTAGGCCCTTAAAACCATCCTTAGAGAGTTCTGTATTAGATGTACAAAATGGTCAGTGAGTGAATATATCGATAAAGCTCACTTAACTGAGTCGAATGGTGGCCCTTAGAACCGTCCTGTAGTGGAACCGTCTTGTAGGCCCTTAAAACCATGCTATGGAGAATTCCGTATTAGATGTACAAAATGGTCAGTGTCTCCTAAATGTAGTAGTATCACTCTCCTACTTATTCCTCTTTTCAACATTCCCACTTATCCTAACCCCTAACATCCTACCTCCAATTTCCATCTCTTTACATATCCCCCCTCTCTATTCTCATCCCAACCTCTCAGTTATTTGAGAGATTCTTCGTTTGTTTGTTTCATCCTCTCCGGATTAGTCAACGTCTAAATAAATATATCCACATCGCAAAAAATATCCCCCCATCCATCCACACGAGTAGCACTCACACATCCCTCATATGCTGTTCATATGACATGCTCGCCCTATTTCTATAGGCGCGTGCGCCATTGATTTTTACCTAGTTCTCTAGCTAATAGTGTATAGAATTTTTCTCTTTCTTTTAGCTATCCTCGCATCTAACAGAATATTAAGACCCTCGCTAAAAATTCGTTTATTAGGCTGTCCTTCAATTTTTCTTAGTTTTTGGCTTCAAAACACCCTTCAAACAGAATAAAAAATATATAATTTATTACGCTAGCTTTTAAGACTTCTACATAGTATGTATTTATTTATTTATTTATTAGTTTATAATTGCGTTCCCCTTTTTGCTATAGTAATTGTTAGTTTCCGAAAGGTTTTTGCAAAATTACTTTTATCCTTTCCTAGAAATCGAGTAGGTTATTTATTATTTCTATAGTTGGGATATGGTAATTAGAGACATGATTAGGAGCAAATAGATCCGTAGGAGAGAATTATACCTCGGGAAAAATATCGATATCGACCTTTCTTTTGTTCAAGAGAGAGACGGAGCGAGACAGGATCCCGCGCGGAATACCGCTCCCGCAATTTTTTCGATTTGCGGGAGTTCCCGCGGGATACCGCCCCCGCAATACCGCGCTTTTTTCAATTTGCGGGAGTTCCCGCGGGATACCGCCCCCGCAATACCGCGCTTTTTTCAATTTGCGGGAGTTCCCGCGGGATACCGCCCCCGCAATACCACGCTTTTTTCGATTTGCGGGAGTTCCCGCGGGATACCGCTCCCGTAATCCCGCACTTTTTTCGATTTGCGGGAGTTCCGGGATCCCGTCCCGCAGACGTTTTTAATTGTTACTCCCGCATGCGGGATCCCGAAATCACAATTTTCCGCTTTCTAGTTTTTGTTCTCTATTGGTAGTACTCTACTGACCACTACCGTTATTTTTTAAATTCTTTTTTAATTGGCATTCTGTTTTGCTTTGATATTTCATCCCCTATTTTAAGCGGTTGGGGTCAGTTGAGCGTGGCCGGTTGAGCGTCAGCCGACATTTGAACGGCTATAACTTTTTTAGCCTTGATCCAATACGAATGAATCATATATCATTCGAAAGCCCTCGATGAGTCCAATCTTTATCCCAACTGGATGGATCAGTTCTGATCCCGGTTAAAAGGTTATAAGTCGATAAATGCAGAAAATCGTTGTTTTTCACACATATCGACTTGTAACCTTTTAAATAGCGATCAATCATGATCCATCCGATTGAAAGAAATATAGCGCTTAACGAGGGCTTTCGAAAGATATATGATTCATTCGTATTGGATCAAGGCTAAAAAAGTTATAGCCGTTCAAATGTCGGCTGACGCTCAACCAGCCACGCTCAACTCGCCCGTTCCGTATTTTAAGCTTACTGTATTTTCATTTTAGAAATTTTTTTGTATTTTTTACTGTTTTTATGTGTTACTGTTTTTACTATTACTTGTTCTTTTCCTTAACAAAAAAAATTTTTTTTTGCTCCAAAACAATAAAGTCCCCATACCCTTTAAGTTCTTCCTTTCCTTAAATCCTCTTAAAATAATCTTTATTTAATTTTTAGGTTTAAGCTTGTAGTATTTAAAAAACATTTTTTTGTTAAAATTTATGTGTAATGTGTGGGTTAGAATGCGATGTTTGTAAACAAAAACTTCCGTTGGCGGAAAATACAACCCCAACAATATGTATTTTCCCATGTTTTCATAAATATTGTGAACGGTGTAAAGGTGGGGAAATTTTTTTTGGGGGGGAAAAAATTTTTTGAAATTTTTCGAAAATTTTTTTTGAAATTTTTTTTAGAAATTTTTCGAGTTTGAAAATTTTCAAAAAATTTTTCGAAAAATTTCAAAAAAAATTTTCAAAAAAAAAAATTCCGAAAAATTTTTTTGAAATTTTTCGAAAATTTTTTTGAAATTTCTCGAGTTGAAAATTTGTTGGAAAATTTCCAAAAAAATTTAAAAAAAATTCAAAAAAATTTAGAAAAATTTTTTCAAGAAAAAATTTTTTTCAGCCCAAGTCCTTGCCAGTGCTCGCCCTCAACATGGTGCTGAAAGCCGTGTGTCTTGCAAACTGTGCAATCAACATTTTCTTTTAAACGTGTTATATGATTACAGTGAAAATCAGATTGAAAAAATGTGAAAAAATTTTTCAAAATTTTTAAAAAATTTTTTTCAAAAAAAATTTTTTCAGTTTTTGTCTTCACTGTAACATAAAAAATAAAGCTCCAGTGGAATGGCGTTGTAAAAGCTGCGAGAATAGATATTTGTGCGCCCATTGTTCACAGCCTCATTATCATTCTGGACATGAGTTGGAGCCTGTGGTGAAAAATTTTTTTTGTTAAATTGGGACCAAATGTCCCTTCTGAAAATTTTTTTGAAAAATTGGGATCAAATGTCCCTTCTGAAAATTTTTTGGAAAATTGGGACCAAATGTCCCTTCTGAAAATTTTTTTGAAAATTTGGGGCCAAGTGTCCCTTCTGGAAATTTTTTGGAAAATTGGGACCAAATGTCCCTTCTGAAAAATTTCTTTAATCCTTACTTTTCTGCTAAAATTAATTTTTACCTATTTTTAGATGAAGCCTTCCATTCCTTTGCGTTCCCAATGCACTTCTCATTCTAATGTTCTTGCAACATATTTGTGCTCTTGTCAGGCGGTAAATTAAAATTTACAATTCGGACCTCATGAGATTCACAAAATACACCTCTATGATTCCAAGCCTTCTCTCACATTCTTTTTCCTTAAAATGAACATAATGCTCTTTCTGTATGTCCTTAGGGAAATTGAGAGACTAAAAAACGTCTGACCATTATGTACATTTTAAGGAAAAAAGAATTGTGGGAAGAGTGTGGACCAGACTTGGAATTGCCTATATCTTAATTTAAGTTACGTTTTTCTAGCTGGGCACCGGGTGGAAGTAGTTGACCAGCGATACCCTTTATTTAAAATAAGCCTTATTATAAGAGGTGTTTTTTCTGCCCTAGGGGTTTGTGTTATAATGACGCCCAGCTGTTTGACCATTAAACAAAAATTTTAAATAATTTCAGCGTTTATGTGACTATTGTTTAAACAACCATGCAGATGGCTCTACTGAACATCCGCACGAACAACGCATTGCATACACAAAATTGGCTGAGAGGGCTAGAACAGAGTTGGAAACTATTAGGTGGGTGTGGGATATTTTGTCTCTCATCTTTTAATTTTTTTGTTTTAATTTTTTTTAAATTGCCTTATTTCTAAAAATAAGGGCGTAAAGGGGTCTCTAAGAGTAAGGAGGGTTATTGTAGACAGATCGGTCTTGCTAAGCCTCCGATACTCGATTAATTTGAAAATTATTTTCAAATCATTCGTAGGCTATAGGATTATTCTTGATCTTTAAGCAAATTATTTAAAAAATGAATTAATCGAACAAATGAGTCGAATCACGATAACACTGTCTTCCTAGTAACACATGGCCCAACCATGCTCGGATAAGTGTTTCAGCGAGTTTAACCCCCAACGTTTAACCTTCCCACCCTCCACCCCTTGAGGTGAGTCAACCCTTAATTTTTCCATTTGTTTAATTCAGTCCTCAAATGGACATTTATCGAGCTTTGTTAAGTGCAGTGAATGGCTCCTGAGCCGAAGCTAAGATTTTGATAACCCCGCAGCCTGGGCCAAGATTTTAAAAGAGCCAATAAATGCCAAATATTAAACACCGGCTTCGATTCTTTACTCTAACCCAAAATTATTTTTAGAAATTTCTCTTTATTCTTCAAAAAATTATTTTTTTATTTAAGACGTCAAAGTATTCGAGATACCGAAAAAATCGAAAGTCTCAAAGAGAAAGTAGCTACCAACAAAAAACAAATAGGTATACAAGCAACCCAAGCACGTACCGCCGTAGCTAATGAAGTTGTTGAGTTAGTTAATGCAATTATCAGAAGGGGAAACGATATTGTAACGTGTATAGATTCGACAGAAGAAACGAAGATAAAAAATTGTGGTCAATTGGAAAAAGAAATGCAACATTGGCTTGATAGATTGACTAAGGTAAATTGCAGCTGGTCTCAAACTTTTGCTGAAACAAATTTTTGGAAATCAGACAGATTTTTGGGGGAAAAGATAAATTTAAAGACAAATTTAAAAAATTATCTGGGAATCTTCTACTCCATTGGTCCCTAGAAAAAAATAAACAAGAAATGATTTTTCGACCTCCTTGAGGTTTACAGTAGGTAATCGAGTGTGCTGAATCCGAATCGGAGCTTAGACTTGATTAACTATTGATAAACCTCATAAATGTGAAAAAGCATTTCTTGTTGATTTTTTTCTTGGACCAAAGTAGAAGATTACCAATTATCCGCAATCTTCTTTAGGAAAAGACAGGCTTTGAAGGGTGCCTGCAGGATAATAACCTCTCCCTACCCCAATATACTTTAGGGTTTTACCGTTGGGCTATGATAATAGTTTGATTTTAATAACAGTTGTCTCAGCTCGGCGAGATGCATTGAACTTTGCTGAAATTATCGGGATTATAACTTTTATACCTCTAGAAGCAAAATCCCAATTCAATCCCGAGGGGTGTTGTCAAGCCTGATTTTACTGCCCCTCCCACGTCATCTTACGTTTTTAAGCCTGATTTTACTACCCCTTCCAAGGCATTTTCCTTCTTACGTTAGCATTAGTCTTGGGTGTTCTTATAGAAAATTTAAAAAAATATTATTTTTTTCTTTTCAGATTGAAAGCTTCACCCAATCCGCATTATTCACAACAGTCCAACAAGACCATCCAGGAATGTGGTCTGCTTCAATGTTTTCACAAAGTGCCTTATTTCAAGTCAATAAACGACGTGATTTAGCTAAAAATACGTTGGAACAATTTGAACGTTCGCCAATAATTTCTTATCAAAGTTGGTCAACAAAAGAGTTGTTTAGTGCGATACGTTCTTTTGGTCTATTAAATTTGGATGGAGAAATTAAAGTGAGAGGAAGGGGATTTTTTATAAAAAAATTTTTTTGGGAGAGTGTGGGTATTCTTTATAGGTTGGAATCGAGGAATTGTGGTTTCCATGGTTCCATGTTAAAAATATATGTGAATAACTACAATCTCACTTTAGTGCACCCTCTTGGGGCAGAAAATCATGCCGGAATAGGGTTAGCAAATCCAAATTAGTTTCGGCAAATAGATTTTCCCGATACCGTTGGTACCGAAAATTTCCAAACTTTCACCGGGACGGTTCCAGTTCCGGGAGTACCGGAAAATACCGACTCAGTATTTTCGAGAGTACCGATGGAGTACCGAACCGTGTCGAACACTAATCCAAATATCCTACTCCGAAAAAGTCAGCATATCAAAAATCATTTGGACGCAAAAGTCGCGATACAGTTTCCATCCCCTACGGAACGTAATAACTCACAGGGAATTACTACCTTATTTCTGTAAAACCTTTCAGGTCATAAGAAGGGAGAGATTGAGGGCCAGTCTCATTCCCACCCATTTCGTCACTATCAGGAATGTATCGGGGTGAGAGGAAAAAAAGTCGAGTTGTGTTTCTTCCAAATTTTTTTTCGGCACGGGTTTTGTCTGAAAAGTCTGGGTAACTTGTTTTGTTTACTTGACCGATTCCAAGTTATTCTAGATATAAAAATAGACTTGACCAATTAAATGGGGTACTTATTCCCTCCCCCCCCCCAGTCCGAGGTTTAGTCGAAGTATGAAATGGTGGATAGTCATTTTTTCCTTACATAGCTTTAAATAATTTGCTTGTAGGTCACATTCGTTCACTCACTCTTCAATTCACCTACGCCCATTGGGTCTGGGACTTGCCTTACCCTATCCCACGGAGTTTCTGAAAGTTAAAATATCATTTTTCTGAAATTTTTAAAAATTGGCTATAACTTCATGAATTTCGAGGGACAGTGAAGGAATGGTCCTAGACCCAGTGGGCGTCGGGGAATAAGTACCTTAAATAGTTTTATAAATTGTTAAATTAAAATTTAGATCCCAGCACAATCAACACCACAAAATGCTCACATGTTTTCAATTTCAAATAGTTTTACCCAGTCTAATAGCAATTCTAACACTTCAAATAATGCAACAGATACTCCACCAGTCCAACAACAACAAAATAAACGGCCCATTCCTCCAACTCAAAATGTCCCTCCAATTATACGTTCAACTTCGAATCATTCAAATGCTTCAACTTCACAACAACATGCTGTTAATTTTTCTGGTAGTAATAGTAATATACAACAACAACAACCATTACAACAACAACCACAAAGAATTTCTACACCATCAGCTGTTATTATGGTGGGTAATGAAAAGAAATTTTTTCACAGTTTTTGAGGGCATTCGACTCAGCTCGAAGAGACTATTCAAAAAAATAACTTAAATTTCAATTTCGAATTTTTACCTGAATTAATCTTGTTAGACTTTGGGTTTGGGATTCGAAATAAACAAATTCTAAGCTCAGATTCGGACTCAGCACACTCGATTTCCATCTGGCAAGCCTCAAAAATATCGAAAGGACATTTTTGATTATTTTTTTCTAGGGACCAATGGTCTTTAGGATTATCGGCAAATCTAATTTAAAAACTGATCACTTTATTTTTTTTCGTGTTTACTTAATTTTTTAAAATTCCGGTTTTTAATTTTTGATGAGTTATATAGGTTTAAATCTTTTATGTTCTTTGGTTGGCGAATCCTGGAAATCCTTAGATATCTGGATCAGATATTTGATAGAATATTTTTTGGATATCCGGGCATTTTTCGAATTTGCATATGTTCCGCCACCTTTGTTTTCGTTTTTGAAAAATTCATCAGATAGATTATGGAATAAGAACTTTCATGGAAAAGTCTCCGATTCTGTATCTTTCTGTGTACCTTAGTTTTTGCAGTGGAAAATTTATTGGATAGGAGATGGAATAATAACATTCGTGTAAACGGGTCCGATTCCTTATCTTAATCGACTGGGCTACCTTCCAACCCGGTAGTGTTTTACAAAAAAAATTTTTACGTTTTTGGCTATCAGTTTTTAGTAATCCTATTTTTTTAGCTTTTCCAATATTTTATTTTCTAGACTTTATCATCTCCTCCTCCAAATATTCAACAAAATCCACCATCTATCCATCACCCCATTCCACAACAACAACATAATATTGGTGGTCCAAACCTTCACCATTCTGAAATTCACCATATTTCTGTTTCGTCTCCAACTCCAATTATTCCACAATTATTACAACAACCTTTAAATGTTTCTGGTTCACGTTTTGTACAACAACACCCCCAACAACACCCACAGCAACAACCCCAACAGCAACAACCCCCTCAGCATCATCCTCAACGTCTTCCACAATTACTTCCATTAAATTGCCCATTACCTGTTGTTGGTTCGCCGCCAATTTCTTTACCTAATACACCTCTAACTCCTGTTATGCATGGACCGCCTGATCAGATGCAAATTATGAGACAGAATATAGTATTGCAACAGCAACAACATGTGAGGAGATAAATTTTTTATTCTAGACTACGAGTTATGGGGCTTGTATCCTAATTTGGGTTAGGATCGGGACTGGATCTAGTTCATAATCTTAATTATCGTGAAATGATTGACCCAGCATTTTCCTACGCTGTACTGTAGAATATGAAGAGGGCTTGAAACTCTTATTATACACCATTCGATTCGCCTCCTGGGATAACCTCTCAGCTCGATTTGCTGAGTCGAGAACTAGCTATTCGTTTTATAATATAGCTTTATAATATATTCTCCCTCTACAACCGAGGGACAATATTGGAGTTAACACTAATGAGTACCTCAGATTTATTATATCGATATCTAACTTTGATCAATCCTAAAGTAGGTCTCTAGTCCATATTTCAAGATCAGGAAATCCGTAGATATAATTCGTTTTCTAATTTTAGATTGGTCAACAACAACTTCAACAGCAGCCTCATCAACAACAACAACGTTCTATTCAACAACAACAACCTTGTCTTCCTCATAGACAACCACCACCACCACAATTTCGTATGCAACAAATTCCACAAAATCATGCTGGTCCAATGCCCCATCAAATTCAACAACAAAATATTTGTCAAAATTCACAACAATCAATGTTTAATCAACAACAACCACATCAACAACCTCCACCACATATTATTCAACAACAACAGATGCAGCAACATCAGCACTATATGACAGCACAAAGACTTCATTTACAGCAACAACAATTGATGCTTTCACAGCAGGCATTGAAAAAAATTTTTTTCTAGGCTATTAGGGGGGGAGGGTATTCGAAACCTATAAGGATATTCTTCAAATATTCGAAACCTAAACGAAGGTCGCATCGAAAAATTCTTTCGATTCTTAGCTTTAGTTCAGAACTAACAGTCTTAATTATGACCTTTTTGAGGAACCTTTTTAGGTAGCTTTTTAGTAAAGGAGACGTAACTTTGTCTTTTTGAGCTCCAAATCTACCCTGGACTCCAGAGTTTGAACAAGAGTAGGGTTGCGGTTTTCGAGTCGGGCGACCTTAGAGTCATTTTTTCGGGCCTTATTTTTATCGGGCCGGCCCGACCGAGTCTTTTTCGGGTGAAAATTCAATGCACGACTCGATCTTTCGGACCGGGCCGGATCGGGCCCCCAACTCTAAACAGGAGTTAACTCATTTATTGTTTTGATGTCGCGGCCTCTTTCTCTTGTTACATATTTTTTAATAAAAATTAAATTTTTTCTAGTATCATCCTCAAGTTATGTCTCCTCCATTTCAACAACAACAGCCACAACAACATATTGTTCATGTCCTAGATTCTCCACATAATCAACAACTTGGTAATAATAATGGTGGGCAAGAAGACCGTCCTCTACCTCCAATTATATCCAGAATTCCAAATCCTCGACTTAATGCGCAACAATTTGTGGAGTGAGTTTTTTCCTTCCGATTACTACCTATTTTATGAAAAAAAATTTTTTTCAAGTTCCGTTATTGGTCAAAATTTGACTTCTGTTCCTTCTGCAACTGAAAACCATCCCCCTCAACATTATCAAAATTCTGGTGTGACCCCCCTCGAGCATTTGGTAGAAATGACAAGTGCTTCTACTATGCCTCAACAGACATCTAGTAGAAATTTTGAGAATTTGCCGGCACATATTTCCCATAAACAATCGACATCTTCAGCTATTCCAGAAATTGTTGATTTACTGGATGATGAAGAGGAAGAAGGACAAAATAAAAATAATTCTTCTTGTCAAGAATTAGAAGCTTCAATAAATCGTTTAATAACAGTCCCTATAGCTACTGATATAATTATTAATTCTGAAAAAATTGAAAAAATTAATGATAATTTAAATTTGCTTCAACAACAAGATTCTGCTATACAACAATTACAGCAACAACAACAACAAAATAGTAATAATAGCCCTCATTTATTAAAAGCTTTGCGTCAGAATAAACCGCAAAGCGCTGCTGCAGATTCTACTGTTTCTTTTGCTGGAAATAATTGTTTGTGTTTTATTTGTTTAAAATCAGAATTATTTAAAATCAGAATTATTTAAAAACCAGAATTATTTAAAAATCAGAATTATTGAAAATCAGAATTATTAAAAATGAGAATTATTAAAAATCAAAATTAATTAAAAATCAGAATTATTTAAATCAGAATTAAAAAATCAGAATTATTTAGAAATCAGAATTAATTAAAATCAGAATTAATTAAAATCAGAATTAATTAAATCAGAATTATAATTAAAATCAGAACTGTTTAAATAAGAATTAATTAAAATCAGAATTAAAAAATCAGAATTATTTAAAAATCAGAATTATTTAAAAATCAGAATTAATTAAAAATCAGAATTATTTTAAAATCAGAATTAATTAAAATCAGAATTAATTAAAAATCAGAATTATTTAAAAATCAGAATTAATTAAAATCAGAATTAATTAAAATCAGAATTATTTAAAAATCAGAATTAATTAAAATCAGAATTAATTAAATCAGAATTATAATTAAAATCAGAACTGTTTAAATCAGAATTATTAAACATCAGAATTACTATTTAATATCAAAATTAGTTTAAATCAGAATTATTTAGAAATCAGAATTAATCAAAATCAGAATTATTTTAAAATTAGAATTATTAAAAATCAGAATTATTTTAAATCAGAATTAATTAAAATCAGAATTAATATTTATAGTAATATCAGAATTAGTTTAAAACAGAATTATTAAACATCAGAATTACTATTTAAATCAGAATTATTAAAAATCAGAATTCTGCTAGTTCAAATTCTGATTTAATTTTTCAAATCAGAATTTTTTGTATTTTCTCTAAAACACATAAAATACATTTAAATCAGAATTTTCTCTTTAATTTCAGCGACTGAATCTCCTTCTACTGTCGCTCCAATAAATACAAATTCTGGTACTAAACGAAAACCAGCATCAATAAATATCGATGATGGGGAACAACAAAAACAGAAACGGATAGCCAAAGAAATTAATAATAAAATTTTAAATTTAAATAATAATGAAGAAAAAAGGCCTGTAAATATTTCTCCTCCGGCCGATTTAATTACTACAACAACAGAAGAAAATGGGGAAGGGGGAGGAGGAGAAGATTTTGATAATAAAGAAGAGAATAATGATGAACAAAAATTAGGCAAACTTAAAACTTCGAGAAAATCAGAAACTCCGAATAGCCTCGATTTACGTGTATTTAGTTCTCCGGAAGAACAAAATGCTGAGGAGGTGGGGAATTGATTAATTTATTTTTTAAAAAATACAGTAGACCACATTTATATATAAGACATACACCAAGTTAAAGACACACCTTTAAAATTTGGTTTGAGGTTTTTAGCTAATCTCCGGACATTCAAAATAAGAACATAATCGCCAGATATCCGGAAATATATTTTTGGTTCGTGATATCCGAAACTGCCCACACAAGCCATTGGAGGGGGGGTTGACCGCTAAGATAACTTTGTTATAAGTGACGCCCCAACGATTCACGTGTAGGTCTAAAAAGATGTCTAAAAAATAAATTAGAAAATAGGTACTTTTTTCTAGGTTGCTACTCAACATGAAAAAATGAATGAAAAAATTTCAATAAATTCAAAAACTGGGAAAATTTCAACAATTAACCCTTTAACTAGTAATAATGAAGAAGCATCCTGTAGTAATAATAAAAAATCTGAAGGAAAAAATTCTGAAAATGTTGGAAATAATAATAAAACGGAAGAAAGGTTAAATAATGGAGATGTATAATAAAAATTTAAAAAAAAAAGCAAAAAAGGGGTCTCATAACCAAAAAAAAATTTTTTTTAATAAATTTAGAATACTTACATGCATCATAAAAATTAATTAATATTTTAAGGTTTAAATTTTTAATAAATTAGGAGTCGTAGAAATAGGATTTTCCTCCCAAACAATTTTCCTCCCAAACGTATTTTTTCCCTTTTTTGTGCCTAAATTTCAATTAGAGGCTTGACTGAGGGAATTTTTTTTATGACGGGTTCTCAAACAAAAAGTCACGGTTATCGAGCTTGAGATTTTTCGAGATATTTATCGCGGTTCTCATACGAAACTCTCCCAGCCTTGTCTCTAATTTCGATAACACAAAATTCTCCCGAACATTCTTTTCTTCTTTTTGAACTTTTTTTTTGCAATGAGACCCCTTAATGAGTATTAATTTGGGGTTTCAATATTTTTAAAATTATTATAGGAAAAATGGAGGGGGGGGGTATTAAAGAGAGTAATTCTTGGAGGTTAGTTGAGATAGGGAAAGTAACTGAGGGTAGACTTGGTAATGGATATGATATTGAGACAGATAATTTCAAAATGCCTGCAGATATGTATTAGTGATGCTCGGGTATCCCTAATTCCGACTTAGGAAAATTTCCCGAGTTTTTGGCCTCCCAAGGTTTTTTCTGGCTTTTTTTTTGGCCTACAAGCCTCATTTTTCCCCCTCGCAACCTCCCCTCCCTCCCATGCATCCCCTACTCCCATTTCCCGATTCTCGGGTTTTTCTTCTCCCGAGCATCACTAGCGGATATTTGCCTGTATCCGTCAAGGATACGGATACCAAAATCCATATGTCCATTACCAAGTCTGGTTGAGAATAATTTTTTGAGGATATACGATAGTCAAAAAAAAACCGTTTAAAAAAATTTTTTTTCTAGTCGTAATGCTACAAGTGATGATTTTTGGGATGATTATTGTTATGTATGTTCTCAAGGTTGTGATGAAACTACTGGATCTCTTGGTTGTTGTGAATCTTGTCCACGTGTCTTTCATTCTCATTGTCATGTTCCACGAATTAAGGGCTATATGGAGGATTTACCGTTAGAAAAAAAATTTTTATGAATTTTTAAAAAATTTCTTTTTAAAGTGATGATTGGCGTTGTTCTGTCTGTGTGGAATGCGAACCTTTGACTGTTCAAACCCAAGAATTTGGTTATAGGGAACAATTGGTAAGGAAGTGAATTTTTTAAAGAGAAAAGCTTAGTACCCTTATAACCATTTCTTCCTTATAACTAATATTTTGAAAATTAGGCCTAGTAACTTGACTGAAATAGAACGAATTTAGCGATTTTCATGCCCGAAAGTTTTCCCAAAAAAGTTTATTCAAGAAACCACTAAAGTTCGACACTTGACCCTCAATAGACTAAAAGCGGTCTGCATCCGAAAGCGGGTCTGCAGCCGAAAAAAGTACCCTGAAATTTTCTCAACGGATCAGATATCCGGTACTTCATAGGATCTACCAGCACTTCTATATAGTTTTTTCCCTTCTATCCACTCCCTTCTATGCCTTCTTTTTTTCCTTTTATATTCCCTTCCCTTCTATCCACTAGATCCACACCAGGGCTGGGCGAAATCAAAAAATAAAAAGCGAAATGCGGAATGCGAAACTTTTTTTAAAAAAATAAAAAGCGAAATGCGGAATGCGAAACTTTTCGCGCCAAAAAATGTGAAAAATGCGAAAGATGCGAAACGCGAAAATGCGAAATCAGTTAAAAATTTTCAGAAAAATTTTTGGAATTAGTATAGTATTCCGGAGGCAAAATTTCGATAAGAAACACAAACATTCGATTTCTCTCGGCGAGCTGAGTCGAACGATACCACTCTCTATTCACGGAACTCCCTGTCAACCGAGATATAGGTCCCCGAATATCGAAAAACCATAGGGGGCATTGAAGGTTCGGGCATTGCAGGTTCCGATTTGAGTTCGTGATCGGGGTTATTATTTAAATTAGGGTTGAGCGGGATCGGGATCCCGGTCGGGATCGGGCGGGATTATCCCGGGTTTTTCAAATCCCGATCCCGATTTTTCTGATCCCGCTCCCGAAATATATATCCCGATCCCGATCCCGGCCAATCTCAATCCCGAGCCGGGATCCGGGATCGGGATCGGGATGTGCATCAGATCCCGATGCAAATCCCGACTTTATAAATTGACTAGAAGTCTGTGAAATAAAGTTAACAAAAGAGTTGAGGCGTGAAAGTGAGAAAAATTTTCGCCTGCGGCGCAGAAAAGGGAAGAGATTTGGCTTCTTGACATCCAAAATTCTCAAAATTTTCGCCTGCGGCGCAGAAAATGGAGGAAATTAGGCAGCTTGACGTCCAAAATTCTCGAAATTTTCGCCTGCGGCGCCGCAAAAATGAACAAAGCTGTCTTTACAACATTAACGAAATATTGAGTGATTCGGTGTGATATCGAGGGATCAAGAGGGATTGAGAGGAGTATCGGTGGACTCTATGCCCCCTTAATCCCCTGAACCACAAAGTAAATTATTCGTCTATGATACTTAAACTCAATATTTTAGCACCGCAGTGGCAATTTTAGAATTATACTGAGTCGTATGTGAAGAAAATAAAAATTTAAAAATTTTGAAAAATTTTTTTAGTAAATCCCGATCCCGATTTTTCAATACCGGTCCCGATTCGGGATCGGGACCGGGATCGGGATCTCCAGTCCAAATCCCGATCCCGATTTCGGCCAATCCCGATCCCGTGTCGGGATCCGGGATCGGGATCACCATTCCTAAATCCCGATCCCGGGTTTTTCTCTAAATCCCGATACCGCTTAACTCTAATTTAAATCCCGATACCGATTTCGACCAATCCTGACTCGTAGTTTGACCGGTCTAGGGGTGATTTCCATTTTTTTCACCACAGGCAAAAATTCCGAGAATTTTGAAGTCAAAGGAGCAATAATTCTTCCAAGGATCTTCTGATATCCCTCTTAATCTCAAATCTCTTTCTTGCGCCGCAGGCGAAAATAATGAGAATTACGGAAGTCCTTAAGTCAGATTTCTTTTATTTTCTGCGCAGCAGGCGGAAATTTTGGAAAATTCACTACTAAATTAAAATTTTTAATGTTTTTCATGTTTGACATATTAAAAAAAATAAATTTACAAATTTAAAATTAAAATTAGAATTTAAAAATTTTTATTTTTGGAAGGAAAAATTACCTATTTCCAAACCCTGGATTCGAATCCAGCCCCAAAAAACAATAAAGTGAGAAAGTCAGTCAACTTAACCACTCCACCATCGAGGACTAAATGAAAGATAGGATAATTTTTCTATATTTCTTTCCCTTTACCTTTAAGAATTTAATGTAAAAATATCTAAAAAAATAAAATACTAAATCAAAAAGGCGAAACAAATTTCGCATTTGGGCCAAAAAGCGAAATGCGGAATGCGAAACTTTTCGAGCCAAAAAATGTGAAAAATGCGAAAGATGCGAAACGCGAAAATGCGCAATCGCCCAGCCCTGATCCACACCCCCTTCAATCCACTAGCCCTTCCCTTCTATCCACCACTTTCTTCCCTTCTATCCACTAACCCTTCCGTTAACTATCCTAAATTAATCTTGACTTTGAAAATTTATTTTCCTGTCCTATTCTTCTATTTTTCTCTATGGTCTTTTAATTTTAAAAAAATTTTTAAGCTTAAAATCTTCAGTAAAAATAATTTTTGTTCAATTTTAAGCTCTGTGCAAAAGTCTTTTTGGCCTGTTTTGAAGATAACAGTCAAGTAGAATTATTTGTTAATCAAGTACCACAATCCGAAACAGATTATCATTCTGTTATTAATCACCCAATATGGCTACAAAGAATTGGGGAAAAAATTAATTTTAAATCTTATACAAATGTTTCCAAATTTTTGGATGATATGAATTTGTTATTTCAGAATTTTTCTACCTTTAATTCGGTGAATTTTTAAAAAAATTTTTTGAAGGGAAGGGAAAAAATTTAAAAAATAAAGGGACACGGCTAGGGTTAAGGTGTCTTGGAATTTTTTTGGTTCTACTTGACTTTATGAGTCCAATCGAACTTTATGAGTCCAATCGAAGTTTATGAGTCCAATCGAACTTTATGAGTCCAAATAAAACTTTATGAGTCCAATCAAGATTTATGAGTCCAAACAAAACTTTATGAGTCCAATCAAAATTTATGAGTCCAAACAAATTTCATAAATCCGACATGTCTTATTATTTTAAGTAAAAATTGTGGCTCTACTACATTTATGATTGCTATCACTATTTATGAGTCCAATCAGATTTTTGTGAGCTACGAGGGTAGGTCGTCAGATCAAGGCTGGTGATGAAAAAAGGGATAGGTTTATGTTGCCGACCCAGAACCCAGCGACCGTTGACTCCCGCGAGGCGCGTGCCGCAAAACCCCGCGCGAAGCGCGGGGTTTTAGTTCGATTGGACTAAAGTTCGATTGGACTCATAAACTTCGATTGGACTCATAAAGTTCGATTGGACTCATAAAGTCAAGTAGAACCATTTTTTTTTGAAAATTTAGTATCACATATGGGAAAACCTCATATATGGGATTCTGGCCTTCAATACGGTCGGACTACACTTAGAACTCATATATTGATTCTTATTGAAAAATTTTTTTGAAGGGAAGGAAGGGAATTTTTTTGAAGGGAAGGCTCTTATTTAATGCCTAACATACACCTTATGTTAATTAGATTACGACAAAGTACATTCCCGGGATCCCGGAACTGGATTTAATTTCAGAATGTTAACCGGGACGGGATCCTTCGACATTCTTAATAAAATTTTCTCTTAATTGTATGGGTGAGATTCCAAGTGTCATTTTTAAGCCTGCACCACTTTTGCGGGAAATAATACGGGGAAATGTTTAAAAAAAATTAATTTTAACAATTTAGCCTAGCGATCCATTAGCTACAAAAGGTAAAAGTGTTTATACACGATATATCCAAGCTGTCAAAAAATTTATGCCTTTTTATCAAAAACAAATTTGGATTTATGTTTCTTTATATTCTACTCGTTTTAATTCAACACAAGCAACAACTTCTTCCTCTCTCAATTTGCCTATGGTAAAAAATTTAAAAAAATTTTCAAATTTTCGAAAGATTTCAAAATTAAGGAAAATTTGGTACTTTATGGCTATCTCCTACCATTTTTCTTTTTTACCGAATTTAATCGTTTATAACTTTTTTATGCTTGATTCATTCCGAATGAATCTTATATCGTTCGAAAGCCCTCACTCATTGCTATCTTTTTCCCAACTGAATAGATCAAGTATGATCGCCTATTAAAAAGTTACAAGTCAATAATAGTGAAAAACAACGATTCCTTGCACTTATCGACATGTATCTTTTTCTTGCGTGATCAGACTTGATCCATCCAGTTAGATAAAAAATAGTGCCTATCGAGGGCTTTTGAATGATATGAAATTTATTCGGATTGGATCAGGCATAAAAAAGTTGTAACCGATCAAATTTAGTAAAAAGGAAGATGGTGGGAGATAACCGAAAAGAACCGAAAAATTTCAAAAAAAAAAATTTTCTTCAAATTTATACAATTTCAAAAAAAAATTTTCTTCAAATTTATACAATTTCAAAAAAAAATTCAAAAAAAAGATTTTTCTTAATTAAGGAGGAAGACAATGTCGAGCATAATAACCGTAATCGTTTAATAGTAAAAGGAACTACTGTTGGGCGTAAGCGTGGTGGTTCAAAAGCAAAATCCCAGACTCCAGCTTGATTCTTTTAAAAAGAAATAATTTAATTTTAGAAAAATATTATATGTAACACTTTAAATGCCTCATATCTCCCCTCCCCCTCTCTAATTTCCCAAAAAAATATTTTTCAAAAAAAATTTTTTTTAATAGGCTTGTAATAGATAAAAAAAAGTTTGGAGAGAAAAAAGCTTAAATAATTGTGGTGGTTTCTTAGCCCAACAGAAAAAAAAAATTTTTTTTTTCATTTTAAGATGCAAATAGTCAAAAATTTCACGGGTTAAGTCAGTTAATTGATGAAAAATTAAATAAAATTTTTCTTTTTGGATTCAAATGATAAGAATACATATTACTTAAAATTCCTTAATTTCTCGGATATAATTCCCTAGCATTTTCAATTTCTGATTTTGGGAATATTTAGTTGGCTAAACACCTCTAGAGTTCATCTATGAGCCTCGGGATGGGCCTTGGAATAAAAAAAGAACGTTGGGTAGAATTTTGGATAGAAGAATTGATCGGGTGTCCCTTTCAGGTATCGGATAACTCGATACCTCCTCTTGGTTTTCCTACCTATTACGAGCCTATCTTTTAAATACTTATTTGTTATTTCGTGTAATTTATTGTCTTAAAAGTATATTATAAAATTGCATTTTAGTTTTTTTATTTAAATTTATTTTAATTGTTACGATATAAATGATTACCTAATCTTTGTTTGTTTTACTTAATACATACATATATTAAATTTTAATTTTTCCTGAACAGAGATATAGAATTCGGATCGAATTTTGGAAGATTTCTTGGATCGGCGTCGGATACCACTGCCATCCCTGTTTTGAAAGTGGTTGTCCATGAATATTTTTTATCCGCAAATATTTTTCTCCGCAAATTTTTTGTCCGCAAATGTTCAACGGCAAAAATATTTTGTCCGCAAATGTTCGTCGGCAAATATTTTTAGTCCGCAAATGTCTGTCCGCAAATATTTTTTTGTCCGCAAAAATATTTTTTGTCCGTAAATCTATCCGCAAAATTTGTCCGCAAATACTAGGTCGTTTCATAAAAAAGTTCGTTTTTTTTCACCGCATGTTTTTTGAGTGTTAACTATTTTTATGCTATTTTATTTTTACCATATTTTGTAGCCCAAAGTCTTAGCTTCATAATGATACTAAAATTTTAAAAATAGAAATGACCAAAAAATTTTTATGCCTTCAGAAGTGAGCGTGGGTAGGGGTTTTATTTGGGAGCATTTACACATCCCATTAAAACAAAGTAATAATGTAAAGCTGGAAGCAAGAAAAACTAATGAAACGTTAGGCAGGGATGTGGTCTAGCCTTTTGCAGCTCAAAAATTTTTGAAAAAATTTTGTTCAGGGAGCGGCAGGACCAACCACAAACATGGGTCGTGAAGACGACCGACTGTAAACAAACGCGTCCTTACTCTCCGGTTATAAAAATATCCGGATAATTTTTTATTAGAATTGTAGAGGGGGCATTGCTCTATAAGTACAATATGGCAATTGTTCGAAAAAACGGATCGCAAGCCGAGGAGGACAAAAAGAGTAATGCACCAACCGACTAAGAGACAAAAATAACGAGGACTTTTTCTTTGCCTTTCAAGCCTGGATAACAATCGGAAGGGTTATTCATGGAACCGGATTGTTACCTAATTTGAAACAAATACTAATTACGATAATAATACACAAAAAATTGTTTGGAAGAAAAAACATTAAGACCCTCTTTTGGTCCCCCGCCCAACCAACTACCCAAAAAACGTATGTTGTGTATTCTTTTGGACGGTGCTCGGTCCGTTGGTGTCGGAGGTACTTCAACTTGGTACCATTACAAACTTTAACATGCATATTAACTAATTTACCCAGGAAGATTTCGTTTGTTACCTTCAACGTCGCTAGGGACTGCTTACTAGACCTCTGGTTTTCCATTAAAATAGCGCCCCTTTACACCGCTCATTTTTGACGACCTGCCATACCCCAAATAAACTTTGTTGGAAAGTGTTACCCCACCCCCCTTGTAGCCCTGAGTCTGCTCTATCAGATTAACATCATTTCACTTCTTTAAAAAATTTTTTACGGGACGGGCACTTGAAAGAAGACGCTAAGGTCGAGACTGCGGTGGGAAAGAGAGTGCTTCAGAAATGGGGTCAGATTTTTTTAAAAAGGGGTATCCACAAACTTTTTTCTGTATTAAATATGTTGTCAAGACTCGGGGCAATTATTTAGTACAGTTAGATTTTTTATCTGTTTGAGTTTTCTTGAAATTTACCGATTTTTCTTGGAAAATTTATTTTGGAAAAAAACGAACTTTTTTATGAAACGACCTAGTAATAGGTGAATACATCAAAATTTAAAAATATCATTTATACCACCATATATTAAATACCCACACAATTAAAAAAAAGAAAATTAATTTAAAAAGTTCACACCGAGAATTAAATAAATTTCCACACCTCGTATCACAGTTTAATTAAAGCCAAAGGTAATTTGAAAAAAAATTATTTAATAAAAAAAATTATTTCCCCCTCATCATTCTCTTATTTTTAAAAACACTTCTTTGGTGTTACATTGGGTAATTCAGTCGAATTAAATTTTATTTGATCGTTAAATATTTGAAGGAAATCCATTACGGTGCCAATAGACCAGCCAAAGCCGAGCTGAAATTTTAAATTTTGTCCGCAAATATTTTTTGTCCGCAAATATTTTTTTTGTCGCAAATGTCTGTCCGCAACTGTTTGCCAGCACATTTTTTTGTCCGCAAATGTTCGTCCGCAAAAATATTTTTTTGTCCGCAAATATTAATTTGTCCGCAAATGTTTGTCCGCAATTAATTTTTTGTCCGCAAAAATAGTCCGCAAATATAAATTTGTCCGCAACTTTTATTAATTTAAAATTCAATTTTAATCACCTGAGGTACATATTCACCACCCTTTCCACTTGTCCCCGTAGCCGACAATTTTTCCCACATTGGTTTTTCGATACATTGGGAATATAGACGGTAATTTGCTATAATCCATTTCTTAGCCAAATATAAAGCTTCTTGTTTAAGACTTAAAAATTAAAAAATTTTTGCTTTATTTAATTTCAAAAGACTTTTCCTTGCCAGAATTGAACAATCCAAGAACTACCATATGTTCGTGGTTCTAAATAAAATATTATATATTAAGTAAAAAAAATTTTTTTATTTAAAAAAAGTTTTTTTTATTTTTAAGAATTTTTTTTACCGGCCATATGTTATGAGCATCCCATTGTAGGCCGCTGTCTACAGTACTAAAAATTTTTTTTTATTTTTAAAAAATAATTTGACACTAATTCAGTTTGTGTGCCCATTGGAGACTATGAGAATTTTCAGAAAAAATCAGAATTTTTTAGAACCAGAATTTTCAGAAAAAATCAGAATTTTCAGAAAAATCAGAATTTTTTAGAACCAGAATTTTCAGAAAAAATCAGAATTTTCAGAAAAAATCAGAATTTTCAGAAAAATCAGAATTTTTTAGAACCAGAATTTTCAGAAAAAATCAGAATTTTCAGAAAAATCAGAATTTTTTAGAACCAGAATTTTCAGAAAAAATCAGAATTTTCAGAAAAAATCAGAATTTTCAGAAAAATCAGAATTTTTTAGAACCAGAATTTTCAGAAAAAATCAGAATTTTCAGAAAAATCAGAATTTTTTAGAACCAGAATTTTCAGAAAAAATCAGAATTTTCAGAAAAAATCAGAATTTTTTAGAACCAGAATTTTCAGAAAAAATCAGAATTTTTTTTTTTGAGGAATCAGACCCATTCGCTGTCTTTTACTTCGAAAATTTTTTTAACCCCACCTGACTTGGACTCCATAATAATCTTCAGCCCCTTTAGCCTTTTCAAATGCCCCATAATTTTTCATTGTATTATAAATTCGTTCGGCGACACTAGGTTTTTCTGAAGTGTCATAACATTGAGTGAAGAGAGGAACAGCCATTGATGAATAAAAATTAATATTATTTTCTTTTGTTTCCAAATTATAATCATACCTTTAGGAAGGATTAAAGATAAAATTTTTGATTAGATTTTATAATTACCAGCCATATTTATTTTCTTCTTTATCGTATAGAAAAACGTTTCTAAAGTCTGCGCGGAGTTTTAAATAGAGCTTTTTGTAATGGTTAGCCTTTTTCTTTTTTCCTGGAAAATCAGAATTATTAAAAAAGCAGAATCAGAATTTTTTGAGAAATCAGAATTTTCTGAGAAAATCAGAATTTAACAGAAAAATCGGAATCACAATTTTTTAAAAATCAGAAAATTTTAAAAATCAGAATTTTTTAAAAATTGGAATTTTTTAAAAATCAGAATTTATAAAAAATCAGAATTTCTTAAAAATCAGAATTTTTTAAAAATCAGAATTTTTTAAAAATTTTTTAAAAATCAAAATTTTTTGAGAAATCAGAAGTTTTTAAAAATCAGAATTTATAAAAAAATCAGAATTTCTTAAAAATCAGAATTTCTTAAAAATCAGAATTTTTAAAAATTGGAATTTTTAAAAATCAAAATTTTTTGAGAAATCAGAAGTTTTTAAAAATCAGAATTTATAAAAAATCAAAATTTCTTAAAAATCAGAATTTTTTGAGAAATCAGAAGTTTTTAAAAATCAGAATTTATAAAAAAATCAGAATTTTTTGAAAATCAGAATATTTTAAAAATCAGAATTTTTTAAAAATCAGAATTTAAATAAAATCAGAATTTTTTGAGAAATCAGAATTTTTTGAGAAATCAGAAGTTTTTAAAAATCAGAATTTATAAAAAATCAGAATTTTTTGAGAAATCAGAATTTTTTAAAAATCAGAATTATTTTTTAAAATAAAATCAGACCCAAAGCAGTAAATAATTCTGAAAGGATTCGATAGTTCCCACAAATAAAAGCATTCAAATCGTACGGAACTATTGATGTTGTAATTATTTCTTCCAATTTGGGCTGTTCAGGATTGCGCATCCATCGAGCTAAATAAATAAAAATAATTAAGAGTTGATAAATCAGAATATTTTTGAAAAATGGCAAAATTAAAATCAGAATAAGTTCTGATTTTGAATTTATTCTGAAAATTATTAAAATAAAATCAGAACATTTCTGATAAAATCAGAACAAATTTCAGAATAAATTTCAGAACATTTAATAATAAAATCAGAATAAGTCCTCTGATTTTGAATTTATTCTGAAAATTGTCAGAATAGAATCAGAAATGTTCTGACTAATCAGAATAAATTTCCCCTCTTCCAGCTTACAGCTAAAATCCATCCCCGATTCCGCTGCAGATGCCAAATTCTGCCAAAGTTTTGCTTTATTTGCCTCTTTGCTATTAATTGCTGTTATAACGTCTGCGCAAAAAGATTCTGGTCTTGGAACGGTACTTTCAGTTCTGTATTGATACATTGTAAAATTTCTACAGCCTTTTTTGAACTCTACAGAACGATTGACTGTCCAAAATTCTAACTCCTAAATTATAATCATAATCTTTATCCTGTCTTTATCCTGAGAATTATTTTTTTAAAGATTAGAATTTTAAATGTCAGAATTTTTAATGTCAGAATTTATAAAAATCAGAATTTATAAAATCAGAATTAATAAAATCAGAATTTTAAATATCAGAACTTTAAATGTCAGAATTTATAAAGATTAGAATTTAAATGTCAGAATTTATAAAAATCAGAATTTCCAAAATCAGAATTTTAAATATCAGAATTTTTGAAATCAGAATTTCTAAAATCAGAATTTTTGAAATCAGAATTTTAAAAATCAGAATTTCCAAAATCAGAATTTTTAAAATCAGAATTTATAAAAATCAGAATTTATAAAATCAGAATTTATAAAATCAGAATTTATAAAATCAGAATTTTAAATATCAGAATTTTAAATGTCAGAATTTATAAAAATCAGAATTTCCAAAATCAGAATTCATAAAATCAGAATTTTTGAAATCAGAATTTATAAATTCAGAATTTTTACATAATAATTCTGATTTATTAAAAACCATAATTCTGCCTTTAAAATCAGAATTTAATTAAAATATAAATCAGAATTTTAATTATATCAAATCAGAATTATCCAAAATATAAAATAAAATTCTGATTTAAACGCAATAAAGGATAAATCAGAATTTATATTTATTTTTTAATACCTTCTCCATAATAGGAATTATATCATTCAGAAATTCTTTGTCTTTTGTATATTTGTAATATTCATTTACCATTGGGGTAAAAAGTGGGGGTTGTGAACGCATATTGTAATAAATACGACCTGTTAATTGAAAATTTTTTAATGTTTTTAATTTAAATTTTCTGAATTTTTGAAAATCAGAATTTCTGAAAATCAAAATTCCAAAAATCAAAATTTTTGAAAATCAGAATTTTTAAAATCAGAATTTTTGAAAATCAGAATTTTTAAAATCAGAATTTTTGAAAATCAGAATTTTTGAAAATCAGAATTTCTGAAAATCAAAATTCCAAAAATCAAAATTTTTGAAAATCAGAATTTTTAAAATCAGAATTTTTGAAAATCAGAATTTTTAAAAATCAGAATTTTTAAAATCAGAATTTTTGAAAATCAGAATTTTTTAAAATCAGAATTTTTTAAAATCAGAATTTTTTAAATCAGAATTTTTAAAATCAGAATTAAAAAATTACCCCCATTATTAATAAATCCATGATTTTTAATTAACACCACAAAATTTTCCAGCATTCCTTTCACAAGTTCAGGCAATTCTTTTTAAAAATAATTTAAATATTTTGTTAAAAATTACCAGAAGCTAGCAATCCTTTAATCGTCCAATAACTATCCCAATAATAAACTTCTCGAAAACGACTGCCTGGCCTAATGCTTGGATTGGGCAAGTAGATGAGGGAATTGTGTGTTGGATTATTTGCCTTTAAGAAAAATATTTTGGGTTTGGAAATGAAAAAAATTTTTAAGATTTTTAAAATCAGAATTTTTTAAAAATCAGAATTAAAAAAATTTTTTTTTGAAAAAAAAATTTTTTTGAAAAAAAATTTTTGAAATTTTAATTTTTTTTGCATTAAAAAAAATTTTTTTTAATTTTCCAAAAATTAAAAAAAAATGGTACTTTTCCGTTATGACGTAATATTCTAAATTAATGGTCAAAATGTCATATATAGGGTAGAAAAATGTGCCGAGTCGAACGGTACCACTCTTTTTTCCCGGAGATGCATGTGGATCGAGATATAGGGCTCGAAATGGTCAAATTTGTGGGGAGATTTTAGGGGTGAAAAATTCGATTTTGCAAATGATAGCTCATTCGAAAGAGCTCCTCGAGCTGAGTCGAATGACATTAAAATCAACGCGATTTAACAAGTTAGAACAAAGTTATGATCGTTTGTTTTAGCTTCTTACCTATGGCACCATGGGGTTCTCGCTGCTGGGAGCATGACCACCGAGCATGCCCACCTCATCTATGATAGGAATAGGATTATGTTACGAGCCAAGAACCCAGCGACCGTAGACTCCCCGCGAGGCGCGTGCCGCAAAACCCCGAGCGAAGCGTGGGGTTTTGCACAAGCGCCTCGCCTACGCTCCATAGGTTTACGTTGACCATTTTGAACCTGTTTATCTTGGCTCATAATAAAGATCTCGAGCTGATTTTTGTGTCATTCGACTCAGCTCGACGCGCGCTTTCGAATGAGCTATCATTCGAAAAATTAAATTTTTCACCCCTAAAATCTCCCCACAAATTTGACCATTTCGAGCTCTATATCTCGGTCCACAAGCATCTCCGTGAAGAAAGAGTGGTACCGTTCGACTCAGCACCTTTTTCTACTCTATATATGACATTTTGATCATAAATTTAGAATATTACGTCATAACGGAAAAGTACCAAAAAAATATTACATCAGCCGGAATTTGAATACAAAGTTCCTTCCACCTTTCATTCAATTCAAAAGCCCATTCCCGCATTTTATCGTCTTTTATCTTAGCCAATGTTGGAGGCTTTGATTGGAAGTTTGATATGTTTTTACAACTTTAATTATTGCAAAAATATTTTTAAAAATTTCCAGAATTTTTTAAATATTCTTATGACTTGCAAAATCATATTTTTACCACCTCTATATAAGACACGCCCAATATAAGGTAAAAACCTCCATTTAGAATTTTTTAAATCCCCCCACAAGTTTTTTCGCTTGTAAGCAGTCAAACAGACTCTAAAAAAGATGTCTCTTAAATAGAAGTGTGTCTCTTATATCAAGTTATCTTATAAGGAGGTTCTGACTTTATTTAATCTCCATACTCTCTCCCAACCAGAGGTGAATCGGAAATGACAAAGTTGCCGAGAATCGGGACTATTGGAAATCATAAATCAGCCTAAATGTTCGGAAATTGGAAGTCGGAAATCGGAATTCCGATTCAACTCTCCTCCCAACCTTTGCAAAGCTGTAGTATTCGACATTGGATCATCAAAATATTCATTCATAAAATTTTGTAATTTGTCTCTATCCATGTCTTTTACTTTAACACTCTTCGGAAACATTTCGTCAAATTTTTGTTGTACTACAGAAGCTTCTAATTTTGTTGGTTGGTCCACAAAATATTTTGAATCATTTCCAACTAGTATTTGATGGTAGTTGACGGCCTTAATTTAAATTATTAAAACTTTTTAATGGCAGTCCCTAAAGGAGACGTAAAAAGGACATTATTGTATTTTCCTTCCGGAATAATACAATAATGTATTTGAGAATACTTATAATTACAACCGTAGAGAAATAATTATTTTACAACCGGAAATAGTAATATTACTATTCCAACCGGAAAATACTTATTATACCGGAAAAATACGCCGGAAAAGAATAATTAATATTACATCCGGAAAATACAACCGGAATATGCAACCGGAAAATACTTAGTATTAAAAATATAACTTTCCGGAAAATACAATTAATATTACAACCGGAAAAGAAATATAGTTCTTTCCGGAAAATACAATTATTTTTCAACCGGAAAAGTGTAATTAATATTACAACCGGAAAACAATTTTTAAGAATAATTATTTCTTTCCGGTTGTGATTGTATATTATTCCTTCCGGAAAATATTTATTATTATTATATCCGGAAAGATAATACTACAACCGGAACAAATAATTATTTCTTCCGGTTGTAATTTATATTACTCTAACCGGAAAGTATTAGGAATATTCCTTCCGGAAAATACAATTATTATTATAACCGGAAAACTTAAATTACAATTTCACCTGAATAATCCTTCCACTACAATAAATAAAATAATTCCCAGGAGCATTAGATTTATCGCAAGTAGGGACTAGTTCATCCTCATTAATATTTAAAGATTCAAAATCACATTTAATATCTTGACCAAAAGAGGAGGGGAGGGAAAATAGAAGGAAATTTAATAAAATTAATTTTAAATATTTTTCATTATTTTTAATTTTATTTTTTTGAAATTTTAACATGGAAATTTATTAAATTCCTTAAAATTAAAAGAAAAATTATTATTTTATTTTTAAAATTATTATTTTATTTTTTAAATTATTTTTAATTTTTTAAAATTATTTTTAATTTTTTAAATTATTTTTATTTATAAAACACGAAGCAGTCAGTTCCTGCTTAGTTAAGTCCCGACCCTACACCTCATGAAGGGATGGTCACAGGGAGAAGAGGACTCTTTTGATCTTATTAAAGATCGGACCGAGAAGAGATCTTGATCAAAAATCTCGGTTATCGAGATCGAGATTTTTTTCGAGATCGCGAATTCCTCGAGATTCCGGCCTCTATACCTTATAAAGCAATGAAAAAATAAAATTTGGCTAATTAATGACATTTGGTCCCAATTTTCAATTTAAATGACATTTGGTCCCAATTTTCAATTTAAATGACATTTGATCCCAATTTTCAATTTAAATGACATTTCGTCCCAACCACAAAATAAAATAAAAAGGGGCTAGTTTAAAGGTTATTATGGTTAATATCTTTGTTAATTAAACAAAAGAAAAGAGAAATAAAATATTTTTGTAAATTATCAGTGAATGGAGGAATTAAATATAATTAAAACATTCCTCTATTCGCTTAATAAAATAAATTTAAAAAATAAAAAATTTTTTTTCAAATAAAATTTTTTTTTATATTTATATTGAAGGTTTTTAAACAAAAAGAAAGATTATTGAACAAATAATAGATAAGCAAAAAGAATTTTTTTTATTAAAATTGGCAAACATTGTAAAATACCTGGGTAGAGGTATAATGCTTAGTAAGAGTGTGACTTTTTAATATTAATAAAAATTTTCTTTATTAATTTTTTTATTTTATTAGACATATTAAGGAATTTTTTGAATAGAAAAAATTTAATAAAAAATGTCCTTTCGAAAAAATTTCAAGAAATGAATAAAATAAGGAATGTGTCTGGGTACGTGTACCTTAGCTGCTTCTACCCCCATAACTCAGCGAATACTAAACCTTTCTAGACAAATTTAATACCAGCTGATAGAGAATTAAAGTAGCTTCAAAATGATATCTAAAGCAAAAATTTTGATCAAATAGAAAAAAAGTTGTGGCCAAAAAACTAACATAATACCTCAATTTTAACTAAAAATGTCACTTATAAAAAATGTTAATAAAAAAGTTTTCATTTTTTATTAATTTTTTATTTTATCAGAAATATTAAGGAATTTTTTGGATAGAAAAAATTAAATAAAAAATGTCCTTTTGAAAAAATTTCAAGAAATAAATTAAATAAGGAATGTGTCTGGGTACGTGTACCATCGATGCTTCTACCCCCATAGCTCAGCGAATATTAAACTTGTCTAGACAAATTTAATACCAGCTGATAGAGAATTAAAATAGCTTCAAAATGATATCTAAAACAAAAATTTTGGCTGAATAGAAAAATAGTTGTGGCCAAAAAACTAACAGAAGTCCTCAATTTTACCTAGAAATGTCACTTATTTTAATAAAAAAGTTTTTATTTTTTATTTATTTTTTTATTTTATTAGACATATTGAGGAATTTTTTGAATGGAAAAAATTAAATAAAAAATGTCCTTCTAAAAAATTTCAAGAAATAATTAAATAAGGAATGTGTCTGGGTACGCGTACCTTAGCTGCTTCTACCCACATAACTCAGCGAATATTAAACCATTTTTGATAATCTTAGTATCAATTGATAGAGAATTAAACCAGCTTCAAAGTGATATCTAAAGTAAAAATTTTGATCAAATAGAAAAAAAGTTGTGGCCAAAAAACTAAAAGAAATCTTCAATTTCAACTAAAAATGTCACTTATTTATTTAAAAAAATGTTAATAAAAAAGTTTTCATTTTTTATTTATTAATTTTTCTATTTTATTAAACATATTAAGGAATTTTTTGAATAGAAAAAATTAAACAAAAAATGCCCTTTTGAAGAAATTTTAAGAAATGAATTAAGCTGATAGAGAATTAAAATAGCTTCAAAATGGTATCTAAAGCAAAAATTTTGATTGAACAGAAAAAAAGTTGTGGCCAAAAGACTAACATAATACCTCAATTTTACCCAAAAAAGTCACTTATTTCTACATAACTATTTTTCTCTTTGATCTAAAATGTTAATTAAAATTGTATTTTGTAGCCAATTTAATTCTCTATTTAATGAAATAAAAATAAAAAAATTAAAATGTTTGTTTACCAGGTAAAATTTGAAATAACGTGAGGTATATTAAGCAAAAAAAAATTTTTTGAAGGACTTGTTTAAAAAAAATTTTTTTTCAAATGTTAACCAACTCAAATAAAGACGACAATTTTTAACAAAAAAGATTTTTAAAATTACTCAAATTTAAAAAAAGTTGAATTAAAAAATAGAGAAAACAAACAATAAAACATAAATCAACAGAGGAGAGAAAAGAGAAATATAAGGCAAAAAGAAGAGAGACAGAACAATAAAAAAATTATTTTAGAAAAAAAGATAATGATGCGTGTGGGAGAATTATCGAACTTTTTTAAAAATTATTTTAAATAAATTTATTAAAAAAATTTATTTTTAAGGAACACGTGATTTTTTAAATAATTTTTCTAAAATTGTTTCGAATATTTTTAAAATAATTTTTTAATAATTAGTGAACTAAAAATAATTTTTTTTAATCTCCATACATTTTTAATCTTTGAATTTATTCGCCATACATATTTTTGATTGTTTAAAGATTAAATATATCTATTTGGATTTTTCCTCTTTCAGTGTTTTTTATTATGTAAAATCCGCCCTCTATTTTACTCTCGAACCCGAAAAATTAGTCTCTTATAAAAAGGTGTTCATTACATAGGAGGCGAGATCTATATAGAGATCTATATAGATCTATGTCTATAGTTTTTGGATTTAGGGCGAGATCTATATAGGCGCCATCAAAAACTATGAAAAAAATCTAATTTAGAAAGTCGCTAATAACGAGAGTCGTTAAAAAAGAATTTTTTGAATTTTGGAGTAACACGCTCGCTCCTAGAGGAGCAGGGCTGGGGGTCTTCGACTCGGGTCGACGTTGAAGTCATTTTTGGGCCGGCCCGACCGAGTTTTTTTGGCCAAAAAAAAAAACAAAAAAACTCGATCTTTCTTTCGGACCGGGCCGGATCGGGCCCCCCAGCTCTATTGAGGAGCACCAGCTTGCTCCTCAATCCACCCAGTACCACTCATTTCTAGTTAATATTTGCCAACATTTTTATATCTAAATTAAATAAAGTTTAGAATATACTTATAATTTACGTAGAAGAGATTTAAATAAATAAAAAAAATTTTCAAATAAAATAATTATATTTACCTTCGCAACACAAACTTACTTATATTTATGTCCCCCCTCCCATACCATCAACCCGCCTACTCTTCGGTATAAAATTACCTATTTGTACAACTGATTTAAAAATAAAACGTGTTTTTGCCTTCTAATAAGGTATTTTAATACACTCTCTTTTTTAGAAAAAAAAATTTTTTCTAGAAAAAAATTTTCTAGAAAAAAATTTTTTAGGAGGGAAAAATTTTTCTTTGGAGAGAGAAAATAATTTATTTTTCAATGAAAAAATTTTTAAGAGAAAAATTTTTTTTTAAATTTGCACCAAAATCGAGAGTGGATCAAGGTCTTCTATATTGTAAAAACACAAAAACAAACTACAAACATCCACCTATTTTTCTCTTGGTTCAACTTTTTTTTTCTGCTTGCATGCTCCTTTCATGTGGCCCTTCCTTTTTCTTCCTATCCCCTCAACTCCTCCCAAAAAATTTTTTCTTCAAATTTTTCTAAAATATAATAAATATAAGCTTAGATCAATCCAATATTGTTGCCATATATCCCCAAAGGCTTTCCAAAACAAACACAAAATGATGAATGAATAAAATAGGTGTAACATCCACCTATTTCTCTCTCCCCCCCCCCAAATATACTCTGTTAACTACATTATACTCACCCCCTATTTTTTTGGGGGGTTTCAAGCTAAAAATGGATTGTGGCTTCTACAAACATCTACATACATATTTTTCTTTTGGTTCAACTTTTTTTTTCTTGCTTGCATGCTCCTGTCATGTGGCCCTCCCTTTGTGGCCCTTCCCTTTCCATCCATCTCCTCTCATCCCCCCCCCCCCAAAAAAAATTTTTTTTTCTTTAAAAGTTTTCCAAATATACACAAACCACAAGCTTAGATTAATTCAAACTATATTCTTGCCAAAATATCCCCAAAGCCTTTCTAAAACAAACAAAAAATAATGAGTAAAATAGGCAGCTTGCTCCCCCTACCCCCCCCCCCTCACTTAATCGTGTAAACAAAAAAAATTTTTTTTCTAAACAATTTTAAATTTTATTTTATAACCTTTGATCTATTTTCTAATTATTTTTGGTATCTCTCTTTTAATTTAAAAAAAAGAAAAAAAAGAAATTTTAAATAAAATACGTATTTTTCATTATTGAAACAACTGGAAGATTTACGTTATTTTTTAAAAAAGAATTAAATTTAAAAATTAAAAAAAAATTTTTTAATTTAAAAATTAAATTATTTAGAGGTTCCAGAAAAATAAAAAATTAGAAAAAAATCTTCTATAAACAATTTTTTTAAGGAATATTTAAAAATTGTAATTAAATATTCATTTAAACAACAATGTTTAGGCCAGCTAGAGGTGTTTGGGCGCGATATTATTACGGCGCGCTATAATTTATTTTTTAAAAAATTAACTGATTTAATACTCTAAATTTTGCCAAAAATTTTTTTGAAAGTGTTTTCTAACCTTTCTAAAATTTTCAGAATTTTTTATTTGAAATTTTCCGAGTTATGACCGAAAACCCCCTAAAAAGAGACATTTTTCCATAATTCTACGACATTTAAGACCATAACTTTTGAAATTTACAAAGAAAAATTCTGAAATTTGCAACCAATGTAGTTCAGGCTATCTTCTATATTCCTGCAAAATTTCAAAATTTTAGGTTGTCTACCGAAAATTTTATTCAAGCCCGCGCCGTAACGACTGCTGCGCCGAAACATGCCAACATATTTACAATATTTCCATTTTTTAAATTTTTATTCGTCTTCATCTTCTTCACTACTCTCATTTCTTCTATAAAAATATCTTAATATTTTTATTTTTAAAAATCACCAGCCACGGTTAGTTCATGTGCAAGTTTTCGTACCGGAGGTAAATTAAATTACCCAGCAATTATTATTTACAGTTATAATTTTTTAAAATTTAAAAAAAAAAATAATTTTTAACCTAATACACAAAATTCTACTAGTTTTTAAACTAATTGGAAGATTTGCCATTTTTTTAAAACACAAATAAGTTTAAAATACAAATTTAATAATTTACAAAAAAATATTATGTACTACATTCAATAATAAAATTTATTTAGAGGTTGCATGGAAATAAAAAAAGGGGGAAAATATATTTTTTAAATAAATTTTATTTTTGGAATATTACAAAATTTATTATTAAATATGTATACATAGATATATTTACATAAATAAATAAATGTGTATTTACAATCAGAATATTTTTACGTTTATAAAATAACTAGGGTTGTGGGGAAGGGGGGGGGGAATTCTGAAAGAACCGGGCCTCGAATTTTGGCCCGGAAAAGACTCGAACGGTCTGGTTCGATAAAAATGAGGCACGAAAAATGACTCGAACGTCGGCCTGGTTCGAAAAATCAAACCCTAAAAATACCCCTCTAAAATAGATGTTTTGAAGGGTAGATCGGTCCGTTACGGCGCGCTATAATTTGTTTGAAAAAAAGTTACGGAACTTATTACTCTAAATTTTGCCAAAAAATTTTTTTTAAAGTATTTTCTAACACCTCTAAAAATTTCAAAATTTTTGGGTTGAAATTTTTCGAGTTATGGTCGGAAAACTTCAAAAAAGAGCCATTTTTCTACAATTCTACTACATTTAAGACCATAACTTTTGAAATAAACATTGTAAATTTCCGAAATTTGGAAGGAATATAGATAAGACTATCCTCAATATTCCTGCAAAATTTCAAAATTTTAGGATGTCTATGGAAAATTTTATTTACGCCCGCGCCGTAACATTGCCGCGCCGAAACAGCCAACATATTTACAATTTTTCCGTTTTTTAAATTTTTATTCGTCTTCATTTTCGTCCCTCTCTTCATTTCTTCTATAAAAATATTTAGAAATTAAATCCTCTAATGTTTCAGGCAAGTTCCACTCATTTAACTCTTCCACTACCTTCTCCTCACAATTTAATTTTCCTTTATTAATTAATTCATTAACAACCGCCTCTAGTTTATAAAATTTAGCAAAGCGACTATATCCAACTAACAATTTTGCTATTGTTAAATTGACATTTCTTATCCACTGGTCAATTTTTGGAAGTTGATAATAGGCGTATTTGGCTTCATATACAACACTATTTACCTTAAAATCAAATCTTTAGGTTGAGGTTTAGAGGTCCTAACAAAGGTATCCCTGCATGTGTCCAGATTTTAAGCCCGTCTTTTAGATAGGTAATAGATCGGGCACCGAGCAGGCATCGATCCAGCGACCTTTGCTAGGCAGACTTCAGGGCTTAGACTTCAGGGCTTAGACTTCAAGGTTAGACTTCAAGGTCTAGACCCTGACAAGGTTCAGACGTCCTAACAAAGGTATCCCCTCATATATCCAGAATTTGAGCCCCTTTTTTAGGCAATAGATCAGGCACCGAGCAGGTTCAATGAGCGGCCTTAACATCGTTCCTGCAACCTCTAAGCAGTATTGCTAGACAGACTTTAAGTCTTAGACCCCAACAATGTTCAGACGTCCTAACAAAAGAACCCCTTCTCATATGACCAGACTTCGAGCTTATCTTAAGGATGTGTAATAGATTAGGGTAGGTTTATTTGTAAATCTTCCGATAAAAAGTTCATAAAATATAAAAATTTCTTCGGGGCACATAAGTAAAGTTTAATTGAGCTAGCTCCTTATAAGATTCACCGATACAATGGATATACTGTCAAATATCGGTCACTCCTTATGATGTCGTAAGGTCGTTCCTTACGAATTCATAATGCTAGGCATCCAAGATCTTATATCAGTTAAAAGAGTTCCCTCACCCATTGATAAGGTAGAGCTTGATTTTTCTCAATAAAAGCAATTCTCTCCCCCATATTCTCATCCACCTCCCTCAGCTTATTTTTCACCAAATATTCAGTTAGCCAATACAATTTAATATATTCATTAGCTCCTTTATCGAAAGGAATTTTTGATTCCATCCTTCCACACAAAATTTCACAAAAAGTTTTTTTCGGCTTGTAAAACGTTGCTCTATTAAGGTCTCCATCGCTAATGTAGGTTGGTCTCAATATTTCTTTTTTGAGAATAAAATAGATTTCTTTAGCTGCTCCGTTAATAAGATAATAGTTCCGGAGTTTTTGGTATTCTCCCTGAGAAAAAAAATTTTTTTTATTGAAAACTCTCGGGTTACTAAGACCAGATAACTTGTGGGGGGGGGGCTTCTACTAGGGTCAGACATTCCGTCATGTGCCACATCTGAACTCACGATTAAGTGAATTGTCAATACGGTTAGATGTAGTTTAACCGTCCTGTGAATCGTCTATTCCGTGAATTCTATAATCTGCTAGGGTCATATTAAATTTTCTCTCACATAATTATACGGAAGTGGCATTTAAATTCACACCTGCGGATTGTCTTCCATCTGAATTCGCTATTACGTTAACACAAATTTACACAACTTAAGACTTGTTTTATTTTAGAGGTGGGTAACTTGTTAGTTTTCAATATTCACGGAATAGACAATTCACAGAATAGGCTCATTTCGGTAATTGTCTATTCCGTAAATTTTACAATTTTGTGAATTTTACATAATTGGTAGGTTTTTTAAATATTCCCCTCCCCCTCCCAAAAACAAAAATTACAACCTAAAAAATAAAAAAAATTTTTTTAAAGACTTGCCGACATTTCATCATCTATTTCCCTCTCATTAACAGATTTAAACGCTAATTCCTTAATCATGCCCTCAAAGGCGTTTTCATTTTTTTCTAAACAAATATTCAATTGAGTAAATTCCTTGGCTATTCCATTTGTTAATATTTCTATTTTTAATTTTTTAAATAATTTAACTACTTTGTTCCTCAAATTTTTTTTATTTTTGTTCTGTTGATTATTACGCAAAAATCTTTTTAAAAAATTTAATTTTATTTTTTTATATAAATTTAAAAATTAAATAGGAGGGGGCTATAATAGGAAAGTATTTGAGAATAGGGAATAGTCGTGGATATCAGGGATCTAGCCGACATAAAAATTAATTTCCCAATTTTCGGGAATTCGGAGTCGGGTCGGCTAGATCCCTGGTTGATATGCATTCCTAGAGTAAGGTTGGCGAATCCTGAGAGAACACATCCGATATCCTTATTCAAAAATTATGGATATCCGGATATCCATCCTTATCCCGGAGGCGTTGGAAGCGAGTGGGGTTAATTGAAATTAAGGTTGGTGGATGCTATGAAATCCCCAGATATTCGAACCCGATATCCTTATTCTCTTCGGATATTTAAACTTTTTGGGACCCGGATCCTCCAACCCTACTTCAAATTGGTAATAAATCCCACATGATCCCCCTCTCCTACTAACAAGAGGCGGGTCGGAATTCCGATTTTCGAGCCGGTTCCGATTTCCGACACCTCTGACTATTCCGATCCACCTCTCCGACTAACCAACTAACCCCCCTCCTTTGGACTACTAAATTATTAAAAATAATTAAATTACATATTAATCTCAATAATTAAATTTTCGACTCCCAATTTGTGCCTAACTGTTTCCCTTAATTTATTTTCCAAATAATTCATAGATTCAACAAATTCATTATATCTTCCATATGACAACAAACGACCACGCAGTGCCTAAAAATTAAACTGAAAAATTGTATCTTATAATGAGATGTATCTTAACTAGAGAGTAATTAATTAAGTCAGTTAGCACCCAAAATGGGACTGGGATTAGCAAATTGCATAGGATACTGTTACGACCCGAGGTGTCCGAGATTTAACTAATGCGACGAGCACAATAATAACACTTTATCACAATTAGAAATGAACAATGTGTAGGCGAAGGGAATGGGACAGACGAAGGAGATCAGTGACTAGCCCCGCTAGTATGATCCAACTAGACTGACTTTTTCTCTGGCTTTTATACTAAACACTTTAAGGGCTGACGCCCATACACAACACCTCCCCCCTTGAAAAAAAGGTTCGGCTTTCACTTAAAGCCGAAGCTTTACAACTTTTTAACTTTCACTATAGCTTCCATGCTATTAATACAATTCACTAAGCCAGAGCGTCTAGTCTCTCACTAACACTCAATTAACAACAAAATACAAAAAAATGTGGGATGACAAAAGGGCAAAAACAACAAATTAAAATTACAATACAACAATTACAAAAATCACAAAATTTGTCATCTTATTCCACATTTTTCTTTTGGCGGCGGTAATCTACAGTGCATACAACAGCTCCCATCAAGGCAATCGCACGTCCTGAATTGGTCACACTGTTGATCATCACACTGCTTGTCCATAAGCGTTTCACTTTTATTTTTTTTTTACTTTACTTCACTATTTTACTTTCCTCACTTTTTATTTCACTACCATTTTTCTTCACTTTATATTGCGGCACTACATTCACTTTTCAACACTGTGCCCAATAATTTCACTAAATTGCATCACTATCACTATTTCACGACTTAAATGAAGTCAAACACCACAACACTAACATATAGTTAGTGTGCAGTTCGGTGCCGTTTTCCCGTGTACTTTTAGGATGGCTCGTGGTTTATTACTATCACTTGACTACTACTACTACTAACTAACCACTCAAAGGATGCCTATTACATCCTGCCTCTGTCAAAGACTCAGGTACCGCAACACTTCACTGAACTTACACTAGGTGTAGTCTGGGTTGCTTCACTCACTTGCGCTGGAATACTTCAATCACTAATAATATTCACTTCTCAGCGCCTTGACTCACTACAATTCAATTCACTCACTATTTGGTCTTACCCACCCTTTAGGCTGCCAAATTTATTTTACTCACTTCATTATTTGGTCTTACCCACCCTTTTGGCTGCCAAATTTAACTTTATTCACTAACAATTCAAACTTCATTATTTGGTCTTACCCACCCGTAGGCTGCCAAATTTACACTTTTTCCACTTTTCACTCTTTCAAATTTTCTGGACTTACATTCTCATGAATGCCAGACACTTCAACACTTGATCGGCAAAATCCGCGCACTTTTAGGACCACTAGGCATTTCAGCCTTAAACTAGGCATTTCAGCCTTAAACTTCGACCATTGGCACTCGCACTGAGTCCTTTTTCAGGTCACTACTAACTAACAGGTCCATGCGCACTACAATTTACTCAATTCACTATCAACTCGTGCCGATCACTAGTTACGACGTCTGTCCACTCAAAATCAAAACTCTCACTTCACTAATTGCCAAAGCAATTCACTACACTTCGCCACACTTCACTTTTTGTCGACCGCGCCATTGTTACGACCCGAGGTGTCCGAGATTTAACTAATGCGACGAGCACAATAATAACACTTTATCACAATTAGAAATGAACAATGTGTAGGCGAAGGGAATGGGACAGACGAAGGAGATCAGTGACTAGCCCCGCTAGTATGATCCAACTAGACTGACTTTTTCTCTGGCTTTTATACTAAACACTTTAAGGGCTGACGCCCATACACAACAGATACCCTATAAGATGCCCTCTTAAATGGGTACACCCTAAGGTACCGCAGAACTACATATAACTTCTTCGTTCAAAATAGTCGAATCTGGGACGTCCTTGTATTGTTCGATGCGCCTCGGCAAGATAAGTCGAATCATACCAGGGCGTCCCAGATTTGACAATTTTAAACGAGTTATAGCTCCGCGGTACCTTGGGCTTGCGGTAGGCCAGCTCCCCTTTTAAGAATGGGAGGTGTGAAGCCTGCCTCTTCCCCTCTCTTAAATCTCCCAAACAGAGGGTCTTATACAGAATGTATATAAAATTGGGTGTTTGTGGGTACTCGTCGAGGAAATATGAATAAATAAAAATACCTCATCCCAGGGTTGGATGGAAGTGCTCATTTAGTGATGGACCCTATTCCATCTACCATACAATGAATTTTTCCCCAATATGACCACAATTTTAGGGAAAATTAGGGCCCATTATATTTTTTTAATTTACCTCCAATTTATTATAGATATCATTCCAATAAATCTTTCTATTTTCAAATTCGTATTCCGTTCCCCAATTAGGAGGGGATGCTCCAGGGACAGAATACGAAGTACTTCCTACATTCTCTGAAGGAGAATAAGAAGCCTGTCCATTTCCAGAACAATGGAAATAATCAAGAACATAGCCCTCCTCATCAAAAGGCCAAAAGAAGGGTTGGGGGTTAATTAAATTAATTAGGGGGGATAATAAAAAAATTAATTTGAGGGGCATTTGGGAGTTTAAAAATTAAAAAAATTTTTTTTAATTAAAAATAGAGTTGATTTTTAAATTAAAAATTAATTTAAATAAGCGGCAATGACAGGAAAGACAATTAAAGACAAAAATAAAAAATTACACTTAAGTGCAATAATTACCCACGCTTTAATTTAAAAATAAAAATACATAAAAGGAAAAAGGGCATCTATTTTTAAATTTATTTTTGAATTCTAAATAAGGTATTACCTTAAAAGGGCATTCTTTAATGATTTTTGAGAGTGCAATTTTAGAGTGCATATAGAGGGCATTTTATTTTTTAGAGTTTGTTAAAATTTGAAAATCGAAAAATAATTTTTTTATCAAACTACAAACGGATGTCGATGCCCTTGTGGAAGAAGGATGTAGGAGGAATGAAAAAGGATTAAGCAAAACTGGGAGGAGTTTGTTGAATTGAAGGTATCGAGAAGTAGTCCCCCAATCCATGCAGTGCCTAATCATCCTAAATAGAATTGTACGGAGAAAGTGTGTAAATTTGGAACTAAAATATAGCTTAAACGAAAGGTCTTTCTGTAATGATTTAACCTAGTGATTTTGTTAACTAATTTATTAAAGTATTCAAAAAAACTGAGGGAAAATTGTGTTTTAACTAAAATAGTTTTACTTAATTCCTTTTTTTAATTTTTTAAAGCGGCGAGTTTAAAGCCCTTATAGTATATCCTGTCACTGCCTGGCACTGATTAAGCCATAATTAGATTAGTGCCACTCGCACAGATGTAAAGATTTATAGCAGCAGTAAGGTTGTCGGATAGTTGGAAATCTTCGGATATCCGGATCCGGATCTGGTATCCGAACCGAAAATTTCCGGATATCCTGTCTTTTTTCGGATCCGACAACCCTATTCAGCAGACCATCAAAAGCATTTATATCTGTTGGAATTGCTTTTCTCCTTCTGCATGTATAATATTTATTAATAATATTAAAATTTCTAAAATATTTTTTTAATTTTGGAATTTTTGAAGCCAAATGAGATCAGTTTAAATAAATATATTTTTTTATTAATTTATGTTTAATATTGCAGCTAAACTTTTAGCTTCTTGATCTTCCGGCCGCAAACTTGTAGCAAAGTGTGCATCTAGACGGGCATTTGACATATTTCTTTAAATTAAAAAAGGAAAAAATTTCAAAAAAAAATTTCGGAAATTTTCCATCCCGACCTAGCATCAAAATGGCATTTTGCCCTAAGCAGGTGTAATTCAAAAAGCCTTTGTTGTTGACATTTTAATTTAATATTCTCTGTTGTATTTAAATTATCAAATTCAACATCTTCTTCATCTGAAGAGAGAATTGAAGCGTTTTCTTCATTAATGCCTTAATTTATTTTTAAATTTTTTTTTAAATTTTATTTGGTCAGAAGATTACAGTGTCTGGAATTTAGGTACTTAATTACATGTGTTTTCTAATTGTGTGTATTTTCCGGAATTGTATTTCTTTATTTTTAAGAATTATAAACATTCTCTCTAATTTGTATTTTTGTATTTTCCGGAAGTGTTTTCTTTGTATTTTCCGGAATTTTTTTGTATTTTCCGGAATTGTATTTTTATATTTTTAGACAATACAATTCGTTTCCTTGTATTTTCCGTAATTTTATATTTTCCGGAATCTTTTGTATTTTCCGGAATTTTTGGTATTTTCCGGAGTTGTATTTCTTTATTTTTAAAAATTATATAAATTTGTATTTTCCGGAATTTTTGGTATCTTCCGGAATTGTTTTAATAATTACAATTCTTTCCTTTGTATTTTCCGGAAATGCAAGTTCCGTTTTCCGGTATGTAATTTCTATAGCGTCACATTTATAATTTGTATTTTTATATTTTCCGGAATTTTTCTGTATTTTCCGGAATTGTATTAAACTTTAATTTTTATATTTACCATTTTCATTAATAATTTCTATCGCCTCACTAATTAAATTTATTGCTTCTTCTATTCTATTAGCTTTTCTTTTCAAAGCTGCCATTGAATGCAATGTATGAATCTATTAAAAAAATATTTTTTTAATAAAATTTAGAGATACCTTAAATTTTTTAACATGACTTTGAATAATATTAAATTCAGCTTCTTTTTCTTTCAAATATTTTTCTTCCTCTTCCTCTCCCCCCTCATTTAAATTTTCTTTTTTTAAATATTTTTCTCCAAATTTTTCAATTTCCCCAAATTTTTGTAAGGCATAAGTAAATCTATGTTCTGCTTCAATATTTCTTCTTCTTCTCAATAAAAATTGGGCATCTTCCAATAATTTTCTTAAAAGCATTAATACAAGGGGAGGGTGTGTTTCGAAGGCTATTTGCCATGTTAGTGAACGAAGTCTGGCACCGCGACGTAGAAAGATATCGACAGCTTGGAGTTGAGCATTTTGGATGGCTACCTTGAATATTATTTGGGGATTTTAGTATATATAACAGGCTCGAAGGGATTGACGAAATAGTTCGCTATACATTTCGTTAAAGCCATTTTAGTGCGAATCCTATGAATTTTATCTTCAAACAGGGTTATTAGCTCTTTGAAATCATCAGGTATCCGGGAATGAATAGAAAAACTGAGTCAAAAATTTCTATTTAAATTGAGAGGTTACAGAGGCATCATACAAGTTTAAATGAATATATCCGTTCAAACAGATCATCTCAGACTTTTAGGAAACGTGGATCTGTACCTGCTTCCCATATTATCATCACGAGTCAGATGTTTTTAAAGTAGTGTTTTGTTAGACCAAAAATTAGGTTGGAACCTTTCAAAAACTAGAGCTATTATTAAAATCCCTAAGTTCCAACAAAGAGTATACCTAAGGACGAGCCGGGATCCAGGTTCCTCGTAATGAGAAAATTGTCAACAGAATTAGACAGACGGTTTTGTAAGGGAATTTTAATTTTAGATTACCTCAATAGGTCTTAATCCTTTTCCGTTCCGTCCCTCCAAAGAAATACCCATTTCCAACAATTGTCCAATCAAACCACGATTTGGCTTCTTTGCCAATATATGCAATAATGTATTCTCATTAAAGTCAGTAATACAAGGCTTACAGCCTTTTTCCAATAAAAGCCCTGCTGTAGAAAAATGTCCATCTTCCAAAGCATGGAAAATAGCTGAGCGGTTTTGATTGTCTGTCTTGTCCAAGTTGGCTCCTTTGAATTCAAATTTTACAGAATTTGAAAAATAGTTAGTGTTAAACAAAAAATTTAATCATCTGGCAGATCGGGCAGTATTAAATGTAATAGGACACTGATCGGTATCTCTCATTCATCCTCATTCACCACGTTTCAATGCTCTAGCTATTCAGCTACCACAATGATGCTTTCTTACGTATAGTAAATTTTAGACAAGAGACCACTGCCCAATTGTCCGCTTACTACCCACGAGTCCACTCACCAATTGTCCACTCTCTAAATCTCCGGGAACCAATTGGGAGTGTCGTACGAGAATTAGATAGTGTTGAAAATTCATGTAGATCTAGATTACATTGTTTGAGATCTTGCCTTAGTCCGGTCTCTATCTTATACACTCGCATAAACGTTTAAAATGCTAACAGGATAAATAATAGTATTTATTATCCTTTCTACTCACCTCTATTAACCAGTAAATCCATCAAACCAACTCTCCCTTGCCTCGCTGCAGTTATAAGAGGGGTAAAACCTTCAGGGCCTTCTTGTTCGTTTAATATTGAATTTTCCTCATTATTTAATATTTTTACAACCAAATCTAAGCATCCACATTCGACAGCACAATTTAAGGCTAAACGCCCCTTCCATGATGTATGACCATTCTGAGGTGGTTGAATGCCCCGGGAGAGAAATAATTGGATTAATTCGGAATGAGAATTTATACAAGCTGTGGATAATGCTCTGAAAAAAATTTTTTTTATTTTGGATTTTTGAAATAAAAATTACCCAGAAATGTCTAAAATAGAATTCTCATGATTTTTATCGTACTCCAAAAACAGGTTACATATGCTTGTTAATCCTCTTTCCGTTGCAGCTTGGAATGCCTCGTCGATTGCAATACTGAATTTTTTTTCGAAATTTAGATGATTTAGATAGGTAATAAATAGAAGAGATTCTGTCTATTAGGGATTTTGCTGGGTTTTGGGTTCTGACTTTGATTTTTGGTTTGGAACTAGAGCCTTTTGCCTCACTTGGGAGGAATTTCATTTGGGAGGCATTTGCCCCTTTTTTGACCTTCTCGTCCCCTTTTTGCTCCCTTTTTGGGAAGCAATGCTTTATTTTGGTGATTTGGAAAGGGCCACCCTGAACTAGATGCAAAATTGAGGCATTTTTCATTGCCTACCCAGGCTGAGTATGGTCCAGGGAGATTATTCAGGTTTGAGGAGAACCAGAACTAAGCCTTTAAGATCCTGTAGCCAACGCATAAAATGCCCAATATTATCCTGTTATTACCTTTTATTCGCACTTCCATCATTTTGGGTAGATTTAAACAATTTAATTTCTTCAGTATTATCAAAAGAAAAGGTAGAAGATGAGGAAGACTGGGGGAAAACTTTTGTAGAATTCAATAATTCATGAGGTTCTGAATTTGAAAAATTTTCTAAAAATTTTCTAAAAATTTCTAAAAATTTTTTTTTAATTTTCTAAATTCAAAAATCTCTTGCCTTCTATCACTTTCCCAGTAGAATTTAACAAAACAGAAATAATATCACAAGAATAATTATTTTTAACACAATAAAGTAGAAGACTGTCTCCATCAGAATTTAATTTATTAAAAGGATCAGCACCAAAATTACATAATATTTTTATTATTTCCAAGTTATGGTGTTGTAAGGCTATTAATAAAGGTGTTGGATTTCCAAAATTGGGATTAGCACCGAATTTTAGAAGAAGCTTAATCTAAAATTAAAAAACATTAAGTGAGGGGAAGTAAGGTTGAATTTTGAATTACTCCCTAGTATTTTAAGTTAGGGCTTCCGGTTTTTAAGTAGGAAGACGACTCATTCTTGATTGAGAGTAATTCTATATTGAAACGAACGATGGGCCGGGTTGAGGGATAGAATCGAATCGGTTTTTCAACGATTTTTTCAATGCTTTTCAATGGTTTTTAAATGTCCAAAAAATCTCGCTTCGAATGTATGATCAGGATATATGGGGATAAGGATCAGGATTTTGATCATGATACTGATCAGGATATCAGGATCAGCCTTTTTTCTCCTCATTTTCAGAATTTTTATTAAATTCTTCATTTAGTACCTCCTCTGTTGTCAACTTTAACCATTTAATTTGGTTGGATTTCGGTCAAGAAACCCGACGCATTATTTTTTAAATTCATCCCTAAGATGGGGGAACTGATCGAGGATGAATATTATAAACAGTTTTGCTCTTATAATTTTAGAAAATTAAGAGACCATTTCAACATTCCCTGCACATGTAAATGCACTTAAAAGAGGTTCACTCTCTCCATTAGACCATTGATGAGCATTTGGATTTGCACCCGCTAACAATAAAAGTTTTGAAATCTTGGAATTTGTATAAAAAATATTTGGGCGGTAAAGAAGGGCATTTTGCATTAGTTTTGAACTTTTATCTTCTCCTTCATTATTCTCCTTAATTTCCTCATTTTTATTAATTTCCTCATTTCGTTCCTCCTCTGTTGCCAGCTGTAACCACTTAATTTGAGCGTCTCTCCCCCAAGGCATTTTTATCCCTATTTTTGAATTAACCAATTCTGGTTGAGCGTATTTATGTGGATTTGCTTTTAGTAAATGATGGGCTAATTCGAATAGTTGTTCAGACGAAGCTTTTTGAGTATCTCTTCGAGTAGTAGTAACTATCCAAAGTGCGATGCGAATATGTCCATTCCTATAGTAAAGCAGGGTATTTAAATATAAAAATCAGAATTTAAAAAATCAGAATTATAGAAAAATACAATTCATATTAAAATAAAAAATCAGAATTACAATTGAAAAAACAAAAACACGAAGTCAGAATAATTTATTAAGCTAGGTAACTAAAACACATTTTAACAATCAGAATTAAAAAAACCATAATAATTCTGATTTCAGAATAAGTAAAAACACAAAACCAGAATAAATAAAAACAAAAATACAAAAATCAGAATTAGTTGAAAAAACAAAAATACAAAACCAGAATAAATAAAAATACAAAAATCAGAATTATTTAAAACAACTAAAACACAAAATCAGAATTCTTGTACAAAATAAACAAATAATAGTGAATTTCAGAACAAATAAAAACACAAATAATTCTGATGATTTTATTAATTACCTTATATCAATAGAATATTCAGTATTATTTCCATCACCCAAGAGCCATTCACGCAGTGAAGAATGCATTGGAACGATTTGTTTACTAAAAGGGTTTATTCCAATTAAAGGCCAGAGGGAGGTTATCCTTTCAGTTAAGGATTCTATATTTTCCAAATTAATTGAATCAGAGGATATATTAAGAATATTGGAAAGTTGTTCAACTGATAGTGGATTAAGTGAAGCAATTAATACGCTAAGTATGGGTGAAAGATTTAAGCGAAAATTCGCTGGAGATCTGAAAAAAATTTTTATTTGTATTTTTATGTATTTTTATATTTTCTGTATTTTTGTATTTTTTTGTATTTTTTGTATTTTTATATTTTCTGTATTTTTGTATTTTTTTGTATTTTTTGTATTTTTATATTTTCTGTATTTTTGTATTTTTTTGTATTATTGTATTTTCGTATTTTCTTTGTGTATTTTTTGTATTTTCTGTATTTTTCTGTATTTTCTTTGTATTTTTGTAGTATTTTCTTTGTGTATTTTTTTGTATTTTGGTATTTTTTTGTATTTTTTGTATTTTTGCTTTTTATGTATTTTCTTTGTATTTTTGTTTTTTTGTATTGTTTCATTATATAAACTAACGAAAATTTATGCCGAAAGTACAATTCATAAATCTGTGACAGATTAGCCTCTTCTGAAAGGCTAGCAAACGAAAGTCGCCCTTCTGCTAATAAATCAACTGTCAGATGGATACTTAAAAAGTTGGCATGGACACGATTAACCAAGTTAATCACAAATTTGGAAAATAAAATTTTGTTTGAATTGGCATCGTTGTCTTTAATTTGTTGTGATTGAGGAAAATCTTCAACTGTAGCGAAAAAGCTGTGACGACGAAATTGGGAAGTTAGTCTCTTCTCTAGCTTAAAAAGATGAAATCTGAGATATAAGGAGCCTTCTAACTTTAATTTTGGTAAGACCAGGGATGGTTAGGAATGAGAAAAAGTCTGGTTTCGGTAATAAGGTTGTCGAATAGTTGGAAATCTTCGGGGCTCTTGTCCAGTTTATGCGTCCCATGAAAGTATATGCGTCCCATCAACAAAAAATGGGATATTTCTTGGTGTTGCAAAGTAGGGGTATGGTTCCAAAGCATTTCTTCATGTTCGGGATTTACGTCCACTGGGTCTGGGACCGTTCCTTACCCTATACCTCGAAATTTCTGAAAGTTAAAATCGTTTTTCTGAAATTTTTAAAAATTGGCTATAACTTTCAGAAATTTCGAAGGATAGGGTAAGGAACGGTCCCAGACCCAGTGGACGTCGATCCCGAACATGAAGAAATGCTTTGGAACCATACCCCTACTTTGCAACACCAAGAAAAATCCAATTTTTTGTTGATGGGACGCATATACTTTCATGGGACGCATAAACTGGACAAGAGCCATCTTCGGATGTCCGGATCTAGATATCCGAACCGAAAATTTCGGATATTCGGATTCGGACCGAAAATCCGGATCCGAACCGGAAATTTATGTATATCCAGTCTTTATTCGGATCCGGAATCCGGATCCAAAACCTTATTCGGTAACCCGACCATTCCCTGTTATAGACAAAAGGAGAATCTAAATTTTCTGCTTCCCGCCGCTACCGCTATCCAATATTTCCCAGTAAAGTTGCCCAACTGACCGTAGGGTTTAAATTCATAATCGTCTCCACAAAAATCTTTGCATCCTCAACAGAATTATGTTCTATTTGTATAACCCTAAAATTATTTTCCAGCTCTTTTCCCTTCAAATCAACTCCAAAAATATTCAAAAAATCATTTTTCTTTGAATTTTCATTAGTTGATGTTGTACACACAAATCTCAAATTTTCTGGCCATTCATCTATAGAACGTCCTAATAAACTAGCAATAGACTCATTCCCATCAGTTTGGTGGAAATTGGCTTCATCTAGTCCATCAACGAGTATTAAAATGAATTTAGGAACTTTTTCTTTTTGTTGGTGATGATGATAGGGGTTGGTAGATGGATAATCAGTGGTACTTCCTATAAGATTATTTTTTTAATTGAGAGAATTTGTAAAATTGATCAAGCCTTCCTACAGTCTTCATACTAGTGCAAAGGGGCTTTTCAGCCAATCTAGTAATGCGAAGGGAACGTTTCCTCCAGTCTGGACATGTTTCCCTTCCGCCTATTGCAAAAGGGCTTTTCAGCCTACCTACTAATGCGAAGGGAACGTTTCCTCAAGTCTTCCTGCTAGTGCAAAGGGGCATGTCTTTTCAGCCTATCTAGTAGTAATGCGAAGGGAACGTCTCCTCAAGTTTGGACATGTGTCCCTCCCGCCTAGTGCAAAGGAACAAATCCCTTTATGTTCCCTCACTATTGTTCCATTCAGCCTACATCCTAGTGCACAATCAAAAAATTTTCTAAAAAAAATTTTCACCACAATTACTGCCATAACAACTTCCAATACTAGAGGAAGAAGAATCATGCCACCTTGAAGATTTATCTTCCTTCACATTTTTATTACCAATATCCTTCATATTTTCGTTACTACAAATTTGACTGATAGGTTCCAGAATTAATTTACGTAGTAAATCTTGAGAGGAATATTTTAGTGAAGAATATGGGTCGGTAGCAAGTTGATGGAGTGTTGGATTTGATCGTATCTATTGTTTAAAAAATTATTATTTTGATTCTGCAGGGGCCAATAACAATAACGGAGACAATCGACAAACGATAGATATATTACAAATTTGTCGTTTATCGTCTATAATATATCGAATGTCGTCTGAATATGTCAGCTGACGATATTATGGAAATTATCGTTTATCAATTGTCATTTGTCATTTAGCGTTTACCTCCAATAAAAATTAAAGGAGACAAACGATATAATAGAAGAATTTCTTCTCTAGTCTTTTTATTCTTCGCGCCTCATGCATTCTTTTCTCAACTTTATAAAGAAATTTAAAGAAAACAGGGAGAGTGAAGAAACAGAATCGCTCACTCCTTTCCCCTCTTTTCCTTATACTCAAACACACCCGAGGACAGAAACTTTGACTGGCCATAAAGTGGCCCAAAGTCGTTTTGCAAGAAAACAAATATTATTTTGTAATAGGAAATCGTAAAAATTATCCACCTCAAATCGGTTGATCTCAAATGCCCCGATATCCCCAAATTCCCTCTAAATCTCTCTTAATCCCTGAATATTGAGAGATAGTGGGGATAAAGCGGGATTAAGGCATATCCTTTGATATTCCCCTTGATCCCAATTAATCCTTTTGATTCGATCTATACTTGAATCACTCCAAATATATCAATATCCCTCCTAATTCACCAATATTCCCCTTAATCCACCGATATCCCATTAATCCCTCCAATTTTTATACCATTAGATAGAGGAGAATGTTTTACATGCTATAAGTAAAAATCAGAATTTTAGCTTTACTTCCCTAATATGTAGTTATAAAATTTATAAGATGCTTAATCAAAAATTAAAGCCCTATTTGAGAGAATGAGTCCCTATTTCTCTCAAAAATGGATGTACCTTACGCGAGAGCCTCTAGTAAATTTATTTTTAAAGTAAAATTTTTGGAACTTATATCAAAAGATAGAGCACATTCTAATCTATCTAAAAATATTTTATTTGGAATTTTTAGGTTGAATTTGGATTTAAAAAAAATTTTTTAAATTTCAAACGATAAATTTGGGGGACAGGTTTGAGCATCCACTAAATTTGTCGTTCAAAAACCGTAGTTTTTCTCTAGTTACCGTAATAAATTATCGTTTGCAACGACAAACGACTAATTTCGGACGACAAACGACAAATCTCGACGACAGTCGATATAATAGAGACGATAAACGACAAACGATAAAGATATTTATTGTTATTCGAGGTAATCGACAAACGACGTATCCGAACGACAAACGTGAAAAATATATCTATCGTTTGTCGATTGTCTCCGTTATTGTTATTGGACAGATACCCCTTAATTTAAACGTCCTTTAAATTTTTTTTAGGTAACTGGTAATTCTGGTATTTTGTTAGGTAAACCATGACTAAATAGTCGAGACTTCCCAGAAAATTTTTCGATTCAGTTCCGGATATTTCAAAAGTTCCAAGGACCGACAACTCTTGTAACAGATTGGATTTGACCTTATCGGTAGCAAGTTATGGGTCGGTAGTAGGGTTGCCGTATTCGAGTCGGGCCGACGGTCAAGGCATTTTTTTCGGGCTTGTTTTTATCAAGTTGGGCCCGTACGAGTCTTTTTTGTGCCAAATATCTTAGGCCCGACTCGATCTTTCGGTCAGAGCGGGCCATTTTTGGCAACCCTAGTCGGTAGCAAGTTAGTCCTCCATATAAGGCCTCCAATTACATATCTCCAAATTAGGGTAGCCTATTACTTTTTAGCCCTAGACTCAATCCTAAAGTGAAATCCGACTATATTTTCAATTTTAAATTAAAATTTTTTTTACCATTTTTCCATAGCTTTTCTTTAATTGAGGACAATCACAAAGTTGCGCACATATAGAGCGAATAAACTCAGGAATAGCACAACTTTAAATTAAAATTATTTTAATTTGAAATCAAATTTATTTGCCTTTTAGAATCGTGTAGGTGAGCAAAATGAAAGGCACAAATATTCTGACCAAGAAAATAAAAATCAGAATTATCAGAATTATTAAAATCAGAATTTTTAAAATCAGAATTATTGAAATCCTCCTCATTCAAAGATGTTTGAGAGCCTAAAGGTGAAGGGTTTGTACTTATAGCCGATACAACCACTATTCCGGAATCGACAGTGTTGTTTTGTTGTTCTTGCTGTGATTCTTGTTCTAGTTGAGGTGAACTTGAAGTTTTCCTTCCTTTCCTCCCAAAATATGAATTTTCTATTAAATAACGAATTATTGCACTCTTTCCAGTCCCTGAAGCTCCCACTAGCAGTACAACTTTGACTTTTTCTTCCTTCAAAATTTCTTCCAATTTATTAAATATCCACTTCCTTCCAACAAATTTATTTTGATTTTTGTCGTTTTCAATGCTCAAGGTTGAGAAAAATAATTCTTGTTCAAAATTAAAAATTAGGGGAGGAGGCTGGTCAAATAGGGGGAGGTTGTTCTCTTTGGGGAAGTTGTTCTCTTTGGGGAAGTTGTTCTCTTTGGGGAAGTTGTTCTCCTCCCTTAAATTTTCATCCTTCCCCTCCTCCCTCATCTCCTTATTCAGCTTCATTCTACTTCTATTCTCAATTTCAACTTGTCGTTTAATATGCCTTTCCATTAATTTCACAATATCCCTTCCATAATAACAAGCATTCCATTGTTTAAATCTCTCGTCCTTTTCAAATTCACAATCGGCACTTTTTTCTCGATTACTTCTAGATCTTTGGGGTCTTTGATGTCTTTCTAAAGGTGGGGCAGTTTCTGAGGGAGAATTGGCGGCGGCTGAACGGCGACGCTGCAAAAGTTGAGTTCGAGGAAAACGAACAATGTTAGCATTGGAGGATGAAGCATTCTGGAAGTTAAAATATAGTTACGGAAAATAAACGGAATTATGTGGGTATTATTAGATTTTTCTGCTGCAGTAAACTCTATTATTAGAAAAAATCCATCAAAATATTAATCCGGAAATATATGTATTTAATATTTCCGGAAATATATTTTAATTATGTATCAAGTACAGATACCTATATTTCCGGAAAACTATTTATAAGTATTTCCGGAAACAATTAAATATTTCCGGAAAATGATGTACTATATTTGTTTCCGGAAATATTTAGTTACTGAAATTGTTTTCCGGAAAATTATTTATAATTATTTCCGGAAATAATTAAATATTTCCGGAAAATACATAATTCGGAATGATGTATATATGTTTCCGGAAATATGCAGTTAAATTAATTTCCGGAACTATTTAATTATTTCCGGAAATAAATTAATTTTCGGTATATCTAAACAAATCAGAATATATTTTTCCGGAAAAAATTCAAATATTTTTTCCAGACAAAAATACAAAAAATCACTCCAATTAATACCTGTGTTTGTATTTGAGTCACAGGAAAATTATAATTATGGTTAACTACATATGGAGTAGCATAACGAATTTGTTGTTGCTGTACATTATTACAACCATTAATATTTAACAATGTTATTGCTGAATGGCTAGGGGATTTAGGCACTAATTGGAAATTGTCTTCTTTTTCCGGATTTATTTGCGGGGAGATTAGTGGAAGGTTTTGAGGCCTCTGGCAGCGATATTGAGTTTGGGGAATTGGAGGAATTGAAGGTGGTGGTTGGCCAGGATTGTGTAGAAAATTGTTGGGTTGTTGATAATGATTGTTACGCCAACTTAAAAAAATTTTTAAATCAAAATATCCCCAGTAGCTTACCAAGCGGCGTATATTTCCCCATCGGGTGCATAGCGTGTGCTAGGCAACATATTATAACAATTTAAGTTTTGTTGAGGATTTGCATTTTTAATATTACTTTCTTTATGATTATAGCAGTGATTAATATTATTAATAGGAGGATTAGGCAATTCAACGTTATTACTTTTGGTGATCAAGGGATCATGCTTCAAAATAAAATTAATTTAATATTTAGTTCCGAAGATTAATATATTTTCCGGAAAATAAATATAATTATTTCCGGAAAGTAAAATAATTTCCGGAAAATAAATGTATTCCGGAAAATATTAAATTCCGGAAAATAAATTATTTCCGGAATTAATGTATTTTCCGGAAAATTAAATTAATTTCCGGAAAGTAAAACAATTTCCGGAAAATAAATGTATTATATGTATTTTCCGGAAAATAAATTAATATATCTTCCGGAAAATAAAGTATTTTCCGGAAACTAATATATAAATTCCGGAAAAAACTATTTCAGGAAAATACTTTAATGTATTTTCCGGAAAATATATTAATTTCCGGAAACTAATAATTTATTTCGGAAATAAATTACTTTAGGAAAATAAATTACTAATTTCCGGAAAATACAAAATCTTAAAATACAAAATACAACTTACAAATGACGGAATCTTGCTTCGTATTTTATTAGTTTTTCCATTTTTCGATTGCTTTTGGCTTTGATTGTAAAATTCACTAAATTTATTATCAATCCCTATTACTGTATCTCCTTTCATCTTGAGTGATTTCTCTACATTTTTCTCCAATAATTGAGAATTTTGTATAGAGGAATCAGTTGTTAAAGGTAATCGACAGCTTCCCCCAATCTGATTTTTGTTGGTAATTTTAGCCATTATTGATAGAAATTCGTCCAAGTCATTGTTTTCGCCAGGGTTAATTTGAGAATATTGGTCAATATCCTGATAAATAATTTTAGTTATATATTGATGAGTTTCCGGAAATTACTTACAAAGATCAATATATTTTCCGGAAAGTAAATTAAATTATTTCCGGAAAATAAATGTTTTCCGGAAATTGATGTATGCAAAACCTCCATTTTCCGGAAAAAATATAATACCTAAATTATTTCCGGAAAATAGACTTCAAAAATATTTTTCCGGAAAACACACATTATTTAAATCATGTATTTTATTGCTTAATATGAAGGAATATTATTAGATATTTTCCGGAAAAAATTAAAACAATTTCAAAAAATAATTAATTATTTTACCCGCTTAGTTTTGTTGGTCTCAACTTGTGTTTTCCATTTAATTTTTGACTGGTCCTTAAAATTCCCTTGTTTATCGCTAAAAGAATTATTGGCAGAATTATTATCTTCCTCGCTAGGCCTTTCAAAGTTCCAATTAGTAAAATCCTCTCCTCTCCCCAAAACTAAAATTTAAAAAAATAATTTTCACTTGGACATTAAAAACACCTTTTTTAGACCGACTAAGCCTAGGCGTTGCTGGCAGTCGAAAGAGGCGGCTTTTGAACGGATTAATTTGTCTAAGAGAACGGCGTAGGCTGTTTAACGGCCCTCCCTCATTATTTTGTTGTTTATTTCCGTTAATAATTCCCCCATTGGAAGTTGACCCAAATGAGTTAGAGGAAGAAGAGGAGGATGCAAAAAATGCGAAACCTCCATTTTTTGGGCCATAACGATGTTCGGATTGTTCGTCTCTCGGCATAAGTAAGGAATGTCGTCGAATGGAAAAAGGCTTTTTATCCATTTTTAAAAAAAGGTAAACTAGAAAATAGGTAGAATAGACAAAAATTAAGAGTAAAATCCATTAAAAAATTTTTTTTGAAAAAAAAGTCTCGTTATTATGAAATTTGAGCGGCAAAATTAAAAGCATGCCTTTTTAAATAAATTTTATTTATTTTTTAATTTTATAAAGAATTTTTCCGGAAACCACATAATTAAAATAAAAATACAAAAAATGAAACACAAAATACAGTTTTTCCGGATGTGTTTCTTAAAAACATTTTCTTTTCCGGGAAGTTAATATAAAATACATGTTCCAGAAAATTCCGGAAAGTCTATATAAAATATATTCTTTTCCGGAAAATTAATATAAAACACATTCTTTCCGGAAAATTTATATAAAATATAAATTTTTCCGGAATTTATTATATTATAAAATACATTCTTTTCCGGAAAATTAATTAAAACACATTTCTTTCCGTAAACTATATAAAAACATTTATTTTCCGGAAGGTTTATATAAAAATACATTCCTTCCGGAAAATTAATATAAAATACATTATTTTCCGGAAAGTAGTATAAAATTATTTCTTTCCGGAAAATTTATATATAAAAACATCTTTTCCGGAAAATTAATATAAGACACATTCTTTTCAGGAATATTAATATAAAACACATTTTTCCGGAAAGTTGGTATAGAATTATTTCTTTCCGGAAAATTTATATAAGATATAAAATTTTCCGGAATCTATTATAAAATACATCCCTTCCGGAAAATTTATATAAAACAAATATTTCCGGAATCTATCATAAAACACATTCTTTTCCTAAAACTTACATATAAAACACATTTATTTCCCTAAACCCTTGTGTTTAATTTTAAAATAAAAACCGGAAAAGTTGGAAAATACAAATAATGACAATTTTCTATATATTTAAGAGGAATAGACCAAAAGTTTAGATTACACAACCCTTCCCCCACATATGATTAAAATTTTACAATTTTAAAAAGAAAATAAAATTGAAAAGAATTATTCACAGTTGCTATTTTTATTTTGGACAAATTTTTTAATAAAATAGTTTTGCACATTAAAATCGATTCAGAAATTTGGTGGTGGACGAAATGGGGGGAGAAAATAAAAATGTTTCGGTCATTGAATGGGGGAAGGTTAACTGAATTGGAATCGGGTGGATTTTGTTTTTAAATGCTTTCCGGATGTTGACAAGTGAGAGAATAAATAAATATATTATTATTTAATGTTTTTGTGGGGGAGAAAATTTATTTTCATTTTCCCCCATTGGATCAACTTTTTATTTTAAATAAATTGGCAAGAGATCAGATTTTGAGAAGCCAACCAAAGGTCATTTAAATTAAATAATAAATAAAAAATTTTTAAATATGAACATTTTATTTTTAAACCTGTTCAGAGTTGATCTATAGGCATTTTAATGTTTTTGGGGTGATTCATTTAAAAGGAAGAATTTTGAAGATGAGACGATGTTTTATAAGGAAGATGAATAATTTAAAAAAATTTTTAAAAAAGTTGAGGAATATAAAAAAAATATTTTTTAAAAAGAACACAAGACGGAAGAAGGAAGAAAATGGAAGAATGGAAGGCAGAACGGAAGAATGGAAGGCCCTGTTATCTAACAAAATCCAAATTTGTCTAAAAAATGTGATCAGATATGTTGGGCAAGGTAGTAGCATTAACTAGCTAGAGCTAGGTAGCAGGGGTGTGCCAATTTCGCATTTCGCGTTTCGCATTTCGCGGATTTTCGCGTTTTTTGGACTTTCGCATTTCGCGTTTCGCTTTTTAAATTTAATTTCGCTTTTCGCGTTTCGCTTTTTTAAATCCGTTTCGGCACACCCCTGCTAGGTAGCCTAACAAGGAACCATCGTTTACTATGACTACGAATTCGATATATTTTTTGGTACCATTCGATAGAGCACCATCGACATTCTATTGTGAAGTGATGCGGGTTTTCTTGCAAAATGACTTTGGGCCGAGTTAGGACCGTTCAAAGTTTCAGTCCTTCTTCTCCCCCCAAAAAAATCGCAATAATTCCACAGATTTTTATCAAAAATATTTTAAAAATAAAAATATTTTATTTATTCATCTGTCAGCAATTGACCCTTTTTCGCTCAAGAATCGACTAGTTTTTATTTTTTAACCACCCCCGAGAGTGGTCAATTTATAACCACACACATAAAATTCCTTCTTTCGGACTTTTCTTTGTTTAATAAAAGAGAGGGCAACTTTATTCCCCTATTATATCCTCTACAAAGCATCTGAGTAATTAAAATAAAAATAAATTAAAAATTGTTTTATGACTTTTGATTAAGGCAACATTGATATCCGATGAGAGGGAGAGAAAAAAGTTGCGGACATTAAAAATGTGTCCGCATTCTTAGAAACATATCCGCAATTTTTAGCACGTCCGCATTTTTTTCGTAACATATCCGCATTTTTCTTAATATGTCCGCAATTTTTTCTTAACATGTCCGCAATTTTTAGCATGTACGCAATTTTTTAATATGTCCGCATTTTTCTTAATATGTCCGCAATTATTTTAATATGTCCGCAATTTTTGGCATGACCGCATATTTAACGACACGTCCGCAATTTTTAGCATGTCTGCAATTTTTTAATTTGTCGCATCTATAAAAGCACGTCCGCAATTTTTAAAAACACGTCCGCAAGTTTTTTAACAAATCCGCAAATTTTTTAATAATCCGCAAGGATCGGTCGCCCATTGATCTATAACTATAATAAATAAAATAAATCTTTATCTAACAAATTTTATAGTTAAAAATGCAACTAAAATACTTAATAAAAACTGGATTGAATTAAACATAGGAGAATAATAAAATAAATAATTTTAACTACCCGGAAACCTTTGAAAATTAACTATGGGGGAAATCATGAATTAAGAGAATATGGAGGGGATATTGAGGGATTTCTGGGGTTAAGAAGGATATAGATGGATCAAAAGGATATGGAGGAGATAGTGAAGGACTTAGGAGGATTAAGAGGGATTAAGATGAGTTTATGGTGGAGATCGAGGGATTTGGAGGGATTAAGAAGGATCAAGAAGTAGGGGAGATCCGATACCCTAATTAGTTAATATTTATATGACTTTGGACGTTTTTGGAAATTTTTTGGATAATAAAATAAAGATTTTAAAAAATCAGGACAAAAGAAAAGAAAATTTAAAAAATGAGGCAAAATGTCATCTTTATAAAGAATTATTTTCCTTTATTTTTAACCAAAAATACTAAATTATTTTAGTTAATATAAAGCTTTTTAGGTGAAACTAAACAAAAATAGAAATGAATTTTGCAAAAAAGAAATTGTTTTAGTTAAAAACGTAAGGAAAAAATACTGAAAGACGTGGGGCTATTTCCTATGGGGATTGCCCTATGTGCCTTTTTGAGGGCATAAACTGAGGGTTGAAATGAGAGAATAAATCGGTAACGTATTTTTAAGATAAGATTTTTATAAAAGTGATGGTCAGCAAAAAAAGTTTGGAAGAAAAAAGTTTTGTTGGTAAAGCGGATTTTAAAAAATTCGACATTTTCATCCATAACTCGGTAAATAAATAACCAAAATTTCTGAAAATTTAAGAGAGATTAGGTAATACTATGAAGATATCTCTGCAAAATTAAAATATTATAAGTGATAACTGGGAGCTATTTTTAGTCGAGTACCATCCTAATACATAGTTTATTAAACGAGCTTTTTGAACGCACAAATTTCCTCATTGTTTAGCAAAGCTGTTAGTTTTTTGGCCTATTTTTGAAAAAGAATTTTAAAAAAATGATTTTTTCCGATTCTAAATTTTTTTCCGATTCGGGAATTTGAATTCCGACCCACCTCTGGTGATAACTGAGAGCTTTTTTAGTCGAGTACCAACCTATCGCTTATTAGCGAGCTTTTTAAACCCACAAATTTCCTCATTGTTTAACAAAGCTACTACTAGTTTTTTAGCCTATTATTTTTCAAAAAAAATTTTTGAAAAAATATCTTTAAAATATAGTCAAAAATAGCCTACTATTTTAGTAAAAAAATAAATTAATTTCTTTTTCCGTTTCCCCTTTTTTGCTGCAACAAATCGCCACATAAATTGGAATTTTTTGCATTTTTGCCTTCGTATAGCCCTTTTTTCCAGCAATTTTCTTATTTTTTGAATTGGCCGAATAAAGGAAGCTGTCAAAGGCTCGCAAATGTTTTTGTGATAGTAAGGCATTTTTAAAAAGGGTAAAAAAGCAAAAAATAAAAAAATAAAAGGAGAAAAAAGGGTTGACTTTTTACCGATTAATTTTTGCCTTGGGAGTAAGAAAAATGTGTAAAAATATATTGGAATAATAAAAAAGGAAGAAAAAAGTGTTAAAAGTACATACAAAAATAAATATAAATATATTTTTTGGCATAAAAATAAATCTTTTAATTTTTATTCGGAATAATTTTTGGAATTTTTTTCGATAAAATCGGAAGAAGCTTTTTGAACCAACACTTTTCTTCTATGTTTAGTAAAGCTATTAGATTCAGGCTTATTTCCTGAATAAAAATTAAAATTGCTTCCGGAAAACAAGATTTAATCAGAATTACCGGAAAAGAAATAAATAAAAATAGTTTCCGGAATATTTCCGGAATTGTTTACAAAAAAACGAGCTTTTTTAACCAACAGTTTTTCTCTATGTTTAATACTAGTATTTTTGGCCTATTATTTTTAAAAAGAATTTAAAAAAATGATTTTTTGCTTTAAAAGAGTTAATTCATTTTGCACAACCACCTAGAATAATCCATCAAAAGAATTATTCTGATTGGGAAGAAAAATGGAATTTACTGGGTAAAACAATTAGAAAAATAAAAAGAAAATGTTAGCTAATAATAAAAAAAATTTTTGTTAAAAAGCATGGAAAAATAAAAAAATAACGGAAAATAAAAAATAAAATAAAAATAATTTTTTGATAATTTTGGGTAATTAATAAGCTTGATTTAGACAAAAATTTATTTAAAATTGCTACGAGCTTTTTGAACACACGGATTTTTTCTATGTTTAGCAAAGCTACTAGTATTTTTTGGCCTATTAATTATTTTTGGCCTATATTTTATAAAAAAATTGCTACGAGCTTTTTGAACACACGGATTTTTTCTATGTTTAGCAAAGCTACTAGTTTTTTTGGCCTATTAATATTTTTAGAAATCTTCCAAAAAATTATTTCTAAAAATTCTTAGTCATTTAAATAATAAAAAAATAAAATATTATTATTCTAATAATCTGAAACCTATTGAAAATGAGCTATAAATATTTTTTTTGTATTTATAATTGTCCATAAAATTAATAGTTTATCGGGGGAATGAAGGAAAGATGTTATGTTTTTTCTTAAAAGTTGTTTTATTTAGAGGTCGAAGTACTTGTGTGGAAATAGAAAGACCTTGTAAACATTTATTTGCAAAAAAAATAATCATCAATTTTTTTAATTTAAAAATTTAAATAAATACAGTGCCGGAATAAAGGATCGCCAAAGGCTGTTAACTTCGTTTTTAACGATTATTTTTTTTTCGATTAATTTTTAGAAAAAAGGCTTCAAAACAAAAATTTTTATATCTTCATGTACTCTTTAAAATGAGTATAAATACATAAATGAGTATAAATACATATCGGCTCTAATTGGAGCACGCTTCTATTTTTCGATACTTTCGTAGACAGAGTTGGATCAATTCCGATTTCCGAAAATCTAGGCTGATTTCCGAGTTTTAACTTTTGAACCATTTCCGAGTTCCAACAGTTCCGATTTTTAATATTCTACAGATTTTCAAAATTTATTTTTTTTTATCTTTTTAACCAATAAACCCCTTTGAAAGATATTTTAAAATAAAGGAAAGTGCTTTTACTTTTTATTTTTATTAGTCATCTTATGGCTTTAAAGCTAAAAAGCATGTCATCAATTTTTGTTTGTCAGAAATCCCTTTTATTAGCAACCATTTCTATCCTTTTCAACTTCCGTTACTCTTTTCCCTTTAATTTGGTTTGAACAAGGAAAAGGGTCTGGTTGAGAAGAAAAAAGTCAGGCCGGATTCAAAATTTTCTCGGGTCGGATTCAGTGTCGAAAAAACTAGTTAGAAGTTTCCAAAAATAATAGTAGCTTTGCTAAACATAGAGAAAATCTGTGTGTTTAAAAAGCTCGTATTTTAGTTTTAATCGGAATTACCGGAAAACAAATAAAACAATTAAAATAGTTTCCGGAATATTTCCGGAATTGTTTAAAAAAATTTCGGGTCAAGAAAATCCAGGTTCGAGTATCGCGGTTCGAGTAATTCGACTCATCCCTGTTTTTATCAATTCTTCTCTCCTTTTTCAGCTCTACTTCTTGAATTCCTTCTAAAAACATTTTTGCACCAATTTCTTCTTTATCCAACAATCTTCTATCCGTAAACCACCAATTTCCATCTTAAATGAACATTATTTTCCCTCTATCCCCTACAAATCCACAACCATTCACTCCAACTCAATCCTCGCTATTATCCTTTTCTTCTCAAATTATATTCAGAAGGAAAAAATTTTTTCGGGAAGGAAGACATAGTTGAAGTTCTGAGAAAATCCGAGAAAATCCTCTGAAAAATTTTTTCCTTCCAAACGTAGGGTTCAATGCCGGACTTTCTACTGGCTTAATTTTCAATATTTATAGCCCTCAACCAGGGGTCGATCGGAAATGATGAGGGTGTCGGAAATCGGAATTCTGACCGACCCCTGCTCTAAGTCATTTATATTTAATCTCTCTCGCAAAAATTCCCAAAATTTTTGATCTTCTGGATTTTATTAACCACCCCTTCGAAGATTTTCACCCCCTCCTTTTTTCCAACCCTCCAAAAGAGCTAATTCCGTTGCTCGCCCGTGACAGCATTTTCCTTCCCTTCCTTTTCATTTTATCCCCCATTTTTCTTCTTCTTTTTTTACCGCTCTTCTGTCTCCGCTCGTTAATTGTTCGTCTTCCACCCTCTCTCTCCTTTAACTACTTCCAAGTCCAACCGGTCCCCAAACACACACACCAACTAAGAAGAGCATTTCCTCTTTTTTTTTCATATTTTTTGTTTGGCTCTCCATTTGCCCTTTTTTCTATTTTTCCCATTCAACCAGCCCCCTATTTTTTCTTTCCTTTCTTTTTTCCCTTTTTGCTGTCACCACCCCCCTCCAACTAACCAACCTCTTTTAGCATCCGCATTTTTCTTTTTTTGTCCGCTCCCATTTCCTCCTTCCCCCCCGGCTCCTATACAACTCATCTAATCGTTAACTCATCTATTCGTTAACTCATCTACACGGCCAAAAAGGGTTAACTCATCTAATCGTTAACTCATCTATTCGTTAACTCATCTACACGGCCAAAAAGGGTTAACTCATCTAATCGTTAACTCATCTATTCGTTAACTCATCTACACGGCCAAAAAGGGTCAACTCATCCAATCCTTGAAATATCGGCCGGTTGAGTCCCTAGCCGGTTGAGTCCCTGGTCAGTTGAGTCTCAACCGGCCCAAGACTCAACCGGCGGTAATCAACCACTCAAACGGCCGGGACTCAACTGACCAGGGACTTAACCGGCTAGAGACTCAACTGGCCATGGACTCAACTGGTCATGGACTCAACTGGCCATGGACTCAACTGGTCATGGACTCAACTGGTCATGGACTCAACTGGTCATGGACTCAACTGGTCATGGACTCAACTGGTCATGGACTCAACTGGTCATGGACTCAACTGGTCATGGACTCAACTGGCCATGGACTCAACTGGCCATGGACTCAACTGGTCATGGACTCAACTGGTCATGGACTCAACTGGTCATGGACTCAACTGGTCATGGACTCAACTGGTCATGGACTCAACTGGTCATGGACTCAACTGGTCATGGACTCAACTGGCCATGGACTCAACTGGCCATGGACTCAACTGGTCATGGACTCAACTGGTCATGGACTCAACTGGCCATGGACCCTACTTACCAGAGACTCAAACGGCCATGGACCCTACTTACCAGAGACTCAAACGGCCGGAGACTCAAACGGCCAGACTCAGATGGCCAGAGACTCAAACGACTGGTACTCAATAGTCTCGTTCTAAAGGATTGGATGAGTTGACCTTTTTTGGCCGTGTAGATGAGTTAAGGATTAGATGAGTTGATGATTGGATGAGTTGACCCTTTTTGGCCGTGTAGATGAGTTAACGAATAGATGAGTTAACGATTAGATGAGTTGACCCTTTTTGGACGTGTAGATGAGTTAAGGAATTTTAGCCGTTTAGATGAGTTGAACGTTTTTGGCCGTGTAGATGAGTTAACGAATAGATGAGTTAACCGGACACGTCCCCCCCCCCCCTTCCCCCCTCCTCATTTTTTTCTCCTTTCTTTTCTTCCGCCCCCGTCCCTTTTTTAGTTGGTTATAGTCGTCGTCTCGCCCATTTTCTCGCCATCCGTCCGTCCTCCCTCATCCGCCCTTCCTTCCCCCCTTAGAGAGACTTCCCAAACATTCTTTGCCCTCTTTTTTTCTTCCCCTTTCCCCTTGCCGCCCATTCTCCTCATATTTATTTAGAAGTGAAATTGTGAGCGAAACACACACAAACAGTTCCGTCCTCGTTTTCACCTAAAAAATTTTTTTTTATTCTTCTTCTGGCGTCATGTCTTCTTTACAGATTTTTATTTTTTTTTCTCCTCTAAAAATTTTTTTTCTTTTCTAAAAAATTTTTTTTCTTACCGCCAAATATCCCTTTCCAGATTAAATCTTTCAAAATTCCAAATATTAAATACTCTCCCTCCAGTTACTCAAGAAGAGAGAGAGAAAATGACTCATACAGTACCCCCCCCCCCCCAAGGTTTATTCTTCTTTTTCTCCTTTGAAGATAAAAAAGACGGTAGGTCTGTGGAGCTTTCACCTCTTCCAGGTTTGGAGCTTCCACCTTCTTTTCTAATCAATTGTCTTCTCATTCTAAGTCGGAATATTTAGAGATTCCCTCTCCTTTCTTTAAGTCAGACCCCCCCCCTCTCTCACCCACCACTTTCCATATCTCTTCCCCTCCATTTCTATCTCTTCCTCCTCCATTTTTTCAATTTTTTTGATAATCTTTAGTTAAGGATTGGAGATTATAGACAGGACCGAGACTCTCGAACAAAAAATCTTGATTATCGAGATCGAGATTTTTCGGGATCTCGATTCCCTTACACCCCTCCCAGTCCGGTCTCTGTTCGTCTCCCACCCACCTCTCTCCATATCTCTTCCCCCTCCATTCTTCCATTTTTTGATAATCTTTAGTTCAGGATTAGAGATTATAGATAGGACCGAAACAAAATCTTGAACAAAAAGTCTCGGTTATCGGGACCTCTTTCTCTTTAAATCAGAACCCCCCTCCGCTCTTCGTCTCCCCCACCTCTCTCCATATCTCTTCCACCTCCATTTCTTCATTTTTTGATAATCTTTAGTTTTTTTTCAGATCGATCGAGATTTCTCGGGATATCTCGGTTCCCTTACAACCCTCCCAGTCCGGTCTCTGTCAAAAATTGCCTCGACTGTATCTTCTCCATAATCCCTCAAGTCTCCATTTCCATTAAGTTACCTATCTTTTCTTGCTTTGATCTTTACACCTTTTTATGGCCCCCTCAATTTGTAGAAAAAAAATATTTTTCTTTTAATGAACACTTGTGTTATAAAGAAAGGAATTCTTCTCTCATTATTCACCTTCTCAATAAAAAAATACAACGACAAAAACGGAAATTAGAAAAAAAAAGTTTTGCAAAAGGGAAGAGCATGAGAAGCCAAAAAAGGAAAATTGAGAGAGTCGTCGGCTACAAAAAAAATTTTTTTCAGCTGCGTTCCCTTTGACATTTATTTTTACGTTGCAGTCAGCCGATAATAGCGGAAGCTATTAAAAAAGCCCCTTTGTCGCTTTCTCTTGAAAGGAAAAAAATTTTTTTATCCTAGTGATGAATGGGGGGATTGACTGAAAAATTAGAGAGAAAATCGGGTAAAACAAAAAAAAATTTTTGGGGTGACAAAAGATCCCAAAAAATTTTTTTAAACATTTTAAAGGCCTAGAAGTCGAAAATTTCAAAAGAAGCTAGAAAAAAGGTCAAATAAATAAAAAGGGCATATGAGGGACCTCAAAAAAGCTGTCTTGTCATTGCACTTTTGGGTGGATAAGAGGGAAGAAATCTTTAAGATGGCAGAAGGGCAGTCTGACAATTTTTAAAGGGAGAAATCCGCGCAAGTCTCTCTTCCCCTTTATTCCCCTCTTCCTTCCCCATCCCTTCACCCATCTTCATTCCTTGCTTCTTCCATTGCCTGAGCAAACAACCCGCCAAAATTACCCTCCCCAAAAAATTTTTTCCTTCTCCCTTCCCCCTCCTTCCCTTCCCCTCACCCCTCCATCCCCTATCATTTCCTCCCTCTTCGCCAACCACATCCCCTTCCCCCCCCCCCCCCCATCCCTTCCCCCATCTTTACTGCCCGCACTTCGGGCCCCACCCAATCTTTTTTTTCTCGTAACTCGACCTCTCCTCCTTTCTTCCCCATCATTTTACCCCATCACATACGGGTGTGTGGTGGCGGCAAAATTTTTTCTTCTCCCCTTTCCTTCCCCCCTCATTTCCCCCCATCATTTTCTTCTTCTCATTCACTCCCCGCCAAACCCTTTTATTTTCTTATTTTTTTTCTTCACATTTTTCCGCCCCCGTTTTCTTCCTATTTTTTCTTTTATTCTTCCTCTTCCTCCCTATTATTCGCCCAACCATCCATCCCCCCTCTCCATAACCACTCGTCCAGTCAACAATGAGAGAGCCCCCATTTTCCCCAAATGCCCTTTTCTTCTTTTTGTTGTTTCCTCATCCGCATTTTGCTCCTCGCCTTCCTTCTGCTTTTCTTTTTTTTTCCCCAACTTTCCCCCTTCCCCTCATCACCAACATCCTTTTTCTAGTGAAGAGAGTCATTTCGGGCATTTCGGGACAGTGGACGACCAGAACAAAAATAGTCAAAACGAATGGAATCCCCCCCTCTTCTCCCCCCTCTTCACCGTCACTTTTTTTTACTCTTTTTAGGTCCTCCACCCTTCTCTTCACCTCCTTTTTGCCTTATTTTTCCATTCAAACCTTCAATCTTCTTTCCCCCCCTTCCCACTTCTTCCCCCTCCCCATTTTCTTCCAAAAAGCTCGCCATATCCCTTTTGACACTTTTACTCCTAACTACTTTATTTTCCTCCTTCCCGCGCCCATTTTCATTCTTCTCAACATTTTTCTCCGTTTTTCTTTTATTTTATAAATACACTATCTGTCCGTTTGCTCAAATCTAAAAATCATCTAAAATTTTTTTTTGATCATGAACATTTTTGGATTACTGTTTTTGTCTGTTTCAAGCCTTTTTCTCTTTGGAAGCCTTCCTTTTTTTCGTTAAAAAATTTTTTAACTGGGTGGCCCTTCCATTAGAGACGTCCAAGACCGAGAATTTTCCAAGACTCGAAACCGAATAAATTCAAGAAAAGTCTTGAAATCAAGACTCAAGACCAACAGTCTCGGACAACTCTACCTTCCGTGTGTTTAAAATGGAAGGTTCCTTTAAGGAGGAAGAAACTTGGGGATAATGAAAAACTTATTCTGAATTTTCCCTCTGTCGAGATTGTGATTTTTCTAATTTTTAAATCTCAAGTTTGATGGATCCTCAAGTCCCTTCCATCCTTTATTTGAACTCTTTCCAGGGCCTTCCATAAGCTTGTTATCTTCAAAATCCTGAAACTGAACCTTTTTCATATTTTTGGGGTTTGACCTGAAAATGACTCTATGCTTTAATTAAAATAATTTTTATAAAAAACTTTAGTGGAAAAAATTTTAGAGGTCTTAGGATTCAAAATTAAATTTTAAAGGGGCCCTTATTTTAGTGTAGTAGACAGAAAAATTTTTTTATTGCCCTCAGTTTGCCCTTTTAATTTTTAAATTTGTAGAGCAACGTATTTCTCTCCCCCTTCATCCCCTTCCCCCCCCCCCCTCCCCACATTTTCCCCCTCATCCCCTCTCATTCTCCCCTCCCTGATTTTTCCCTCTCCCATTTTGATTCCCCCCTTGATTTCCCCTCCCTTCATCCCCTCCCTCCCCTCATTTTCCCTTCCATTCCCCCCCTATTTCCCCCTCAATTTTTCCCCTTCATTTTTCCTCTCATATTAATTCTTCTCATATTAATTTTTTTCAGATTTTAAAAAAAAAATTTTTAACTTCCTCAAAATGTCAGAAGTTTGGAACCATTTTTATATGGCCCCTAACGGTCTTTCAGTCAACTGCAATCACTGCGGCAAATTTATGAAGCGTTCAGATTCTTCAACCAAATCAATGTGGGGGCATCTAAAAGCCTTCCATTCCGACCTTGTTGGGGAAGAAACTTTTCGTCTTAAAAGAACCCGAAGAATGAGAGGAGAAAACAACGGGGACAGCACCAAAAAAAGTAAAACTTCGAGGCAGAAAAAGCTAAAAATTGAAAATTTGGAAAATAATACAGAATGCCAAAATTCGCAAAATTCGCAAAATTCCCAAAATTCGAGTAGTTGTAGCAGCAATATAAGTGAAAATAATAGTTCTGAAGAGGAAGGGGAAGATAATATTAAAAATTCTGGTGGTTTTGAGTATTGCAGTAGTGGGAATAGTGGAAGCAATACTCCTCTATTTGCTGAAGGGAAGCGGCAAATGATTAAAGAAGAAGAAAATGAGGAAGGAAAACACTTTGAAGTCAATTCTGCTTTAGAAAGGGGTAAACAACCGATGGGTACTGCCCTCTCTATTCAGACACTTTTGAAGTTGGAAGAGAATGAAGATGGGATGAAGTGTCCGCAAAGTGTTGGGGGGAATGCTGACCAGAAATTTGAGGTATTTTAAAGGAGAAAAAATTTTTCCTAAATTTATGGACCAAAAATTAGCTCCAAACCAATCCCTGAATTACCCCAAACTATAACAGGAGTGGCAAAATTCCTCATAACAATATACCCTAAATCTTCTAATTGAAGCGCATGTGTTTCTATTTTTCAATCCTCCCGTAGGGTGTGCTTCTATTGGAAGGTGTTCTTTTATTAGAAGATTTATGGTATTGAGAGTCAGAAAAGGTGGCTCTTTCATTTGTCTTTAAGAAATAGAGGGAAAATCCAGTTGACTATAGGGGGGTCAAAATCTATATGAGTGTCATCACTGTAGGTTCCGGGAGGAGTTAGGATAGGTGGCTCTTTTTTGTTGACTATAGGGGGGGGGGGTTAAGATCTATATGAGAGTCTTCGCCTCTGTAGCTTCCGTAAGGTCGTAGGTCTGCTTCCTGCCTGTAACCAAATTTTTGCTTAAATCTCTTACTCTTTTCCAGTTATCCCACCAACAACTTGTTCAACTCTCAACTCTACAAAATCAACAAAATTTGATTAACAACCAAAACCTTCTCTTTGGGTTACCCACATCAAGTACCCCTTCAATTACCTCCTCCCTTTCCTCATCATCTACCTCCCCGCCCAATTTTCCTGTCCGAACAACACCTTCAAATATTCAAAAATCTCCTTCTAACACCCCTTCCCTTACAAAATATTCAACTGCTGCTTTATTACAAAATCAACAGCAACAAAAAGAAGGCAAATTGTCTCCAATACACGGTTCTGAAGCACCTCTACATTCAATTAATAATTTAAATTTTGAAATGACTCAACAACAAAATTTGCCTTTTGACCCTCAAATTCTTGCGAGGCTAGAAACTGTAAGAAAGAAAAAATTTTTTACCCCTTAAAAATATTTTTTTCTAGGCTGCTGCAATAAACCAACTATCGCAATTGCAACAACTCGAAAATAGTGCAATGCTTCAACAATTACAGCAGAGAAACACACAAACAAATGAACAACAGGTTTTGCAACAACAAACATTAAATGAAATGTTTGCCTTGTTTGCTGCTTCAGAATTGTTTCAACAACAAAATCAGAATTTTAACTCAACAAATATAAATCAGAATTTTCAACAACAACAAGCTTTTGCAACTTGGCTGTGTAACTTGGAATGGATGGCAGCAGTGCAGAGAGCACAACAACAACAAACATCATTAAAACAATCAGAACAAGAAATAAACAAACAACATAAACAATGTTTGGATGAACATGTTTTGAATGGAAATAAAAATAATTTAACAACAAAAACATCCAAAACAAACATTTCCAAACAACAAAACCAACAAACCCTTTCCCAACAAAACATTCCCCAACAAAACATTTCTCAACAAAACATCTCTCAACAAAACATCAATTCTTTCCCTCCACAAACATTTCAACAACAACAAACAACATCAGAAACATTTGCTACAGCATTACAACAAGTTTTGTTTTCCCAAACACAATCAGAACAACAAATGAACAAGCAATGTTTTTCTGATTTAAATAAACACGCGCCAACAACTAAAACTGTGAGAAATTAATTTAAACATTTAAAAAAACTTGAGTGTGCGCAAAAAACGCCAAACCTTAAAAAAAATTTTTTTCAATTGAAAAATTCAAAAAAAAATTTCTAAAAATTAAGAGAATTTAAAAATTCATTTTAACCCCCCTTTATAGGTACAAAAACGCAAAAGTGGCCTCACTTCAGCTACACTTTTAGCTACACCAACACCCTCAACATCAGAACCTCCCTCTACCCCTCTTCAAGTCTTAGCTGAAACAGCATCTTCACTAAATAATAAAATGTTTCCAACTGTTTCTACAAATGACAGACAACCTTCTCTACCCAAAATTCCCCGCCAAGAAAATTTTTCGTTAAAACAGCAGCAGTTAATTAATGAACATCATTTGGCCGAATCTTTAGCTGAATCTTTGGTGCTGTATGGAATGCACAGAATTGCTATGGATTTACAACTCTCATATTCTGTACAGGCTAATAAACAGGGAAAAGCTGAATATGCTTTTTACAAAAATTCGGGAGGGATCTCAACGTAAGGAAGCCTTTTTTAAATGTTTCTTGAGTGATTATGGGAGAAAATTTTTAATCAGGGCGCGGCATCCCACCAATATCAAATCAGTTACTCTAGAGTTTCAGCAACCTTTCCCACTCTTAAGTTTTTCTAAGGATTACTTACATTTTTTAGCTACTTTATCTTGGGTCTTGAGTAAGGGCGGATAGTTGGAAATCTTCGGTTATCCAGATCCGAACCGAAAATTTCCGGATATCCGACCCTTTTTCTGATCCGGATCCGTTCCCTATATTATTATATACTTTCCATATAAACGACTTTTTCATGGGCCCATTCATGCCTTTTATCCTCTGTCCAGAGGTCTATCGGATATGAGAAGGTGCCTGAAATTGGAATTCCGATCGACCTCTGGTTGTATCCGCACTTGCAGATCAGCGTGTTAAATAATATTGGAAATAGTTTTGTCCTTATGATCCGTTTTCACAGAAACTAGAGGCGCTATGTCCTTGTTTAGGTATTCGCTCTTATACCCGAACCTTGGAACCTCTAAGTCTTTAAAAAATTCTTTAATCTCTCTTTTTTAGCATTCAAAGTATGGTAACCCTGACAGAATCAACAGATCAACAAATGCTCAATATTCGAGAATATGCCAATGGAACAATTGTCTCTGAAGAATATTGGCCCAAAAATTCAGAACCTTGTTCCTTACTAAATTCTTTGAGAGATAAATGCCAAAAAAGATTATTTTGTACTTTGTAAAATTTAAAAATATGTATTTCTATTAACTGATCTTAGTTAAAAAAATATAAAGGTTCCTTGTCTTAACCCCTGGAATCTTTCGGGGTTTTTTGAGAGAGGTTCCTGTATGACTCCTCAATTCATCTCTTTATTATGAACATTGAATCCCTCCAAATTTGACTTTTATTTATTTTTCCTTGCATTTATTAATAAATTATGTAAATAAATATTTTTTTATTTTTGTGATTGAATCTAAAGGCTTCAGAAGCTTGTCGTTCCGAAGGTTTTAGGATCGTCTCATGACATCGAAGATTATTCAATAACCGATTGGGGTTGGTCCCCGACGTGGGGGGGGGGGGGGCACGGAGCAAAGGGAATGTTTTTCGAGAAAGCGGACTGGAGAAGGGAGGGACGGGGATCGACCCAGAACCGACAATACAAAATGCACAAAATTATATGGAGCCCAATTTTGGTCCATCCAATTTTTGTTCATTATTCTCGATAAAGTTTCCTCTTCAAAACTTTAAATTAAGCCCTAACAGATGTGTCCTTTTTTTATTTTTTATTAGTTAGCTATAACCATTTTAATTAAATATTTTAGGCAGTTTAGTTTTAATTTCCGCTATAAAATGTTGACAACCCTCGATTTAGAATTAAATGAGGAATATAAATACTGACCAAATTTGGATTCAAAATAACTTTAAAATTGCCAAAAATAAATTAATTTAATTTTAAATAATTTAAAAAAAATTTTATTATGGAGGAACTTCCCTCAAAAATAAAATTAGCAAGGTGTGGAGGACACTCAGCTTCTGCAAGCAATATTTCTTCAAATTCTGAGGAGTTGACAAAAAATGCTTTAATGATGGATAAGTTGCAGAATGCTGTACAGGAACAAGTTGCTAGGTTTAGGTAAGGATTTGAAAAAGAATTTTTATTAAATGTGGAGAAACTGGGGACGTTGATCCGAGTTGGTTCTTGCCCTGTAACTCAGTGTTAAATGGCCCTTTATATGTAATCTTAGTATCATTCGATAGAGAATTAATTGAATTTTTTAAGAATAAAATTAAACTAAAAAAATTCTTCATTTAAAAAAATTTTTAGGCAAAAGACTGCTTGGGTAGTAAGGATGCAGACATGATCTAGTTTTTACTCCATAACTCAGTAATAAATCGACTATTCAGTTATTATCTTTTGATCTTGGTCCCATTCGATAGAGAATTGAATTTCTGCAAGTTAAGACTAAGATGAAGATCATGCTATTTTAAATATAAAATTTTGGCCTAAAGACCGCTTAAAGCAAAGAAGGCTGTTCCAATAAGCCTATTTTTGAAGCCTATTTTTTGTTAATTTTTTAAACCCTCAAATCTTTTAAACCTCTGTTTTAGCCTCCTTTTTGTCATAGAAAAAGACCAAAAACTAAATTTAAAATTCTTAAAAATTCCCAAATTTAAATACTCATTTAGTTTAATTTAGGTAACCTAATTTTAGTTATAAACGGAATGAAACAAAAATTTTCTTTACTTTCCCTAAAGAGCCAAAATATTTATTTCCTTCTTTTTAAAAAAGTTTCGCTTCAATTCACGTGTGGTTTTTATTTTTTTCGTCTCCTTTTGGCTATGGCACTTCCACAAATTTACATTTTTATTTTAATTTCTACAATCTGGCTAATTTTAAAAAATTTTTTCCTTGCTTTTATTGTGTATTTCTACTATTTTCTATACCCCTGGTATAGCCCTCCAATAACCCTATCCCTAATTCCTGGTATACCCCCCCATTCATATTAGATATACACTAACTTAAAAAAAAATTAAGTTTTTAAGCTTAAACTTAAAAATAAATTCGAATTATTCTTAAAATCAAGTTTTAAGTATAAACTTAAAAAGCAAGTTTTAAGCATAAGCTTAAAAATAGTTTAAAACTTGATCTTAAATTATGTCTTAAGTTCAAGCTTGAAAACAAGTTTTAAAAGTTAAGAATAAACATAAAATTCAAGTTTGAACTTTAATAATCAAGTTTTAAGCACAAACTTAAAAAAATTAAACTTAAGCTTAAACTTAAAAATAGCTACAATATTAAAGCTTATTTTTCGCAACCTAACCATACAAGCGTGAAATAAAATTTTTTGGTAACAAAAAAAAATAAAAATAGAAAAATACCCATTTTTAAAAATTCATTTTAAATTCCATTTTTTAAAAAGCTTTTTTTCATAATTTTATTTTTCCATAAATTTTTCCCCATTTTTAGACCTCCATTTACTCCTTCCAATTCTTTATTGCCCGCATCTCCACCAATTATTAGAGTTACTCCAGCAATACCTCAAATTTTTGAATATTCTTCTAGAGAAGCTAATCAACCCAAAATAAATTCTCCAAAGGTTGAAGAAGAAGAGAAGGTGGAAGAATTACAACAACAAGAAGACGATGTAATTTTTATGATAAATTAAGGATTGCCTAGTAGTTTTCGTTATGTCCATCAACTAGGCTAAGGAGGGAACATAATTGACCTTATATTTACAAACCAGTTTTAAGCTTGAACTTGATAATGCAGAAAAGATTTATTTAAATACCTTCGTATAAAAAGACAGTTGACTCTCGTTATAGTCTCTAACGGGATCTAACTCCATAGGTTTCATAACCCCACTCCTTGGACTTAGCCAAATATATGTGTATTGGTCGGCTTTTATTCAACGTAAAATTTAGAAATCTCATTTAAAAATTAATAACAGACATCTACCAACCTTAACAACAACGAAAAAGAAACAGAACAACAACAACAAACTCAATCAACAACCTCTACCCAAACAGAAATGCCTCGTCCTCGTCCCCAACCATTTCCTTTTATTGCAAGTCGAAGGCGTGCATCTACAGCTAGTCACAATGCTTTACCCTCTTCCTACTCTTTTAATTTTGGTTCAAATCTTCCAGGGAATCGGCATTCTTTGCCTAGATTGAGTATTACATCTTTGGGTTCTGTAGCTAAGACTTTCAGGTATTCAAAAAATTAAGAGGTCATTCTGAAATGAATCTGAGTTCCCTATCTGAAATCTCTATCTTACCACATCCAAGTAAAGAAATTCTAGTATAGCTCAAAACCATCTTAAAATCGGCCATTCGAAGTTCAGTTTCAAACTTCGATATTAAGCTTCCCTAAAGGAGGGTCTCTTCAGGGATGAAACTGGTTTTGAAATAGGGTGGAAAAAGTCCAAGTTCGAGCTTCTGTTAATCCGTCTGATACACTTATTGCTTTGGACACTATAGAGAGGATTACTTGCGGAGAGAATACATAGGAGAGGATTACTCGAGAATCTCCTCTCCTATAATGGGAATCCCTTAGAACAATTTCTGAAAGCTAAAATGAAGAATACCCCCCCCCCTCCCCCTACATTTTTAATTTCTTTCATAAATCCCCTTCAATACTTTCAGCGGTCTAGCAGCATTTATCGTTCCCGAAGAACAATCAGACAAAGAACGTTTTCGAGAATTAAGAATCGCAAGTCAAAGACGTGCATCTTTAGCAATTAGTAGAGGCAAAAATGGGGGGACTCCAACACCAATAAATGATAATTCGAGTAAAGATTCAAGCAGAAATTCAATTAAACACAACGAAGATGACGAGGATAAAACATCAAGTGAATGTTCTGATAGAAGTCGAATGCCAAATTTGTATCGAGAAAGGTAGCCAGTTTTTTTAAAAATTATTGTATTACCCGTTAGGACTGGCGGTAAGGGAGAGGAACTTATAGCGGCAGTCTACTACTAGCGGGGGTTAACACATATGGGAACTGAGATACTTATCTTATCACACCTTAGGACCTGAGATCTCTGTCTTACCACACCCTATTACTGAGAGCAGCCTATTACTTTTATCACTTCTAACAACGGATATTTCTGTCTTCTCTCACAGCCAAAGTCACACACTCTCTAGCTTATCATACCTTAGGTCACATATAATCTCTTTCTTATTACGCTTCTATCTTATACCAAATCCAAATAATAATTAAGGGATTGCTTAGGGAAGTTATTAGGGAAGGGATAATTAGGGAAGGGATAAGGTTGTTTATATAAGGGGCATTCCTTTCTTCTCCCCTTCTGTTGTGATAAGTAGGAGATTAGAAAATTTGAGAGGGGATAAGTTAAGATATACACAAGCATATTATATCACAGAAATAATTTTTCTTTTCCTAAAAATTTCCTTAAAAAGTAAAACAAACAAAAAAACGAGAGAGAAAATGCTCATTAGCTATATGTCCAAAATCTATCCAAAATTTATATATTTGTGTGCTCATTTTGGTGTAAAATTTGGGTATAAAACTTAAATGGTTTTGTGTGTGGAACAGAATGAGGAAGGGGGGACACAAACAAAAATGCTGCCAAATTGGAAGAAAAATCTCCTAGTTGACAAACAAATCCCTTAGGGCATTCTTCTCTCTTTTCTGCCAATTTTTAAATTTTTCTTTTTATTCCTATTATCATCCTAAACTTTAAAATACTGCTTAAAAATTGATCTCAAAAGAGCAAAAAATATTATTTAATATTAGGTCACACTTAAAATTTTAAGTTTAAACTTGGTTAAACAGAATAAAGTTTATTTTTACAGAAATTCTGATTTAAAATTCTGATTTAATAATTCTGATTCCAAATTCTGGTTTATCCTGACCTTTTAAAATTCTGATTTAAAAAATTCTGATTTAATTCAAGTCTGATAAATTCTGATTTTAATTCTAATTCGAAATTCTGGTTTATTCTAATTTTTAAAATTCTGGTCTAAAAATTCTGATTTAATATTCTGATTTTTTAAAGACTCTGGTTTAATTTAGGTAAGTCTGGTAAATTCTGATTTAAATTCTGGTTTAAAAATTCTGATTTTTCAGGTAAATTCTGATTTTTAATTTTACAAAAATTCTGAAATTCTGATTTTTTAAATTTATTTATTCTATTCCAACCAGAATTCTGATTCTTTTTAATTCTGAACATAAAATGTCTCAATGAAGGAACTCTTTCATCCCGTCATAAAAAATTAAAAGTTTTAAAAGCGAAACAAGTTTTAATAAATACAAACTTAAGTGCCCCAACTTTTTCTTTAATTTTTAAGCTTCTTTTTCTTCTTTTAATAATTCCCTCGTTTCTTTCATCCTTTTTTTTTCGCGCACTTAAATGCGCGCAACTATCTCTCCCCTATACAAACATACTATTATATATGCTTTCAATTAGTACAATCCAGAAGCTTTCTCATTTGCTTTTTCTCATCATAAATATTTCTATTCCTTATTTAAATACTAATAAATCTTTTTTAAATCAATTTCTTCTTATAATTTTTAGTAATAATTTTAGTAGATATTTAGTGGATCTAATTTTTAGTAGGATGGGCTTTCGCGTTTCTTCTTGTACTTTTTATTTTGCCTTCCGCTTTCTTAGGCCTTCCGTTTTTAAAATCGTCAGGCTTAGTGCTTCATCAGACCTCAAATTTGGCCGGAACCAGAACCAGAACCAAAAAATTCCGGAACTTCCAGCCTAACGGAAATGGAACCGGAACGTCCAGCGAAGCTCTAGGCAGTAAGATTGGCGGATCCTGATATCCGGATCCGAAAAAAGGCCGGATATCCGGAAATTTTGGTTCAGATATCGGTTCTGGATCCGGGTATCCGAAGATTTCCAACTATCCGCCAACCTTACCAGGCAGGCCAATCCATGACATATTGGCTTAAAAAATATTTTTTTTATTAAAAAATATTTTAAATAACTTCCAACTTCTCTATAAATCTTTCCAGATTTATTATTTTATTATTAAAAAAATCCAATTTTGAGTAAATCACAAGAACCCCTTTTATTTCATCGAAAAATAAAAGGTCCTCTTAAAAAACAAAAAAAAGTGTCCATCCACATATTTACGTAAACATCCATATATTTTATAAAATAAATATATTGCTCGCTTCCCGACGCCTTTAGGGGAAGAAGCAAAAGACTTGGCCAGTCTGCGCCATTTTTACATTTTTTGTGCCTTTCTGGAAAGTAAAAAAAAAATTTTTTTTCCATCGATTCCCTCTCTACTTTCATGCAAAAAATATTTACATCCCCATTTTATTTTTTTTATTGACAACCTTTTAGTATGAATTAGCCTTAAGTGGGTGTCTTTATTTAATAATTGACCACCTGTAAATTTTATTATGCTTTTAATAATTGTCTCATTTATTTGTAATGAATTTAATTCTCTTTAAATTGTGTTATATTTTTTTACTCTAACCTCAGTCATTAATTCTGGTTGAGTTAAGATAGTTTACAAATGTAAATCAGAATTTACAAATTAAAATTTAAAAATTAAAAAATCAGAATTAAAAAATCAGAATTTACAAACAAGAATTAAAAATCAGAATTTAAAATCAAATTTTACAAATCAGAATTTCCAAACCAGAATTAGAAATCAGAATTTACAAATAAGAATTAGAAATCGGAATTTACAAATCAGAATTAAAAAATCAGAATTTACAAATCAGAATTAAAAAATCAGAATTTACAAATCAGAAGCAAAAATCAGAATTTACAAATCAGAATTTAAAAATCAGAACTTACAAATCAGAATTTACAAATCAGAATTAAAAATCAGAATTTACAAATCAGAATTAAAAACCAGAATTTACAAATCAGAAGCAAAAATCAGAATTTACAAATCAGAATTAAAAATCAGAATTATGAAATCAGAATTAAAAAACAGAATTAAAAAAAAGAATTAAGAAATCAGAATTTGAAATCAGAATTAAAAAACAGAATTTAAAAATCAGAATTGGAAATCAGAATTAGAAAACAGAATTTACAAACTAAAATTTGAAATCAGAATTTTACAAATCGGATAAAAATCAGAATTTCCCAACCAGAATTTACAGATCAGAATTTAAAATCAGAATTGAAAAATCAAAATTAAAAACCAGAATTTGAAATCAGAATAAAAAATCAGAATTTACCAAACAGAATTTACAAATCAGAATTAAAAATCAGAATTAAAAACCAGAAAAACAAATCAGAATTATATGAATTCTTATTTTTTATAATTAATTACAATTACAAAATCAGAATTCTGGTCAATAGGAATATTTCATAACCAAACAACCCCTCCCCCCCCCCCCCAACCGCAACAACTACTATACAATATTTTATCTACAAATTATTTTTTTAATCGTTCATAAATTTTTTTTAATTTTATTTTTTCAATATTATTTGTTCTACCAATTTTTTTTATTTATTAGTTTTTGCTCTCGTATATTTTTATTTTTCCTCACTCCACCACTAAAGAGTAAATATGTTCCTCTCCCTTAGATTATTTTTTGGGCAAGTGATTGAGGACAGAAATTGTCGCGAACACTCCTCTATTTATTTTTTAACAAAAATAAAATTAAAAAAATTTTTTAATAAAAATCAATAAAAGTTGAAAAATTATGGAAACTTGAAAAATGTTTTAAAAAAAATTTATTTTTGGAGTAACCATGGGAATTTAACTATAATTTCAATTTATTGAAATTCTCCCCTTTTTTTATTGAAAAAAAATTTTTTTTGTGAAAAAAAATTTTTTGAGAAAAACAAATTTTTTGAAAAAAAATTTCGAAAAAAATATGAAAAAAAATTTTTTTTAATTTTTACGATTTCCAAAAAAATTTTCAAAAAAAAATTTTTTCTCTGAAGAAAATTTTTTTTCAAGCAAAACCATCCACTCGAATACTTCAAAAATGCGAAGCAGCTCGGCCAAACCAATTCCACGTTCCCAACCTTTTAATAACAACAATAATAATTCTACCATACCAAATACTAGACATAATCCTTCTCAAAATGGAAAATTAATTCAACAAAATAATAATAAAGATATAAGTCGAAATAGTGAGTCATTTTATTTAAAGTTGTAAAAAGAAACAGTTAAAAATTACAATTAAAAATGCAAATCAGAATTTATAATTTGTAATTTCTAAATCAGAAAAACCAATAAATTTCAAACAATTAAAAATTACAATTAAAAATCAGAATTACAAATTGTAATTTTTAATTCTGATATTAAAATTATAATTAAAAATCAGAATTACAAATTGTAATTTTTAATTCTGATATTAAAATTATAATTAAAAATCAGAATTACAAATTGTAATTTTTAATTCTGATATTAAAATTATAATTAAAAATCAGAATTACAAATTGTAATTTTTAATTCTGATATTAAAATTATAATTAAAAATCAGAATTACAAATTGTAATTTTTAATTCTGATATTAAAATTATAATTAAAAATCAGAATTACAAATTGTAATTTTTAATTCTGATATTAAAATTATAATTAAAAATCAGAATTACAAATTGTAATTTTTAATTCTGATATTAAAATTATAATTAAAAATCAGAATTACAAATTGTAATTTTTAATTCTGATATTAAAATTATAATTAAAAATCAGAATTACAAATTGTAATTTTTAATTCTGATATTAAAATTATAATTAAAAATCAGAATTACAAATTGTAATTTTTAATTCTGATATTAAAATTACAATTATCAGAAAAATTACAAACCAGAAGAAGAAATTAAATGTTACAAATCAGAATTTACAAATTGTAATTTATAAATTTCCGATATGTATATGAATATTCTGATTTGTAAATTCTAAGGATACTTTTCTGATTTCGGTAATTTATCAGAATTTACAAATCAGAAAATACAAATAAAAATTACAAATCAGAATTTCCGATTCCAATAAATATTTTTTCCTGTGTTGCTTAGGATCTAAAGCGTACACAAAATACATGTTGTAAGTAATACAGGAAAAAATATTTCTATATAATTCACAGCCCCATTAAATAACATAACAGTAGATTAGTAAACTACATAAAAAAATTTTTTTCACAAAATGAAGAAAAATTCAAGAAAAGGGAAAATTAAATAAAATATTACTATCCCTAATAAATACTTTTGTTTCTTTAAAAAAATGTTTGAAAATTTACTTCTTCTTTGATAATAAATAAAATCCCCGTTAGTTAAAGACCAGCCCCCTAAAAACCCGTTGATAAATCACTTCCTCCTTGTCCGCTTCCACTTCCTTTATGTACATATTTTTCTTTAGTTTGTTTTTGTCCTTTATTCCCTTTAATAATTGCTCTACATTCTTTAATAATCTTTAGAAAAAAAATTTTTTTAGAAATTAAAAAATTTTATTTATATTTAGTGGTAAAATTAGTGGTAAAATTGCACGGCCAAAATAATAAATTGTAGATGTTCCAAAAGTATAAAGTTATTTTAAATACAGTAAAGCAGCTCAGTTGGTAGAGCACTTGTACTCGGGGAGCGAAAGCGCCTAACGATACCAGGAGGTCGTAGGATCGAAGCCTTCCAGGGATTAAACTTTTACCTCGCTCTTATTATAGTTAAATAGGAGCTCTGGCTATTTAGGGAGGAGTAATTGGAGGTGGAAGATGTATACATTATTCCCAGAGATGCTAAAGCTAAGTAGCTGGTTAATGGTTTGGTATTAAAGGTGGGCGCGGGATCCCGTCCCGTAATCCCGCACTTTTTTCCATTTGCGGGATTTTGCGGGAGTGCAGGATTTATCCCGCGGGATCCCATCCCGCAAAGATTTTTAAAAAATCCCAGATGCTGGATCCTGCAAACACGATTTTGCCGACCTCTATTCGGTATACTGCTTGATCTAGCACTAGGCTGATCGAACACAAAGATGAAATAGAGCTTAGTTGGAATGATCGTCAACTAGCTTAATTCGATTCACAGTCCAGGCCGACTGAAGGCGATTTCTCTTTTTTTTCCCTTCGGATTATAACATCTTTTCTATAGGAGGGGTTCACGCCGGTTTCTCACTGATTACACTTTGCAACCTGCCCTTTATCCGCCTTATTAATCTAAGTCCGCTTAGTTCTCGAATTTCCCTCTAGACCATTTTATATTTTATTTTAATTTACTTTTTTCATAATTCCGTCACGTAATTGTGGAGGAACATCTTTACCCTCTTCAGCTTTTAAAAATGTAGTATCCTCTTCATATTCTCTTGATTCTGGTTTTTTATTTTCTTCTCTAATCTCAGCAATTAAAAAGGGATTAACAATTCCTTGTTGAAGTTTATTTTGAATATTTGCCTCAATATTATAATAAAAAACATAAAATGGAGTGACCTCTCTAGTACCATTTTCAATAGTCCCTTTAATTAAAATTTTACGGTATATTATTCTGTCCTCTTCCCCCTTCCTGGTGACACGACTCGGGCACAGTGATCCATTTGCACAGTAAGACTTTTGCACAGAGGGCATCTGCACAGTAGACAATTGCACAGTAATTTGTGGTTAAGTGGATTCGTGTTAGATTTTACTTATTGTTATAAGGGAATAAAATGTTATTAATTATCATTAGGTCGGGTCATAATTAGTGTCGCTTTTTTAATTTGGATTTTTTTGATTTTAAAATTAAGTTTTTAGAAATTATTTTTTATTTTTATTGCGAATCATCTGTTAGAGTATGTTCTAAAGGATCTCCGCATTTGAGAATTTTTGGTTAGGTACCGCCTTATAGTTCTGAGTCTGCTCTATCGGATAAACACCTTTTCACATTTTTAAAAAATTTCTTACGGGACAGGCACTTTACTGAAGACGCCAAGGGCGAGACTGCGTTTTGTATGAGTCCACAGGAATTTTATACATAAGTCCAATCACATTTTTTAGATTTTATTAAATAAGTACAGTGCATCAGAAATCAGATTTTTTAAAAGGAGGATCCAAAAAAATCTTTCCTGTTTAAAAAATGTTGTTAATACTCGGGGCAATTATTATGTTCAGTTAATTATTTGTTCGTTTGATTCTTTTTGTATTTTAAAGATTTTTCTCAGAAATCATATTTTTGGAAAAGGTAGAGATCGCTGAAGAGGTCGGTCGATAGTTTTCGATAAATAACGAATACCGAAAAATATCGAAAAAGTCAAAATTTTCTCAGTCGATATTTTCGATAATATTTTTTCGGTGTCAAAAATATCGAAAAAAATCGTTCGGTCCAATCTCTAATAATTAATAACATTTTATTCCCTTATAACAATAAGTAAAATCTAACACGAATCCGCTTAACCACAAATTACTGTGCAATTGTCTACTGTGTAGATCGTGCCCGCTCAAAACATCAAACGCTTAAAATATCTAGACGACTAAAAACGCTAAAAATATCTAGACGGGTAAAAACGCTCAAAACATCTAGACGACTAAAAAGGCTCAAAATATATTCGCTCAAAACATCAAACGCTCAAAATATCAAAATATATTTTTCATTTAAAGGGGACAGTTGAGTCCGCGGAAAAAAATTTTGCCGCTGCGGAGGAAGCCGGGCATGTCGAGCGGAACGACGGCCGCCGCTTCGCTACGGTCGCCGCGAGCGAAGCGAGCACGACCGTCGTGTAGCGAAGACCGTCGTGTAGCGAAGCCATCGTGTAGCGAAGACCATGCCCGGCCTACCCTCCGTAGCAGCACAAAAACAGTTTTTCCAGCGAAGATTCAGTTGGTCATAACTTTGTTCACAATCATCCAATCGAGCTGATTTTGGTGTCATTCAACTCAGCTCGTCGAGCCCTTTCTCAACACGTCGAGTTCATGCAAAATTGGTCCTGAGATACTACATTATTCACCCCTGATACAAGGAAGAAATATTGGACTCAACTGTCCCTTTTAATCAAAAAATATTTTGATATTTTGAGCCTTTTTAGCCGTCTAGATATTTTGAGCGTTTGATGTTTTGAGCGAATATATTTTGAGCCTTTTTAGTCGTCTAGATGTTTTGAGCGTTTGCTGTTTTAAAAAAATATGTTTTGTAGGGTAGCCGTGTAGATGCCCTCTGTGCAATTGACTTACTGTGCAAATGGATCACTGTGCCCGAGTCGGAGCGCCCAATTCCTAATTAAATCCTACAAAATCTTGTCCGACGAGATCGATATTTTTCGAAATCTCGATCAAATAGGGTTGTCGGTTTCACAAGATTCTTCGGTAAACAGCAGAGGTGGGTCGGATTTCCGATGTCCGACTTGTGATTTCCGGCGTTTTTTCCTTTCGATTTCCGAAAAAAATTTTGATTTCCGAGTTCCGACTTTTGAGCCAGTACCGATTTCCGGCTCTTCCTATTTCCGACACCTCTGGCTGTTTCGACCCACTTCTGGTTGATTAAGGAGATACTATATGGGGATTAGTGGGTATTAAACAGATATAAAGGGATTGAATCGATCAAATTTAACTCATGTCCGTTCTTTAATTATAAAAGATTGTCAAATAAAAATTATTAGATTTTTAGTTTAGTAGATTATTAGCATTAATAACGCATTCCTAATCCTTGCTAACAGGGTTGTCGGTTCCTGGGAATTCTTTGGATATCTGAAACCGAACTGAAAATCCTCGGTTCTTCGGTTCGGTTCAGAACCGAAGAACCCTACTTGCTAAATAAACTTTTCAAATATTTGAAAAAATTCGTTAATTTCTAAGCTAAACAAAAATTTAAGATTTAAAATAAAGGAAGAGGGGAGAATTAATTTTTAAAAATATTACAGCTTTTATTTATAATTTCATAGCATTCTGGTATTGTTAATTCTGTTTGTCCACTTGGAACTTTAAAAATTAAATTTAAAAAATTTTCAGATTAAAAAAAAATTTACGTATAGGATAATAAAAAATTATAAGCAAAAATGGTTGAATAACATTAAAAGTGTCAGTTAAAACTCTAAAATTAGCTGGGTAAATAATATCATTTTCACGTTCGGCTGCTCTCAAAGGCTTTAACATTTGGCTGCGTGCTTTAATTTAAAATTTAATTATAATTTTATCAAATTTTCCTTGAATTTGAAAAAGTTTTGAACTTAAATTGAACAGTGGAACAAAAGGAGCAGAGGAGAATCAGAATTCCGATTTCCAACGTTTTTTTCCTTCCGATTTCCGAAGTTTTGGAAAAATTTCCGATTTCCATAATTTTTGAAGCTTAATTCCGAGTTCCGATTTCCGAAAATTTAGACTGATTTCCGAAAATTTAGGCTGATTTCCAAGTTCCGCGTTCCGAAAATTTAGGCTGATTTCCAAGTTCCGCGTTCCGAAAATTTAGGCTGATTTCCAAGTTCCGCGTTCCGAAAATTTAGGCTGACTTCCAAGTTCCGACTTCCGATTTCCAAGTTCCGATTTCCAAGTTCCGATTTCTGGCACCTTCTGAATTTCCGATTACCTCTGATGAGGAGTCCACATAGGGGGTTATATCAAGTGACTCGAATGATATACATATATTTTTATAATAATTCCCTCCTCGGCCCAAAAGCCGAGGAAAATACTGGGAATTAGCGGGAATGATTAAATTAATATAATTTAATAATTCTTACAATATACACAATTATTGTGAGTAAATTCAACAACAAAATCATTACTATAAATATCTAATTCTTCTAGTTTTTCCATAAATATATTTGACTTTACTTCAAAAATATCAAAAGCCTCTATATAAAGCAAAATTGAAAGTTGGCTAAAAATTTTTTGAAATAAAAAAAGTAAATTTCTTAAAAGCGTCACAGGTAGGGGTTGTTCCCCGACGGGAGAGATGGGCTAAGAGGATAACTTTTCGGGGAGGCAGCGCCACGGAAAGGGGGGTTTCATTATTTATGTAGATTCACAGAAACCCAGCTCGTATTTCAGGGAGTGTTAGTGCTCCATATTACATGTCGTACTTATATAACAGGGTTGTCGGTTCCTGGAAATTCTTTGGATATCCGAAACCGAACAAAAAACCCGAACCGAAAAATCCTTTCTTCGGTTCGGTCCAGAACCGACAACCCTACCTAATAGTGCTTGTTTCACCGAAATCGAAATTTTAACCGGATGCTGGAACCGGATCTTATTAGAGTCCCTGTTCCCGGAACCGGAACGGGACTGGAACCAAAAAATGCCGAAACTTTCCGGAACCAAATCCAATTTGAGTTCCGGTTCCCGGAACCGTAACCAAAAAACGCCGGCTTCCCGGAACCGGAACTTCCTGTGAAACCCTACCTATATATGTTGGAATTCGGATATTTTAATTTAAGTAAATTAAATAAAAAATACCTACATATTTTGAGGAAATATTCTTTTATAATGACCGCTTTGCGAAACAAAAGAACGAATCAAATTTCTAACAAAACCAAATAAATGCCAAGAAATAAAAATATTTCGTTCATTTTGTTCTATATGTTTTATAAAAGCTATTATTTGTTGGAATTTATCCAATAAATTGTCATAAAAGTTGATAACCTTTTTGTTTATAAATTTTAAAAATCTTGAATCATATGATTTAAAATAATTTTTGGAGCAGGGACCACACAGTTTCTGAACATGTTACTAGGAAACGGTGTCCTGACAAAACATCGCCTGTTAGCCCCGGACTCGAGACTCATAAATTTATCCAAGTCCCGACCCCGACTTTTCACATAACCAAAGGATGAACAACATATGAACAAGTTCAAATGCGTTCATCCGATAAAACCCCAAATTCCCGATGCTTCCCAAATCCTCATTTCACTCCTTTTACTTAACTTTCCATTGACAAACTCATTTAATTTATTATTTCAAATATTAGAGGTCGGCGCGGGACGGGATCCCGCGCGTGATTTTGCGGGATACCGCTCCCGCAATCCCGCATTTTTTTCGTTTTGCGGGACGGGATCCCGCGGGATTTATCCCGCGGGATCCCGTTTCGCAAAAAATTTTTTAAAACCCCACTCAATCTCCAAATCCCCCAGCCGGCACTCTGAAGGATGCCCCTACCTGTTCATCAACCACATTAATATTTCCAGGCCTTTCCAAAGCCACCGCGAATCCCAGGGCTGGCAAGACTGTGGATCGCCTCACCAATTAATCTCTCAACCCAAAACCCCTTTGGCATCGATCCATCCCAATTCCAAAGGTTTAGCCCTTTGGACTTTTGTTAAGCTACTTAAGTTACCTTTTCAATTTTATCAAACATTCTATTTATCAACTTAAATTGATCAGTTTCTTCTTGAATTCTCAAAGTATCTAACTTTGCTATTTTATATCCATTGAGAATATCTAACATTCCCATATCCAATGTTTCAATATCTATTTGTTTAAACATTCCAATCATGAATGACAATTCGACTAGCGAAAAGTTTAATTCTGAGAATGGTGTAGTTGATTGACCGGGCGGTGGAGGCGGAGGGCAATTCTGTCTATTTGCTACACGGTGATCAACAACTCCTCTTCCTCCTTTAAAAATATATGTATTATTATTAGGGTTGCCGTTTTCGAGTCGGACCGGCGTTCGAGTCATTTTTATCGGGCCGGCCAGAACGGAGTCTTTTTCGGGCCAAAATTCGATGACCGACTCGATCTTTCGGACCGGACCGGACTGGCAACCCTAATTATTATTATAAAGCAGCTGGGGCTATAGCTATTTCTATCCTTTAGCGAGTGCAAAAGTCTATTCGGCGGCTGGGAGCGATCCAGCATCTTCAGGGGCCGTATTCTAATAAAGGAAGGAGAACCTGGTAAATTTACCAGGTTCTTATCTGTCCTCTTCCCGCTTTTTCTCAACCCCTGCGGGGTAGCTTAACCAGGTCTCGGGTAATAGAAACCCCTACCTCGATTTTAGAATCCCGTTTTCGAGTCAGACCGACCTACCTCGATCTTAGAATCGAATCAGTCAGGTCCCCATTAGACCTGACTGATTTGTTATCCATTATACCCTGCCTACTGCACAGCCTTAGGAATTATCTTAGGAATCCTCCATCCCCAGGGAAGACTGTCCCTAGTCTTCTTATCTGCCCTCTTCCCGCTTTTTCTCTCCTCTGCGTGGTAGCTTAATCATCGCCTTCTTTCGCAGAATTCCTTTCTACACCCAGGGCCTATAGGATGGATCGTCATGCGTTCAGCAGTTCGCTGAACCTTCCGGTGCTACCAGTAAAGCAGCTTGGCTATAGCTATTTCTCTTCTTTAGCTAGTGCAAGAGGTTGTTCGGCGGCTGGGAGCGAACCAGCATCTTCAGTAGACCAGACAGATGTCCATTACACCACGCCGCCTACTGCACAGCCTTATGAATTAAATAGCTATATGCTTTGCAATTATAAAGTTTAACAAATCAAAAAAACTACTTGAGCGTCTCATCCCACCAATATATTGGAGAGAATTTAAAATTAAAATTAAATAAAAAATATTCATTTTTAATAAAAAATAAAATTAAATTAAAAAATTAATAAATGATGGAGGGGCTAAATAATGATGAAGGGAATGAGGGGAGGTGAATGGGATGGGGAGAATGGGATGGGGAGGATGGGATGGGATAGGATGGGGAGGATGGGGTGGGCAGGAGGGGAGGGGATGGGGAGGAGGGGGAAGGAAGGGAATGAGGGGAGAAGGGAAGGGGATGGAGAGGGGAGGAGGGAAGGGAAGGGATGGGATGGGGAGAAGGGAAGGGATGGGGAGAAGGCAAGGGATGGGGAGAAGGCAAGGGATGGGGAGAAGGCAAGGGATGGGGAGAAGGGAAGTGGGGATGTGGAAAGCAGTCTTTTAAATTGCCGTCTTTTTTGAATCGTGTATATTAAATATTGATTTATAATTTTTTAAAAATTTTAAAATTAAATATTCTAGTTTATGCGTCTAGTCTAGTTTATGCGTCCAATGAACTTTTATGCGTCCAATCAAACAAAAAATTCTATTTTTCTTGGTGTTGCAAGGTTGGGGTATGGTTCGAAAACATTTCTTCATGGTCGGATCTACGTCCACTGAGTCTGGGACCGTTCCTTACCCGGTCCCTCAAAATTTCTGAAAGTTATAGTCAATTTTTAAAAATCTCAGAAAAACGATTATAACCTTCAGAAATTTTGAGAAATGGGGTAAGGAACGGTCCCAGACCCAATAGGCGTAGGTCCAGAACATGAAGAAATGTTTTGGAACCCTACTTCTATTTTGTAATGCCAAGAAAAATCCATTTTCTTTTGATTGGACGCATAAAAGTTCATTGGACGCAAGGTCCCCAAACGCCCCGCAACCACGCCGCCTAAAGGCACAGTATCCTTGTAATCGGTTTTGGGGCCGAAGGCCTCAAACGCAAAATAAAAAGTGAGCTGGCGGCCCCAAAACGCAAAGCAAAAAACAAATTTAGCGTCCTTTTACAGCCGAAGGCTTTCCACGCGCGTCCCCGCACAGCCCTGATTCTGAAAAAAATTCTGATTTTCTTAAATTAATTTTTTAACTAAAAATATATATCTTTAAGGGAGTTCAACCTTAACTAAGCAAAATGGTACTGGAAATGCTTCCAACGGTGTTGCTATTAATCGCGCTCCGAGTATGCCCCCAAGGATAATAAATAGGCGGTATGCCCACATAAAGAGGTAAAAACAAGAATTTTTCTGAAAAATTTTACCAATTTTTTAGCAAAGTAAATTCAATAGCGGACCATTCCCCGACTCCCAGCGAAGTTAAAATCTTCCATGAACCTCTAAAAGTCGTTGCATCCCCAAAAGTTGGTTCTCTGGTTAATGCTGACCATACACCCTTAGGAGGGAATGTTCGCATTTTGCAGAGGAAATTGAATTTTCGAGAGACTGCGAGGCCTAGAGTTGATGCTAAATCGGAGATAATAATTCCGAAGAGTGAAAAAAGGGTGAGTTTAATAAATTTAAAATCAGAATTTTTAAAAATCAGAACAAATCAGAATTTTAATAAACCAGAATTTTAAAACCAGAATTTTTTTAAATCAGAATTTTTCAGAATCAGAAAGGACCAGAATTTCGTATCAGAATTTTTCAAAATCAGAATCAATCAGAATTTTTTAAAATCAGAATTTTTTAAATCAGAATTTTTCAGAATCAGAAAGGATCAGAATTTCGTATCAGAATTTTTCAAAATCAGAATCAATCAGAATTTTTTAAAATCAGAATTTTAAAACCAGAATAAATCAGAATTTTTTAAATCAGAATTTTTCAGAATCAGAAATCAGAATGGACCAGAATTTCGGATCAGAATTTTTAAAAATCAGAATTTTCCAGAATCAGAAATCATAATATACCAGAATTTCGGATCAGAATCTTTGAAAATCATAATTTTAAAATCAAAATAAATCAGAATTTAGAGAGGAAATTAATAATAATAATTTTTTATTAAAAAGATTCCAACGGAAAAATTAGTTTGGAAGGCTGAAGCAAAAGTTGGGTCACTTATTAATGCTGGACATCAACCTGGGGGAGGGCAAAATAAAGTATTTGATTTAAACAAAAGGGAATTTTAATTTAATCTTTTTTGATAGATATTTAATGAACCTGTAAAAGTAAAGGCAAACTCTAAAGTTGGTTCACTCGACAATATAACTCATGTACCCGGTGGAGGAAATGTTAAAGTAGGTTATGAACTAAGGAGAAACAGGAAATTGAGAACAAAAATCAGAATTTTATATCAGAATTTTATAAATCAGAACAAATCAGAATTTTTTTAAAAATCAGAATTTTAAAATCAGAACAAGTCAGAATTTAAGAATTTAATATCAGAATTTTAGATCAGAATTTTAGAAATCAGAACAAATCAGAACTTTAGATCAGTTTTAAAAACCAGAACAAATCAGAACCTTCAACTTAAAAATCAGAATAACACACAATTTAGATTTCTGATTATGCCCGATCAATCAGTGGTACTGGAAGCATGCGATCTCGACGGAATACAGGATCTTCAGAATTGGCAGCACAAAGCCCCTCAACATTAAATGCTGATATTGACAGTCTTGGAGGGGATAGTAGCGAAATAAATAATTAAAAAATTTTGAAAAATTCTTTTAATTTCCCCCAATATTCTTGTCAAAAATATTTTTTTAATTCTGAATCTACAAATGTGAAATATTTTTATTTCAATATTATTTTAAAATATGTGCAACAAAAAAAAAATTTTTTTTTATATTTTTCTCCAATTTTTTTACCCAAAAATCAAAATTTTTAATATAAAAGAAAAAATTTCTAAAATCTATTTTAACGGTACTTTACTAGAATATATTTTCAAATGTGAACAAAAAAAAAATAATAATAGGAGGACGAGAAAGAAGTATAAATAATAAAAGGTTGACGGATCTGTAACAGAGGAGATATGGGCGAAACTCAAAAAAAAACTTTTTTCGGATCAACCGAAACGAGATTTTTAAAATATTATTTCTCGTTAACCAAACGAAAACATGTTTCGCCCACGTATTGTCCGGAGATATCCCAGGATCCGAAAAATGCCCGGGATATCCCAAAATTTTCAGATCAAAAGAAAAAAGCTATGGATATCCAGAGGTTTCCCAGGATCCGCCATCCCTAGAAGAGAGAGAGGTGTTTATTGAAGTTGAGGGGGATTGAAAATGAGGGGTGATGAAGGAAATAATAAAATTTTTCATTTTTTAAAACACACAAAAACAATATAATAATAATAGAGAGAAAAAAGCCAGTAAAATATGTGGAGAGGGTTCGGCCCAAATAGCGCGCGGCCAAGTAGGCGCAAAGTCAAGCTACAAGATTTCCGAATTTTTCAAAATTTAGTCCAGAAATTTTCCAGCAAGTTTTGAAGATGAGAGGGGGATAAAAGCCTTGCGCGCCTACTTTGCCGCGCGCCTATTTGGGGGCGTGTCCCGTATGTGGACAATCACAATTTTAATAATAAATTTTTTTGACGACTTCAAATTTTCTCATCAAAAATTTTTTTAAATAAGATTTTTTAAAAGGGAGAAAAAACAAAAAAAATAATTAAATAATAATAATAAAAGCAAGAAGAAGAAAAAAAATAAAATAATAATTAAAATATATTTAATGTTTATGATGGGTTTGTTGTCGTCGTCGTCGTAATATTAATACTACCTTGAGCTTCTTGACCTGTTGTTGTTGTCAAAATTCCAACATCCAAATATGGATCACGTCCCTTTATATTAAGAAAAAAAAATTTTTGTAAAAATAATTTAAAAAATTTTGTTAGAAAATTAAGAGACTTGCCTATAGAGTTGTGCTCCGTCCCCGAAAGTCGAGGAATTTGAGACTCCCTCCTCTCCCGCGTCAGGGAACACCCCAAACTAGCAGATTTATATAAGTATTGTTGGCGGACGGTTAACCAGATCTGAACCGAAAAGTCGGGGATTTAAAACCGCAATAACCAAAAGTCGGGGATATCGGACCAGTATACCCGTCATCAATAATCCTAAACCTCCCTTTAAAAAAATTTTTTTACCCCCAAAAATTTTGGGCATTTTATATTTTAAAATATCAGATTCTTGTTGATAAACTATATAATCGTAAACCCGAATTATTCCATCCTCTCTCATCAAAAAAATTTTTTTTTCTTTAAACTTACCAAAATAGCTCTTCCAGATGATGATTGAGATTGTATCAATTCATTACGTTTTGCTTCAGCAAACATTTTTTGTAAAAGAGCAGAAGAATTGTTTGAAGTTAAACCACCACCCCCACTACCTCCAGAAGCAGCAAAAATATTGCTGCTTGTTCCTCCTCCTCCACCTCCTCCAACAGTTACAGCAACACCTCCGCCTACTCCACTAGCTGAATCTCCACCGCTATTAACAGAACTACCACCTCCAGGCATTTTTGACATTTGTCGAATTACCTTTAGAAAAAAATTTTTATCATAAATTAGGGCCCTCATTCTCTTGAAAGTTCTGGAGAAGTACATTATACCCCTCTCTCCTTCTCTTTGCAAGGTCTGGGAACAAGCATGCCATTCGCTACCCCCTTTGTCCTAAGCCATTCTCGGCACGCTTTTCTCTAATATTCATAAAATTTGAGCGTGGATCAAGACTTCAATTTTTCCCGGACCCAGAAACAAGACAGTACATTTTAATAATGTCAAGTTCAAAATTCGCTAGTCAAGCCTGATAGCTAAAACCAATTTTGAATATTATTAATTTTACCGATGTTGGCATAAAGGCAGGTGAATTGAGCAAATTTTGATGATGTGTTGTTGTTGTTACCGTTTTTTGTTGTTGTTGCGGTTGCTGCTGTTGAGTATTTACAAGTGGTGGAGGAAAATTCATTAAATGATAAGGTGATTGTTGACGATTTGGATGATATGGAGGAATATTTGGATTATTTAATCCTGGTCCTCCTCCAAGTCCTCCGCCGCCCCCAGAAACCCCGAATGGAGGATAAAATGGTTGTTGATGATGTGTTGGTGGTGTAAACGGCATTGTTGGAGCAAACGGAGGTAATTGGGGAGCAAAATTGTTATTGAGATGATGTTGAGATGGACCACCAATCTGTGAAAAAAACAAAAATTATAGCTCTAGTTTAGGACATGCATGCCATTCCAAGACTCGTGGTCTTGAGTCTTGATTCTAACAAGGAACCATATCGAACTGTCAGGAAAAATTTTCAAATAAAAATTATACCATCGTGTAGAGCATTGAAAAAAACTTCATACGTATTTTTTCTTTTTTGGCCCTAACCCCAATTTCGAAAAGTTATAGGGCTTCAAAGTTTTCGAATTTTGGAGCGGTTGAGTCGCCCTCACTTTTCTTATTATTTGCTTCCCAAGGAGAGAAATGAGACTCCTCTTCTCAATTTTTCCTTTCCTTTTCTTTTCACATGTCTGTTAAAGAAAGAGAAAAGGAGGAATGAGAAAAGAAAGGAAAAGGCTACTCTGCCTTTCTTCCATTGCGGATTAAAAACGAAAGAGGAGACGACAGAGTAGCCTGGCTCCCCTACAAAGGATAGATGAATTAAAAGATAGATGCACTAAAGGATAGATACGACCAAAAACTATCAAAGGATAGATGCATCAAAGGATAGATGCGCTAAAGGATAGATACGGCCAAAAGCAATCAAAGGATAGACAGCTGAATAGGTCGTTTGAGTCTGGACAAAAATGTTTAAAAATCTGAATCTTCGCTGGAAAAACGGTTTTTGTGCTGCTACGGAGGGTAGGCCGGGCATGGTCTTCGTTACACGATGGCCGTGCTTCGCTGCGGTCGTGCTCGCTCGCTCGCGGCGACCGTAGCGAAGCAGCGGCCGTCGTTCCGCTCGACATGCCCGGCTTCCTCCGCAGCGGCAAAAACTTTTTTCCGCGAATATACTAAAATAAAAATCAGAACAGAAACATGAAATCAGAACAAAGATCAGAAAAAAACAAACAAAGACCAGGCACTCAACAGTTGGTACTCAACTGGACTCCAAACTTTATCTATGTTTTACCCAATTTTAGACGTGTCTATACTTTAATGGATTTTACCCCTATCTATCCTTTGGCGCATCTATCCTTTGATGCATCTATCCTTTAATCGTTTTTTGCCTTATCTATCCTTTAGCAGCTTTTGGCCGCGTCTATCCTTTGATCGATTTTAGCCGTATCTATCCTTTGATTCATCTATCCTTTGAGCGGGCACGAGTAGCCTTTTCCTTTTCTTTTCTCTCTCCTCCTTTTCTCTTTCTTTAACAAACATGGGAAAAGAAAAGGAAAGGAGAAAAGGAAGATGGGAGTCTTATTTTTCTCCTTAATAAAAGAAAAATTTTCTTTATGTGGGCGACTCAACCACTCCAAAATTTGAAAACTTTGAAGCCCTATAACTTTTCGAAATGGGGGTTAGGGCCAAAAAAGAAAAAATACGTATGAAGTTTTTTTCAATGCTCTACACGATGGTATAATTTTTATTTGAAAATTTTTCCTGACAGTTCGATATGGTTCCTTGTAAGACTTTTCTTGGGATTTTTTCGGTCTTGGTTTTGGGATGTAGTCTTAAGTCTTGAGGTGTAGTCTTGGTCTTGGAAAATTTTCGGTCTCGGACTCTCTATAAGCTTCCCATAAGCCCTTCCAGCGGATTGAGATACATTCAATGAGCTCAGACTAATTTTCGAAACACTTAACTCTGGTGGGACGCTTATACGATCTTGGGATGCATAAAAGTTGATTGGACCCATGCCCTATACTAGTGCCAAAATTATATTTTCCCGTTTTGCCTCAAGAAAAAAATTTTTTCCTTCTTACCATCATAGCTCTTCCACCAGATTGAGATTGCATAAATTCATTACGTTTTGCTTCAGCAAACATTTTTTGTAAAAGAGCAGAAGAATTGTTTGAAGTTAAACTTCCACCTCCACCACTAGCAGCACCTCCCATTCCTCCTCCAAATCCTGGACCCCCTGGTCCTCCTCCAACCGTCGGCACACCAAACGGAGGATAAAATTGTTGTTGATGTGAAGGTGGTGTAAAAGGCATATTTGGAACATATGGAGGTATAGGCGGTCCAAAATTGTTGTTAAGATGATGAGGACCTCCAAGATGTTGCTGTTGATTGTTGTATTGATTTCCTCCCATTCCACCAGGAAATTGACCGCTTCCAAAAGGATTAATTCCTCCACTTCCAAAATGCGGTCCTCCTCCTCCAAAGGAAGGTGGTCCTCCTCCTCCCCCACCTCCACCAAATGTAGCAGCTCCCGAAGAATTAAATAATTGAGTAAGTTGAGGTGGTGGACTACAATGTTGATCAATTATTGGATATGGAAATGATGAAGCAAAAAGACGAGAAGAATATTCTGCACTAGCTGGACGTTGTTGTTGTTGATGTTGTTGAGATAAAATTGGTGAAGGTTGTTGATGTTGTTGATGTTGAAAAGATGGAGCTGGTGATGAAGATGAATTTCTGGGATTGAAAACAAAAGGTTGTTGTGGAACAAATTGTGCTGCTCGAAGAGACAACAAATCTAGAAAAAGAAAAATTTTAAAATCTTTTAGAATAGCAAAATATGCTGACATTCAGGATTCTGGAACATTTTTAATTGAATTGCCGTTTTCGAGTTGGGCCGTAGTTCGAGTCATTTTTTCGGACCAAACCGACCGAGTCTTTTTCTGGCCAAAATTCGATGCCCGACTCGATCTTTCGGACCGGAACCCTTAAAAAGCTTAAAAATCCTCCAAAAAATTAAAGAAAGTAATGAGAAAACAGATAAATATTATGGGTAGGGTAGGGGAAGTCCGATCCTCTACAAAATGCGATCATGTTAATGCCAAATAGGGTTGTCGGATAGTTGGAAAAATCTTCAGATATCCGGGTCTGATATCCGACCCAAAAAATTTCCAAATATCCTGCCTTTTCGGATACGGATATCCATGTCCGACAAATTTAATGACAAAAAAGCAATGATGTTAACATGATTCACAATCAATGTCATTCGTTGTATGATAAGCCCCAGAAAAAGCCTCTAATTTGTAAAAAATAGCTCCTATATTCCCCCTAAGACACCCCCCCCCCCCCCACAAAAAGCCTTCGAGGGATGCCTCGTATATTCTCCACCTAAAAAACCTTAAAAAATCCTCCCAAAAAATACAAAAAAAAAATAACAAACGTTTGTTCATTTTACTAGTAGTAGATTCTTCATTATTCATCATCAAATCCTTTCTTATTAAACTTTTCAATTCTTCATCTCCTCCCCCTCCTCCTCCAATTTTATTTAAATTATTTTCTGATATTGCAGCAGTATTTAAATTTGTTGTTGTAAAAGTTGCTTTTTGTTGCCAACGAAGTAAACGACTTGTAGTTGGTTGATGATCTCCTAATGTTTGTTGTTGATGTTGCTGCTGTTGATGCTTTTGTTGTATTGAATCATTATTATTATTTATTGATGGGATAACCTTTAAAAAATTTTTAATTAAACGATCCTGACTTAGAAAATCTTTTCCAGTGTTTATGTTTGTATTAAAGCATAAAAACTATATTCTAGGGCAATGTACTATTCAAGACCCAGTGTCAAAAGTTTGTGAAACCAGTAGAGTAGCTGTTTATTTATAAATTGAAATAGCCCGATATGTCTGGGGCTTCATATACACTTTAGGGATAACCCCAGGTTTCTAATCGTAAGTTTTTAAGCCTGTGATTTTGAGATTTTAATTGAGAATACCGAAAAAATTTTCTTGGGTTCGTCAATCTAAATCACGTTGGGAAATCCTGTCCGAATTTAAAATGTCTATCCGACCTGATTTAGATGGACTGACCAAAGAAAATTTTTGGTATCCTCAAATCTCATCCCCACCCCCAGTAACAAACAAAATTTTGAAAATAATTTTAACACAAAAAAAAATTTTTTTGGCCATTCGAAATTTGACTATTTATTTGTCCAACTTATTTCCAAAAAAAAATTTTTTACTCCCACCCATTTTTACTAAAAAAAAATTATTTTCAGCAAACTTACATTAGGCATAATTTTAGCAATTTGATCAATAGGCAAACCAAGAATACAAGCAGCAAATTCAGCATCAGAATTTGGTAATTTATTTTCATTTCCTTTTTCACCCGACCCTTTCTCTTTAGGTGGTTGTATACCCAAAGCTGCAAATAAATCAAAAGTTGTGGATAAATCTTCAATTTTTGTTGTTGATGAAGACTTCTTTTCTTTTTCAAGTTTTTCTTGATGTTCTCGAAGTATTGATAATTCCAAATCTGCTGCCTACAAAAAAAATAAATTTTTTAAAGTAAGGTTTTAAAGAAGGAATTTTTTTACATTTTTCATCATTTGTGAAACCACCCCTCTGCCCCTATTATTAAAATATTTTATTCCTGTTCAAACCAAAGCCTGACCTCAAAAACCAAGCAAACCAAATTTCTAGGGGAATAAACGATTCGAGTAAATCAGGAATGGGCTAGGGTTATCCAATACTCGAGGCCTGAACATTTTTTCAACACGAAACCCAATCTATAGAAACATTGGCGCTATCTTAATATAATGCGGCAATCAAATTTTTTCCTTCATTTTTTCCTTTCCATATTCAATTTTTTCCTTTCATTTTTTTTCCTTTCCAACACGGACGAAGACAGACAGACAAAACAAGGACTGACTCGGACAGAAAACACGACCGAACACGTCAGACAGAACACGGACGGACTCGGACAGACAAAACAAGGACCGTCCGTGTTTTGTCTGTCTGTGACCGTCCGTGTCGTCCGTCCGTGTTTTGTCTGTCCGTCTTCGTCCGTGTTTTGTCTGTCCGTGTTTTCTGCCAGACAACACAAAAATGTAATATTTCTTATTTTTTGCTTTTAATCTTTTCCCTATAATTACATTTGAAGATGCCACAGGAAAATTCATTTGAAGTGAACGAGGGTAAAAGTCTGACCTTTCTGTACAAAATAAGGAAAAATATGGAAAGGAAAAAATGAAGGAAAAAATTTGATTGCCGCATTATATTAAGATAGCGCCGAAACATTTAAAGATACGAATTTTTCCTAAAAACGGCTCATGAATATTCAAAAAAGAAGAACCCAAAGTCCACAAGAAAAATAACTGTGAGAAACTCCCAATTTCCGACAAATATAAACGAATACGAAGAAATTATACTCTCTAAAAAAATTTTAAATGTAACACTCAAAGTCAATTATAATTTCACAACCCCTAAAATACACTATTTATTCTAATAGTACCACATATGGTTCTATTTTCAACCTCTCAACTCGGGCCTGTAGCCAGGGGAGGGGCGCCAAAAATTCATCGCAAAGAAATTTTTCCCCCTTGGCCTCCCACACGAAAAAAATCCTGGCTACGGGGCTGCCTCCATTTGATGTGGTTCTAACAGAGACTGTGGTTCTATTAAAATAAATCCGATACTCTGATTATTCCAACACCACCAATTTTATTTTTTCATTCAAAAAAAATTTAAAGAAACCTGTATAACCCTAACAGGAGAATGCGAAGATTGTTTACTAAACGAACTATCAGTCCTTTGAGGTGTTTTATTGCGAGAAGACGGACGTGAATTATTTTTATTATTATTGTTTGGTGCACAATCTCCACTAGAATGCCTTTTTTGACGAGATGATGTTGAAGATGATTTTTGTGTTGTTGGGCCTGTATAAGTTTCAGAACTGGCTTTAAGATGATTATTACCATTATTTGAATCTTTTCTTCCTTTGGAACGTTTTCTTTCTTAAAAAAAGAAGAAAAGAATTTTTTTCTGAATGACATTTATAAAAAATCCTTTGAGCTAAGAAATAAGTGGAATCTAACTTTGAGTGGGATCTGTCGGTTAGGCAGATCGTTTGGACAGCCCCCCCCCCCCCCCGAATTGCCCTCCACACACCCAGTGGTCAATTTAGGAACGTGATCTTATGTAAGGATAATCTTGCTCTCAGGCCCGTAGCCAGGGGGGGGTGAGGGGGGGAATTCCCCCCCCCCCGAAATGGGAAAAAGAAAAAATTTGGGGAAGGGCTGGGGCAAAAAAAGTGAATTTTTTCGGCCTACGGCCTCTGAAATTTAAAAAATTTTCGCCTGCGGCGCTAAAAAAGGAAGAAATCTGGCTTCTTAAGGTCCAAAATCCAAAAAATTTTTGCCTGCGGCGCTGAAAATCAAAATTTTGGCGTCTGCGGCGCCGAAAGAGTGAATTTTTTGGCCTACGACCTTCTAAAATTCAAAAAATTTTCGCCTGCGGCGCTGAAAATAAAAATTTTTGGCGCCTTCGGCGCCAAAAATTTGGCGCAAAAAATTCCCCCCCCCCCCCCCCGAAAAAAAATCCTGGCTACGGGCCTGCTTGCTCTGATTAATTTTTTTCCTAGACCTAAAAATCAAAAAAGGGAACCAGTTGAAACCTCACGACCTGTCCCCATAATATTCAAAAAAATACTTTTTTCAGCTGCTGGCTGTTCTTGTTGTTCTTCATCATCATCAAATCCTTTCAATTCAATCACATCAAAAACAGAAGTTGGCCCAGCATTCATCCATTCTGGAACCTGTTCAGATTCTGTGTTTGAGCTACGCGTACGTTCTCTTTCACTAAATTCTCTATCACCAAAGCGACGACCCTTAAAAATAATAAATTTTAAATTGTTTGTTCTATGCATATTCAGGTAGGAAAAAGGGTCGGGTAAGTAATAGTAATCATGCTAAATCCTTCCAACCCCAAAAACCGGCTATAGAGAAAAACCATTAAATAATTGTTGGTTCGATCAGATATTTTCGGATATTCTGCCCTGAACAAAAAAACTCCTAGGTTCTTCGGTTCGATTAGAAATGACAACACTCTTAAACCGCGCTGTCATAGAATCTGACCAGAACCAAAACTCAGATTTTATGTCAAAGACAAAAACAAAAAAATGTAACCTTAACAACCTTATCTCCTTGTTTAGAATGTCCACTAGTATTCCAAGAAGTTGAATGTCCCACTTCTTTACCACTACTAACCGTATTGTTTTGACTTGAACGGCTTGAACGAGAATTTGCTTCAAGAGCATTCTTTTGCTAAAAAATTTTTTTTATTTTAATTTTAAAGAAAAAAAACAAACAAAAGCAGGTTTAAAGTCAATTCCATTATTTTTAATTTGCCAACGGGAACGGCTAGAAGATGGTTGTTGATGATGAGATTTGTCGGCTAAAAAATGAAAATTTTAAATAAATTTTTAAAAGGCTAAGGAAATTTTTTAAGGGAAGTTTCCAAGTTTGTGTGGTATTAATATTGAATCGGACAATTTAGATGGAAGAAAGGAAAAAGTCTAACCATTTTTCAAAAATATGAGGGGGGATTGGGGAGGAAAAAAGGGTCTGTCCGGTTCAATATTACTGTTTGTGTTGTCTTATTTTGGGAAATAAAACAAAAGGGGACCAATTTTGTAAAAATAAAAAATAGCAAAGATAATACATGTAAGTCAAAATCACCACTTTTCGAGTCTAACAGTCTTTTCAAAAATAATAAAGGTGAAACAATTTAGAAAGACTAATTGAAGGGAGGAAATGAGAAAACTCCCTCCCAAAAAATTCTCCCTGAGAATCCAAGGAAATAGCTTGACAATAAAAAATAGACCAAAAAATCCCCTCAATAAAATTCCTTACCCGACTTTGGCGGAGATGCCGCTTTACATCCAGAAGAGAATCCCCGTCTCTGTGGTGACAACAAAGTGTGGTGATTGTCCAAAAAATCATCATTTTTAGTTGCAGCTATAGTAGACTCCAATATTGAACTCAAAGTCTTTGGATTTGCCCCAGCTGACATTGCAGCCAACGGCAAAGCATTACTGCCCGTAACCGGCACAGAATTATTATTATTATTTCGACGCCTTCCACGAGGTTCAACACCTTCACATTGCCATTTATATTGCACCCACTTATCAGGAGAGAAGAGTCCCTTATCACTAAATAAAAAATATTTTTTAGAGTCACAGGCTTATTGTTAGCTACAAGAGATCCCAAAGATACCCCCATTTAAGATACGTTTTTTCTAGAGTTTCACCGGAAGTTCCGGTTCCGGAAACTTCCGGTGTTTTTTTGGTTCCAATTCAGGGAACCGGAACTCGAATTGGATCCGGTTCCGGTCAAAATTTCGGTTCCGGTGAAACACTAATTTTTTCAGAAGAAAGCTGACCAGCCTTTGGGTGCTGAAATGTTTGGGTCATGTAAGACGTCTAGCGATACCCACAATTTAAGACAGGACAATTATAAGCATGTTCCTACTCCTAGGGTTCATTTTATAGCGAGGTCTGACTCATTAACACGGATGAGACGAGATAAGTCGGAAAGGATTTCGAGTCGGATTTTCGAAAAATTCTTGGATAGGATACCAGCTTCGGGTAGAATCATCAGCTTTCTGATTCGAAAAATTGTCTGTTTCAAAGCTCAAGCTTCGGGTTCCGGATAAACCCTGCCCGTCCCTACTGTAAAACCCAAAAAAGAAAAACCTGTCGAAATCTCGTGAAAGTTCAGGCGGTCTAATTCTGCTCAACCTCGCGTCTCTCAAAGCAAGCATTTCTTCACGACTGTAAGTCATTTGTGGTTGTTGTTGCTCTGAAGAAGACGAATCAAATAAAGCTGTTGAAGTGTCGGTTTTGGCATCCTTTTTGTCGTCAAAATTTTCGTTATTTTCTGTCATTGTAAAACCTGAAAAACTTCAAAAAATCGAAATTTTAAGGGTACTTGTGAGACTTCCCAAACCAGTATTTGCGGACATTTTTTGCGGACTTTTTTTGTACAAAAAGGTAAGTCTTTCTTCCTTCCTCGATTCCTCCTCAATTTTCACTGTGGCAAGTTTAAGAGTGACATCCACCAAAGAAGACTCCTGAAACATGCCACAGGGAAAATTGAGTGAAATCGAGATAGGAAGGCGATCTTCCTTACAAAAATGTCCGCATAAATGTCCGCAAATACTGGTTTGGGATAACTAGCGCAAGTAGCATTTTAAGGGATTAAACAAAAACTAAAACAAAAAAGAACAAAAAAAATTCGAGAAAAAAAACGCAAAAACTGACAGGAAAAAAATAAATTTGAGAGGAATCGATAGTCAAAATTCAAAAAATAATTAATTTGGCATTCTGTCACTAAAAATTTTTCGAAACGATTTCTACATTTTTTCGATTTTTCCAGATTTTTGCTGTCAAAGATTTTTTCTTGATTTTTTACAAAAGAGTTAACTTTGTTAAAATTCAAGTTCGATCCCCCTTCTTTTCCCTTCCTTAATTTGTACACAATGGTAGAATGGAAAAGAGGAGAGATCGGTATTTTGAAAAATCCTGGATTTAGGTTAGTAAGCTGGACAGGATTCTGGATCCAGAAAAAATCCAGACTGGATCCAGATCCAGACAGATCTCTAGAATTGAGGAAGAAAGACTGACACATATACTAAAGGAAGGAAAAAGAGGGGGGAACGAACTTGAATTTAGGAGCAGGCCAACGTACCGCAGCTCTATAACTTCGTTCAAAATAGTCGAATCCGGGACGCCTTGGGATGGTTCAATCTCGACGAGCTGAATCAAACCATATCAGGGCGTCTCGGATTCGTCCATTTTGAACAAATTCATAGCTCTGCAGTATGTTGGGCTCGCGGTGCCTTTGGGTGTACTCGCCAAATTTAACCAATTTTCTATTTCAGATTTTCTAAGTTAAACACAAATCCAAGTCTATTTCTAAAAAATGGCAGTTGGAAAGAATAAGAAGATGGGCAAAAAGGGAGCTAAGAAGAAGGCTGTAGATCCTTTCACACGCAAAGATTGGTATGACATCAAGGCTCCTGCTATGTTTGCAAATCGTTATGTTGGAAAGACTCTGGTTAATAAGACTGTTGGAACAAGTATTTTTTTGTGTTTTTAATGGATTGTGGGGATTGTGGAGTCTAATCCTTCAGAAATTTTTTGATCCGAATCCTGGGGTATTCCTTCAGTTCATTAGATCTCAGCCTGAGTTCAGCTTATTGTTAGAGCCTTGTGTTTTTTGTATTCATCCAAGCATTTTTGGAGGTTTTTGTATTTCTCAATTCCTCAGAAACATTTTGGTTCAAACCCTGGGTATGCCTTTAGTTTAGTAGAGCTCACACTGGTTCCAATGTGTTTCTGTTACAAAAGTTCAGATTTTGAAGATCTTTAAAGCTTCTTGGATTTAACATTAACCTTTGGTTTTCCAAGTTTGGGGTTTTAGGACTTCTGGTCCAGTAAGTACTCATATTTATTTTCCCACCCCCAGTCAAGTTTTTACTTATCACAAGGACGTACGAAATGGTCATACCGGCCCAGACTTACTATTAAGATTTCGATCCCGTCCATTGACTTTTAATTCGCTGTTTTACCTCAACTTTTTTAAAATACCCATTCTTTTTCTCACCATTAATTTTTTTTAGAAATTTCGAGCGAATTCCTCAAGGGCCGCGTTTATGAAGTTTCTCTTGGTGATTTGAACAACACCGAAGCTGACTTTCGCAAATTTCGACTTATTTGTGAAGAGGTTCAAGGCAAAGTTTGTTTGACCAATTTCCATGGAATGACTTTTACTCGAGACAAGCTTTGTTCTATTGTCAAAAAGTGGCATGTATGTGGCCTAATCTTAGCAATTTGACCTTTTTACTTGTTTAGACTTTGATTGAAGCAAATGTTGCTGTCAAAACAACTGATGGTTATCTGCTTCGATTGTTCTGTATTGGCTTCACAAAGAAAGCTCCGAATCAAGTGAAGAAGACTAGCTATGCTAAATCGTCTCAAGTGCGTCAAATTCGTGCTAGGATGGTTGAGATTATTCATCGCGAGGTTTTTGAACTTTTTTTACTTTTTCCCCTCAAAATCGGTGCTTTTTCATCATCATGGGACGAATTGTCCTTCCACGTGGTCTCATTTATAACCCAATAAAAATAGTCTCCAAACTTAAACAATTTACCTCACAAGGGACATTCGGATACGGTGTACAAAATTTTGGTAATTTTTTGGTACCAATCGATAGAGGAGCATCGATTTCTATTGAGAAGTGATGCGGGTTTTTCAGCAAGGTGACTTTAGGCCGAGTTATGGCCAGTCAAAGTTGAAGAATCCTGAGTTTTAGGCAGAGGTGGGTTGGAACAGTCAGAGGTTCGGAAATGGCTCAAAAGTCGGAACTCGTAAAAAACGTCGGAATTCCGACCCACCTCTGGTTATAGGGCAACCGAGAAGCTTCTCTATTCTTTTCCTCTTCAAAAACCCACACGCGCCCATGTACACATTATTCGATGTTTCCTTGTCAAAATTTTAAAAATAAAAAAAAATTTTTTTTAAAGGTTTCTTCATGCGATCTTAAAGAAGTTGTTAGCAAATTAATTCCTGATTCTATTGGAAAAGACATTGAAAAGTCTTGTTCTTATTTCTATCCACTTCAAGACGTTTATATTCGAAAAGTAAAAATTTTGAAAAAACCAAAATTTGAACTTGGAAAACTTTTGGATATGCATGGAGAGGGTGCTGGTGGTGGTGGTCAAGTTGCTATAACTACGGCAAGTGGTGAAGTTATTGAAAGTCGTCCAGATGCTTATGAACCTCCAGTTCAGGAAAGTGTTTAAGAAGACAAGGAAGAGAGGTTTAAATTTAAATTAAAAAATGTTTTGAAAAGAAATAAGGTTCGAGAAATTGTTAAAAAAACTTGTTTTTCTGTTATGTCGTTTTGTTAAAAATGTTTTAAAAATGTCTTTTTTGTGAAGGTGGATGGGAGTCTAGTTTTGGTTTTTCTAATAGAACCACATGTGCTTCTATTTTTCAATCTTCTCGTAGGGTCTGCTTTGAGAAAAAATATTTTTTATATTTTCACTAAAAATTTGTTTATCCGTTTTAGAGTCATTAACATGAAGAAAAAAAAAAGAACAAATACGCTCAAAAATTATCTTTTTTTCTTTGGATTTTTTCAGGCTGCTTCCTCTTGTTACTTTACCGGTTCCAAACCCAGAACAGTAGAACTCTTTTTTTTTAATTTTTTTGGGACAGGGTAGAGACTTTATCTTAATTATAGTTGCCAGTTTCGAATCGGGCTGACGGTTGAGGCATTCTTTTCGAGATTGTTTTTATCGAGTCGTGCCTGTATGAGTCACTTTCGGGCTTAATTTATCGAGTCGGGCCGTACGAGTCTTTTTCTAGCCTGGGTCTGACTCGATCTTTCGGTCCGAGCCGGTCCATTTTGGCAACCCTAATCTCAATTATCCTCAAGATAATAAATTAGTTCTGACTCGAATAAGATAAATAAGAGCGTATTTAATTGACTAGAAAAATCCATTAAAAATAACCAAAAAAAAAGCTTTTTCTCTCTCTCAATATCACCATGTCGAAAAAGGACCACAATGTGGAAAAAAGTCGGTAAATTCACATCCATTAACACAACATATTCGCATAATTTCACTAATATTTGCTGGTCTATATTTTAATTTATTTTGGTCTTCTTGTTGATTTTCTTGTAAGTCTTCCTCTTCTAGATCATCAAAATAGTCTTCCTTTATTTTTAAATTATTTTTTGGTTTTTCAAATCGTGTACTTATCCCAAATATTGTGTGCCGCTTTTTTCGTTTCCGCATAGGACAGGCCAGTTCAAACGCTTCGAAAAATGACCGGCCACCTTTTTAAAATATTAGAAATATTTTAAGCTGTTAGAAATTTTTTTAGAAAATTTTTTGGTTAGGGAAGAAGTCAAAAAAATGAAAATTCGCCTGTGGGAGTCGAACCTTCAACCCTTTCTGGGGAGGATCCTACAATTAACCCACTACACTATCTCAACATGCTGAATGAAAAATTTTCCGGAAATATTAGAAATACTTTAGATTGTCTGGAAATTTTTTTAGATAGGGAAGAAGTCAAAAAAATATAGAATTCCCTGGTAGGAATCGAACCTTCAACCCCTTCTGGGGAGGATCCAACAATTAACCCACTACACTATGTTAACATGATTGACGGGAAAATTTCCGGAAGATTTTCTTTCCGGAATTTTAGGAAAAATAAAAATTTTTAAATCTCCTATATTGAGCTTTGGACCATCTTAAAAAATTTTTTACCTGGTGGGCACAATTTTAACGCTCCAAGTTTTGTTTCTGTTTTTTGTTTTTCTATTGGATGTTTTGTCTGTTGTATTTCTCTATTATCAAATGCTGGTAGTTGGTGTTGTTGTTCTCTTAATTCTGTTCTAGAGGAGGATTCTGATGTTGGAGAGGAAGAAAACAATGGCTGTTTTAAAAAGATTTTTAGAAAAAGCATGACTTGACTATGAATAATCCCAACCCCCTCTACTTGAGTTCCTTGCCCGTATAATTGGAGAGGTGCTCTCATAATTAGAGAAATTTCCTTATAATTAGAGAGATGTCCTTGTAATTAGAGGAAATGTCCTTATAATTGGAATAATGTCCTTATAATTAGAATATATTTTTCAATAATCCACCAACTTTGTTTCTGCTATTAAATTCTGTATTTCGGAAGAGGGCGCTTAAAGGGTTGTTGTATGAAAAAACATTCATCATTGACACTGGCAGAGCTTGGGCATAATTACTGCTTAAAAATGATGCTTGTGGTTGTATTATTACCAGTAAAGTTGTTAATAAAAATAAAGAGTGAGTTATCATTTTATTGTAAAAAATAAAAAGAATAATTCTGAAATTAAGTTTATAAAATCAGAATTTACAAAAGTAGAAAATAAACTTTGCAATGAGAGGGGAAAAAATCAGAATAAATTTACAACTTTCCGGAAAAAAGTTTTAAATGTAAAATCAGAATTAATTTTACATTTCTGAAAAAGTTCCGGAAAAAGTTTATTTAAATTACAATTACAACTTTCCGGAAAAACCGTTTATCAGAATATGTTTACAACTTTCTGGGAAAAAAGTTTTAATATAAAATCAGAATTTACAACTATTTATTCTGAATTAAATTTGCAAATTTTCCGGAAAAAAAGTTTATTTACGTAAATTACAATTTGTAATTTTTTATAAGAATATAGACGTCAGAATTTACAATTCCGTAAAGCTTTTAATAATGCATATTTATTTTCCCCTTTGACGAAAATAGTGTTTTGGAGTCTATCTAAATAAATTTATTTTTAAAACAAATTTAAAAAATCTTGAGGGTGGAGCAGTGATTTTTGTTCTTTTTTAAGAGGGTGGAGATTGACTTGAAATTTTTTGTTATTAATTCTTTTTACGTCCTCGGGGGACATGCTTTCATTTCATCCTTCCTTCAGAAAGTTTGTTTTTCCTTAAATAGCGAATTTTTATTTTTAATCCTAATTTAATTTAAATGCCTAAAAATGATATTAAATAAAAAAATATGTATGTCTACAAAAGTTCTGAAAATGTTTCTGAAATTACAATTCTTAATAAAAAATAATAGAATTCAAAATTAAATGTAAATCAGAATTTGTAATTTTCCGGAATTTAAAATTAAAAAAATATAGGCGTCAGAATTTACAATTTACAAAATAATAATTACAAACCTCCCGGAAAATAATAATCACAATTCAGAAATTAAAACCAACTTTCCGGAAAGAAAATAATAAAATCAGAATTTACAATCCGGAATCAAAAGAAAATTGCAAACCTTTCCGGAAAATAATAATGAAAATTGTAAATCAGAATTTGTAATTTTCCGACTACAAATCAGAATTTGTAATTTTCCGATTGCAAATCAGAATTTATAATTTTCCTATTAAAAATCAGAATTTGTAATTTTCCGGAACGGTTTTAATTTACAATCCGGTATGAAAAGAAAATTAAAACCTTTCCGGAAAGAAATAATGAAAATTAAAAATCAGAATTTGTAATTTTCTGACTAGAAATCAGAATTTATAATTTTCCGATTACAGATCAGAATTTGTAATTTACAAATCAGAATTTGTAATTTTCCGGAACGGTTTTTATTTTAAACAGTATAAAATCAGAACAAGGGATTTTTAAAGTTTAAAAACTGAAACATTTATTAGGGAATATATTTACTTTCATAGAAACAATAATTTTCCACACACGTATAATTTTTGTCAAGTCAAGTTTTTTTAAATAAACTTCCTCGAACATAGCTGGAGAGCCAATTAGTGTATTTTTAAATTTTCCTTTATACTTTTCAACACGTATTCTAGTAATATTTAATTAGTAGAGAGGAGAGCTTGGAGGGGAAAGCGTTTTAAAAATAAAAGTTTTTGTTAAAAAAATAAATGAAAACAAAAATGAAAAGAGGAACGCAATTATTTATGTAAAAAGATTTTTTTAATCTTTTTTTGAAAATAATAGATTTTTTAAATTTAAATTAAACCCAATGCTAATTTATGAAGGATTGGGTATTATAATAAACATATGCTTTAATATAAGTATTTTCCGGAAGAATTATAAACCTTCCGGAAATAGACAATGAAGGGAATTCTGATTTTATACTTTTTAAAATAAAAACTTTCCGGAAAGTTGTAAATTCTGATTTATAATTTTCATTGTTTCTTTCCGGAAGGTTTATAATTCTCTTTTCCGGATTGTAAATTCTGATTTTATTAGTTATTCTCGTTCCGGAAAGTTGTGAACTCATATTTGTAATTTTCATTAGTTCTTTCCGGAAGGTGTATAATTACAAATCAGAATTTCTTTTAATTCCGGATTGTAAGTTCTGATTTGTAATTTTCATTATTTCCTTCCGGAAAGTTTGTAATTTTTACAATTTTAAGTTCCGGAAAATTACAAATTCTGATTTAATTTAATTCTGATTCTACGGAATTTTCCTTAAAAATGTAACAAATATTTTTATTATAAATTAACAAAAATAAAATATTCTGATTTTTCTTTAATTTACTCTCATTTTATACATATTTGCCTTGTTTTAGTTTTAAAAATTAAAACAAATTTTTGCTTTAACCAAAAAAAAATTTTCCCGCCCCCTCCAACTCAATCCAAGCAGTTTTAATTTATTTTTAAAGCTGAGAAGTGGCTATCATCTTTTATTTTAGGGTTTAAATTTAAGCGGAAAATGAGGATCGATTTCGGCAATTTTTTAAGAAAATATGTAAATAAAGGAGGAATGATGTTTTTTTAATTTTAGTCTAAAAAAGACCAATTTATACCTATTGTTTAATTAATTAAAAAATTTTAAAAAAAAGAAAAATTTTCTAAAAATAATTTTTTAAATTAAATATTCAATTAAAAACATCTGTTTTTTAGTTAAAATTTACAAAATATAATTTTTTCTAATTTTTTTGAACAAATAAAGTAAATAAAATATGCAAATAAATAACAAAAAAAAATATGAGTAGAATTCCCAATGGATCAAAAAAGATGATTAATTATGCTAAATTAAGTATTGAGATAAACAATAGAAAGTATAGACACAAGTTTGACGTGTGGAAAATAATAAAAAATAAAAAAGATATTTGTATAAATGAGGGTAAATTTAATAATGACTATGAGTTATATTGCTGCATACTATATTTCTTTCCGGAAAAGTTTTGGTAGTTATATGTATATCCTCCGGAAAAGTTATTTTATATATATGTTTCCGGAAAAGTTCGAACGATTATATTTATTATTTCTTTCCGGAAAATATTGATGAATATATTTATTTCCGGAAAAGTTTTGGTAGTTATATAATCATATTTCTTCCGGAAAATTGTATTTTATATATGTTTCCGGAAAAGTTTGAACGGTTATATTTATATATCTTTCCGGAAAAAGTTTAATTATAAATATGTATATTCTTCCGGAAAAGTGTATATCTATATTTCTTTCCGGAAAATATTTTTTATATTATGTTTCCGGAAAAGTTTATTAGTAAATTCTGATTTCTATTTTCTTTCTTTAACCAACTTCTTTCCGTTTTCTATTTTACTCGAAAATTGTATGTACTTGTAAATATTGTTGCATTTTTTACTTTCCGGAAGGTTCTATTTTCTTTCCGAAAACGGGTTTTCATTTATATTCGATTATCTTCTAGAAGCGATTATACTTTTGTTAAAAAAACACCATTTTTAATAAAACTTAGGCAACAATAATTACAAAATTTTTATATTTAACACAGTGACAGCCTCCTTGCTTACGTGTTCTTTTCTACCTATTAGTTTTGCACAGCTTCCGCAACTAAAGCAACGAAAAATTCTTTGATTTCCTCCCTTTTTCATTCTAATATTCCTTTAAAATCAATAGCGAATAAAGCGTATATTAACGTTCAAAAATTGAGCAAATTAACAAGTTATTAAATTCTGATCTTTCCGGAAAGTTTTAAATATTCATAGTTATACTTTCAGAAATTCTGATTTGATTCATTTCTTTCCGGAAAATTATATAATTTTCCGGAAGGGTTCTCAACTTTAATTGAATAAAAATATATTTCTTCCGGAAAATACTCTTTTCCGGAAAAAAAGTAAATATAAACCAGAATCTACAACCTTCCGGAATTTAATAATAAATAAATCAGAATTTACAACTTTCCGGAAAATAAACTTCGTAAGCAGTAAATCAGAATTTATTATCTTCCGGAAAGAACTTTAGCAAATGTTGATGAACTTAAATAGACTGAATATATTTACACGCAACAATAAAACCTTTATTAAATTTTCTATACTATTATATTATTATTTATTCATTTTTCACTCAATTTTGTAAGCAAATATGGACTTTTTAAATTATTTAAAAATTTATTTTAGAGCGGAATGTCCCCGAAAAGTTGAAGGTAATAATCATGTAGGTGGACAACCCCCAGGATTACGTCCTGCCAGTCATTTTATTCAAACAACTTTTGCTTTTCGCGATTTGGAAGGTTAGGGAGAGTCAGTTTTAGAAAAATATTAATCCGGAAAAAATTCATTTCAGCTCTGGATCGCGATTTTTCACAGGCAACAATTTTTAAATTATCAGAATTAAGGCCTCGTTTAAGACGAGAAGCTTTGCTTACATTGGATAATGAAAATTTGGACTGTGGAGATGATCAATTTAGTATTCGTTGTAGTGACTATCCATTAAATAAAGCCTTTCATTATCTTATTGTAGAGGACTCGTGAGTACACCTTTACTGATAGAAAAATATTAAATCAGAATTAAAATTATAAATCAGAATTTACTGTTTTCCGGAAATATAATAAAAAATTAAACCAGAATTCATTACCTTCCGGAAATGAAAAATTCCGGAAGGTAATAAAAAATTCCGAAAGGTAATATAAACCAGAATTTAATACCTTCCGGAAAATATAATAATAAAAATAAATCAGAATTTAATGTTTTTCGGAAAATATAATAATAGAAATAAACCAGAATTTACTATTTTCCGGAAATGTATAATAAAAATAAATCAGAATTTATTGCCTTCCGGAAAATATAATAAATAAATCAGAATTTACTGCCTTCCGGAAAATATAATAAAAATAAACCAGAATTTACTGTTTTCCGGAAAATATAATAATAAAAATAAATCAGAATTTATTACCTTCCGGAAATTAAAAATAAATATACCAGAATCACAACCTTCCGGAAATTTAATATTATTATATCAGAATTTATTACTTTCCAGAAAACAAAATTTAAATAAACCTGAATTTACTCTTTTCCGGAAATCTAATAATATTTAGTTAAAATATTATAGACGAACAGGCGCTGCCGTATACAGTCTCTCAAGAGAAAGAAATTGGGAGGCTGTTGGAAGGAATCGCGCTGAAGCTGAAGGCAGATTAGAAATGGCTTTGTTAGATGCCCTCAGCAGACATTCAATCCATTCTCTGTTAGAATTTGGGGCAGAAAATGCTCTTCCAGGGTTTGTACGGGAAGTGGGGGCTGCTGAGATGGAGCAACAAATGCGTGAAAATCTCAAAGAAAAATTGAAAAATAAAAAGGAGAAGCAAAGCCGGATAGAATTAAGGTCCCCTTTCGAGCTTAGAATGTTAAATCTGAAGATACTCGCTGAACGACAGCCAATATTTGAGGATTCTGCTGAAAGCCTAGCCGTTCAAGGCTCTTCATTTTTAAAACATTTTCATGGCTCTGAATTGGTGGAGGCAATAGAAACTCAAACAGAAAAGGAGAATTCCCCCGGCATTTTTGTCCTTTTTTGGGGAACGGAAGGATCGTTGGGGGAACATGCCCTAAACCTTTGGAAACGTTCTGCATATAAATGGAAAAATAGGGTGAGTATTCAAAATTGTATTAATATTAATTCCGGAAAGAAAATAGTAGAACAGATTTTAAAACAGAATTTAGAACTTTTCCGGAAAGAATATAAATTATTACTATAAATTATATAAATTATCCTTTTCCGGAAAGAGAATAATAAATCAGAAGTTATAACCTTTTCCGGAAACAATAAAAAAATAAATCAAATTAAACCTTTTCCGGAAAGAAATAAAGTCTGAAACAAATTTCCGGAAACAATAAAAAAATAATAAATGAAATTAAATTTTTCCGGAAAAACAATAGCATTTTCAATTCCTTAGATCAACAAAAAGTTAAATATAAAACGTGAAGCAGTCTTTGGTGTTGTAAAATGCGATGAGGAAGGAGTAGAGCTTTGCCACGCTTTTGGTATCTTGCCAAAGCAGAAACCTCAGTTTCTCGCATTTATGGACGGACAACGGGTTGGACAACAAATGGGGCTTGGGGACGAGGGATTTTTTATTAACTGGTTGGGAAATAGTGTACATACATGATGAAATCCCTATAAATTCTAGGATACGTCTAATCCTTATGGGGTCGCTTATTTATATAAAGGATGTCAAAACAAAAAATAATTTGATGGAATTTGGACCAGTCACTATGGGAATTTTCCGAGATGAGCAACAAGCCGAATTTAAATCCTATAGAAGGGTGGCTGTATTACTCGCTGGACGATACCAATTAGCATATAAATTAGACAAAAGGCAAAGGAAAAAAAATAAAAATTAAAATAAATAAAATTTTAACTTTTAGTTTAGACGTTCCACGTCTCAGTACTTTTAGGCGGTCATTTAAAGGAAATTCTGAAGAAATAGTTCATATGGGAGTATTCAATGCAAATTCAATTTTACAGCATATTACTAGGGAGAGTATGCCTCTAGTTGTAAGTAAATCAGAATTTACAACTTTCCGGAAAAGAACCAAAGAGAAATCAGAATTTGTAATTTTCCGAAAAGAATTTACAATTTTCCTGAACGATAAATAAATACAAAATCAGAATTTGTAATTTTCCGGAAAGGAAAATAAATAATAAAATCAGAAGTTGTAACTTTCCGGAAAGTATTTACAATTTTCCGGAAAAATAAATAAATAATAATATCAGAATTTGTAATTTTCCGGAAAGAATTTACAATTTTCCTGGACGATAAATAAATACAAAATCAGAATTTGTAATTTTCCGGAAACATTTACAATTTTCCGGAACGAAAAATAACTAATAAAACCAGAATTTGTAGTTTTCCGGAAAGAATTTACAACTTTCCGGAAAAATAAATAAATAATAAAATCAGAATTTGTAATTTTCCGAAAAGAATTTACAATTTTCCTGAACGATAAATAAATACAAAATCAGAATTTGTAATTTTCCGGAAAGGAAAATAAATAATAAAATCAGAAGTTGTAACTTTCCGGAAAGTATTTACAATTTTCCGGAAAAATAAATAAATAATAATATCAGAATTTGTAATTTTCCGGAAAGAATTTACAATTTTCCTGGACGATAAATAAATACAAAATCAGAATTTGTAATTTTCCGGAAACATTTACAATTTTCCGGAACGAAAAATAACTAATAAAACCAGAATTTGTAGTTTTCCGGAAAGAATTTACAACTTTCCGGAAAAATAAATAAATAATAAAATCAGAATTTGTAATTTTCCGGAACGAAATCACAAATTGTAATTTTTCTTTTAAGCTTGATATTGGAAACGGATTTACAACCGATTTGGTTATCAGACCAGAACCAACTTTATTCCTTATTTACAACTCAAATTACAAAACTTCCCCAGAATTGCGCACCTTATTTTCTTTACTTCCAAGCAAACTTGGAAATAAACTTAAAAATAATATAAAACTTGTTGAACTGGACAAAGCACATTCTTTGCCATTGGAAGGGCTTTTAATTGAACTTGGTTTGAGCAATAAAAAAGAATTTAAAGAGACTGCTGTATTTTGCGTGTTACTTGTATCTGTGGGTGTTTTATTGTCATAATAAAAAATAAAAAAATTAATGGGGAAGTGGGTTATTAGAATTTAATTTAAAATTACAAAAAAATTTTTCTCTGAGGGGGTTTTAATAAAAAAATATTTTTTTCAAGTCAATTCATTGCGTACCAGTCCCAACTGTTGAATGGTTCAGAGATGAATTTACAAATAATATTGTTGAATTGCTAGGGCACGCTTTTCTAAAGACATCTGACAATAATGAAAAAATTACTGATGGCTCTTGGCAACGCTTTTTCCCTCACAAAAGTGCTTATCTTTTTAATTTTTGTATTTTTAAAGAACACGCAATTTAAGGGAGAAAAGTTTTAAATTAATAAAAATCAGAATAAAACAGAATAAACCCACTAACAGATAATAATAATAAATTAGAAACTTTCCGGAAAATATTAAACCAGAAATTAAAACCGGAAAGGTTGGAAAAATTAAACTTAATGTAAAGTAGTATTTTCCGGAAAAATAATATAATAATTTAAACTTTCCGGAAATAACCCCCTTTTAATTCTAGTTTAGTTAGACTTCTCTTCCGGAAAGTTTTATTTTCTGATTTCCCGGAAATTCTGATTTTACTATATAAAAATTTAAACTTTCCGGAAATACTATATGTATAAACAGAATTTTTAAACAAGTTTATTTCTGATTTTATTTCCGGATTTAATTTAAAAACAGAATTTTGGTAAGAATAATAAGTAAAATATTCATGTTTATTATTAACATCATTTAAAATATTTTTAAAAGACGTAAAAAATTTAAGTTCAAGGAAAATGACCTTATATACTTGGAAAAGGACATTTTAATATCTCTATTAAATTTAAAAAAATTAAATTATATTTTAAATTGCGTGACAAATGAATTAAAAAAAAGATTTTTTCTGCATGCAAAAAAATCACGTTCAGAAAATTTTTTTTCTACAAATAAAATAAAAAAGAAAATTTTTTTATTTTATTAGACAAAGATAGGATTTTTTAATTTTAAATTAAAAAAAATTTTTGTAAAGAAAAATTTTCTTAAGTCGACTTTGAAAACAAGCCACATCCACTCATGCAACTTCAACTTGAACAGATAAACAAAATTTTTGGAGGACAACAAATAAAAATTAAACCAGAACCGATTAGTGAACATCACCATAATTTGGTAATTTTTCAAGAAAAAAATTAAAAGAAAATATTTTTGAAGCATAATTTCGATGGAATGGATAACGAAAAAGCAGCAATTTCTGGATGTCCCATGATGGCCCATTTAAATAATATACGCGACGAACTTTAGCAATTTTTATATAAATTTTTTTGAAAGAAAATAGACAAACAAAAAATCTACTTTGGGTAAAGAAGGGGTACAATCAGAATTTAATAATAAAACTTTCCGGAAAGAACCAAGCAGAATTTAAGGAATTAAAACATTTACAGATAAATCAGAATATTCTAGGAAATTCAAAACTTTCCGGAAAGTTTAATTAAAGCGGTAAACTTTTTCAGAGTAAACCTTCCTAAAAATCAGAATTTAATAAAAACATTCCGGAAAGAATCGATCAGAATTAAAAGTTTAAGCAAGAAAATCAGAAATAAAACCTTTCCGAACAAACCAGAAATTATAAAACATTCCGGAAAGTTTTAATTAAATCAGAATTATTTAAAAACATTTTCAGAACAACTTTCCAGGAAAATCAGAATTTTTAATAGAATGTCAGAATTTTAATTAAACTTTCCGGAAAGAATAATTAAACTACCTAATTTGTAAAAATAAAATTTTCCGGAAAGAGTATAATCGCAATTTACAATTTAAATAAAATTACAAATAAAGAAGTACCATCCCAGGGATTAATTTAGAAAATAAAATACTCATGAAATCGTATAGAAAAGACATTTTTAATTTTGAATAAAAAATACAAAAAGCGTAATTTAAGGGGAAATTACATAAATCTTACTAATTTTTTTATATAATGTTGGCAAAAAAAAGTCTCAATATAAAAATTGGGAAAAAAATTCTATTTTTTTTAAATTTAAAAATTGGGGGGACATTTTCTTCGTCATTTCTCAAAATTTTCTTTTTTTCTAAAATTAAAAAAAAAATTTTTCTTCCTTCCTTTTCCCTTCCCCTTCTATTCCAAATAAATTCTATGATAATCATTCGCTCCAAACGCCGCGTTACACTTTGGACATTTTCTTCGACGATTATCATAACGTTGACGAATACATTCAAAGCAAAATACATGATGACATTTTTCAAGTATTGCATTTTTACGTCTAACTTTACAACTTGGACATGTTAATGACTCCTTTATTAAGAAAATTTTTGAATAAAAAAAATTTTATTTTTTTGGCTCTATCTTAGGACATGCGTCCCATGGACATTTATGCGTCCCATAAACAAAAAATTGAATTTTTCTTGGTGTTGCAAAGTTGAGGTATGGTTCCAAAGCATTTCTTCATGTTCGGGACCTACGCCCACTGGGTCTGGGACCGTTCCTTACCCTATCCATCGAAATTTCTGAAAGTTAAAATCGTTTTTCTGAAATTTTTAAAAATGGCTATAACTTTCAGAAATTTCGATGGATAGGGTAAGGAACAGTCCCAGACCCAGTGGGCGTAGGTCCCGAACATGAAGAAATGTTTTGGAACCATACCTCAACTTTGCAACACCAAGAAAAATTCAATTTTTTGTTTATGGGACGCATAAATGTCCATGGGACGCATGTCCTAAGATAGAGCCATTTTACCCTCAATATTCGATTTTCTTCTTGTATAACTTGATCTACATTTTCCAATTTTTCCATTTTCTTTGCTCTATCAAGCTTACGTTTCATTGAACTTTTTTCTTCCTCCAAACGTTTAATTTTGTTAGCATCAGCTTCGTGTGTCGAAGCTTTTTTTATTACATTCTTAAATTTAAAAAATTTTTTTCTTGTCAAAAAAATTATTTTTTTTCACCTCTCTCAATTCATTAAATTGAACATCCAAACGTTCCAAACGAAGTTTCAAGTCCGTAGATAATTGTGAAAATTCACAAGCCTTCTTTTTCAATGACTCGTTGTGTTGTTCACGAATTCTATTAATTAAAAAAAAAATTTTTTTTTTAATTTAGAAATCAAAAAAATCTTCAAAATCGCACCTAATTTCGTGTTCCAAAGTCCCCCTTTGTTCAATTAAAATTCTTTCCTTTTCTTCCAATTTTTGGCAAAGCAACATTTTTGCTGCTAATTGATTCTCCATTGATTGAATTGTTTTACTTAACAAATCTTTTTCATCCTTAATTTTTTTCTGTCCTTGAGTACTTCGAATACGTTCAGACATTAATTTTAGATTAACTTCTTCTTTTTCGCGTAATTGTTCCAACAATTTTTTATTCTTAATTAATTTGCATAAATTGTAATTTATAAGCTTTTTCCGGAAAACTTTTTATATTCTTTCCGGAAAGTATAAAATTGTTTCCGAAAATTTGTATATTCACTCCGGTAACCTTTACATTAGATTCCGGAAACTATATTCATTCCGGAAAGAATATAAATTTTCCAAAAACTACTATATTCATTCCGGAAAATATTATACACTTTCCGGAAACTATATTTTCCGGAAAGGAAATATATTTTCCGGAAACTACCTATATTCATTCCGGAAAGAATATAAATTTTCCAAAAACTACTATATTCATTCCGGAAAGAATATAAATTTTCCAAAAACTACTATATTCATTCCGGAAAGAATATAAATTTTCCAAAAACTACTATATTCATTCCGGAAAGAATATAAATTTTCCAAAAACTACTATATTCATTCCGGAAAATATTATACACTTTCCGGAAACTATATTTTCCGGAAAGGAAATATATTTTCCGGAAACTACCTATATTCATTCCGGAAAGAATATAAATTTTCCAAAAACTACTATATTCATTCCGGAAAGAATATAAATTTTCCAAAAACTACCTATATTCATTCCGGAAAGAATATAAATTTTCCAAAAACTACTATATTCATTCCGGAAAGAATATAAATTTTCCAAAAACTACTATATTCATTCCGGAAAATATTATACACTTTCCGGAAACTATATTTTCCGGAAAGGAAATATATTTTCCGGAAACTACCTATATTCATTCCGGAAAGAATATAAATTTTCCAAAAACTACTATATTCATTCCGGAAAGAATATAAATTTTCCAAAAACTACTATATTCATTCCGGAAAATATTATACACTTTCCGGAAACTATATTTTCCGGAAAGGAAATATATTTTCCGGAAACTACCTATATTCATTCCGGAAAGAATATAAATTTTCCGAAAACTATACTCATTCCGGTAAACATTATACACTTTCCGGAACCTTTATATTTTCCGGAAAGATGTATTATAATACTACATTTTAATTTATTGCCTCTTCCGGAAAATTCTGATTTGTAGATATTTAATCAGAATTGTAATTGTAATATTTATTCTCTTTCCGGAAATTTTTAAATTTTGATTTTACAATTTTTCCGGAAAATTGTAAAAATAATTTTCACACAAAATAAAATTTCTTTTTCTTTTCCACCTGTTCCTGAAGCTCTTCAAAAGCTTGCCCAATAGACTCCATTTCCTGCATTAACCCATCTTCCTCTTGTTTTGCATTTTGTAATTCTCTAATTTTTTTTTCACACACTTCTTCCAAATGTTTTATTTTTCTTTTTTGTTCTTCTGTCCAATATTTTCTTTTTTCATGTAAATCTGTTTTAGCTAATTGTCTCAATTTTTCTTTAAAACGATCCCTTTCCATTCGTAAACGTTGATTTTCAGCTCCAAGATCCGCAGGAGTACAGGGACGTGAGGAGGCAGAATTGGACGAATCCGGTCTATGATTGTTACCTGATGATGTTGAGACAACATGAGGCTTACTAGGATGCTTAAAAAAATTTTTCTTTATCAAAAAAAAATTTTTTTTAATTTCAGAAAATTTTTCAAATTAAAAAAATAATTTTTTTAAAAAAATTTCAGAAAAATTTTCAAAAAAAATTTTTTTTCTGAAAATTTTTTCAAAAAAAATTTTTTTTTGATTTTCAAAAAATTTTTTTTCACAAAAAAATTAGTTTTCTTTGAAGAAAAAGATTCTTTTTCTTCACTTACATCCTCTCCATTTTGGCTAGAAACATCCATAGGCTCTTCTTTTTTAATTAAACCACTATCTATAACATTATCCATAGCATTATTTGAATTGTGAGTATTTTCTGAATTTACTGGGGATGAATGATCCGATGGAATTTGATGATGATGTTGTGTTGTAGAATTTAATTGATGAAAAGAAGAGGAAGAATTTTCTTCTAATTTAATAATCAAATAATTGTCATTATTTAAACGCCTTTCACCTTCCAATTCTTTATTGCACTATAAAAAAAGATTTTTAATTTAATTTTTATTTTAATTATTTCCTTTCCGGAAAGTTTTTAAAATAAATTCTAACTTTTTCCGGAACATTTAATGCATGTTTTTAATATTTCCGGAAGTACTCTGATTTAATTAATAATTCTTATTTAATATTTTTCCGGAAGGTTTTAAAATTTTAATAATTTTTATTCATTCCGTAAAGTGTTATATAAATTCCGATTTTTTTCCGGAAAAAATGTTAAATTTTGATGTGAGTTATATTTTTTCCGGAAAGTTTTAATTAAACCAATTTTATAGTTTCCGGAAAATCATTTACAGTTTTGAACCTTCCGGAAAACGTTAAATTCTGATTTGTATTTATCTTCCGGAAAGTTTTAATTAACCAATTTTATAGTTTCCGGAAGGTTTTATATAAATTTTGATTTTTAATATTACTCTTCCGGAAAGTTCTTTTAAAAATACCCTCCACCAACCATATTAAGTTGTTCAAAAGCTTCTTGCAATTTTCTTTTTAATCTAGCAACTTCTTGTTTTAATTGAGTATTTTGTGTACTTAAAGTATTCATTAAAGAATTAACTTGTTCTTGTATTGGAATTGCTTGTTCTTTTGAGATTGTATTTATTTCATAATCTACACAAACATTTTCATATTCTTTTCTTGCCAAATTTAAATCATTATCTAGTTCACATACAGTTTGTTGAAAACGTTCTAATGCTGTTGTTTCATCAATCTTTTTTTTTTGAAAAATATATTTTTTTTTAATTTAAAAATTTAAATATAATAAAGGGATATAATATTTCAAGACTGATTTTGGAGCAAAATAAAAATTAAAAAAAATAAGAGATTGAAAAAAGAGGCAAAATTGGGAAAATGGACTAGGAGCTCACCCAAAAACTAAAATATATACTAATTTTAAAATTTAAATCTTTCAAGTTTTTTTAGTTTTTCACTTAAACTACACCAGAAAGGACTTAATTAATAAACTTAAAAAATATTTTCTATAAAAATTAAAATAAACCTGCATTGAACTAATTCGTTCCTCATAATGTTGTTTAATCTGGGCATTTGCTTGTTTTAAATCTTCAATTTCTTTTCTAAAATTAAAAAGGAGTTATTTTAAGTTAATTTTTAGATATTTAATTATAAAACAGGCAAAAAATCTGTGACTGTTTCTACATTTTTTGGGGAATCTTCACAAAAGTTCAAACCCTCTCATTAAGCCTCTCATTTTTAATAAAAAACAACCCTCATAGAATAATTTAACATTAAGCTTACTTTTGTAATTTACAATCCTCAAAAAGTGAAGAAAAAGAAGTTTGTAAAAACAAATATTCATTCGAATTTTTAATATCCTCCGGCGAAATGTATTTCATCTAAACAAATAATTTTAAGAAAAAAATTTTTTCAAAAAAAATTCAAACCTTCATTTTACAACATTCAACTTCAGCAGACAACGATTTATTTCTTTCTGTAATTTCTTTAAGTTCTGTTAAACGGTTGTTAGCCAAATCTGTTTGAATTTCCAAATCTTGTTGTAATTCTTCCAACTTTTGATTTTAAATAAATTTTAAAAAAATCCCTCAAATTAAGAAAAAAAACCTTTGATTTACTCAAACTAGCAACTTCTTCATTTATAGCCCCATTTTCAATTTGAGTCAAATTTTTGGTAATTGAAGCAGCTTCTTGAACTTGTACTAGACTATTTTCTTTTTTTATGTACTAGAAAAAGGGAAAATTAGAAAATAAAAAAAAACTAGCCAGACACTCCCAAAGACCAATACTCAATAATTGGCTATAACTCAAACGGAGAATTCTTCGTAACAGGAAATTGATGGTAAACTATCGAATTATACCAAAAAAACATCAAATTGACAGTTATAGAAATGAAATATCCCTTTCTCCTCTACTAATTGAGCAATAATAATGATCAAAATATAGACTATTTAACAAGGAATTAAGCTTAAAAGGATATTTTATAAAACGACCTAAATTTCATAAAGATATTTATAAAAATATAAATTTTTAAACAATTTTTTCATTCATATTTTGGACATCCGTAACCTATAAAACACCTTAAAAAGTGGATAATATTAAAAAAAGAAATTCTTTTAAAAAAGAAAAAAATAAGAAACCTCAGCAAGTCGAAAGTCAAGTTTTTCTTCTCTCCTAAAGGACTTTAACAATTGACAACGAAGATCCTCAATTTCATTGTTTAATGTTTCCACCTTAGATTCCATTAATGCAATTTTATCATCACAGGAAGAAGACTATTTTTTTATTTAAATTTAAAAAAATTTTGAAAGACTTTAACCTGCAAACTTAAACGATGATTTTCTGTTTGTAATTCATTGACAAGTTTTTTGTTAGACACGTTTTCTTCAAAAACTGAGGTTGCATAAGATTGTAATTCTTCATTAATTTTTGCTGTTTGGTCAGAATCGCTAACCAGTTTGTTTTCATTGTTCCCATAATCTATTTTATTTAAAAGATAGTAATAAAATGAAAGAAAAAAATTAAAAAATCCTTGTGTTGGGTAAAAGTTTATCCCCGAGCAGGCATTGGTCCTGGGACCTCATGGCAGTTATTGCTAGGAGCTTTCGCTCATCAAGTAGAGGTGCTTTACCGAGGAAATCAATCTCTATTAATAGATCTTAAAACACCGTAAAGCAAGTGTTTTAACTGCTAGCTAGGTGGATCTCTCTCACATTTACACAAGGAACATGGCCAGAAAAATAGGGTTGAAAAAGGCATTGAAACCCCACAAATTAAGCCTTTCTAGAAATATTTCCATCCCCATGCCCTAAAATAATTTTAAAAAAGTCATACAAACCTTTTAATAAATCACACAGCCTACCATTCCTTTCACTTATTCTAGCACATGTCAACAACAATTTTGCAATTGCCCGTTGACTAAATTCAACCCTTTGCTTCATTTTATCGTCCAATTCATCACAGCTCCATTGAGCAAGTAAATTAAGAAAATGTTTGCCCTGGGGTGGACTGCTCGTTGTTTCTTCTAAAAATTTTGTTAAAAATAATAAAGAGGACACAATTAAAAGCAAACCTTTAGCTTCCGTGTCAAGTTGTAATTGAGGTGTTTCTTCACCAAAACGTTGCAACAAAAGTTGAATGTCTGCATCTAACTGAAAAGGGGGCCAGAAGTGAAAAACATGGATGAAGTGAAAAACATGGATGATCGTGCTTCAGGATCAGAAATTGTTTCACATATTTCGTAAAAAATAAACAAGACGTGAAAACAGGTTTGTTGGCGCCAGTGATGGAAAACTTCCAAAATTTCTTTGGAACCGGTTCTTGTTCCAGAACTGGAACCTTTCCATCACTGGTTGGAGCATCGGTTAATTTTTCCCTGTGGCGGCTCAAATGCTCTTATATTTCTCTTCTTGTGCCGCCACAGGCAAGAACTAACCGCCCCAAATAACTCTACTCGTTGTCAAAGCATAACACATTTTTACTTAAGGATTTGATGAAAACCCCACATTGGAAAATATATTCTACCCATTTTTAAACCCAAAAATAAAGTGTTAAAAATTCAAAAAAAATTCCACAAACCCTGTTCCAATATCTGTTAATAATACAATTAACAGCATCATCCTGAACTTGTCGACGTTCAAATTCCTCAATCCTTTTCTCGAATTCTTGTTGAATTTTTTGTTTATATCGAAAGCGTTCACAAAGCTTGTAATGCTGTGCTCGAAGAACTTTGTGTTCAATTTCTTTCTGAAACCAAAAGACTTAAATCCTTCAAGAAATATTTTAAAAAATTTCAGGGCGACTCGGTGTCTGAACCAAGTTTTGGTCAGACGGAGTTTTGTCAGGACAAGGTCTTAGAAGACCGGATTTTCCCCTCACCACCCACGCCAAGTTTTGGTCTGACGGAGTCCTGTCTGGACCAAGTCTTTGAAGACCGACTTTTGCCCCACACACCCAAAGAGGAGTCCTGTATGGACCAAGTCCTGGAAACCCGACTTTTGACCCCCCCCCCCCACCACCCGAAAGAAAAACATACCACACTTCCAATACTACAAATTCTAATAGGTTCAAATTCAACAAATCTTCTCTTTTTTGTATGTGGCGAGTCAATACGAGCTTCACTTGAACTGGCTTGAATTTCATCATCATCACTGTCTTCAGAAGCTAACGAACGCTTTGTCATTTAAGAAAATTTTAAATTGTAGAAAAGTCTTTTGATGCTGAATAAATTGAAAAATTAAAAAGCATTTTTAAAAAAAATAAGAAATAAGCAAGTCTGCAATGAAAGGTAACTAACAAAAAATGCTAGATTCTAAAAAAGTTATCGAAAAAATTAAATAAAAGTGCCTTGAAAACACGAAAATCCAGCTGCAGAAAATTTCCCTGTGGCAAAAATAAATGTTTATAGCAACTGACCGAAGTGAAAAGTTGATAAAATGAAATTTTCGACGTCACCTCATACGATTGACCAAATACAAAAACACCTCCAGCAAAAGAAATTTTCCCTACGACAAAATTAAATGTTTCCAGCAACTGACCGAAATGAAAAGTTGATAAAATGAAATTTTCGACGTCACCTCATACGATTGACCAAATACAAAAACACCTCCAGCTGAAGAAAATTTCCCTACGACAAAATTAAATGTTTATAGCAACTGACCGAAGTGAAAAGTTGATAAAATGAAATATTTCATCTACAAAACATACGCTTGACCAAATACAAAAACACCTCCAGCAAAAGAAAATTTCCCTGAGACAAAATTAAATGTTTCTAGCAACTGACCGAAGTGAAAAGTTGATAAAATGAAATTATCTCTTGCTAACTCATACGATTGACCAAATCCAAAAAACACCTAAAATTTGCTTTTTTCGTTAATTTTCATTAGAGACCGGCGCGGGACGGGATCCCGACGGGATTTTCCGGGATCCCGCTCCCGAAATCCCGGATTTTTTTGATTTTCGGGATTATTCGGGATCCGGGATTTTTTCGGGATTACTCCCTCGGGATCCCGTCCCGGCATCGGTCAAAAAATAAAATCCCGACTCGGGATCCCGGATATTTTTTATAATTTTCGGGATTTTTATAATTCTGAAAATTTTCGCCTGCGGCGCTGAAAAAGGAAGAAATCTGGCTTCTTGTCCTCACAAATTTCTCAAAATTTTCGCCTGCGGCGCTGAAAAAGGAAGAAATCTGGCTTCTTGTCCTCACAAATTTCTCAAAATTTTCGCCTGCGGCGCTGAAAAAGGAAGAAATCTGGCTTCTTGTCCTCACAAATTTCTCAAAATTTTCGCCTGCGGCGCTGAAATAGGAAGTCCGTCGACTTCCTATTGTCCGTCGAAGTCCCAATGGGGATTGTAAGACTGCCTTGATTTACAACAAAGCTTTGATATGTCAGATCTTTAGACCTTTCAGATCATATCGGGGGACTTATACGGCTATCGTCGATATAGTTTTGCTCCTAAGACCGGAGATATGTTGAGATTTTTAAACAAAGCCATTCAAATTATAAAAAATTATTGATATTTTTACAAATTTAATTTTATTTACATATAAATTGCAATATTTTGATGCATTTATTCATAAAAAGTTTAAATTTTTTATCTTGAAAAAAAATCCCGAATCCCGGTCGGGATCCCGGATAATTTTTCTCGGGATTTTTGAAATTCGGGATTTTTTCGGGATTACTCCCTCGGGATCCCGTCCCGGCATCGGTTAGGAAAAAAAATCCCGACTCGGGATCCCGGAAGTGCGATTTTGCCGGTCTCTAATTTTCATTGTTTTGTTTGTTTCTTTGTTGAATTTATTCTTTATCTTGCAATGATTTCACTTATTTTTCAGAAACAATGCCTGAAAACGTTCCTCAACAAAATGATAGACCTTTAGAGGCGCCTTCTTTAATAGAATTAAGCGCAGAAATTGTGGCTAATCATGCTGAACATTATTTGTATACAGGCAAACGTGATTTAAGTATTTCTGAACGTGCGGCCGAAGCTTTTTTGACTGCATCGTCATCATCTAAAATCTCAGATTCGAGAGAAGCATCACCTCATGGACATAGCCGGTAATTTTATTTTAAATAGTTAGGGGCTTTTTTTTAATTTTATTGAGTAGATCATAAGGTAATGTTTTTGTGGGTTTGCGGTTTGGGCTTAATATGGGTTTAGGGCTTGAACATTGCTGTTGGATTTGTACATTTTTATGGGGCTTGGAATAGTAATAGTCTTTCCTACTTCTAGCGTCATTTTAAAATATTTTTTCTGGATCATTAATACTCTAGCCATACCAACATTAAGCCCAAACCACGAACGTTTATTCCCTTTTTTCCTTTTCTTCTATTCCCATATAAGAGGGGCCCATAAACCTATTTATCTGAGCTCTAACACGTTATCTTAACCAAGCTAGGCATCGGAATTTTCACAAAACATTTAAACTTTATTTTAAAGAGTTGCTGGCCTGCGTGATCCTGCTGCAGAAAAAGCATTAATTCAATACCAAATGATCAGTGAACGTCCTTCGACCCAATCCAATATTCAAGGTTTTCTGCCTATACGTCCATCCGAAATGGTTTTGCACAAAATTTGTGATCGTTGGAGAAATACAGAACACAGCCAAAGCCCAGAAGAAATTGATAATGCTTTAAAGCCTTTTTATTCTGGAGATATGTGCCCAGTTTCTATTGTGGATCTTTCTGGTGTTCAAATAACAGACAGAATTTTGGCTGCTCTTTTGATTAATCAACGCTATTCTTTGACTTCGCTAAGTCTGCTTAGTACAAAGGTTTTTTATTTTTTCTGACCTTACTATACAGTCCCGTAACCAGGATTTCTTTCGGGGAAAGGGGGAAATTGTGCGCCGGAAAATTTCGATTTTGCGCCTCAGGCGTAAATTTTTAGAATTTTGGAAGGCTGTCACAATAAGACTGGCACTATAAGATACACTCTTGTGTCTGAAATGAGTAATTTTATCCTATAATTAGGGCGGGGTTAAATGGAATTATCTTTTGGTCAGCGTCTCCCATCAAGCGGTCATTCATTCTTTTAATTTGGTTGGATATTAGATGGGAGAAGCTACACAAATGACAGCTCCAATTTATGATAACCTTATTATGTATAACATACAATTTTTCCAAACCCAAGTATTTTTTTTATAATTTGCGGACATTTCTGTATCCTAAATTGAAGTGAATCTTCTATTGGGTGTATCTTATAGTGAAATCGCCTCTCCTAAATTCTGTAAAAAATAGTTTTTTTCTTTTATAGGGCATCACAGCAGCCGGTATTTGCTCACTCCTTTACAAAACAAAAATTAAATTGCAACATTTACATTCTCTAAAGTTAAATTCTTTGGATATTTTACGTGTTCCACGTTATCGTCAACGTTACCAACCTTCAGTTGGATGTGTTGCTCTTGAAAAATTAGTTTCAAATTTGAATAAATCTAATCGGAAAATGCCTCTTGACTTGATGGAGGATAATATGTAAGTTTATTTTTTGTGGTATTTTTTTCTCTTTAAAAAGGGAAAATCTCTCTTTAATAAAGAAAATGATGGGAGACTCATCCGCCCCAAAAGGCTGAAACATTGATCAGCTATAACTTTTCGATTCGGGAGTTGGAGCTAGAAATTGGGAATATGTTATTGTCCATGCTCTACATGATGTCATAATTTTATTTACAATTTTTGGCTACATTTTGAGGTTCCCTTGTAAGAGTTGTGCGGACACTAATTTTGCGGATTTTAAATTTTGCGGACATTTATTCTGAATTTTCTTATCTTTGTAAAATTTTTTTAATTTTTTCTAGTCGCCGTCTCTTTTCAAACGACAATGTAATACGTTCTGAGTCGTTAGATGAAAGTCAAATGGATGAATACAAGCTACGTGCAATTATGGAACACAATGAAGCTCAAATTGAGTCACCGCCACAATTTATGCATTTTTGTCCGGCTTTAGAGCATCTTTACCTTCTTCAAGTATTTCTTTTTAATAATTTTATAACCTCTCACAACTCCTAAAATTCATCTGGAACGGGGATATGTTCAAGCAACAAGGGAATGTTTTTGACAATTTGGCGTTATGACGTAATTTCCACATTTCTATGGCTTTTGGGACTGACTTTTTGGCGTTTTGCCTTTATTTTTAAAATCTAATAAATTCACAGGGTCATACCTACAGCATCGAGGATGAAACCAAATCAGCTTTTCTTGTTCGTATTTTCTCAGAATTGCCAAATTTAAAAACTGTTGATTTGTCTGAATGGGTTATTCATGACTTTTTACCTCTACAAAAGCTTCATTTTCTAACAACTTTAGTGCTTTATGATGTTCGTGATTTGGAGACTTCAATTGATACAATTGCTACTTTAACTACTTTGAAGTATATATTTTTTTTATTATTCTATTTTAATTTATAAGATTGTTTTTTCGGTTTAACCGATATGGATACTATTTCCTTAAAATTAGGGTTGTCCGCAGCTGAAAATTTTCAGTCCGCAAGTATTTGCGGACTTTTAAAATTAATTGCGGATTTTCATGAATTTATTTTTGTGAAATTTTCTATTGCAAGTTATATAAGTTTTTTCGGTTCAAACGACGTGGACACTATTCCCTTTGAATTAGGGTTGTCTGCAGCTGAAAATTTGCGGACTTTTAAAATTATTTGCGGATTTTCTTAATTAATTGCGGATTTTTATAATTAATTGCGGACTTTATATTTTCTTTTAGAAATTTATTGCGGATTAGTGGCTGGGTAAAAAAATTTTTTTCTGATTGAGGACACCTCTGCCCTGTATTCTTACCAGAAATTTTCTTTTAAAAATTTTTTATTTTTTTAGAAGTCTAGACATTTCTCAAAGTGATCGAACCAATGGGCATTATACTCGTCCAGTAACTTCTTTACATACATTAATTACTTCTTTACCAAATTTGGTTAGTTTGGATATTTCTGGGACAAATTTGACTTCTGCTTCTTCTGATAATGATCGTCCTTTTATTGGAAGAGGGTATTTAATTAATAATTATTTTTAAATTTCTTTATTGGATTATATAGTTTAAAATGTTTTTGTGAGTTAAGTTTGGTTGTGGTGTAATTGGAAACGTTTAGGTTTCGTAGTTGATTAGGTGTGGGGTTCTAGTCCCAGTGGGTTCTAATGGTTTGTTTTTCTCTAAAAACAAGGGAGAATAAAAATAAAATTCAAATTTTTCATTTATTTTTACCAAAAAAAATTATTTTTCAGAATAATTAATAGTGACATCCCAGCCTTATGCTTTTTACGTCGTCCTTTAAAATTTTTGGGAATATTTAATTGTGATAGTAGTTCGCAATATACAAATATCCCAGCAGAACGTATTAGTGGTGAACATGGTGAAGATCAAGTATTGACAGCAATGGAAGTATATTTGGAGAGACCGAAAACAATGCATACAGTTTTAAATGAAAGTTATCAATTATATCGTTTTGGGACTGATTTGGTATTTTTTTTTTTTGAAAGTTTTAAAAAATTTTTGAAAATTTTTTTGATATTTTTTAAAAATTTTTTTTTGAAGTTTTTTAAAAAATTTTTGAAAATTTTTTCTGAATTTTTTTTTTGAAAATTTTTTTATTTTTGAAAATTTTTTTAGTCTTGTGTAGTTTACCCCCCATAAACCCCAACACCTTTTTTCTTCCCTCTTTTGTTTATAAAGTGATACACTGCGTTCCAAAATGATACGCACCCCTAGTTTTTTCATGTTTTATGAATTTTCCTCTGTTATTTTAATCGGATATTTTATCTATTGATTCTACATGATAAATGGAATGTTTAAACAAGAAAATAAAAAAATCCTTAAATTATTTTCCTTTTTATGGCAATTTACTTAAAATATTAGTGTTCCAAAATTATACGCACCCCCCTCATAAAATTTTTGTTTAACAATATAAAAATCCACAAAAATTTTTCTGAACATATCTATCAATATAGATAAGAAATACAAAAGAATTGAAGTTCTGATGTACTTCCATCATCGAGATCTGAAAACCCGAAAATCAACGGAAAACCGGGGGTAGACGTCTTTAAAAAATATTTTCGACCCCTTACAGGTAAAATACAAATTTCATTTTGGGCTTATTTGAAAGCCCTTGAAATTTGCTACAAGATAGCATTAATTTTATTTTCCTAAAAAATTAACCTTTAAGACAAAATATGACAAACTTTCATGTCGTAAAAATCACTCAAACGCCCCCAAAAAGTGATGAAAAGGTAACTTAGAAACTAAACTCATTATTTCTCGAAGAAGAATTTTTTCCGGATTATGAGATGAAAACCATCTTGTAGCAAATTTCAAGGACTTTCAAATAAGCCCAAAATGAAATTTGTATTTTACCTGTAAGGGGTCGAAAATATTTTTTAAAGACGTCTACCCCCGGTTTTCCGTTGATTTTCGGGTTTTCAGATCTCGATGATGGAAGTACATCAGAACTTCAATTCTTTTGTATTTCTTATCTATATTGATAGATATGTTCAGAAAAATTTTTGTGGATTTTTATATTGTTAAACAAAAATTTTATGAGGGGGGTGCGTATAATTTTGGAACACTAATATTTTAAGTAAATTGCCATAAAAAGGAAAATAATTTAAGGATTTTTTTACTTTCTTGTTTAAACATTCCATTTATCATGTAGAATCAATAGATAAAATATCCGATTAAAATAACTGAGGAAAATTCATAAAACATGAAAAAACTAGGGGTGCGTATCATTTTGGAACGCAGTGTAGGTGGGTCAATATTTTCAGAATTTATTTCAGAAAATAAGTCCCTTTGTAAGAAAGTACGAGAGTAGGAAAGGCGGGGACATTGGGAGGTAAACTACACAAGCACCTAATTTTAATTAAAAAAAATTTTTGCCGTTTTAGCATCGTTATGTTGACGCTCTTCATTTAGTTTTGCGTGCATTAAAAATGCATTTGGGAAATAAAGATTTGCAAATTGCTGGAAGTGCTTCAATGTTTTATATTATACGTTAGTTTATATTTTTTAGATTTTATATAGGAGGGAATAAGGGGTTTATTTTTTCCCGTCAATTCCAAATCCCTATAAAAATATCTATTTGTAATATTATTTAATTTGCCTGGTTTTTTGGACTAAATTTAATAATAAATAAATGAATAAATAATAACTTGATGAGTCCAATGAAGGTTTATGATCTTTTGGGGATATTAGACTAAACATATTAAGAGCCGTGTTATTGAAGCAATGTTTTAAAATTTTTATTAAAAAACAATTTTAAAAATTAAATTTTTATTTTTTAATTTTTTAGGTCATGTTAAAATGAATCGAGATACTAAACGTCGTGTAATTTTGGCTTTGTTAGATGGTTTGATTAATTATCTTTTTTTGTTAAAAATTTAATTTTTTAAAGGAATGGAAAGTCATTTAGAAGAGCAAGTAATGGTTAGGAATTGTTGTTTAAGTCTTTGCCAGGTTTTTTTTTCTTTAAAAATTTCCTGAAAAATTTTTACCTTCAAAAAATCAGTTTGATATTCCTCAAGAAATTCTTTTTAATTATGGAAGAGTTGCAAATTTGTTAGTTAAAGTTTTGGAAACGCATAATTCTGATGTTTTAACACAACGTATAGTTGTATTTTTGCTCAATTCTATGGCTTGTCATGTTGAAGGAGAACAAAAAGTTGAAGTTGGGGAAATTGGGGCTATTGAGGTTTTCTTTGTTTTTGTTTAATACTTAAATACCTCTTATAATTTCCTTTCAGATAATTCTAAAACAAATTGAACGTAAATTAAGTGCGAATACTTGTGATGATGTTATGGAAGTTGGATGGTCTTTTTTGTGGAATATTACTGGTAAAAACTTTTGAAAAAATTTCTATTTTAATAAGTGCGGAAAATCCGCAAAATTTTGCAGAAAAAAAATTTGTAAAAATTGTCTGCAAAAATTTGCGGAAATCTGCAAAAAAATTTTGTTAATTTTCCCCAATTTAAAGATGAAACTCCATCAAATTGTGAACGTTTCCTTAAAGCTCATGGTTTGTCGCTTTTTAGTAAATGCTTTTCGCGTTTTGGTTCTCGCTATTTTGAGCTTGTTCGAAACATGATGGGTATTTTTTTAATTAAAAAAATTTTTTTTGAAATTTTCTGTTCAGGTTTAATTGGAAATATTGCTGAAGTTTTTGAATTACGCAATCAATTAATGACTAATGCATATTTGGAAATTTTCTGGTTTCTAATTTTTTTTAATTTTTTTAGTTTTTGCTAACATAAAATTGAGGTGTAAGGGCTGGAAAGACCAATCTGGATTTTTCTAACGTAGGAAAAAAATTTTTTTTGGAAGGGATTCTGAGCACTTTTAAGGCCAAAAAGGTTTACCAAAATACCTATAAACAAAAAACCCTCACAAAAAGATTTTTTTCAACTTTAAGCCATTTACTCGACAACTTAACTGAAAGTATTGAAATTTCTTACAATAGTGCTGGTGTATTAGCCCATTTAGTTAGTGATGGAGATGAACGTTGGGCAGAATCTGGTGTTAATATTCCACGAGAAGATGTTAATAGAAAGATTGTTAAGGTTTTTTTTGAAATTTTTTTTATTTTTATTTGAAGCCCCAGAAAGATTTTGTAAAGAAGAGGGAAGAAAAATCCGCAAAATTTGTCCGCTATGAAAATCCGCAAAATTTTTGCGGACAAAATCTGCAAAAGCTACCTTTCAAAGTCTCAAAAATTTTTTCACCTTTCCAGGCTACTGAAAAATGGGATTTGCAAGCACGCCGTTTCATCAACTATCGAAGCTTTAAACCAATTATATGCTTGCTACCACAATGGCATTCTGAAGGAGCACAGCAATGGGCTGTTTGGGCATTAGCTAATTTAACAACTACAGACAGAAAAAAATATTGTCGTTTTGTAATAGATGAAGGAGGTTTGGAATTGTTGGAAAATTTGTCTGTAGATGCCCGGTCGACTGAAGCAATAAAAAATTTGGCAAATATTGTTTTGAGAAATATTGATGAATGGTTTGATTTTTAATTTTAAAAAATTTTGGGTTAAAATCCGCAAAATTTTGCGGACATTCCGCAAACAATTACTAACCTTTTCGGATTTTTTTATTTAAAAAATTTAATTGTAGCAATCCGCAAAAATTGTCCGTAAATAGTAAATAGTTTGCGGACAATCCGCAAAATTTTGCGGACAATCTGCAAATTTTTTTAATTTAAATTCTTTTGTTTTAAAAAAAATTTTTTATAGGAAGAGAAATATTATAGAAGTGAATGAGGAGGATCTTGAAATGGTAGATGATTAACTGTATTAAATAAATATATATTCACATGTGTAAAACTACTACCCAAAACAAGTAAATACATAAATAAATATTCTATTTAAGTTTTATTTCTCCATTTTTCGGCATATATAAAAATTAAATTGGGGAGATTATTGTGACCAACCAAAATTGAAAAAAAATTTTTTAGTCATGTAAAATAAGGTGGTTCTTCCCCTTGTTAGCTTAATTTATGACTTTTTTTTTGGTCTGATATTTGGAAATTCAAAGGTTAAAGCTTTCAGTTTTTAGAAGGCTTATATTTTATTTTCTTCGATTTGGTTGGTCACGAGTTACTTATATCCCTCCTTCCCCTCCCCTCTGTGTAAAAAACTTAATGAAAAGTTGGATCTCTATTTTATAAAAATTAAATAAGAATTTATTTAAGTTATGATATTCTAGGCCTAAAAAATTTAGAAAAAAAGAGAGAAACCCCTCGTAAAAAGAGATCCAACTATTTGAGTGTATTCAAAAAATAGCTCTCTACATTATATTAAATATTTTGTGTTTTTTCACAAGTTTTGAAAGAAAAGGTTTATTTTAAAATTTATTTTTCAGTGTTTAATCCCTCCAAATATTTTGTATTAATTTTAACAAAAATAACAAACAAACATAATACAAATATTTTTAAATATTAAGCTCTTTAAATATACCAAATTAATTTTTTCTAATGCTTAAAAGAACAGACATCTGAAGCTAGAGGGCATCTAGAAAAATAATTGGGTGTATTACCTATTATTGAAAAAGGCCTCCATTTTTTTCAGTAGTATGCCGAAAAAGATTTAAAAAAAACAAGAGGGACTGGCATGAGACTTAGGGTTCCATGAGATTTAAAGATGAAACTCCATCAAATTGTGAACGTTTCCTTAAAGCTCATGGTTTGTCGCTTTTTAGTAAATGCTTTTCGCGTTTTGGTTCTCGCTATTTTGAGCTTGTTCGAAACATGATGGGTATTTTTTTAATTAAAAAAATTTTTTTTGAAATTTTCTGTTCAGGTTTAATTGGAAATATTGCTGAAGTTTTTGAATTACGCAATCAATTAATGACTAATGCATATTTGGAAATTTTCTGGTTTCTAATTTTTTTTAATTTTTTTAGTTTTTGCTAACATAAAATTGAGGTGTAAGGGCTGGAAAGACCAATCTGGATTTTTCTAACGTAGGAAAAAAATTTTTTTTGGAAGGGATTCTGAGCACTTTTAAGGCCAAAAAGGTTTACCAAAATACCTATAAACAAAAAACCCTCACAAAAAGATTTTTTTCAACTTTAAGCCATTTACTCGACAACTTAACTGAAAGTATTGAAATTTCTTACAATAGTGCTGGTGTATTAGCCCATTTAGTTAGTGATGGAGATGAACGTTGGGCAGAATCTGGTGTTAATATTCCACGAGAAGATGTTAATAGAAAGATTGTTAAGGTTTTTTTTGAAATTTTTTTTATTTTTATTTGAAGCCCCAGAAAGATTTTGTAAAGAAGAGGGAAGAAAAATCCGCAAAATTTGTCCGCTATGAAAATCCGCAAAATTTTTGCGGACAAAATCTGCAAAAGCTACCTTTCAAAGTCTCAAAAATTTTTTCACCTTTCCAGGCTACTGAAAAATGGGATTTGCAAGCACGCCGTTTCATCAACTATCGAAGCTTTAAACCAATTATATGCTTGCTACCACAATGGCATTCTGAAGGAGCACAGCAATGGGCTGTTTGGGCATTAGCTAATTTAACAACTACAGACAGAAAAAAATATTGTCGTTTTGTAATAGATGAAGGAGGTTTGGAATTGTTGGAAAATTTGTCTGTAGATGCCCGGTCGACTGAAGCAATAAAAAATTTGGCAAATATTGTTTTGAGAAATATTGATGAATGGTTTGATTTTTAATTTTAAAAAATTTTGGGTTAAAATCCGCAAAATTTTGCGGACATTCCGCAAACAATTACTAACCTTTTCGGATTTTTTTATTTAAAAAATTTAATTGTAGCAATCCGCAAAAATTGTCCGTAAATAGTAAATAGTTTGCGGACAATCCGCAAAATTTTGCGGACAATCTGCAAATTTTTTTAATTTAAATTCTTTTGTTTTAAAAAAAATTTTTTATAGGAAGAGAAATATTATAGAAGTGAATGAGGAGGATCTTGAAATGGTAGATGATTAACTGTATTAAATAAATATATATTCACATGTGTAAAACTACTACCCAAAACAAGTAAATACATAAATAAATATTCTATTTAAGTTTTATTTCTCCATTTTTCGGCATATATAAAAATTAAATTGGGGAGATTATTGTGACCAACCAAAATTGAAAAAAAATTTTTTAGTCATGTAAAATAAGGTGGTTCTTCCCCTTGTTAGCTTAATTTATGACTTTTTTTTTGGTCTGATATTTGGAAATTCAAAGGTTAAAGCTTTCAGTTTTTAGAAGGCTTATATTTTATTTTCTTCGATTTGGTTGGTCACGAGTTACTTATATCCCTCCTTCCCCTCCCCTCTGTGTAAAAAACTTAATGAAAAGTTGGATCTCTATTTTATAAAAATTAAATAAGAATTTATTTAAGTTATGATATTCTAGGCCTAAAAAATTTAGAAAAAAAGAGAGAAACCCCTCGTAAAAAGAGATCCAACTATTTGAGTGTATTCAAAAAATAGCTCTCTACATTATATTAAATATTTTGTGTTTTTTCACAAGTTTTGAAAGAAAAGGTTTATTTTAAAATTTATTTTTCAGTGTTTAATCCCTCCAAATATTTTGTATTAATTTTAACAAAAATAACAAACAAACATAATACAAATATTTTTAAATATTAAGCTCTTTAAATATACCAAATTAATTTTTTCTAATGCTTAAAAGAACAGACATCTGAAGCTAGAGGGCATCTAGAAAAATAATTGGGTGTATTACCTATTATTGAAAAAGGCCTCCATTTTTTTCAGTAGTATGCCGAAAAAGATTTAAAAAAAACAAGAGGGACTGGCATGAGACTTAGGGTTCCATGAGACTTAGGGTTCCCTATTTTAAAGGGTCAGGGGAAAAACACCGTCGGACGATACGTGTCTGTAGACCTTGTTTGACGGTGTTTTGTCCCCTGATACGGGGTTTTTAATTCTAATAAGGCTTCACAGTCCGCAAATTTCGATAAACCTTCCCTCCTAAAAATTGCCCCTACAAAATTCCCCAAAGTTAAAAAATTATTTTTACCCGTCTGGATGCCATTTAAAAAACCAACAATCAGTTTTCCTTATTTTATCATTCGAAGCTTTAGCCATAAAATCAGCATTTACTAAAGGCCATTTTCTTATTGAAACATTTCCACATTCTACCAAAAATGTTTGGTGTTGACCTCGAAGGAATGTTTGCATTCCCTTATCTTGTTCTGATAACATTTTACGGTCATCTTCTGTCAATACGTCTTCGCTTAGTTTGGATAAATGTACGGGTCCACTACAACGCCAACCACTAAAAGAATATTTGAATTAAGTTAGAAAAATGTTTAATGCTTCTAAAAATTCTGAAGCATGCCTCATGTTTTGAAAATTTGCTTCAAGTTTCTGAAGCAGTATTCTTTAAACCAGGTTTGAAAACGTGCTTCAGTTTCTGGATTTTTAGACTAGAAGCGTGCTTCGTATTATGAAAAACATGCTTCAAGTTTCTGAAGCAGTATTTTTTAGATCAGAAGCATGCTTCATAATTTTGAAGCTGTGCTTTAGTTTCTGGATTTTTAGACTAGAAGCATGCTTCAGATTTTTCAAAAGAAACTTCAGTTTTTTCTGAAGCATTTTAATACTAGAAGCATGCTTTAGATTTTTGAAAACATGCTTCATGTTCCTGAAACATTTTTTTGAACTAGCCTCGGATTACTCAAAATATGATTTTTATATCTAAAAAAACATTTCACATTTTCTGAAACATGTTTCAAATTTTTAGAATGCTTCACGATTTTTGAAACTTTTTTTCTTAAAAAATATTCAAAACAAACTTGATATTTTCCGGTTGCTTTTTCATTAAATAATCGACAACTCTCCTTGCAAGATCAATTTTAGCATCTAATGGAAGTCTTGAACAATTTCTAACCTAACAAAAAATATTTAAGTCAAATTCCTTTTAATAAAAAATTAAAAAAAATACTTTTTCTATTGCCGGTCTAGGTGCAAACGATTTTTTAAAAATTTTAGCAGCCAATAATAATTCATTAATTACTTCTTCCAAATTTTGTACAAGTCCAGTTTCTGGTATTATTCCAATAAAACATTTCTATATAAAATTAAAAAAAAATTTTTTAGGATTTAAAAAAAATTTTCAGCTCAAGAAAAAAATTTTTCAGATCAAAAAGACATCATTCGCAAGTCAAAACATCTAAAGGATTCGAACCTCTACCCATGTAATTACACATCTAGGCATTATTCCACTACACCAAAATGACTCTTCATAGGCTCCCTTATGTATTGCCCTATAGTCACTCAAAAATAGTCCCCCTTTTTATATTAACTAGAAAAATAGCCTAAATTGCGGATAAAACTTCCGGACTTTGAAAACACAAAAAATTAAAAAAATAAACAAACATTTTTTCTTGAAGGTATTCTTAATTGATCTTTCATTAAATTAAATCCAAGCCGAATAATTATATTTTCTAAATATTTGTAAAATTGGTCTTGTAATCCACCAATAATTATGCCATCCTTCTTTTGTTGGGCTGAGGGGGTTGCTTTACAAAATTTTGAAAAGAAATTGTATGGACAACAGGGAAGAAGGAAGAAATTGCAGCCAAGTCTATTTAAATTTTAAAAATTATAAAAGAAAGTATGAAAAAGGCGGAGACTGTCTGGGAAGGAGAAAGTCAGATTGTCCGCAAATATTTTTAGTCCGCAAATGTAGTTGCGGACAAACCTAAACCTACTAAAAGATACTAAAGAAAATGGAGGAAACTTATAAAAATCATTAACAGCAGAAAAGGAAAAAACAAGATTGTCCGCAACTAAATTTGCGGATATGTCCGCAATTAAATTTGCACGTTGTCCGCAAATTAAAATTTACGGACAAATGTGATGATTGCGGACACTATTAAAAACAACCTCCTCACTCCCCAAACAATTTTTCGTTTCCTCCTAATAAAAAATTTATTCAAAAAATAACCTTGCAGCCAAAATAGGTATCCACGGAGTCAATTCATCAGAATGATTTCCAATTAAAAAGTCAACAGAATTCAATACCTACATTAGTGTATACGGAAATTTTCTGGGATTATATGTCTCTCTTCAGGACGGCTGTGTAGTTGACCACTCTCTTGTTTTGAAAAGACAACAAGACGTTGTTTCTCTGATCGCAGCCGGCCACTGGTCAGTTTTTCCGTGTCGGGCTAACTCAAGGAACAGACAAGTCAAGGAACGACAAATCAAGGAACGACCAATTCAAGGAATGACCAACTCAAGGAATATTTTAAAAATCGAAATTTCTTGAAAAATCTGAATATTTTTAGAAAATAAGAATTTAAAAACAAATTAGAACACTTTGAAAAACAGAATTTAAAAAAGAATTCTGAAAAATTCTAATTTCTCAGAATATTCTGATTTTTAAAATATTCCTTGAGTTGGTCGTTCCTTGACCTGTCTTTTCCTTGACTTGTCGTTCCTTGACTTGTCTGTTTCTTGAGTTGGTATTCCTTGAGTTAGCCCCCACCCAGTATTTCTAAATCTTTTCCAAACGAGAAAGTGGTCAACTACACAGGCGCCCTGAAGAGAGACATATAATCCCGTTAAACAAAAAATCCCGTTAAACGAAAAATCCGTTAAACAAAAGATTGCCTGCAAACTAACCTCCATACTATCCAAACAATCAGGATTAATTACAATTTCTTTCAGTTCAGTTCCCTCTTTTTCAAATTTTGACCAAATTTTACGCCTTCTAACATCCAAACCAAAACCTCCTCGAATTCCTTCTTTTTCCAACAAATTTACTAAAAGACCATTCCCACAACCCAAATCTGCAAAGCCTCTTTTTGGTGCCAAATTTGGGTAAGATTTGAACAATTCTATTAAATATGCTGCTATTCCACAGTCTTCAATTACATATTTTAATGGATCTGTTCTTTCTGTCCAGTCCTAGAGAAAATTAAAAGATTGTCCGCAAATATTTTTTGCAGATTTAAATTTGCGGACAAAGCTGAATCTAAAAGAATTTGCGGACAAAATGATTATACTAAAATTTATTTTCAAAAACTAGATTGTCCGTAAATTTTTTTCGCAAATTTATTTTTGTCCGCAAATATTTGCGGACAAAAAATCTTTGAAATGCCAGTAATTGCGGACAAAGCTAAACCCCTAAAAGAAATTGAGGACAAAGTTGTTTATACAAAAATTTATCTAACAAAAAAAGGAAAAACTAGATTGTCCGCAATTTTATTTTTTGTCCGCAAATATAGTTGCGGACAAAGCAATATTTCCCAAGTGCGGGGCAAAACTAAAACCCTAAAGAAATTGGTGGACATGTTATAGAATTTAATAAAAGAAAAATCCAACATGTCCGCAAATGCTTGTTGTCCGCAACTAAATTTGCGGACAGAAATCCAAAACAACTTAAACCTAAAAAATAATTTAATAAAAACCTCAATTATTCTCCTTCCATGTTTTTGTTTAATTCTATTATAAGTTGATTGATAACTTGTTTCATCCAACAATTTAATTGTAGAACTACCCATACCTTTTGAAAAAATTAATTTTGGGAATTAATTGATTAATTAAAAAATCAAAAGGTTAAAAACCCTTTAAAAATTAAAAAAAAAATTTTTTTAATTAAATTTATTAATAAATATGTATATTAATTTTTATTAAAAATTCAAAGATTTTTAAATTAAAAATTAAAAAAAAATTCCGTAATGTTGTCAAAAAAAAATCCGCAAATGTTGTCCGCAAAAAAACAAAAAATTTAATTTTCCTCCTCCTCTTCTTAATGATATCCATATCCTTTAAGCATTTCCTCCGCTGACGAAACTGAACGTCTTGAAGCACCATCTAGAAAAATATTTAGAAAAATTAAGTAAGAGCGAGGTAAAAGTTAAATCCGAGGTAAGCTTCAATCCTGCGACCTCCTGTCAGTTATTGCTAAGCGCTTTCGTTCACCACGTACAGGTGCTCTGCCGAGTGATTGTGAGCTATCGGGAGGGAGCAGGCCAAGGTACCGCGGAGCTATAACTTCGTTCAGAATTGTCGAATCCGGGACATCCTGGTATGGTTCAATGCACCGCGAGGAGCTGAATCGAACCATGCCAGAGCGTCCCAAGTTACAGCTCTGCGATACCTTGGGCCTGCGGTACCTTGGGGTGTACCACCTACCGGAACGCTGCTTTCACCTTAACTTAAATAGATCCTGAACCCATGCCTAGTGAGCGTTTTAAATGCTAGCCAGCTGGATCTTTCTCTTCCTTACAATTATTTTTTAAGACTTTAAAAATAACCTCCGCCTCCATTAGGTTTTGAAGAATACGAAGATAATAAAGTAGTTGCCGATTTTGTTGTTGTTATGTGCTGTTGAGAGGGTGGGGGTGGTGGAGTAGGGACTGGAGATGAACCATATTGTGGATACTGCATGGAAGTATCCCCATAAGTATTTGATGAGGCATAAATTTTACGTCCATAGGGAGATTGGAAATAATCTGAAAAATTAAAAAAATTATTATAATCCGCAAATGTTGTCCGCAAATTTTTTTAAATCCGCAAAATTTGTCCGCAAAAATTAATTTGTCCGCAAATATCTTGCGGACAATCTAAAAAGGTCCAAAAAATTTGCACGCAAAATCCGCAAATGTTGTCCGCAAATTTTTTAAAAAATCCGCAAATGTTGTCCGCAAAATTAATTTGTCCGCAAATCGACTTGCGGACAAATTTTAAAAACATTAAGTTTGTCTTGAAATAATTTAAATAAAACCTTGTTGACTATAGGATGAAGAAACCATATTATCATTATTATGATTGTTTATTGCCTCTTCCATCTGCTGCAATTTTCGTTTACGTCGAAGAATGTCTTGCTCACTTATAACTCTCTTAACATAGAATCGAACACCAGAAAAGTAATGTAAAGCACCAATTTTCATACATTTTTCAACTGATTCTTCGTCTAAAATTAATTTTTTGGTAAATTGAGAACAAAAAAATTTTTGCGGATTGTCCGCAAATTTTTGCGGATTTCTGCGAAAAGTGTTCGCAAAAATTTTATTTTTGTCCGCAAATATAAAAAATTAAAAATAAAAAATACCCAAAAATTCAACAATCCAATAATCATTTAAAGGTTGTGGAGAATTCAAAATTGAAGGAAGTTGAGATGACGAAGAAGAAAATTGTTGAACAATTTCTTTTACAACACCAAAAGTACTTAAATAACCAAAAATTGCAGGTTCCAATAAATTATTTCTTTTAGCTTCGTCTTTGTTATAAGCAATAAATAGACGTCGAGTGGTTAAGTTTGATGATGGAGTGTTGGAAATATTTTGGGATAATAACTAGAAATTAAAAAAATTTTTTTTCAAAGGGAGTTCTCGCACAAAAAAAATTTTTTTTCAAGTTTTCGGATGAAATTAAAAATGTCCGCAAAAATTAGTATTTGTCCGCAAGCTTATAAAAAATTTAAAAAAATTTAGAAACCTCACTAGTCGGGAATGCAGGTCTAACATTAATTTTGTGATGCCCAATGTAATGAGGGCGTGCATCCAAAATTGCTTCAGATGATGAAGTTTGAGCATAAGTTATGAAACCTTAAAAGTGAAAATGATTAAGTTGTAAATTTATTTTAAAAAAAGGGGAGAATTTCGAGATTTGCGGACAAAAAACTTGCGGACTGCTGGAGAATCCGCATTTTTAGAGAGAGAAAAGGACTGAAACATCTAAAAAAAGGAAAATTTCTCTGGGAAAATTAGGAAAAAAATTTTTGAGGGATTCAAAATTTGCGGACAAGTCTTGCGGAAAATCCGCAAAAATAAAAAAAGTCCGCAAATATGAGGGAAGCTCTAAAAAGTTTAAAAAATAAAAAAAATCTAACCAAATCCTCTGCTTTTATCAGTCTTTGGTTCTTTCATAATTTGACATTTAACAATTTCCCCATAGGCACTGCAATATTTATAAATTGTAAATTCTTCCAATTCACTTGCCAAATTCCCAATAAATATTCTATTTGTTTGTAATTTAGTAAGCGTTTCATTATTTTCAGTTGATTGTTGACTATTATCCATTATAGATTTTATCTAAAATTAAATTAACGATAGAAAAATGAAGCACACGGAAGGTAGGCGTGTAGGCGACCAAAAACGCTTACTTTTACATTTTTGGTGTAGTGGGATAAATTTCGGTTTTAAGGGGGAAAGGGGGCCAGGTTCGAACCCCCACGAGGGAAAATTATTTTTTAACACTAAAAAACTAACCGAGCACCAAATTTTAAAAGGACACTCACTTAAAATTCAAATTTAAAATTTTATTGCATTGATAGCTATCCAAAAATATTTGAAATAATTTTTAAAAAATTAATAAAAATAATATTGAGTAAAAACTTGTATAAAAAATTAAAAAAAAATTATATTTTTTTCATTTTATCTACAAACTTGGAAAATCAATAAAATAATCACGACATTAAAATTTAAAATAATTATCAAAAAAAAACAATTTTTATTTCCAATTTCTAAAGAAAATTAAAATCGTCATCCTTCCTATAGTAACGGAAACGGCGTTTATGACCCCCTTTAAAGAAAATACGTGCAAATCCTGCATTATAATTCCGTTTTGGAGTGACTAGAAAATAAAAAAAATTATTAAATGATTTTTTAATGATGGAAATTTTATCCAAAGGACACAAAATTGCGGACAGAAAAAAATTTTTTGCGGACACAATTTTTTGTCCGCAAATATTTTGCGGACAAAAAAATTTTTTATTTGGCATCCAGTTATAGTATAGGTAATTTATTTGAAGAATCCATCACACCTTTTTTCTTAAAATTCAACTAAATTTATAATCTATTAATCCAAAATATAAAAAATTGTCCGCAAGATTTGTCCGCAAAAATCATCTATGGAGAAATTACCCCATAAAACACCCCCCAAAAATTTCCAAAAATTTTTTTTCAATTTCCAAAAATTGAAAAAAGCTAAACAAATCTCAATAATTGACATTTTACCCAAAAGACACAAAATCGCAGACAAAAAATTTTTGCGGACACAATTTCGTCCGCAAAATATTTGCGGACAAAAATTTTTGTCCGCAATTTTCAATTTATTTTTCAACTTCAAAAAACTCACAATATCCTTGATTGTATCTCTGTACTTGTCCACTAGTCATAGCATTTTTATTTCCATACATTTTATTTGTTGTAGTTGTTCCAAGTCTTTCACCACTATTACTTGAATTAATTCTGCTATTCCCCTTATTATTCCCCCCATATTTCTTCCCCACCAAATTTTTATTTAATTCAATTATTTTTTCATTTAATTCTTTTTTGTCAACTTTTTTTTCCTCTTCATCAGAGGAAGGATCGACCATTTCTTCATCTACACTTTTTGTTGGGGTATTTTGTTGTTGTTGTTTTAATGCATTACGAGGAGTGAGTGGCTGTTTAATTTCACGAGTTGGCATAAAACTTGAAAAAAAGAATTTTTTAAATAATGTCCGCAAATATTATCCGCAAAATTTATGCGGACAAAAATTAAAAAAAATTTTTTTTAAATGTTCAAGTTTTGTGGATACATTTTGTCCGCAAGTTAGTAAGCGGGCAAAAAATAAAAAATTTTTTTTCAATGTCCGCAAATTTATGCGGACAAAAAATTTGCTTATATAGACGACAAGGTAGGAAAATATGGAAAAGATAAACGTAGGATGTGTTCAGTTCCATATTTTTACCTTGCAGTCACGCACGAGAATTGTCATAAATTTGCGGACAAAACTTGCGGACATTTTTTTATAATTTTTATTTTTTAAGAACATTCATAAAAATTAACGGCTGTACTTTAGCCGGTGGCCGGTTCGAAACCGATTCGAAATATGTACCATTCGATTCGTCTCGGCGAGCTAAGTCGAATGGTACTACTCCCAGGGTGCGGAAACGCCTGTGGACCGAGATACGGGCTCTCGAAAATCGAAAAACCAAAGGGGGGACCAAGCTGATTTTTGGGGTCAAAAATTCGATTATACAAATGATACCTCATTCGAAAGAGCTCCTCGAGCTGAGTCGAATGAAACCAAAATCAGCGAAATTCGACTTGATTTGACAAAGTTATGATCTTTTATTTTAGCTCCTTACCTATGGCATCTGTGGAGATTTTTGCTGCTACGGAGGCCCCAAATACGTCCAGAGCAAGTGAGATAGGAATAGGGTTATGTTACGAGCCCAGACCCAGCGCCCGTAGACTCCCCGCGAGGCGCATGCCGCAAAACCCCGCGCGAAGCGCGGGGTTTTGCACAAGCGCCTCGCCTACGCCCCATAGGTTTAGGTATTTTGTCTTTTGTGTCATAACTTTGTCTAATCTTGTTCAATCCCGGTGATTTTGGTGTCTTTCGACTCAGCTCGTCGAGCTCTTTCGAATGAGGTATTATTTGTATAAAAAATTTTTTAGTCTAAAAATCGCCTTTTTGGATTTTCGGTTTTTGGGGGTCCATATCTCGGTCCAATCAAGTCGGATTTCGTTGATTTTGGTGTCATTCGTCTCAGCTCGCGGAGCTCTTTCGAATGAGCTATCATTCAAAAAATCGATTTTTTCACCCCAAAATTGAGCTTACTCCCCCCTATGGTTTTTCGATTTTCGGGGACCTATAACTCGGCCCACAGGCGTTTCCGCACCCTGGGAGTGGTACCATTCGACTCGGCTCGCCGAGACGAATCGAATGGTATATATTTTGAATCGGTTTCGAACCGGCCACCGGCTAAAGTATATCCAAATTAACATTCATAAAAAATCTAAAAAAATTCCTACTTTGAAACAATTTCATCAACCGGAATTTCCTCTTCATTAATATTTCCACCAAGAATTATTGCAGGTAAATCAAAAGGAAAACATTTTCTAACTAAAGGCGTCAATTTTAATTCATAATCTGCTCTCAATCGAATATATGCATCTTTTTCAAAATGTTCAAGTTGAAAAGATTTTTTACGATGTTGAATCTGAAAATGAGAAGAAATTTAAATAATTTTGAAAAAAAGTCCGCAAGTTTTGTCCGCAAATTTTTGCGGACAAGTTTTTGCGGACAAAAAGTCAAAATTGATTTGCGGATTGAATTTGCGGACAAAACTTGTAGGCTTTTTGTTATGTTGAAATTAATTAAGTAGAAATAGAAACCTGTAAATGGCGAAGAAAATTGGCGAAGCTATTCACTTTAAAATCACATTGAGTATAAATACATTTCCAAATATAATCTGAATGACAAACGGAAACATGGTTGAAACGGCCAGCTAAAAATCAAAAAAAAATTTTGTTTCTAAAAAAAGGCTGTCAAAGAAAGTTATTGGAACCTCCCCTGGCTTATATCCTAAAAAGATTAGTAAGCTTTGCTGAACTGTCTCCGAGAGCCATCTCTGAAGCTGGCTCCTGGAACTAATTGTAAGTTTTTTAAATGCAGCGGAGCGGACTATAGGTAAGCATAGTATGAAAAATTGGGTTGGACTGCTGTCCTTCGATCCAGGGCCCATTCTCTCCAAACTGCGGCCTAATCCGTTCGGCCATCCAACCACCCATCGGCTGCTGCAAATTTTGCTGTTTTTGTTATTTCCAGCCGCTGCCCATTTCCTGGTTCTTTACTTTTCTTTCCTATCGCTGACTAGATAGTCGCGACAATAGATTTAAGAATAAAGGTATCCGTAAATGCCTGTCCGAAGAATATAAAATCTATGGTAACCAGTTGAAAACTGAAGTAAGGAACCGAGGGTTTTCGGGTCGGTTCTCGTCCCTGAGATCAAGAATTGATGACCCTACCCAAACTAGTGTTAGGCAAATGGATTTTTCTAATACAAATACCGGGAGTACCGAAAGTACCAAAAATACTCTCAGGAATACCGCAATAGTACCAAACTATGCCAACACCAGACTAGGACACGGATACAGATATTATAAAGATGCCTGCGGATACCCGTCTGTATCCGCCGTAAATATCCGGATACCAAAATCAGTATCCGTGTCCTAGTCTGCCTAACACTAATCTAAACCCTTCAAACCAAAATTCAAAAAAAAAATAAAAAAGCAAACAAACTTTTAGTTCTCAATTCTCGTCCACAAACATTGCATTGTAAATCATTTGTAATAAAAATATTACAATTATTGCCATCTTTTTTAAAACACCGTTCCAAAAGTTGAGTAAATTTATTTAAATTATAAGGCCTAAAATGGACACGAAAAACGTGATTCTTCATTGAACGATAATCGTTGTCGACATTTTGATTGCACATTTGACATTTTCTTTTTGGAATTCCATTAGTTATTTGTCTGTGAAGATCAGCTAAACAACGCTTCTTGAAAAATGGAAAAAAATTTTTTTTAAGAAAATTAGGAGGGGATCAGAAAAATGATCAAAAAGGTCAGAATTTTTGGACAACACTTAGTGATCAAATAAAAATTTTTAGTTAAAATAAAAAAATATTTTTCAAAGAGAAATTAGAGGGAGCAGGCCAACCTACCGCAGCCCAACCTACCGCCAAGGCTATAACTTCTTTCAGAATTGTCAAATCCGTGACGCCCTGGTATGCTTCGATTCAGCTTGTTGAGGAGCATAAAACGATACCAAGGCGTCTCAGATTCAGCAATTTTTAACGAAGTTATAACTCTGTGGTACGTTAGGCTCGCGGTAAGTTGGCCTGCTCCCAAGAAATTAGAACTAGAAACAATGTTTCACACAAAAAAACATTTTAAAAAGCAAAGAGGTAGGAATCAGGAAATACACAAATTGAGAAAAATGACCGGATTTCTAGTAAAAATTTTTGAGTATTTACCAAGTTAAGAATTAGATATTAAACAGAACCAGACATTCCGACTATCGAGACAAATATTTGTCCCATTCTGGTTTCAAATATAGTCATGTGCTCAGGAAAAAATTAAAATAAACCTCTTCCCTTCTTTTTTTGCCTTTATTTCCTCAAATAAAATCTCCCAGAAAAACACCCCCTCAATTAAAAATAAATTAAAAACCGTTTTTTGTTCCAAACTCAAATTTTCTGTAGCAGGAGTCCCAGCTCCATAAACAATAGGAATTGTCTGTGCAGATTCTTTAAAAGAACACCTTCCAGATTTGTTTAAATTGTTCTTATTGACATTGGAATTGATAGAAGTTGACACAATTGAATTATTTGAATTGCTCAAATTTTTCAAAATGTCTGGAGATTTTGCCATTTTTTCTATTGAACGTGTCCAATGGTCTAATAAATCAATTCCTGCTTGCGGATCTATTGGAGGTGTTGGACGAGGAGTTGTTTGCTTATTTTGTTGGGGAGGCGGTGGGTCATCTAAAAGATAAAAACTTGAAGACTTAAAGAAATGGAAACAAAAATAGACAAAAATGAAGTGCTCAACCCTGAAGGGTTTCAAAAATATTCCCCAAAACGGGCAAGCAACCGACATTTACATTAACACAATCAAGGCAATTTCAAAACGTTTATAACAAGGATAAGGCGGGTTGAGGAAAAAGTTGTGTGAGATTCAAAAAGTTTCTCCAGATAGTGGGTTCGGAGTAGAGATCAGGATTTTTAAAATGACTAGGCTTGTCCCTGAATTACGGGTGTGATTTACTGACTTGGACCAGATTCTGGGCCAGCAAAACCCAGTAAGGTCAAAAAATGCTTGGGCCACGACTTTGGCTACAGGAAAACCCGAGGCCATGGTCCGACCCAAGCCGATCTCTAGTTTGGAGTTTGGGTCGAAAAAAGTTCGTGTTTAAGGTACCGGGAAACCCTTCCCATCCTTACCCTATCAAAATATATTTAAAGTTTTATACCTTCCACAGATTCAACCTCATCATCCGCTTCAATAATTTGAAGTTCATGTTCAGATTTGACCTCTCTAAAAAATAAATTTAAAAAGAAAAATTAAACAAAAAATTACTCTGCTTTCAACAAATCTTCCAAACGTTTTCGATCACCAAAAGCCGAACCCATACGACGAATAGCTTCAACACCGTGTTTCTCGACGTAATCAAAATCGCTGTAGATTAACTGACAAACTCGTTCAAGGTACCAATTTTTGAGTGACTGGAAGAATTAAATTTGAATTAAAGAAAGGCAAAGGTCTAAATGAACAGAATGAAACGGGGAAAGCTTTTTTGACACCAGAATAGGGTTTTCGATTGGGAAACGAACAGAAGTGATTTTTCGTTTAGGTTCACAGATTCGGTTTCAAACATGCAAAGCTTCTACGAAAATCAAAGGTAAAGAAAAAAACCAGGCTCTGGTTGTTTCTTTAAAGCAACAATTTAAAGGAAATAAGGATTAAAAATAAAAAATTACATCGAATTCAACAATATGGCTCGTCCGGTTTTGATGATCTACCATATCCTCAACCGAAACACTTCTAAAATAAAAAGGAAAAATAATCACAAAAACTAGTGATCGAGCTAAACAAAGGCCTGGGTTTTTCCTGTACCCAGAGTTCAGACCCAGGCATTTTTTGACCATCGTTTTTATGGGACTGGGTTTTCCCTGGACTAGAGGCCCAAGATCCGGCCCAGGTCAATAAATCAAACCCGGAACCCAGGAGGCCCAGGCTTTTCAAAAGTCTTGATCAATAACTAAAACAAAAAAAAACAACCTAAAAGAGCATTTAGTACATTTGTGCCGTTTATAATCCAAATGTTGAGCTATATGATTAATTAACCCATTTGTTGATACTTTGCGCTTACAAATCAAACAAAATCTCATTTCGCTGGAACAAGGCATTTTTTAAAAAAATCTGAAAAAATTTTAAAATTAAGAGGAAACGAAGAAATACAAGCCAAAAATTAACAACTATATTTGTCTATCCTCGTCTTTTCTCGTCAAAACGACAAGGAAAATAAAAAAATGCAACTCTTAAACGAATAAAAAACAAAAAAAATTCGAATTTTACGAGAAAATTTAGGTCAAAAAATTTTCAAAAATAAACTTTTTAAATAACCGGGGAAAATTAAACAGAACGCCAATAATTAAATTTCTCTATTTCTCTAATTTATTTTTAACACACTATTTCTCTTCTCTCTCTCTTTTCTCTTAATTTCCTAAAATCCTGATTTTCCTTTGAGTGTTGAAATTGATTTCACCTTAACGGGACACGCCCGAGTAGGCGCGGGCCAAGTAGGCGCGACCGAGTAGGCGCGACCGAGTAGGCGCAGGCCAAGTAGGCGCAAGGCCAAGTAGGCGCACGGCCAAGTAGGCGCAAACCTTTCAGTATAATTAAAAGTTGAAGAATAATTAAAAAAACAATAATTTATTTTTTAATCCATTAAAAGCCTCTGATCATCCAAAGATCCTAACTGTAGCTGGACTTTTTTTGAAACGCCTTGAAGAAGTTTTTAGTCTTATCTTGATTGTTAATTGTACCTTTCTATAAACTTCATGTTCCCTTAAACTAGTTAGTTCCTAAGGGCTAACTAGTTAGTACAAGTTAATTATTCATAACATTCCCTTAAACTAGTTAGTCCCCCTTAAACTAGTTGAACTAGTTAGAGTATTCATAACATTGGTAAGCCACAGGAATTATCAAAGCAGCTTGGCTCTCACTAATTAACAAACTTAGCAAATAATCCAAAACGTATCAGCAGCTAAGTATGGGGCTTTTATGAGAAAAATATTAAAAGATTTTTTTTAATTTTATCAAAAAATAAAAACATCAACGAGCTTCACTTAATAAATTTTTTTCCCTAAGAAGGGCAGTTTTAGAAAAAGTCCAGTGTCCACATAAAGTTGCTTGATTATTCAGCCAACTAATTAACAAAATTAGTTGAAGATTAATAAAAAAAATTTGGGTAAAAATTAAGAAGTTTACCCTTGCGCCTACTTGGCCGTGCGCCTACTTGGCCTTGCGCCTACTTGGCCTGCGCCTACTCGGTCGCGCCTACTCGGTCGCGCCTACTTGGCCCGCGCCTACTTGGGCTGTACCCCACCTTAACCAGCCTGAAATTAGTTTTTGTAACCTTGGTATTTGCAATTACACGATTATTAAATGAAATGGCTAGTTTTAAAGAGCAATTTACCTGCCTTTATTTGTTAAATTCGTTTAAAATTTGCTAAAAACGTGTTAAAGATTGATCATAAATTAGTCATTTGATTTCATTTTAAGGCCTTTTCTTGTGTTTTTTTTATTTTACTTTGTTTTTTGTTTGGGTAATAACGAGTTTCTTTCCCACTCTTATTTTTTCTTGAATGTACATAATGGTCAGGTTTTTTTCCCCTTCTGAACATTATGCGCATTTTAAGGAAAACTAGAGGGGACCGGAGTTATTTGCTCCCACTATTTTTTAGGATGTACAAATGGTCAGGTGTCCTCGACATCCCTTATCTGTTTTCCCACTCCTGACCATTATGTGCATTTTAAGAAAAATAAAGGGTGATGGGGGCTCAAAACTCGGCATTCCCCTTATTTCTTTAATTTTTACTTAATTTTAAGCCTAAACTTTTTGCAGGATCTAAAAAACTAAAAATCAAATCTAAAAATGAGCCGTTACACTGGTGGTCGTCTCGATGTTAAAGCGCGTACAATGAAATACGCTGTATTAGATCCTGATGTAGCTTCAAAATATGAAGATTTGGACGATGATGAAGGGACTTCTTATAGAGCAAAAAAGGTTTCCTTTTACATTTTTAACCTCAAAAATTGTCCTTTTCTAGTCATATCGAAGAGACGGTTCTCAATTACAAAAAAAGATGCTTGGAATAATTGAAGGGCATATTTCTAAAGGGCAACAGCCAACTATTCGAAGCAGAGATTTTGTTCGAAATACATATATCTACGAAATCACGGTTTGCTTTTTTATTTTTTGGTTAATATTGAATCTCACAGAGCCCAGTTGTTCCTCCCCAAGGTTTTTTCCTATAATTTACAGAATGGTCAGACTTTTTCGTTTCTTCCATCCTATTTGCCTTTCTATATTTTGCCTATAAACAATCAAAAGGATTTAATTTTTATTTCCCCTTGGATGGAAGAAAGGTAAATTAGGATGGAAGAAGGGAAGAACTCTGACCATTATGCAAATATATAAGGAAGAAACTTGGTGAGGAAAAAATGCGGTCTGTCTGGTTTAATATCAAGCCTGTAGCCAGGATTCGTTTTCGGTCGGGTGGTGTGTTTGAACTTTTTAGCGCCGCAGGCGAAAATTTTTAAAATTTCGATGGCCGTAGGCCAAAAAAATTCAGTTTGTTAGCCCAGATTCCTTATTTCGAGGGGTAATTGGAATTCCTCCCTACCCCTCTCTGGCTACGGGCCTGTTCAATATTGTCATTTTTAATCAAAAACTCGGCTTTTTTTAAAGGTCAAAAATGCTTCTCGTGCTGGAAAATATTTAGTTTTAAACCTTCTGGCCGAATCTGTTGATCGTTTTTTGCCTATCGCCCCGAAGATGGACGCAAATGGAGACCTTCGTTTCTCTATAATGTCGGAAGATGATGCTGAAGCTATTTGTGCAATGTCGAAACGAATAGCAGACAAACACAATCCAAATATGAAATATGTTATTTATAAGAAGAGAGTGCTTGCACCTTTTGAGACGTTGGGAACTTCGACTAGAAATGTTGTTTTGGTTTGTTTTTAAGCTTTTTTTGCTTTCCTTTTGTGCCCAAGGAACCTTTTGTTTTTTGGTAATCCTGTTTTTGAAAATCCTAGACATGTATGTTAATTACACGATATTGGGGGCTCCTTCCGTGAGGGTCAAATTGATTTCAGAATTATTCTCCGACTTTTGACCAACCCAAGAGTCTTCCCCTTTTTCACTTACAGGATTTGCGCCCTCATCCTTTTTGATTGTTTTATGAGTGTTAGTTTCTAGAGATCGAGATTTTTGATAAGCCTGAACCTGTTCATGGACCCTCGGGTTTGATTTATTGACCTGGGCCTGTAGTTCAGTAAAAACCCAGGAAGGTCAAAAAAAATGCCTGGACTCTGGGTACAGAAAACCCCAGGCCTTGGGTCCAGACCCAGCTCGATCTCTATTCTTCCCGTTTTTGGAAAAAAGACAAGAGACTTCAACCTTTCCAACTCATCTTAAAATTTCAGGAAATATTAAAAACTCGTTACAATCAATACACCAATTCTTTGGATTTGAGCAGCTTCCAAAGCGATCCTCTCTTCCAAAAGCTTAATGAAACACCACGTGGCCTTATACACAATTCTGTAATGGTGACAATTTCTGATTATGTTTCTCGTCATTTGGCTAATATTAAAGGAATTAGACTTAATGTATTTTTTAATTTTTTTTTTAATAATTTTGATTTTTGGGAACCTTTTATCCTTCTAACAATATGTAGGGGACCTTCTTTTTCACTCCTACAATTAATTGTTTTTTTTGGTGTAGTGGGAAAATATTTTAATTTTAGTTACTATAGGTTATGGGTTCGAATCCTTTGTGGGGAAAAACATTTTTTATTCATGAAAAATGATTTCTTTCTTTAAAAAAATTATTTTTCATTGAAAAAATTTCAAAAAAATTTTCATTTTATAAAAATATTTTTTAAAGAACAACAATTTACGTACATTAGACTTTGTTTCTTCATTAGTCTATGCAGCACCAAATGTTGTAGAATTAGATATGGCTAATAATGCGGTATTTATTTTTCTTTTATTTTTAAAATGAAAGAAATTTTTTCACAGATTTCTCGTATTGAAGAAATCGCAAAATTTTCTGGTTGGCAATTGGAAAGTGTTCATTTTGAAAATAACGAATTTATTATTGGATATAATAATAATTTTGCTGCCTATACAAAGTTTGCTTTTTTTGATTGAAATTTTTTCTAAAAAATTTTTTTCAATTTTCCAGGGATATTCATACACATTTCCCTCTTGTAAGCTACTTAGATGGTGTTAGTGTTATACCTTTGGCAACACGTCCATCTGGATATACTTCTTCACAGCCTATACCTAAATTTAAGGTTTGAATAAAATTTTTTGGAGGTTTTTTTCGGAAATTTTAATTTTTTAAGTGATAGCATTTAATACCTAGGTCCACAAAAAAAATTTCTGAAATTTTTTAGAAAAATTTTTTCTCGAAAAATTTTTCGGAAAAAGTCAGTTTCGGAAAAGTGACTTTGGAGGCCAACACCAATTTTATTTTTTAATTTTATTTTCTTAAAAAAAATTTTCTTTAATTATAGGCTGGTTATCACACAGATGAATCAATGAAAAAAATGGCAGAAAATTTTATTATTGAATTTTTTGGTTTTTATGATAGCCTAGATCCAGAACAGTCTAGACAAAAATTAATTAATGCTTATGATTCTAATGTATGTTTTTTTGAAATTTTGCTTAAAATTTATTTTTTAATTTCAGGCTACTTTTTCTTATTCTATCTGTACATTGCCTGACACAAAATTTGTGGAACGTGGTGATACGTAAGTTTTCTTTAAGAATTATATGATTTTTCAAAATTTATTCTTTTGCGTTCGAGCGAGACTTTTTTTTGCGGACGCATTTTTGCGGAGAATTCCTAGTATTTACAATTTTTGGAGAATCCTTTTTCCTTACTATTTTATAAAATACTCTTCACTTTCTTTGCGGATGTTGGGGTGTTTTCCTCTTTTACTATAGACCAGACCGGACGGAGAAAATTTTCGATAACCAGAAAAATTTTATTCATCGAGGATTGAAATTCTTCGGAGATTTCGAACAAAATTCTCGTATGACTCTCACAAATTTGTCTCTCTACTCAAACCCATTTTTTGCCTAAAATAAAATGTGTATAGGAACTGATTCAATTTCATGCTCGATCGTATAATAAAATAAATTTTTTTTAGAGAAGTATTTGGAACATATGTGCGTAATTCACACAATATTGTAATGCAGCAAAAATGGCAAGCTTTTCGTGATCGCCTTTTATTTCGTGGACCAATGGATATTGCTGTAGCTTTGAGTAAATTGCCAAAGACTGAACATGTTAAACAATCCTTTTTATTGGATTTTAATTTGGTTTCGGTTTGTGTTTTTTTTGAATTTTTTGAAAAAAAAAATTTTTTTGACCCTGAAAATTTTCTGGAAATTTTTTGACATTTTGAAAGTTACCATTTTGAAATTAAATTTTTTTTTAATTTTCTGACAAGTTTTTTGGTTTTTGAAAATTGATATTTTGAAAATTTTGAGGAAATTTTTGAAATTTTCAAAAAAATTTTTTCGACTTTTTGAAAGTTACCATTTTGAAATTTTCTGAAAATTTAATAAAAAAATTTTTCTTTTTATTTCTCAGAACAGTCTAATGGTTATAACCCTTCAAGGAATATTTCGTGATGGAAAAACTCGTATTGGCGAGCCATTAAACAGCTCAACAGAATGCAAATTTTTTGTTCGACAATTTGCTATTATTCCAAAAACTGAAGGGTTTCTTTTAGATTTTTTTAAAATTATTAAAAAAAATTTTTTTGAAGATTGGCAATACTTTCTGACATTTTACAAATTACACCAGTGAGTACACAAAGAATGGAACATTACAATAATTTATTAAAGAATGCTGCAATTAGTGTAAGTGTTTTTTTTGGGGGGGGGGGGGTGGGGAATTTTTTTGTGAATTTTTGTAAAATTTTTTAAAAAAAATTCTGAAAAAATTTTTGGAAATTTTTTAGAATTTTTTTTGGAAATTTTTGAATTTTAAAAATTCATTAGAATTTTTTAGAATTTTTTTTTGAAAATTTTTCGAAAAAATTATTTGAAAATTTTCTTGAAATTTTTCTAAAATATTTTTAAAATTTTTTTAGAATGTTTTTAAAGCAAAAATTTTCAAAACCATTAAGCTTTTCTAAAATTTAAGTCAGTCTCTTCACAACAACAATTGGATGGGATGGCCCCACCCCCACCTAGCCCTCAACAACAATTATCATTATTAAACCCACAAACTTTGTTATCTGGAATGGCTGGGACTTCTTCGGGAACTTCTATAGGAGGGGGAACTTTTACTATAAAAAATGAAATGGCAACAGAAGGAGGAATTCAACAACAACAACAACAAACAAATTTATTTATTAATCCATCAACAACAAATAATTTAACTGCTCGAACAGAAATGGTTAAACAATTTTGTCTTTTTAGTGGAATGAAGGCTGATTGGTCAGAAAAATGTTTACAAGATTGTGCTTGGAGTTGGGAGGTTGTTTGTTTTTTTTTAAATGATAAAATGGTTTAAGAGGATTTTGAGAGGGTCCAGAATTTATTCAATAAGCTTTTGGGAATCGTGGAGGAGTCCCAATTTGTACTCAAAATTTTGGGGGTAGTAAATGGGAATTTTAAGTCAACATATTTGAAGGTATAGAATTATTGTCAAATGTATGTTGTATACTTGTCTCTATTCCTGAAAGCTTTCTTACGGGGAAAACTTTTTTTCCTTATTAAGTGACAATAAAAAAATTTTTTTAATTGGTTTCACAAATACCATTATTCTTTCCCTTAGAATTACTACATATAATTTTGATATCGATGAGATCTTGAAGGCCCGTAACCAGGATTTTTCTGGGGTCGGGGCAAGGGGGTAAATTTTAATTTTTAGCACCGCAGGCTATAATTTTTAGAGTCTCTGACTCAAGAAAATTTTTTAAATTAAAATTTAAATTTCTTTCTTTTAGGATGCAACAAGAGCATTTGCAAATATACGTGCACAAATACCGCCGGAAGCTTTTTCATGAAGTAATGAACAAAAAAATAATTTTTTTCTTGATTTTTTAAATGGTAAACATTTGTGTGTGTGTTTATTAAAATTATTAGCAAGCTTTTTATCAAATTTAAAATTTGAGAAAATTAACAAAACAAAAAAAAAGCTTGCTAAAAATTTTGGTGATTGACAATAAAAAAAATTTCCTTATTTTACTTGTGTTTCCCTACAAATAAAGAAATTTTTTCTTAAAAAATCATAACCTAACCTCTTTTTATAGATAAGGGCATTTTTGGTATTTTATATATGTACAAAAATTTTTTTGGAACCTTTTTTAATGAAAAACAAACTCGTCAAAAAGATACTTTTTTAATACATCGTAATTTTTTTTCTTGTTTTTGATTTATAATCATTTTAACTTGTTAAAACGTAAAATATTGACACACGCTTTTTTAATATTATATTTTATTTAAAATAAATAGTTGAACAAAACAGAATATTATTTTTGATGGGATCAGGGAGATCACGAGTACCAAAGATTTGAAACCCTGTCTTTTATTTCGATCCGAGATTCAAACCCAGATCCAAAGAAACTTGTGAAAACCTGGTCCGAATTTTTTCTCGACCTCCGTGACATCCCTTTTGAATAGACTAGCTAAAATTCAGCAAAATATATAACACTATAATCCCTACCGCTAAAGACATTATCGCAAAATAACTTGACAAATTAGATCAGATTTGCCTCGTTTGTAGGCCGGGATTATGAAGACTATAGAAGACTAAATCACTAATTGTTAATATATTGGTGAATTTCTTTCACAATCTAATTTTTTTCTCTATAACTGAACGGCAAAACATTTCTCCATTATTGTCGTTAACGAAATTCACGACCACATCGATGTTCTACATAAAACTTTTTAATTTTGTAATATTAATAGAAATCAAAACATACGCTGGCAAAGTAGGCAATAAAACTTTCACAGTTTTGACATGAGATTCCTTCCTTTAGTGGTGTTCCTTGTTTTGACCTTAATTTCTTTTTGATTAATTTTTTGATAAAAATGATAAAAGATAGCTAAAACAGTTCTGACAAGAAATTCCTTCCTTCAATGGAGACATTGTTTCAAGATAACCTGACATGCCAAATTAGTATTTCCTCTTTTATAAGCTCGAATTATTTTGAAGACAGTTTTCAAAAAGTCTTCAATGATATTTGAGGCATCAAGGCAGGTGCATTGTGTTGTTTTATTTAACGCACAAATTGATGCTGCTCCAAAGTAGATTTTTCTTAGTGCCAGATCAATTGTCTAAAATAAAGAATTTTGATCAAATTTACATACCTGGGCCATTTTATTCACTTTGCTTGGGCAATCACTACAACCTAGAAGAACTATACTTGAATTTTCAATAAAAAGGTCTATCTGCCTTTAAACAAAAATTTTTTATCAAATAAAGCTTTAAGTTACCCATCCGCTGAGTGAAATGCATTAGTTTGAAATCGATAATTTACACGCGAGCAGTCTAATTATTTACAACTCTTTAATACAAAATTTTAATCAAAAATATTTAATTTTTGGGTATCGATTAAAAACAGTTGTTTTTTCTTAATTTATTTCAATAAATAATTATTTAATAAAAAATAGAAAAAAAACTAAAAATTTGCTATTTTTGAAAAAATAGGAAACACCTATCAATCAATTAAAAATGGTATGATTCTTATTATTTTTAAATATTTTTTTACCCTCTTACTTACAAAGAAGAGCATTTTTGGTAATTTATTTTTCTCATCATAGTTTATTTTTCTTATCTTTATTTAAAATTAATCATTTCAAATTGTTCAACAAAGAAAAAAATAATGATACACTACCATTACTTTTAATTAATTATATTATTTAAAATAAATAGTTGAACAAAAAATAATTTTTTAAATTAAAGGAGGTAGAGAGGGTCGAGGGATGTCACGTTCAATGCTTTATTTCGACCCAAAATCCGATCCTAAAAAAATTTGGCGAGAAAATCCAAAACTCAATTCGACTTACTCCTTAAATAATACTCCTCCAACCCCCTGTGACATCCCTGGTTCATAGACTAGCAAAAAAATATGGAAAATTGAAAAGAGATTGGACTTGAAAAAGTAGAAAAAAATCATGGCAAAAAAATAAGCAAAAAAAAATAATTAAATTAACAAAAAAATTAAATTGTTCTATTTGTTTCAAAATTTTCAATTGTTTCAAAAGTATTATTAAATTCAATTTTTGAAGTGGTATCCAAAAAACTACTAAAAAATTTAAAAAAAAATACCCAAATAAATTAAAATGAACTCACGATTCCCTTTTTGCAGTCCTTAAACGCTCTGCCAACCTTTCCGCATCTTTAATAATTTTTTCAGGAAAGGTAGTCATTGATGCCAAATCCAAACCTTTTTAAATAAAAAAAAATTTTTTTTAAAGGTCATTTCTCAGTATTCGCAAAAATATTTTTCTGTCCGCAAAAATATTTTAGTAAGAAATTTCTGAAAAAGGGACTAGGTATTACGGTTGTTCCCCATCCCCAAAATCGGGAATTTGAGAGATTTAGTTGTTTGCGCTTTTTGCAACAACTAAATTTTTTCTCCTATGGGAAAAAAACCATTAAATTTGTGCCTTCAAAAATAGTCTTTTATTTAAAAATTAAGGCATTTTTACATAATTTTCTACATTTTTTTGGACGTGTCCTCTTGAAAAATTAATTAAAAAAATTTTTTGGAAAAAATTAAAAAAAAATTTTTGCGGACAAAATTTGCGGATTTTACACAAATTAATCGAAAAGGAATAAAAAAAGAAAGAAAAAAATTAAATTTACCATACAACGGACCCTGATATGGACCTTTAAACAATTTATGTGGAGTTGTATCATAATCATTTCCATTAAATTTCATTGAAGAAAAATGATAACTTAATTTAATTAAAATTATAAATAAATTACAAAATCAAAACAAACTTTCTAACAATTTCAGGATAACAAATTTCAAGTTGAGCCATATCCAAAAAATGTGTAGCAAATAGAGTAAATGCCTTTTTAAAAAAATTATTTAAAGAATTTGGTACTTATCGGTTATATGCCCACAAACTGAGTGCCATCCGAAATTAATTGGCTATAACTTTTTTGAGCTTGATCCAATTCAAACAAATCTTATATCATTCGAAAGCCCTCGATAAGCGATACCTTTTTCTAATAGGATAGATCAAGTCTGACCTGGAAAAAAGATCCCTCTTATCGAGGGCTTTTGAATGATATAAGATTCGTTTGAATTGGATCAAGCTCAAAAAAGTTAAAGCGATCAAATCCGGCCAGCACTGTTTGTTGGCGTATAACCGATAAGTACCAAAAATTAAAAAATTCTTAAAGAAAACCCCAATAGCCAATATTTTTTCACATATTGCATAACTAATTCCTATCCCTTCTTCAGTTGATGTACCTTTAGAAAAAAAATTTTTTCTAAAATTTTTTTAAATCTTCATACTTCTAGCCAATTCATCAATAATTATTAATGAACTTTGATTTGCATTTTGTAATATTGTAGCCATTTCAGACATCTAATTAAGAATTATTCAAACTAATTTTTCAATGTTCCCTTCGCTCTATGTGTAGTGCGAAAGGAACATAAAAAATTTTTAATGTTCCCTTCGCACTATGTGTAGTGTGAAGGAAACATAAATTTTTTGATGTTCCTTACGGACTATGTGTAGTGTGAAAGAAACATAATTTTATGTTCCCTTCGCACTATATGTAGTGTGAAAGGAACATTAATTTTTCAATGTTCCTTTCACTCTATATGTAGTGTGAGAGGAACACAAATTTTTTGATGTTATCTTCACACAATATGTAGTGTGAAGGGAACCTTAATTTTCCTGATAAAATTTCTTCACAAACCTCAACAGAAAATCCAGACAAATTTCTTACAAGATCATCATTATGCCCAACACGTGAAAATATATGCGTCATCGGTATAAAAGTTGCAGACTCTGCTGGTACCAAACAGCCCATTTGTGCCATAATTTGTAAAAGACAAACTTGACGCATATAAGTAGACTTTCCTGACTTTAAAAAAATTTTTTTTCAAAAATTTTTAAAAATTAAAAAAACCATATTAGGCCCAGCAATAATTATAAAACGTCCATCTTTTTGAGAAAGAAACTTTAATAATTAAAAAAAATTAATTTTTGGCAAAATTTTTAATTTACTGTATTATTTGGAACAACATCAGAACGACAATCTAAAATTGGATGTCGACCATCAATAATTTTTATATGATTGGAAAACTTTGGGCGAACTATAAAAAATAAAATAACTGTCAGTTACATAAGAAAAATGTTCCTTTCACACTACCTATAGTCTGAAGGGAACATCAAAAAAATTTTAATAACACAACCAATGTTCCCTTCACAGTACATAGTCTGGGCCCGTAGAATAAATTCGGGGTAACATAACCGGTTGAATAACCGGGTAAAATAACCCTGGGTTAAATAACCCTGAGTTCCGAGTAAAATTGGTAGAATAAATTCCGTAGAATAAATTCGCATTTTTACTCCAAACTAGAGGTTACTGTAACTCGCGAGTAACTCTTTAATTTTATTTCTATATTGAACTTCCATTAAACAGCTTTAACTTTTAAGTAAAATCATTAGAGTTAGAAGTTTGAAAATGCCGGATCCGGTTTCCGGATTTTAATTTTTTCTCATCCGGACTAGACTTTCCGGATCAAAATCCGGATTTTTTAGACCCGATCCAAACCTGGATTTTCAAAAAAAATTTTTCAAAAATATTTTTTCATTTTTTGAATATAAAATTTTTTTTCAAAATTTTGAAAACTTAATATATTTTGGAAAAGAGCAATCGAGACGCGTTTTACCCTGCTACACTGCCCTCGACCAGTGTAGCAATTTTACCCTTAGCTGAGGGTTATTTGACCCGAGTAAATAATTTATTCTACCAATGTGAAAAGCTACTCGGGGTTTTGGGTTAAACTACCGGGTTGTTTAACCCTGAACTCAGTGTAGGAATTTATGCTGCGGGTTGCGAGTTATTTGACCCTCGGGTAGGGGTTAAATAACCCTTACCCCGAATTTATTCTACGGGCCCTGAAGGGAACATCAAAAATATCTAAAATTACAGAAATGTTCCTTTCACCCTACTTATGGTGTGGAAGGAACTTTAAAATTATTTAAATTATAGACCCAAGTTCCCCACGCACTATATCCAGTGTGAAGGGAACATCAAAAAATATTTTTTAAAAATTACAAAAACAAATGTTCCCTTCACCCTACTTATAATGTGAAGGGAACATCAAAAAATAAAAAAACCTGTTTTAGTTTTATTAGAATAATAAGCAATAGAAGTATAGCAATCCAATAAAGATATTAATTCAGCACACTGATAAAGTGAAGGTAAATATACTCTTATATTCATAATCATTTGTTCCAAAACTAAATTACTCATTTGTAAAACTTCGCATTCTGATTGGATTAAACGATCTGAATTAAAATTTGAAATAAAAATTTTTGTGTTCTGTTCCTTTGTATTATCAAAAGTCTGCAAGTTTTGTCCGCAAATTTTATTTATCAAAGAAATAAATATGGGTAGACGACTCGAAACTTTTAAAAGAAAAGGGACTGTCCAGGGTCTATGAATGGCTTAATAAAAATCATCATCGGGTCTGGGACTAGTAAAATATATCCTTTTATAATAAAAATAAAAAAAAAATTTGCGGACAAAACTTGCGGACTTTTTGAGAACACCACCCTTAAAAAACCCCAAAAAATTTTAAATAAAAAACCATTATATTTAATTAAATCTCTCGTCGTAAAAGTTATTGAAGCTTTGTTTTGAACTATTTGAATACAATAATTTGGTAATTTAACACTATAAGGATCCTTTGTATGTAAAGAAAAATGATATCCTCTAGATTGGGAATAGTTGATTTGTGCACCAGAAATTTCTTCTCTTTCGTGTCCAGCATATTCTAAAAAAATTTATATTAAAAACGGACTTCAAGGCAATACTAGTCAGATACACCCCTATTTAAGGCACGCTCCTCTAAAATTTTGTTGTCCACTATAAAGAAGGTTCCCACTATTAGAAACTTGCCAATTTAAGGCTCACCTCATTACATCCCAAGTTAATATAAGGGTCTTTAAAGCTGCCTGCTACACCTCTATTTAAGAGACCTCATTTATAAAAGTGGAAGACGGAAGGCCAAAGAATAGAAAAAAGACTCGCGGTAGAGAACTCACCGCGGTAATTCTTCGGTTCGTATTCCCCCTCTCTTTTTATGACCATTTTTTCATTTTTCCTTTCCTTTCTCACTTATTTTTCATGAGTCAAGTATACATTAAAATCATTCAATAACCCAATATGGAGCCTTCCTGAATTTCTGTGGCGAAAACGATTTGATGATATTTCTCATGTTTTTTTATAATTTTTGGTATCATGTTTCTTTTTTTATCCTTCGAAAAAAAATATTTCTCATAAATGATACTTGCCTCATGAAAAATAAGTGATAAAGGGTAGGAAAAATGAAAAAATGGTCAGAAAAAAGGAGGGGGAATACGAACCGAAGAATTACCCTCACCGCCTAATCCAACCCGTATATTTAAGCAAATTTTGACGCTATACTTAAAAAACTATATAAAAAACAAACAAACCCATAACACGTTCAACCAATTCTTGATAAACTCTTCTAGCCATATCTAACAAAACATTTTGTTTTTCTGCTACAGCAAATAATGCATAATCTCTAGCTATTGGGGCATACCCCTTTCTTTTTCGACTATTAACTTCTGTTGAAATTACTTTATTCACAATCTCGCCAATTTTGGATAAACGACAATCTGTTAATTTCTATAAAAGAAAAAATTTTTTAATTAACAAATCTCAAAAAATCGAAAGAACTCGAAATTTTTCGATTTTTCGAGTTCAAAATTCTTTTCCGAAATTTCGAGATCCAAAAAAATTTCGAAATTTCGAGTTCGCACAAAATTTTTAAAAAATTTTTTAATTAAAAGGAAAACCATTTTATTTTCAACAAAAAATGACAAGCTAGATTGTGACATAATAAAACCAAGTTTTTCAACAGCATCCAGCATATTTTTTAAAGAGACTGCCTTAAACAGAATTAACTAAAAGTTAAAAAAATAAAAAAAACCTGCCCAATTTTATTTCTAATAATTCGTTTAGAATCTTCTTTTCCTAAATTATTATTAGACAAATTTGTATAAGAAAACATTGAAATCATATATTGAAGATCTGATAAAGTTGAAAGTACTGCTCGAATTTTGCTACACATCTAAATGAAAAAAATTGTTTTTTTTATTGAGTGAAAAAAATTTTTTCTTTAAAGTAATCCCCCCCCCATTTTACCTATTCCGTTCAAAGGAAGGCTTGCAGGTAAAAATTCTTTTATAAAACGACCAAAGGTGAAACACACATTTCCACCTTTTGACTATTCCCCTTCAAATACTGTGGTAATTAAAAAAGAACTCTCCTTTGCCAGTAAGTCTATAATTATATTCTCTCAACCTTAACTCCGTTTCAAGGATACATTTTTCGGCCCGACCGAATCTGTTTCGGGCCAAAATTTGATGCCCGACTCGATCTTTCGGACCAGGCCGGATCGGGCCCCTAACCCTAAATCACAATTAAAACATTTTCAATCTTAAAAATATTCTTCCTCAAATACTTTCTCTCCCCGGAATAAGCTTCCTCAATATTCTGGGTAGCCCTCCCCCTTTATGAAATCTAACTAACAATAAACCGGCTCAAACTCTCAAAGCCAAAAACCTATTACCCTATCCATTTAAAAAAATTTTTTTTTAAACAAACCGATTGATTCAATACCAATTCCTCCACAATATCCAATCTTTTATTTATAGTTTGGCAATTTGCTGAAGGTTGTAATAAATAGCTTCTTAAAGTTTTTGTCCCTCCTGGAGTAACACACGAATTGATTACATCGAAAAGTGAATTTATAACACCCTTTTTTGGTTTTGAATCAATTTGGATTAAATCTAGACTTTTCCAACTATTTACATCTGCAAAATAAAATTTTGGAAAAAATTAAAAAATTTTCAAAAAAAATTTTTTTTTACCAATCATACAGGATTCTTCCATTGCAACAAACGTACATTTTAATGAATTTTGAGCACAAAAAATGTTCTTAAAAATGAAAAATGGTATCTTTTAATAGAGGCAGACTTCACTATAAATAACCCTCTTGGGACTGAAAAATAATATCCTATAGAGTTGTATATTAAATAGAGGGTATCCTTTGGGAAGCTCCTTGAATCTACCAGTGGTCAACTTAAAGACCTATAACTAATTCTGGGGATATCTTATAGCAAGGGCGTATCCAGGGGGTCGGTTTCGGGGGGGGGGCTAACACTGGGTGGGCGCAAAAATTTTTGGCGTTTACCTTGGCGTTCCGGACGCAATTTTTTTTGTACATAAATTTTTATCTTTTCTGCGCCGCAGGCGAAAATTTTTTGGAATTTGGAGCCCAAGAAGCCAGATTTCTTCCTTTTTTTAGCGCCGCAGGCGAAAATTTTTGAATTTGGAGGGCCGTAGGCAAAAAAATTCACTTATTCAGCGCCGCAGGCGAAAATTTTGAGGATTTTGGAGCCCAAGAAGTCAGATTTCTTTCATTTTTTGCGCCGCAGGCGAAAATTTTTTAAAATTTGAGGGTTGTAGGCGAAAAAATTTCACTTTTTCGACAATCCTTCTCCTAATTTTTCCCCCTTTCCCCCATTTCGGGGGGGGGGGGGCTCTAGCCCCCCCCCAGCCCCCCCTGGATACGCCCTTGTCTTATAGTAATTCAAAAAAATACATGAGCATTTTCAGCATATTTAATTAAAGCAGCAACAGCTCCCATACAAAAATATCTGAAATAAATGAATATTAGTTTAATAGAGAGGTTTAAAAAGGAAAAGGATATCCAAAACTAGAAAAAAAACTAGTAAAAAAGCCCTAAACTTGACCAAAAAATTTTATTTCCAAAAATTTCTCACATCAATCTCAAAAAGATTGAGAGATTTTGACCACATATATCTCCCAATTTCAGCTCGAAAATTAAGTTTATTGGCGACCGTTTAATTTTCGTCTTTGGCGGGTCAAATGGGGACTTTGAGGACATTTGAGCACAGGCAAGAACTAAACGGTCACCAACAACGCTAATTTAAAATATAAATCCACTAACCCCCCCCCCCCCCCCCCCGCAAACCTTTGATAAACAGAAGCATCCAAATTAGAGCATTCTTCCAAAAATATTTTCTTCAACAATTCAATACCCAAAGCATCATTAAAGCATTTTCGTTGAATTGGGACAATATTTGCTCTTTTGCAGGTGTCTTGAAGTAAATCCATAATAAATACTTTTGAGGAAGTTTTTTCTTTATCGTCAGGCAAAATAATCTTTTTTAGGAGAAAAAAATTTTTAATAAGAAAATGGGGAGGTATTAAGCTTTAGGGACCCCCATTGGTACTTTTTGGACATCCCGCCTCCGATTCTCAGTTTTCCTTAATATGAATACACAGGGGGAATGGATACAGAGGGGAATAAGAAAATGGGAAAGTTCTAAGCTTTAGAGACCCCCAGTTGGTACTTTTTAGATATCCCCTCCCTACTTTGATTCTCATGTCAGTTCTCCTTAATATGAATACACGGGGGAATAGATCCACATGAAAATGGCGGGGAGTTGAGGAAATCTGAACACCATTTCTATTTTAAGGCTACTCAAACGGGGGGGGGGGATCCAAAAAAGCCCCATCTCTCTTATTTATAATTTTTCCCTATTTTCACTTTCTGTACAACTAAATCTATTAATAAAAGAGGTTTGGGCAGCAGGGCAAACCAAAGAAACAAAGTCAGGAATAAGTAAAATTGGGGGTCCCTAAAGTCCAAAATACCCCAAAAAATTAAAAAAAACCTCCAACGGCTCGCAAAGACTCAATCTAATTTTAAGCAAAGAATAAGAGCTTGTATCAACAAATTGGCAAAGTACAAGTTCTGAAGATTTTAAATCAAATGTGGCCATTCCTAAATTTTTTTTTAATTTTTTTAATTAAAAATAAAATTAAAAAAAAATAACCAATTTGTCCTCGATCACTTCCTTTGCCTTCAAACAATGCTAAAATAGACAAAAAAATTTTTTAATTCTTAAAGATGAGAGGCCGTTTTAAGAAACGATTATCTAGTAGAGATTGACCATGATTCAAATCTAACCTAGATTTTGCCCGGATTCTGAGTCAGTTCTCAGAGTTCCTTAGTTCACTTGAATCAAGGTCAATAAGACTTTGAATTTAGTCAGGTAGGAATCGAGGAAAGCCTTGGAATGGTTCAAGCGTCTTGACGAGCTGAATCTAATCATACTAGGGCGTCCCGGATTCGACCACTTTGAACGAAGTTATAGCTCTGCGGTACATTGAGGGTGTACGCCACACCAAAACCCAACTCCCCCACTAAAATCCAATTCCACCCATTCCCCAACCCATAAAATTACTAAAAACAAACTTACCAACCAAAGCACAGCCCAATCCCGGCAAAAATGAGTGAGAAGCACTTTTATTAACATTTCCATATTTTGACAATTCTTGTTGGCTTTTATCATTTTTTGTAGTTTCTTTTACTTCTTTAGCAATAACTTGGCATTTAACAGTTTCTCCATAAACACTTTTGTATTTGTAAATTTTTAATTTATCCAAATCATTAGCCCCATTAATACTTTCAAAAATGGTTGGCGTTTGAATTGTTGAGGTTGGGAAACAAGTACTGTCTGTTGGGTGAGGACAATTATTTAGTAGACTTTTTGAAGAAGATTGTTGGGTTTGGGTATTCATTTTAAATTTCTTTTTGTGATCCTAAAAAATAATTAAGAAACTCCCTAATTGTCCGGACACCCGCAGAAAACATGTCCGGACAATTAGGGAGAAAGCGAACAATTGGGCAGTTTTAGCCAAACAAATGAAGCAGAGGGTAACGAAAAAATTTTCCGCGTGTTTGGAGAAAGGACTACTTTATGAGAAAATTAGTTTAGAAAAAAACATGAAAAAAAAACCAAAAACAGTCAAAAAAATCAAAATATTTCTTAAAAATTTTAGATAAAACGTTTTTTAACAATATGACATTCAATTTATTAAAATGACAGTTTATCCCATTTTGCAATTTATTTTATTTTTATCTTGTACGGGACGGGATCCCTCGGGATTAATACCATCCGGGTAATCCCGTTTGTCGCTAAAACCCGGGATTTCCGGGACGGGATCCCGTAAAACACCAGACTGATATATAGGGCGCGACCCTTTTTTATAATACGGGGGCGACCCTTTTCTAATTTGCCATTTTTTAAATATTCAAACTTTTCTATATATTTATTCTGATGTAAATTGCCTATTTACTACACAATTTATTTCCCTTTAAATATACAAAGAAAGTATAGGATTATTTTTCATTAGCAATGATTGCCTAAATGCAATCAATGTCCTGTGTTAGGGCGGCGTGTTTAGTATAAAAGGCGCAGTTTTTAGTAGTCAGTGTGTTAGTCTTATTTCAGTCATTATATTCCATCGCATAGTCTCCTTATTCTATTTTAGAATATTCTGTAATGATTTGGTTTAGACACCCCCCCCCCATTTTTTCGATTTCATTTGGGGTATCTGTTATCTTTTTTGCCAAAGTTTATATAATTTTTAATAAAAGAGCTCTTCAATCTGAATCGACATCCAGTATAAAATAACCCTTTTTTCTTGCTGTCATTTTGTGTGATTTTTCATTTTTCTGTTTATTTTTGTCTTTTCTTTTCTTTTTTTGTCATTTTTTCATTTTCTGTGTCATCTCTGTCTTTTTCATTTTCTTTTACATAAATATGAATTTTATTCTTTACAGATATTCAAATAATTTTCTAAAATAAAAATTAAAAATGTCCGTTAAGACTGAATCTGCTGCTTCATCCGATACTGTTGAGGTTAACAGTGTAGGATCAGTTGAAAATCAATCTGCTCCGTTTACTGACGAACAGATGAAAATGGAGGTGATTTTTTGTTGAAGATAGAAAAATATTTTTTAAATTTATTAAGATTAAATGCAAGACAAGCGATGGAGGGTTGATTAGTGTTCGTGTTTCGCATCTTCTTCAAAGCAGCGTTTTTAAGGACATGTATAAGGTATTATTGAATTTTGTTTTTGAGTTTAGTTATCCATATTTTTTCAGGATTTGGACATGAAGCCTGAGGACTTGGAAAAATTTGAGTTTCCAGTTAATGTTGAGGCAAATGTTTTCTCGAAAGTGGTTGAATGGTTGGGGGAACATATTGGTTATTTATGAGTCTCTTTTTACCTAAAAACTCTAATTTTTAGGCAAGCCTGATCCTAAAATTGAAGATGATCCAGCTACTCGACAGCGAAAATCTCTTAATTTTTCTGAATATGAGACTGACTTCCTCAAGGTAATAATATCTAATTAGAGAAGGATGAAGAGGGTGCTAAAAATATGGCTATAGCTTGTGGCCGGTTCGAAAGCCTTTTGAAATGTTCCATTGATTCGTCATGGCGAGCTTGTCGAATTTTACCACTCCCTCATATCGGAAACGCCTGTAGGCTAAGATATAGGACTAGAAATGATTGAACATGGTCGAATGGCTTTTGAACTGGTTCCCAACTAAAGAACATCCAAAAAGTACAACCAAACAAAAATTTTTCTGTTTAGGTCGGTGTTGAGGAGCTTGGAAATTATATTAAGGCTGCCAACTACTTGCACATTAAATCTCTGGTAAAATGCTTTTTAAAATTTAATAATTTAAATGTTCTTATTTTTGTAGTATTATTCTGGTTGCCAGGCTATGGCTGCTGCTATTGGAAATAAGACTCCAGAAGAGCTTCGAGAACTTTTTGGACTTGACGTAGCCCAATATTTTTTAAAAATAAATTTTTTTTCAATTTGTAGGATGACTTGACGGAAGAGGAGAAGGCTGACATTCGCCGTCGTAATATGTGGTGTAACTATTAAAAAAATATTTTTTTGTGGAAACAAAATTGAGTGATCTTATCGCCTTATTTTTATGCCTATTTTTTTCGTTTTAATTGATATAAAATCGGGGTGTAAAACTTTTAAAATTGAATATAGCCTCATGTTGACTTTCTCAGTAAGTTTATAGCACTGATATTTTTAATTTGGTCTTGTATATTCAACATGACTTCCTTTTCAGGCTATTCATTAAAAAGCATCTCTCTCACTCCCAATTAAAAATAATTTTCGAAATTAGTTTAAAAATTCTTACATAAGGCCCTTTATTCAATAAATAGACTAAAACGTGTAACTCAAACTATTTTGCCGAGTTCATATAGTCACTCATTAATTTCTTTGCCAATTGCCGTCCTCCGCAGAGGCAAAAACTTGTTTCCACGTAAAAACTTCCCCCGTTTATTTTTTAAATGACATTTTATCCCACATAAAATGACATTTTATCCCATTTAGGCAATTTCCTTTATTTTGAACAAAAATACTCTTAATATTTTCTAAAAATAATTTTGTCTTATTCAAATAAAATCCAAAAAATAAAAGAGATCAATTTAAAAATAATCAAAAATTAAATAGAAGCCAAAAAAGATCTTTTACCCCTTCAATTAGTCTTTCTAAAATTTCCCTTCAAAATTTTCCAAAAAGCTGAGCGGAATTGACGATTAGCTTAAAAATAAAATTGAAACTTTAAAAACAATTAAAAAACTACCTAGAGCATAAGCAAACGGATTTAATGAACTATTTAAATAACACATATAATAGCTGAGATTATACAAAAACATTGGAATGCATTCTCTACAGAAACCGTAGACTGTTGCCTATTAAAAATATATGTGGAAAAATAATTTTTAGATAATTTTAAAAAAATGAAAATGATTATTTTTTTAAATTTGTCTCATTTTCCCCGCTTCCCCCGTATTTTTCAACCTCGTCCTTTTCATATTATCATAATACATAGGGTTGGGGCCCCGGCCCGGTTCGATAGATCGAACCGGGCATCGAATTTTGGCCCAAAAAAGACTCGGTGCCCGGTTCGATAAAAATGAAGCCCGAAAGAATGACTCGAACATCGGCCCGGTTCGAAAAATCCGACCCTAATAATACCCATAAAAGCGAAGAATATGTCCTCAAGGGGAAAGCATCTCATAATTAAACGTATAGTAGTTGTTCCAACGAGCTCTCCACTAATTTCCTATTTTTATTCTGTCCCTCTAAATTATTTTTAAAATCAGATAGACCCTCTCAAGACTAGAAGAAACACAAAATAAGCCAGAATTTTTCAAACAAAAAATATCCTTACCACAACATAATAAGGCGACCAAAGTATAGCAAACAAGCCAACAATAAAAGTAATTGTTCGAAAAGCTTTTTGTGCCCGCCTTTCTGCTTTAGTCTTTTTACGTCTTTTTTGAAACAATGAAATTGGGGAGAAAAGTGTTTGTAAAAATTTTGAAGATTGATTTGCTCCTAAATTTTGTTCTTCCTCAATTTTCTCATTTTCTTTATTTTCAACTATTTCAATGTTTTGAGGTGTTAGAGAATGTCGAGTTACCAACAATGTTGGAACTTGTTTTTGTTGTGAAGTTGCAACAACACTTGTGTTTTTAGATGCAGTAGGTTGTGTTGAGGAAGAAAAACTTAAGAGAGAAAAACAAATAAAAATGTTTGGACTAAACATCAAAACAAGTTTTTAACACATATTTTATTCAAAACATGTTTTGTTTAAAAACATGTTTTTTTCTCATATTGTAAAACATGTTTAAAAACATGTTTTGTTTAAACATGTGTTTTTGCAAACTTAAGAAACTTGTTTGTTTTAATTTAATTCTAATGTTTTTAAGCTTAAACTTGTTTTTAAAACATTTTATTTAAAACATGTTTTGAATAAAACATGTTTTTGCAAACTTAAGAAACTTGTTTGTTTTAATTTAATTCTAATGTTTTTAAGCTTAGACTTGACTTTTATTTTTCTCCTATTGTCAAGTTTAAACCTAGTTTTCTTTAAATTCTGATGTTTTAAGTTTGTTCTGGTGCTGGTAGCAAGTTTAAACTTAAGTTTTCTTTTAATTCTGATATTAAGTTTAAACTTGAAGTTACTTATTTTCTTCAATTTTTAATTAAAGCATGTTTTTGAATAAAATCCAACCTTGAAAAACTAGAAAAAGGTGAAAACTGCATAACTAAATTTTGTTTGCCTCTATTTGTTAACCCCAATCCACTCAAAATTAATCCACTAAATTGTTGTTGAAAACGATTCAAAGCTTCAGCTGTTACTTGAATATAGCTTTGAGGCCCTTTTTGTTGTTGCTGTCTTTTACGATGATGAACAGAATGCTGCCTTTTTCTCATAGTGTGTTGACGTTGTCTTCTACTACTACTAGCATTACTGCTGTTTGTTGGAGAATCAGAATTTTTTTGTTGATTGTCTTCGTGTTTTAATGGAACTGCAAGAGATAAACATTTTTGAATGTTGTCAGAATTTCTGAAAAACAAAAAATTTATTTGTTGTGAAAATGTTCTGATTTTTCCGCGATGTTTTAATCTAATTCTGATTTTTTTGATGTTTTAATTTAATTCTGATTTTGTTTTGTTTAAATTTATGTTTACAAGTTTTAAGAATTAATTCTGATATTGTTAAGTTTAAACTTGATTTTTTGATAGTTTCCGAACTCATGTTTAGAACTTAAAACAATGTTTTTAAGTTTGTTTTTAAAATTATTAAGCTTAAACTTGGCTTTTTTTAGTTTATATGAACTTAAGCTTGAACTTAATGTTTCTAAGCTTAAGCTTGTTTTTAAACTTAATTTTATAAAAACAAAGATTAGTGAGAGGTAAAAAACTTTAAAAAATCCCAATTTAAGTACAAAAACATTACTTTCTATTCAACAAACATTCTTCGCTTGAAACAAGTTTTTGACTAGCTAAGCTTTGTTTTGAATGTTTTATTTGAGCATAAATAGGCAAATAATTAGATAAATCTGTTCGTTGCCTTCCAAGACTGTTACACCTCCAAATTGTGTTGTTCTGATTTTTAAAAGTTTCAGAATACAATAAATTTAGAGATTTGTGTCTCTAAAATTAAAATTAGGGTATTTAAAAATATAAAATAATTTTCTCGACCTTCAAAAGTTGTTCAGTCTGGCCTAAATTAAAACAATTTATTTTATCCTTATTTTTTATTTCCGATGCCAAAGAAGATTTTGAGTGTTCAGAAGGCGTCATTCCACCAACCATGGAAGGGCAAAAATTTAAAAGTGAAGTTAAGCTTTCTTCATGAAATACTTCTGTGGATAATGAAGTGTATGGAAAGGAAATTAAACGACCAATGCGCTTAAAAATTAAAAAAATATTTCTATAATTTTAAGTTTAAGACAAACAATATCCTTAGGAACATCGTCTAATACATCAATATCTTCTGCATCAACATCAAAAAATTGAGCGGTGTAAATTTGGTCTTCTCCATCCCCGATATTGTTTAGTACTTTAATAAAATTAAAGTTTAATTTTAACTCAGGTCTTTACAACAATCAAGTTTTTAAGTTTTTACAAGTCAAGATTAAACTTATATTTTTTTATCAAAACTAAAGTCAAAACTTTAATTTTTGTTTAATTGTGATTTTTTTAAAGCCCAAACTTAAAATTATTAATTCTGATATTTTCTCTTCTACTTAATTTTAATTCTGGTTTTCTTAAGTTTATTTAATTCTGTTATTTTTCCCTAGTAGTAATTTAAATTCTAATTTCTTATGTTTGTTTAATTCTGATATTTTTAAGTTCAAACTTGAAATTATTAATTCTGGTATTTTACCTTCTACCTAATTTTAATTCTGATTTTCTTAAGTTTAACTTAATGTTTCCAAACATCTCCTTAATTCCCCTACTTAAAACAACTACCAACATTTCCTTTCCTCCTCTTTAGCATTAATTTCCACTGCCGTTTTGACTAAGCTATTATTATCCTCTGAAAGACGTTCAAGCTGAGGTGGTGTTTGAATTTTTAAATGTCGTCTATTGTTATTTACTGTTGTATTTTCCTCCTTAACATTTGAATTAAATACACTAAATCCACGGCCACGAAAACGATGAGAAGCTTTGACTAGAATTGCAAACGAACTTCTTCTCCTTTCTGTTGTTTCTGTTGTTGTGGAAAGCTGAAAAGGGCATTCTTTTAATTAATTTATTTTTAGACAAAACTGTATTGTTTGTAGTATATCCACTGTCTTTAATTTCGATAGTTGGTTGCTGCTGTTTTTTAGCTAGGGCTTCTTCTTGGTAACGCCTAGCGTGAAGCATTAGACCTACACCGACCTAAAATTGGGATAAATCAGGAAATTCAACAAGCTATTAATTCAGGAAGCTTACCTGAGTACCCAATCTTTGAGTTAACAAAAGGGCAATGTGTCTATGCTCTCTAGCTTTGCTCCGTTTTTCCAACTTTTTTGCTGCTTTATGAATTCCCTATAAAATTAATAAAATTAAGAATTTAGAGCAATCTAAACCTTATATAAAATTAGCATAGCTACCAATGTAGTCCAATAATAAGCCAAATACATACTCATGTTTACAAATGGATTAGCGAGAAAAGGAGCGTAACACTCCCCGTTAGATGTTGCTTGTCTAATATAAACAAATTAAATGATTAAAAACATTAAAAACATTGTTTTTTGTTGTAAACAATTAAAAAGAAAACAAACTTGTTTTGGGAAAAATAAACTTGTTTGAATGAAAATAAATTTGTTTGGGAAGAATAAACTTGTTTTGGGAAAAATAAACTTGTTTATACAAACATGTTTGGAGACAAACATAAGACAGTTAAAAACTTGAAATTTACAAACATTTTCTACTTATAAACTTGTTTTCCCAAACATTTGTTTAAAAACTTTGTTTTTCAAGATTAAACTTAAAACTTTAATTAAACAAGTAATTTTACATTTGGTCTTCAATGCTGCCCATTAACGGCCATCCAAATATCATAAGGCCAAAAACTAGGCTGGGCAATATCCACGAGCCAAATATTAATATTTGAATACGCATAGGTGTTTGCCATTTTATGTAGGAAGCTGTGTGGCAGACCTAAAAAACATTCTTTAGTTAAACTTTAATTAGACTTACAGAGAGATATCTATCTACTGTTATCAGAAGCACAGTTAAAATGGAAATTAGACAGAGAGTATAATCGAGAAATAGCCAAATCTCACAAGCTAACCTTCCAAGAGGCCATAGATCACCTTAAAAATTTTTGGAAATAATTTAATTTAAGGACACTAACCATTTATAACGTAAACTGTGAAGAATGGAATGCCTTCAATGCCAATAATTAAATCGGAGACAGCCAGCGAGACGATAAAACGATTGTTTAGCTTAAAGGGATGTTTTTTTAAAATTGTTTCAATAATTTAGGATTTGCTTAACAAACATGTTTTCTTTATAAGAAACATGTTTATTTCTTTATAGCTTGTTAGGAAAGGATGTTTGTTTGAAAAATAATTTTTCCAAAAACATTTGTTTACAAACATTTAAGTTTTTAAACAACTTGTTTATTTAACTAAAAACATGTTTTTTTGAGAAATAAACTTGTTTATGTAAAATAAACTTTATTTCAAACAAACTTGTTTGTTTATAAAATAACAACCAATAAAACATCAAAAACAAAACATACTTGTCTGCTAATGGAAGTTTCAAGTTTATAAGCAAACAAAACAAGAGCATTGCCAAGGATTGTTCCCAATGAAAGTGCACTAGCAACAAACCATCCGAGAGTCTTGAAAACAAGTTTATCCTTATTTTAAATGCAAAACATTGTTACCTGGATTATGGGTGGGTATGGGGAATTCCAATCTCCATTAGTCGTTGTTATATTGTTTAATGTCATAATTTATTTAATTATTGTATTTTTAAGGGAAATTATTGAAATATTTTTTATGAATAAATAAAAATATTTTTTCTTATTTTTAAAAAATTAATTGACGTAGAAGCATTTCCTTTAAAAATTCTATTTATTTTTTTTATCAATATTCATGCCATAAAATTAAAAAATAGACAGACTCTGTTCTAGTCTATTGAAGCATAAAAATGGCTTTTTAAGAGGTTAAATGTTTAAATAATTTTTAAGGAAGAAAATTAAAACAGACTTAAATTTAAAGAATAATAAAACTAAAAAACTTGATTCACTTAAAATTAAATGTTTACAAACTTGAATTTCAAAAATAAACTTGTTTTTACAAACTTAATAAAACTAAGAAAAAACTTTTTCGGTATCTTGATTAACTAAAAATAAACTTGTTTATAAAAATAAACTTGGTTGACAAACATAATAAACTAAAAACAAACTTGTTTTACTAATTTATAAAACAAGTTTGTTTTTATTTTAACCTGTTTTTGTTTGTTTTTAAACAACAAACAAACAATAAACAACAACAAAATAAACTTGTTTTACAAACAATAAAACTAAAAAATAAACTTGTTTTTCTAAGTTTATAAAACAAGTTTGTTTTATTGTTGTTTATTGTTTGTTTGTTGTAAAACAAAAACAAGTCAAACAAGTTTATTTTTAATAAACTTGTTTTTACAAACATTGAAAATCCAAGTTTACAAACCTGGATTAAAATTAAAAATAAACTTAAAAATGTTCATTTGATTCTTAGCTAAATATTGAGTAATCTTTCATGAGTTTTTAAGTTTAAGTGAATAAAAACATAAAAAAGCAACTACTAAAAAGCTAAAATTTAATAAAAATGTTTTTATCTTTCCATCGCCCCCATATTTCCTTTACTCTTTTGTAAAGCTTCATAACAAAATTGGCCAATTTTAACAAATAATAAGATTTTTATTTTATTGTGACGAGGGTATTTTTAAAGAAAAAGGCAATCTTTATTTTTTCAAGTGACTTTTTGGGGATTTTTGGGGAATTTTTAGGGACTTTTTTTGTAAAAAATTATTTTTTGAGCATAATTTGCAAACTAAAATTTGAAAAAAAATACAAAAAAATATTTTCCAAAAAATCCAGGCGAGTAGGGAATTTTTGAATCGTTAATTTGTCCATCAAGAATAGTGCTTCATCAATTTAAATAAATCAACAAAGAAAATGCGACTCTTCTTCTTTTGATTAGTCAAACTTGCCTTTAAAGTTTATTTTTCTTCTCCCCTTTTAAAAAAAGTTTAAATATACAGCAAGTTTATGTCAATCATTGTGGGAAATGGCATGGGCAAATTGTTGAGTCGTCATCATTATTTTTTCATATTTATTCCACATAAATAAATATTTATTTTTTTTTAATTTAAATCATTTCCACATAAATTCTATTAAAAATTTTTAAGAGAATTTAATTTAAAAATTGCTGCTTAAACAAAAATGCCTGAAACAAGTTCTTCAGAAAGTGATCTAAACATTTTACTTGACAAACTAAAAGATCAAACTAAAACAACAATAAATTGTTTGAACAAACCTGAAGGGGAAAGTTATGCGCTTAAATTAACGTTTGTTTTAATGATTTTTATTTAAAACTTGTTTTGTTTTTATTCTGATTTTTAATTGTTTTTATTTATATTCCTTTATTCCATTTACAAACTTGAATTTATTTTAAATAATTTAATTACAAAATAAACTTGTTTTACAAACTTGAATTTCTACAAACTTGTAAAACAAGTTTATTTTTAATTTAAAACGAGCATGTTTTGCAAACTTGAATTTGTTTTACATGATTGAGTAATAAACTTGTTTTGCAAATGATAAAAAGTTAAGTTTACAAACTTGACTAGAATTAAAAAATAAACATGTTTTACAACCTACTGCTTCTTATTTGTTCTGATTTTTACTAAAATATGTTCAAATTTTGTTCTGATTATTAACATTCCTAATTTTTTATTTTTGTTTTCAAATTTTATTTTAGTTGTGAGATGGTCAACAATCCATTTTATATGCCATTCTTGCTTGTTCTTGCAGAAAAGAAGCAAATTAATGGTTGGATAATTGACAGAATTTAACTTTAATTCAAAAAAAATTTATTTATAGATTCGAAGCGTCCTTTACCTCCACCACAGGGTTATTTATTAGAACAAGAACTTCAACTTGATAATATGCTGGTTAATAAAAATTTTAAAAAATTAAACAAATTTTTTAGGTTCGAGAGAATATAATTAATGGCAATCCTTCCTCCGAATATGACAAAATTTGTGCAACGAAAATTACCAACAAAGAAAAAAAGGTACAATTATCACAGGCGGATGAAGAATATTTACGCGACAAGCAGCAACTTTCTGATCAATTCCATAAAACAATGATGCAAATTGAGGGGGTAAATTTCTTTTGCAAACTTGATTATATTTAAAAATAAACTTGTTTTTCAAACTTGAATTTTTTACAAACTTATAAAACAAGTTTATTTTTAATACACTTAAAAACATGTTTTACAAGCTTGAAAAAAACTTACCTTACAAACTTGAATTTTTAAAAGCTTATAAAACAAGTTTATTTATAATGTAAAACAAGTTTATTTTAAAATAAAACAAACTTGTTTTTCAAACTTGAATTTTTACAAACTTGTAAAACAAGTAAAAACAATAAACTTGTTTTTCAAACTTGACCAGAATCAAAAAAAACATTGCTTTAGAAATTTGATAAAATAAATAAACTTGTTTTACAAACGCTAGAAAGTTAAGTTTACAAACTTGACGAGAATTAAAGCTAAACATTAAAAAAATTTTAATGTTTCAGCGCGCAGTAGAAGTCTCTCCAATAATTCAAAGTTTGTTACAAAAACATCGTATGGTGCGTCCAGTTGCTCCATATGACATGCAGGCAATGATTTGGAATTGTAATAAGAAGTTTACCAATCTTCGGATTGAAGTAAAAATGCAAACTTGTCAAGCAATAAAAGTGTTACATGAAAAGTTGGCTAATCATCCGTTAGTTTTTAGGGAATATAACAAATTAAAAAAAATTTTTTTAAGAAGGAAACGTCGAAATTTCTCGAAAGAAGTGGTACAAATATTGAATGACTACTACCTTGAACATATTTCAGACCCGTATCCATCTGATAATGATAAAAATGAATTGGCTAGGAAAACGGGTAAATTAAAAATTAATTTTTAGCTAAAATAAAAATTTAAAGGTATAACTGTTTCACAAGTAAATAATTGGTTTGGAAACAAGAGAATTCGTTATCGAGCACAGAAAAGGAAGGGAAAACCAGAAGAAACAAATGAACAAGAAAAAGTTTAAAAAACATGTGTTTTGAAAAACATTTGTTTTGAATAAAACATTTGTTTTGAAAAACACTTGATTGGAACAATTAAGTTTGTAAAACAATATTTAATTTTATATTAAACTTGAATTCAAGTTTATTTTTAATATGTTTTATTTAACAAGTTTCTAAAACAAGTTGTAAGTTGGGAAAAAATAAACTTGTTTATTTAAAACAAGTTTATTTTTTATGTTATTTAAACAAGTTTATTTCCTAAAATTACAAGTGCAATTAAGCTTGTAAAACTTAAGTTTACAAAACATTTTAATTCTATTAAATTGTAAAACAAGTTTTTTTGATAATTAAAATTGCAATTTGCACATATTTATTCGAACAACATAAAATATCAAAATAATTATAGAGTATTATTAAATTTTACTATATGGAATTGTTAATTTAAAAAATTTTTTTAATTTAAATAAATTTTTATTCTTAAGAGTATATTAATTAAAATAATTAATTTAATTAAAAAAATATTTTCTTCATTTAATGAGTTACCCCAAACTTGATATGAGCAATCATGTCAGAAAGAGTAATCCCTGACAGTTTCAAATAAACACGTCCTCCTTCTCCTCCTTGCTGTCCTCGACTTTCTGAACGATAAACACGTCCTTCTCGTTCTCCCCTTATTCCACTTGTATATAATTGATGCCCATCGTTTTCTCCATATTTTTTGACAAGAGCGTTTGCATCATTTCCCCAAGGTTCAACATTGTTACCAACTAAAAAGTCGTCTGCTGCCCATCCTTCGTTGGGTTTGATAAAGTCGTCTTCCCCTTTAAAAAATTTTTTTCATTTCGTATTTAGTAGAGTTGCGCCCCGGCCCCGCTTCCGAACGATTTTTTCAGACATCCCCCGACCTGTTCTCCGCCCCGAAACAATTCAAAAACCCCGTTCCCCGACATAACCGCCCTGAGCCTTCGGGGCCCAACCCTAGTATTTAGACAAAATTACCATTAATTCCAGCTCCTTGTCCATACAAACCACCATGTTCATAAGCAAAGCTGTCTTCCCCTACAGTTTCATAATGATGATGATCCTCATCCCAACTGAATTCATAGCCTTTACGCTCCCAAGAACCATCTAAAATTGGAAAAAAATTTTTATTTGAAAGTATTATTAACCTAAAGGACGTCCCCACGGATCTGGACCTTCGGCTCCCTTAATTCCATCAAAAGAATTTCCAAAGGAAAGCGTGTTCGGGACAAAAGCGGCATGAAGTTCATCACTAAAAAATATTTTTTTAAGCTAATTTTTTTAAAGCTAATTTAATTAAAATTTAATTACCATCCTTCCAATTTAGACTCGTTTAAATGAAAAATAACACGATTTGCAGCCTCTTCAGAATTTAACTAAAAAATAAATAATTTTAAAATTAATCCAAAATTAATTTTAGAATTAATTTAGAATTAATTTTTTACAGTAACAAAAGCTAGAGCATCCCCCGTCTTATATTGAAAATCTTCCACTAATTGTTGATATGCGTGTATTTCAGGGTCCTGAGCCATATTGTTTATAAGGGAGCGCAACTAGATTAAATTAATAAATTTAAAAATAAATAGAAGCAAAAAACTTTTTCTGCAGTAAATTTATTTTTCAGGCCAGCAATAACTATAATTGGTGGACAACCAGTAGAAGACATGTTTTTAGTAAATAAATTAGTTAATAAATAAATATGTTTTAATAAAAACAAAGTTGTTGTGAAAAACACGTTGTAAAAACACTCTAGAAAGTCTATTAATTGAAACAAACTAAAAATAAAACAAAACTTGAAGTTTTGATAGAAAAATAAAATTAAGTTGGAAAAAAGTAAAAAAATAAAAACAACAAAACTTGTTTTTAAGTTTTTAAAAATATATCAATCAAAATATAGGTATTATTAAAACAAACTTTAAAATGTTACGAAAGTAAAAATAATGTTTTACAAACTTAAAAAAAATTAAGAATAGTCTCAAAAAGATGAAGAAAGTTTAAAACATGTTTACAAACTTAAAACAAAGTTTTAATAATAATTAAAATAAGCTTAATTAAAGTTTTTTAAATTAAGTTATAAAGTTTTTAAGTTTGCAAACTTGAAAACATGTTTAAATCAAAATAAGTTTTGTTTTGTACAAACATGAATGTTTTTAAACAGAATTGAATGTTTTAATGTTTGAATAAGTTTTTTAAAAAAATTGTAAAAACATGTTTAAATTAAAACATGTTTTTAAACATGGAAATGTTTGCAAACTTGAAGTTTTATAAACTCAAAACTTATAAACTTAAGAAAATGTTTAATATAAAAACAACTAAAAACATAACGAATAAATGTTTGGACTGATTTAAGCTCCAATTTATATACCCGTTCACTTGTCCCAGTTTGACCGGAAAACAAAGCTTTTATTATTCCAATAGAAAAAATGTTCGTAAAGATCAAATAAAAACATATGTTTATTTAAGCGCTCTCTTTCTTCAAATAAACATTAAAAAACATTAAAGGCATGCAAAAAATAAAATAAATATTTATTTTTATTGATTTAACCGCTCATTGTTGCCATTTTATTCTTGTCGCAAGAAAGTGTTATTTTTTAAAAGAAAGCTAAAAGTAAATGTATTTTGTTTCGATTGCGAAAAATGATAAATATTTATTTATGAGTGTGAATAAAATAAAAATAATTTAGTTTTTTCGTTTATTCTCCTCCTCCTACATAGATTATTTATTACCCTTTGAAAATAAAATAATAAAAAAAAAGTTTTTTGTTGCAGCTGAACATGTGAGCATTTTAAATAAAGAAAAAAAAGATTAAAGAGTATTTTACCTTTTTATTAAAAAAGTGTCCTAGCACGAGTAAATGTCACTTATTAGAAAAATAATTATGCACGAATTTTTTTTTGTTTTTAAAGTTTCTAAATATTAAAATACGAAAATTGGAATAACATAAGCAGAGGTTTATTTTTTCCAAAACATAGGAGTTTTCACAAACTTAAGTTTTTGTTCAAGTTTTAAGTTTTATTGATAAAGTTTTACATAAACTTTATTTTCACTTAAAACTTTAATTTCAAGTTTTAAACATGTTTTACAAACTTAAAGTTTATTTATTAAGTTTTGATAAATTAAAGTCTTAAACTTAAGTTTTCACAAAACTTAAGCATGCTTAAGTTTTACAAACTTAAAACTTTATTTTAAAGTTTTACAAAAGTAAAGTCTATGCTTGTGTTTTCACAAAATTAAAGTTTCGTTGTACAAGTTTTACAAACTTAAAGTTTGGTTGTTAAGTTTTGATAACTTAATGTTTTAAATTTAAGTTTTTACAAAACTTAAGCATGCTCAAGTTTTACAAAAGTTTATGCTTGTTTTACAAACTTGTTTGTTTTACAATGTTGTTTTAAATGTTTTTAATGTTTTACAATGTTTTTTAATGCTTGTTTTACAAACTTAAAGTGTATAGTAATAATTATAAACTTAAAGGGATGTTGTCATTTAATATTTTCGATGTTTAGGATTAACAATAAAGTGTGTATATTTAAATAGCTAGTCCATAGTTTTGTAAACAACTAAGAATCAATATAAAAAAATGTGTGTACTACATATTAATCTAAGAAAAATAAAAATAAAATTAAAAATATTTATTTAAAAAAACAGTAAAATTAAAATATTCCAAAAAATTATTTTTAAATTAAAATAGCGTCCTTATCTTTACTATAATTTTTAAAATTAATGTGTCAATCTAGTCTTTGCACGGGCAACAGCTCCAGCACAAATATTAATTTCCGAATTTTTATTATTTTTTGACTCAGGTAAAGGCGAATCTGGCTCTTCATAAATTTGTTCTTCCTCCGCAACAAATTTTGAAGGATATTTAATTTGAAAATTGTTTGTTCGAAGGTTGTTTGTTTTATTATTATTATCTACTGTACGATTTATTCCATTATTTGGTTGTTTTTGTTGTTGAGTTGGTAAATGGCGAATGCGCAAGTCAACATGAGATTCAAGTGACTTAAAAATAAACATGTTTTGCAACATTAAATAAACTTGTTTTTAACAAAATTAAACTTGTTTTGCACTTGATTAAATAAGCATAAAAAGTTGGGAAAACAAAATGTTTTACAAACTTAAATCAAGTTTATTTCTATTCAAGTTCGCAAACAAGTTAGTTTAATTAAAATAATTTAACGCAAACACTCAAGTTTAGCAAAACAAACTTGTTTTTGAGTCACAAAACAAGTTTAATTTTAGCAAAAACAAGTTTGTTTTTGTTAAAAACAAGTTTATTTAATGCTGCAAAACTTGTTTAAATTAAAATATTGTACACAAACATTCAAGTTTAGCAAAACATCTTAATGTTTTGCTAAACTTGAATGTTTGTATTAAAGTTTATTTTCAAGTTTACAAGTTTGTGAAAGTTTAAAAGACTGTAAACACTCTCTTATTTAAAATGTTTTACAATCTTAAATCAACCCTTTTTCACCATTTTTTCTCTTAAATCTTACTTCACTAAAACTATTATGTCCACTATCTGTTTTGCTACAACAACACCCATTAATCATTACATTATCCTTTCGCATATTTGGAGGGCTGTAAATAGGTGGAGGAGGTGCGCTCCTTTCTTTTGGATCGGTGTGTATTGACCTTCCTCCACAACTTGAATTTATCCGCGGAGAATTAATATTTTGATCTTGCTGACTAAAAAATCGGGCAATTTTTTGATTAAATCAGAAAAATTCTAAAAACCTAAATCTGCTAGTTTGTCGACTGTGAAGAACAAAATTATTATTTTGTTGAGGTTTAAAGGGGTAATATTCTATTGGAGGTGGTTTATATGCTGGGGGAATAGACAAGTTTGTTGGCGCTCCTCCAATGTTGAATGTTTGATGATAACTTTTTTTAATTAAAATTATTTTTGAAATTTATTTTAAATTCACCTATACCCCATAGCAGCTTGCCATCTATTAAACGAACTTGTCGGACATATAGGCTGTTGCCTTCTTACAAAATAAACATTTTCTGACATTGGGTCCACAGTCATTTCTGCATTTGCATTTTCATCACAAAGTTGGGAAGCTATAGTGAACATATCGTGAAACAAATCTGAGAACATTGGCAATAAACTCGGCAGAAAAACAAAAATTTGAATAAATATAAGAAGTGAACAAATTGTTAGGATTTGGAAAACATTGAAAACAATAGGCGGATATGTTCCAAATATTAATTCAAAACAAAAAGTCAAGGGCCCTATAATTGTTGCTAAACATATAGGCCATAAAGAGCATTGAAATGCGTATTGAATTCTTAAATAATTGTTTTGTTGTAGTGGTCCAGAGTTGAAAAAGTGATGAGAAAAGTGTAAAATACAGGCAGAATTTAGGGGTAAACCTGTGGGAATGTTTAATTGTTTTTAAAACATGTTTTGACAAACATGTTTTGACAAACATGTTTTGATAAACAAGTTTTAAGTTTGAACAACAAACAAAAGTTTAAGTGTGCAAACTTTAAAGTTCGCAAACTTGTTTTAATGTTCATAAAAACATATTAATTTGTTTGGATGTTTTGTTGTTTTAACATTAAATAAACATGTTTTAAGATTGCAAACTTTGTTTGAAGTTTGTTTTAAGTTTTCAAGTTTTAAGTTCGCAAACAAGTTCAAACTTGATGTTCAAGTTTCAAACATTTTAATGTTTATAAAACTTAAAAACATATTTAATATAAACATGTTTTTAAGCCTAAAAACATTACAATGTTTTAATGTTTAATAAAATGTTTTTTTAAAAAACAAGTTCAATTGATATACATATTAAATACAAACATACCAAAAACAGCCAAAATTCCAATTGTAACAACATTTAAAGGAATATTAAATAAATAAAAACAAGTATTAACAGAAGCACACAAAAACAAGTTTGAGACAAACAAACAAATAGCCAAGGAAGGTTGTAAAGCGGAAAGGATAGCAGAAAGAGTGCAAAGCCATAAAATCGAAGTAAACATTTTAGGTATTACCTTAAAAAATTTTTTATGGGTTATAAGTACGTTAAAACCTGGATATCATGAGTAATAGAAAAGCTGAAAGGGACATGTAAGCTAATTGGTAATGCTGCTCTTTTTGCTTTTTCAAGGAGTGAGCGGATAAGAAATTCGCTTAAATTAAATTTTTTGATTTTATTTTTAAACCAAAATTTTTAACCTTTGTTGACGTCCTTTAGAAGTCAACTTAAGATACATTCGTGACCTAAAATAATTTTTTTCTTCCATATCCCAATAAAAATAAAATTTAATAAAATATTTATTACTTATGTATTTGCCCTTGTGAAACATGCAAATCGGCCAAGAATTTGTTGTAACGCTCATCACGTAGAAAAACATGGGTAAGTAGAGAAACTGATGATTCCTTAAATTAACTATAAAATACAGAGGTAGTTGGATAAATAAACTTGATTAAAAACAAGCATAAACTTAAAATACTTGCTCAAAATAAACAATGTTTTACAAACTTGAGTAAGTTTATTTTAAACAAGTTTATTTTACAAACTTATAATAATAATAAAAATAAACTTGTTTTAAGTTGTAATTAAAAATAAATTTATTTAAGTTTGCAAACTTGTTTGCTTAAAATAAAATAACAGACTAAAGTAAGCTTATTTTAAACAAGTTTATTTTTTATTTAAGTTTGCAAACTTTTTTCCAAACATAGTTAATAGAAGTTCATTTTAAGTAAGCTTAAATAATTTAAACAAACAAGTTTACAAACTTAAATGAAAATAAAACTGTTTTAAGTTTGTAAAATAAACTTGATTAAAATAAACTTTATTATTTTAAGTTAGCAAACTTGTTTAAATTAATATTTAAATATTAATTTATATTTATTTACCTCATCGATTCTATACGCTACAGTTTTCTTGAACTTTTCAAATTCAATTAACCAACTAACTGCTCTATTTGCCAACCCAATTTCCTTCAAAATAAAAATTAAATATTTTTATTTAAAAAATCTCTACTATTGGCCAATTTAGGAGACCAGAAATTTGTTCTTTTCTTTCTTCATAGTCTAGAGGGCCGTCAAAATTGATTTCTAAAATTTTTAAAATTTAACTTTAAATATTTTTATTTACCAATAAAATCCTCATATTTAGGAAAGGAGAAATGGAAATTTTCTATAAATAATTGACTTTGACTTTTGGGTAATAAAAAGTGTGTCGCTTCAAGTTTAACAATTGAAGCATTATTTTTATTTGTTGTTATTCCTCCAATAATAGCTCCAATACATAAAATACAGAAAAGGCCGAAGGAGAGCATTCTAAAATTCTGTCCACATACTAGATGGCCAAAACGTCTCCCAAAACAGGGCCTCAAGTCTGCTAATTTTTCGTGTAGACGAGCACAAGTATAAGCATCATAATCAAAAAATTGTTTTTCTGTAAGGAATAATTACTTGCTTAAAAAATAATTAAGGACACCATTAAATGATTGGTCCCCAGTCCGACAAATTTGAAACCATTTTAGACCAGCAGCCATGCGGCGAGCCGTTCCTAACCAACAAACAAGCAGGAAAGTTAAGGAGAATAGAAGGAGAGAAGAAAATCCGGCTGCTAAGGATAGCAAGAATTGGAGGAGGAAAATGCTTTGGACAAGTAGAGAAGAAAAAACTTTGAAAAATAATTTTTTCGGATTAAAAATACTTACAGCATAAAAGTATAAGCCAGAGTAAAGGTAATAACACTAGAGCACAACCATCCCAAATAAACAAGAAGGCCTGTTAAATATGTTCGGATGATTTAAATAAACATGTGTAAACAACATTAAAATTAAATGGAATAAACAAAAACAAACTTGAAATACAACAAAAACATAAACATGTAAAAACAAGCAATAAAACAAATAAAAACAAGCATTTAAAATAAACAAGGAATAAATTAGAAAAACATAAGAAAAACCTGATTGTGAAACTGCTGCATTCGTAAAACAAATAAACAAATTAAAAAATAACTTTTCCCAAAAATATAAATAAATGATAAGAGTTGACCTTCATCTCAATTAAAGAGATTCCCGACTTTCCCAATTTAATATTTATTACTGGCTAAACCTTATCTCTTATTATTCACATTCTGTATTAATATTTACCCATTTCTCGACTCTGCCCATCTCAATAACAATATTTGTTTACCCAAATTCCCACTATATATATCCGCCACATTCTCATCTATTTTGTCTTATATTGAACTTTCACTCCTTTTACTTATAATATTTTACCCCTTGAATAAATTTGTATATTCCAATTTGACCAAGGCTTAGAACCGAGGGTATTTAGAGTGAACTTACAAACAGTTCATTTTGGTGCCACTTAATCCGGGTAAAAGCCTTGAGAGAAAAAGAATTTGTTTGAAGGATATTTTGATCCTGAAAAGAGCTAGTTTTAGAGAGTTGTGAAAGAAATTGTGGGAAGAAAATACCCCACGTAATTAATTAATTTAGAAAAACGAGGTAGACTGCTTGGTGCTCTATCCTCCTGCTGTGTGCTACGGTTAAAGTAGAGGAAATTGCTGGGTGCAATCCTCAGTTTAAAAAAGAGAGGAACTGGATTTTCCACTCTCAGAAAAGCTCTATAAAGGATTTCCTGCCCCTGAAAACATTTTCTGGAGTATCTTAGAAATGGATAAAAATCAGACACAGACAACAGGATCAGATTTTGCGAATAAATTTTTTACGCCTGAAGAAGGTCGTCATTGGAATAATTTGTTATTCCGATTACGCAGCTTTGAAGAGGCTGTTTGTAAAAATTTCCGTAAAATCGAGTCGAAAATTACTGAAGGACAAAATTTGACACTAAATTCGTCCTCATCTGAAATTGACAAAATAAATGCTTTAATAGATGGAAAATTTGAAAAATTAGAAAATCAATTTAAAAATTTGAAACAAATTGTAAAAGAAGAAATATCAAATTTAGGAGTTGATAATGATGTAAATAAAGAAAAAATTAAAGAAATTGAAAATAAAATTGAGGATAGAGAATTAAAAGATGAATTAGTCTTTTTACGCTCTAAAAATATGGAAATAGAAAAAGAACAAATTTCACAAATTCAACGCCTAAACATCCTAGAGGAAGGGATGGAAAAAGTTGAGGATAATTTAACTAAAAGTGAGCAAAAAATAGCAGAAATTATTGCTAAAAATGCGCGTAAACTAATTGATAAAATTGAAAGTCTTGAGGCAAAAGTAGAAGTCTTAGAAAATGGATCGAGAGGATCCGGATTTTCCTGGAATGGTCACGGAAGTAATGAATCTGTTGACCTAAATCTCAAGACCAAACCTCCGGAAAAAGAGCCTGAAGATGTTAAGAAACCCATTACTGGAGAAAATGTTGAGATTATGATCGGAGACCCATTCTTAAATGGTCTAATGACCCCTGTCGGAGTCTATGACGGAAACCCGACTAGCTCATTCTCGAAATTTTTCCAGCGATTCATGGATGCTCTAAATTTAATAATTACTCCCCTAAATGAAGCACAAAAGCTTAGTCGTCTAAAAGTATGCCTGGGAGGTCGTGCTCGTGCTGAACTTGATGCTAAAGTCCCGCAACCAGCTACTCTGCAAGAAGCTATAGATTTTTTGCAAGAAAAATTTGTAAATGGTCATTCTCGTACGGTAGCTAGGCAAGCCCTATCTATAATTAAACAAGCACCTGGAGAAAGAGTTTTTGAATTTGCGCAGCGATTAAACGACGCAGTACGTGCTGTAATGATTGGATATGAAGAAAATACAATACAACAGCGATTGCTAGATGAATTTTTGGATAGGCTTTTGCCAGATCTCCAATTCGAAGTAAAAGCTGCTAGACCTGAAGACTATACTAAGGCATTTGAAGTTGCCGAACATTTTGAACTATTATTAGGAGAAAAACGCCAAAAATACCAAAATAATCATTATGTGGATTTGGCAGAAAAAATGGAAGCCCTAGCAATTAATCGGTCTAGAGAAACAAGACGCTTATGCTATTACTGCCATAAACCTGGACACGTTATAGCGGATTGCCGAAATAGAGCAAGAAATAATTATAAAGCTCGCCAATATAATAATTATGAGCGAAGAAATTATCAAAATAATTTTTGGGAAGACAGAAATAATTATAGAAATGAATATAATAGAGATAACCGCAGATATAATGATAGAAATCGCGAAAATTATAGAGAAAATTCGCCAAATAATTACAGCCAGTCACCCACTAGAAATGTGAGATATAGTGAAAGCCGAGTTGCAAGTCCACTAAGGATATCTAGCCCATACTTGCTAACTATATTTGCACTTATTGCTATTATAAGTCCCACTTTGGCTAGCTCTGCACCACAAATTGAAATGAATTGTCCCGCTTACTCACCCTTTACCTTTAAAGAGAAAACAATACTGGACAATTGGAAAATAACAAAATTAAATAATGAGAGCAAATTATCTTCAAATTATGCGAGTTTGCTTATAGTAAATCAAATTTGGATATTTCTCGCCTTTTTCTTTGCTAGCACAATAATATGTTTACTGATGTTTATTTTAAAGCAAAGTGCATTGAAATTAACCGCAAAATCGCTAATTAGAAATAATCATAATAGTGAAAAGGCGAAAATAAAATTAATGGAAAATATTGAATTTAAAAACAATCACGAAATAAATAAAAATAATAATTCACTAAAGAATTGTGGCTTGAGAATAGACACAAACCTAACAAGCCCAAGCCAAAAACATAATTATCAGAAAAATAGTCCCACAAATAAAAAAGTAAGAAAAAAGTGGGTTGAGGACAAATTCATGATAAGGCCCCCTAACTTTAAAATGGGAGAATCGGCAAAGAAAGCAGGACCATCAGAGATAGACCACATCCAGCATCAAAAGATAAGACTGCCAACGTCAAAACAACAGACAGGACACACAAAGGTAGAGGAATGGAATCGGCAAATGAATGGACAAATGCCGAAATGCAAAAAGATAAGAATAGCTGCTTATCCGTAATATAAAAAGTGTTACTTGTACAAAAAAACACCAATTTCCTTACCCCATTTCCTTTTAAATAATTAATCAAATTCCCTAAAATTTTTTTTACTTTTAATAGTTTAATTTTTTAGTTTGTAATCCAATTTAAATATTTTTCTATACCCCTTTAACCTAATGTCGGAGAAAAAAAAAATTAATCCCATAATGGGAGAAATACTATAAAATTAAATAAATTAAAAAAAAAGATAAAATAAGAGGAGAATTTAAAAATAATAAATTTAAAAAAATCCCTCGATAAAATTTCAAAGCTAAAATGGAACCTTAAATGGCTTCTAGAATAAAATTTTTGTTTTTACAGAATGCGATTTGTAGCAAATAAACAAATTAAAAAATAATTATAATCTCCTCCGTTTATTTTAATCATGACGTGGACGTCATCTTAATTAAGGGGGAAGGAATGCTGCATTCGTAAAACAAATAAACAAATTAAAAAATAACTTTTCCCAAAAATATAAATAAATGATAAGAGTTGACCTTCATCTCAATTAAAGAGATTCCCGACTTTCCCAATTTAATATTTATTACTGGCTAAACCTTATCTCTTATTATTCACATTCTGTATTAATATTTACCCATTTCTCGACTCTGCCCATCTCAATAACAATATTTGTTTACCCAAATTCCCACTATATATATCCGCCACATTCTCATCTATTTTGTCTTATATTGAACTTTCACTCCTTTTACTTATAATATTTTACCCCTTGAATAAATTTGTATATTCCAATTTGACCAAGGCTTAGAACCGAGGGTATTTAGAGTGAACTTACAAACAGTTCAGAAACGAACATAAAAATAAACTTGAATAAAAACATAAATAAACGCAAACACAACATGTAAATAAACTTGAACAAGAACATACAAAACATGAATAAATAAACATAAAACAACATAAAACAAAACAACAAAAACATTTAATTAAATAAACTTGAACAAAAACATAAGTGAACACAACATATAGACACCTTAAACATGAACATATTATAAAAAGAAACACAACAAAAACATAAATAAATAAACTTCAATAAAAACATAATTAAATGAAGCAAACACAACATAAAAATAAACCTGAACATGAAAATAAAAATAAACTTGAACAAAAACAAATAAATAAACTTGAATAAAAACATAAGTAAACAAACATGAACAAAACATATAAACAAACTTTAATTTAAACAAACAAATAAACTTGTTTTACAAACCATTTTCTCTGTTGGGTGCATTGCAATTCCTGAATAACGCTCGAAGGCGCTATCCACACCAGCAAAAGTTAGCGATCCTATGCTTGCAAGTGTGAAAGGTAGAGCAAACAGGAGAGAATTAAATCTTTCAGAACTTGTTAAATGTACAGCATAGGCACAAACTGAAGCTAATAGAAGGGTCAATGCTTGTTGCACACCAACCATTGGTCTGCTCTTAAAAATCAAATTTTTTAGTCGGAAATTCCTTTAATTCACTTCATAAGTGCTAGAACGAATTTGAACTATTGCCAAAATTCCACATAGTGCTACCCAACAAATTAATATTTTAACATGTGTTTGCCGAAGAGAATTTTCAATTTCAGCAGCAAGTTGTTGGGCAGACCAGAAATGGATACCTAGAGGTTTTTCTTCTTCCTGGGAAGATGCTAGGCTGTTTTGACGTGAAAAATTGACTATCTTTAAAAAATGATTAAATTTTAACTTTAAAAACAACCCTCACAATTCGTCTTAAGTGTCTCTCAAAAGAGTCAACTATTTGTGGCTTTAAATGTCGTTTCAACTTAATTCTCATTATCACAGAATGGACATGTTGAAATGAATTTAATTCAACATCTAGAGAATTTTATTCAGTATTTTTATAATAAACAGTTTTTTACCTCCAAACATGTCTGGCAAGAGGTTTTTCCTTGTCCTTTCTTCCATTGAGGAAAAATTTGAAATTTCTGTCAAATTCCCTTCTTGAGGTAAACTGCTTTTAATCCAGTTGTCTAGAGCCTGATCTAGATGACATTGTCGGCAAAGGTCCCACCACTTTGGATTAATTATTTTTAATTCCACAAAACTATCTGTTACCTTATAAACTTGTTTATGATGCTGAATAGTCGAATCTTGAATTTGGTTAAAAAGTTGAACATAGACCTGAATTAATGTCCCGTTCTGAGTTATTATTGGACCTCTACCTCCTCTGAAAATATTTTCTATGAGCTAATAATTTTCAAACTTGTTTTCAAATTTAAGTTTAATTTTCAAGTTTATTTAATATTTATTTTCAAGTTCAAGCTTAAATTAAGTTTAAGGTTATTAAATTTCAAGTTTAGATGAATTAATTCCAAGTTTACTTTCAATTATAAACTTAAGTTTTAAAATTACAATTTTATTGACTTCCAAGTTTATTTAATATCTGTTTTCAAGTTCAAGCTTAATTTTTCAAGTTCAAGCTTAATTTTAGTTTTATTTTAGTTTTTATAGTAGCTTATGTTTGTAAAAACTTCACTTTATATTTGTTTTTGTTGTTGTTAACAATATTGTAAACTCATTATGTGGAGAATGTTGCGGCGCATCAAATAAAGGATTTTCGCTGGGAAAATTGTTGTAATCACGTATTGTATCGAATAAAAAGGATTTTTGTCCAAACTGACAATTTGTCGACATGAAAAACGTCTTGACACATTCCTGCTGATCAGTCCCAAAATGGAAAATATCGTAGAAAGGGAAGAGCGAAGATGGCCAAGACGAAGAGAACGAGCAAAGCAAGAGGCTTAAGCCAACCAGAGCAAAAGGGAGTGCCTTAAAATTGAATTTTAAATAAATTTAATTTGACTTAATTTACAATAAAACATTTTGGAGAACCAGCACTAGCCTTTACTAGATGGAAGAGTAAACGTTTACAAAGAACCTCAAAACCTTTGAGCATTTGGACACGATAGATTAATGGAAATCCTTAAAATCGAATAAATTATTATTTAAAAATCCCCAACTTTTGGTTGTATTTCCTTTGTTTTCAATAAACGTTTCATTCGAATTAGGCGGTTGTTGTGTTCCTTCCCAACCCCCTTCTCCTCCTCCAAATTCATAATTATTATTTCCAATAATTGAATCTGAAGGTAAACAAATTTGGTGATATGTAGCTGATTGTGTTGTGTTGATATAATTAATATTTGGATTTTGTTGTTGTTGGGTATTTGATAAAACTAATTGGGATATTGTGGTATGTTTTTCTATTGAGTCTGGTTTATGTGGAGATTGCTGTTGTTGATGTTGTTGTTTTGTTTGTTGTAATTTAGGTTGATTTAAATTTTCTTCTTGGTAAACACTTTGCTTTAATTTTTAAATATAAAAAAACTTAAGTTTGTAGACTTAAGATATCTTAAGATAAGCTTAGGTTGAAACTTAAGTTTTTAAACTTATTTTTATTTTCAAGTTTACCACTTCAAACAAGTTTTTAAGTTTGAAAACAAGTTGGTTTTTTAAGTTTTATTTAAGTATGTGAACTCAAGTTGAACTTAGACTTATGTTAAACAAGTTTTTAAATTTATTTTTATTTTCAAGTTTGCAAAACTTATTGTTTTTCAATAAAGTTGGTTTTTCTTAAAAACAAGTTGGAAACTTAAGTAGAAACATGTTTTTACTTGTTTTTATATAAAATCAAAACTTGTATTTTATTTTTAAGTTTGTAAAACATGTTTTTTTCTTTTGTTTGTTTTCCCTTTAAAATGTTGGGCTCCTAATTATTATATTTCCCCTTGAATGTTTATAAGACAATTACCCTTATTATCCTGTTTCGACGTTCAGGTTTGGGTGTCACTGATGGAGTAGCCATATTCCTAGTTAAAATTATTTTAAAGAGGCATATTTTGAAACAAGCTAAAAAATTATTTTAATGAGAGAATTTTTAAATAAAAAAATTATTTTTAATCCAAGCGATATACCAAAAATTAATTCAAAACTAGAAAATAAATTTGATTGGAAAATTTTTGAAAATAATTCTTTTGATAAATTCATTCCAATTCCTCCAACTTTTCCGTTAAATCCATTTGTTTATCCCGCCTAAATATTCTTTCTCCAAATATTGAGAGAAATTATAAAATGTGTGTACTATTTGCCGCCTGTAACAATTAGAGAGGAAGTTTTGTCAGTGTCTCCACAAATGATTTCCAACTTCCTGCTGACCTGATTATGATTAAATATTATTATGAAATGTTTGGATTTAATTTTAAGGAAGACCAAAACAAATATTTGAATTAAAAATAAATTATTAAATAATTAATAAGTGATATATTTGTAATAAATACAAGATCAAAATTTTAAGCTTAATCTTAATTATTGTTTAATTCAAGTTTGTTGTTCTTAAGTTTAGCTTAAAAAAGCTTAATCTTAAGTTTATAATAAATAAACTTTGTTTTTAAGTTTGCACTCAAAACAAGTTTAATTTGTTTTGTTTGGAAACAAATAAAACAAACAAACAAACAAACAAACAAAGCAAAAACAAATAAAAAAATAAAACAAACATAAGCAAACATAAATCGAACATAGAACAAAGTTTATTTCAAACTTGTTTTCAGGTTTATTTAATTTAAGTTCATTCTCAAGTTTCTAAGTTTCATGTTTTTCTTGCTTCGGTTTTTCTAGTTTATTGTTCAAGTTTATTCTCAAACATTTTAAGTCTGTTTCCTTTATTCTCTTTTATTTTTCAGGACAGACGAAAAAAAGGGCGGGGAATCCTTCTCGGCCAAAATTTCTGCAATTACTGATGATTCATCTACAAAATGAAAAATATATTTTAGGGGAAAGAAAAAGTTTTAAATATAAATTTAATCCAAAGCAATATAATAGATTGAAAGGAAAAAACAAAAACACCCCCCCCTCCATCCTTTCCAATTTCTAGCTCTTTTTAAATTAAAAAACATATATATTTGTAGTACCAGCCTTCTATAGTTGTAATGTTTTCATTCCATTTTAGATCAAATATTAAATGGATAGATCAATAAACAATTCTTTTACACTAGATTGCCATAAACTTAAATTGTTATTTTATCGACTAAAAGACATTTTTTTACAAATTTATATAATTTATTCACGTAAAATCAAAGGACACAAATTCAATAAAAATATATATGTGCCACTTACATGCAGTGAATGTAACCCATTTAATATATGTATATGTATGAGGAAATTAAAACAATTTTTTAGTAATATATAAATGTATTATTTATTTCCTTGGTTTTTAATAAATGATTTTTAAGTAATACCCAAAATTGTTTTGGGGTTTTCGAGTTAGGTAATTATGTTTTCTGGGCGAGAATTCATTCCATTTTAGATCAAATTTTTAAGTTTATTCTTAAGTTTATTTAAATTTAGGCTAATTTCAAGTTTATTTTAATTTTCTAGATTAATCTTAAGTTTATTTTGTTTTTAAGATTAACTCAAGTTTATTTTAAATTTCAAGATTAAACTTAAGTTTATTTTTAATCTTAGGTTTATTTTATTTTCAAGATTAAACTTAAGGTTTATTTTCATTTTTAAAGTTTATCTCAAGTTTATTTTTCTTTTCAAGATTGATCTTAACTTAACCATCATTTTTAAATCCTAATTTTATTTTTACTGCAGATGTGAATTACAAATTTATTTTAAAGAAATAAATCTTGTCTCAACTGGCAGTAAATACTAGCAGGTGGATAAAGTAGGAACGCTCGGAAAAGTTTTTTTGCTAAAAGACAGCTTTTATTCTGTTAAAAATGAAGAAATTAAGTGAAGAAATGTGAAGAAAAGGAAGGAAAAAAATAAAATATCGTCCAGAATGTCCCCCATAAATATTTAATTTTATGTGATGTTGTTCTCACTTTTCCCCTTCAGTTTATGCAAAAAGGTCGACCAACGTCCATCGTCCATGGCCTCCTTCCCATCCTTACCTAATGGGGGGAAGAAATGGAGGGCGCAAATAAAATATGGGTAAAATGCTAGTTTAGTAATAGTTTTTGTTGTTGTTGTTGTCCGCGCCATCTCCCATCGATTGTCGGACTCACCGTCAGTATCCTCAACAAAAATAGCAAAATAAATATTATAATTGACTTTTTATTTGGCAGGATTTTTGAAATTTTCAATATCTAACCTCAATTTTCAATTTTATTTTTGAGCTCAATGCTTTATTTTTGAGGCATATGTACAATTTTTTAGGTTTATTTTTAAGTTTGCTCTTGCATAGGTTTATTTAAATTTAGTAACTTTTGTTTATTTTTTTTTCAAATTTAATCTTAATATTTTTAAGTTTAATCATAAGTTTATTTATTTCCAAGTTTAATCTCAAGTTTATTTTTATTTTCAAAATTAATTCCAAGTTTATTTTTATTTTTTTCAAGTTTATTTTTTTAGATTAATCTTAAGTTTGTTCTTATTTTCATATCTAATTTAAGTTTATTTTTCTTTCAAGTTTAATCTTAAATTTATTAATAATATTTTTAAGTTTAAGCTCAAGTTTATTTTTATTTTCAAGTTTATGCTTAAGTTTATGTACCTTTTCAAGTTTAAGTTTATTATTATTTTCAAGTTTATTTTAAATTTTATTTATTTCCAAGTTTAAACTTAGGCTTATTTTTTTAATTTTAATTGAATTTATTTTTAAGATTAATCTTGTTTAAGTTATGTAATTTTAATAACAATGATTAATTCAACAACAAAAAATTTATCTTCATTAATTCTACTAATCTCACAATTTTTATTTTCTTTAGCTTCATTTCACATTCCATTTGGTATTGAAGAGGGGGATGAGGTCTTATTAAAAATATTATTTATTTTAATTAATTTAATTTAATAGTTAATTCAATTTATCGAAAAACCAGCAATTACAAGAAAATTACTTCCCGGCCCTCCCTTTACATTTTTTGAAAGAAAACAAAATTTAATTTTTATTTCGGCAAATGGAGCTGTTTCCTTTGGAGAACCTTTCGATACAAAATCGGAAGATTTAAGTGAACAACATAAAGATATTATTGCTGTTTTGTTTGCACCCTCTTCTAACGGAAAAGTTTTTTATCGGTGAGAAAGAAGGAAAATTAAAATAAAAAATTTAATTATTTTTTAAGAACTTCGCATAGTGAAACTTTATTGAGTAGAGAACTTTCCGCAAAAGTTAGGCGTGCTTTTGGGGCAAACCAATTTGAAGCCTCTGCTGTTTTGTTAATTACTTGGAGCGAATTATTGAATGAGAAATCGGAATCTAATACGTTTCAGGCAAGTTTAAAGTTTTAACTTCAAGTTTATTTAATTCTAAGTTTAATCTTAAATTTTATTCTTTTTCAAGTTTAATCTCAAGTTTATTTATTTTCAAGTTTAATCTAAGTTTATTTATTTTAACGTTTAATTTCAAGTTTATTTTTTTATTTTTAAGTTCAAACTTAAGTTTTTTGTTTAAACAAGTTTATTTTTGTTTCCAAGTTTAAATATAAGTTTATTACTTTCAAGTTTATTTTTTTATTTTTAAGTTCAAACTTAAGTTTTTAAGTTTAAACAAGTTTATTTTTGTTTTCGAGTTTAATCTTAAATTTATTGTTAAGTTTTAATTTCAAGTTTATTTTAATTGTTAAGATTAATCTTAACATTATTTCGCTTATTTTTAAGTTTAAACTTTAATTTGCCTTTTTTGTTTCAATTTAGGTTTCTTTTTAAGCTTAATCTTAAAATATAAGGTGAATTTATGTGAACTGAAAAAGAGAGGATTTGCTTTTAAAATTCCAAAATTTTTACATTTTTTGACATTTCCATTAATCTATTTTCTAGAAATATTTTTTATTTATTTCTAGTTGGCATTAGCTACCGATTCAAACGAAACTTATGCCATTTTTGTCTATAGCACAATTAATTGGACAAAATCAGGTGGAAGGGTAGTTCAGACTGGATTTTTTTCTGTTGACGGAAAGAATGATAAGGTGCTTGATCAAAGTAGTTCTTCTGTTGGGGAAGTTGCCAAGTAGAAAGAAATTTTTTAAATTTTGATTTTCTTCTTTTTCTTAGAGTGACTAATTTCAATGAACCTGGTGTTTTTATTTATCGTATTTCTGGAGTTGAACCAACAGATCCTAGAAGACCAGAAGGCGATGATTATGAATATCAACAAGTGAGGGATTGCCTTATTTTTTTGAATTAAAAAAAAATTTTATTTTAAAGGAAACTCAGGAATATGACCCGGATGACCAAATTGGTAGAATAAAAAAATATTTCAAATAAAAATTAAATTTTAACAGTGGAGTGTCCTCCAGACCCTTACAGAGATAAATGTCCACCAACTTGTAAATTGGTGATGGATGACCAACATTGTAGTCTTTGTATATGTTCTAGTGAGTTTTTTTTTAATTTTAATAATTTTTAAGGTTGAACTTAAGTTTTTTTCAATTTTAGGTTTTTAAGTTCACTCTTAAATTTCAAGTTTAGACTTAAGTTTAATTTTAAGTTTTCAAGTTCTATCTTAAGTGTTCAAGTTTATTTTTAATTTTTTAAGTTTGAACTTAAGTTTTCACGTTCTTAAGTTCAAACTTAATTTTTTAAGTTCTTAAGCTCAACCTTAAGTTTTTAAGTTTTATCTCACAAAAATTTTTTAAAGGTGTGCTTTCTTCTTCCTCTGAAAACTTGGCTGGGTCTCCTTATTCTACTCTTACAAACGGTAAAATAAAATTAATTTTTGAAAATTAATTTAAAAAATTAAAAGATTTGGGTCAAGAATTACCTCTACAAAATATCCATCAACAACCAAAGACAACAATTCAGCGTTCTCCTGATTTAAGCTGTGCTCCGCTAACATCTTCTAGTCAGTGCCATGCTCATGCCTATTGTTCCCAATTTAGGAGGTAAATTGGTAAATTCTGAAAATGAAAATTCTGATTTAAAAATGAATATTAATTCTGATTTTTGAGTTCTTTACTAAAAATTCTTCAACTTAAGTTTTCAACTTTAAACTTTAATTTTTAAGTTTACGCTTAGGTTTTTAAGTCGATTTGTTTTCTGTCAGATTAATGTTTTCTGTCAAAATAAAAATCAGAATAAAAAATTCTGATTTTTGTGTTTTTAATTAAAAATTCTGATTTTTCAATAGCGGTTATTGCTGTCAGTGCGAACAAGGATATATTGGCAATGGAGCAGAATGTTTGCCTCAACAAGAAGCGATACGTATTAATGGTGATTTTCAAGGTGCAATAAATGGGAAAAATGTACAGAAAACTGAACTTTTTTGTAATTTATTTTTTTCCCTTGATTAAAAAAATTTCTTTTTAAAGCTTATATCCAACCGGCTGACGGCCAACAACACACTGCTTTAGCTAAAATTGATTCAGAAATTGGGTGGTCTTTACTTTTGGTTGATTCTTTAAGTACTCCTTTTGGTTGGTTATTTGCAAAATCTTCAGCAACTTCTCAAAGCAAAAATGGATTTGAATTGACTGGGGGAAATTTTACAAGACTTGTTAATATACACTTGGGTAGGTTAATTAATTATTAAATTCTGATTTTTTAATGCTTATTTTTGTATTTTCCAAAGTTCTGGTTTTTAGAATTCTGAAATTAAATTCTGATTTTTTTAAATTCTGATTTCCCAAAATTCTGATTTTTTGAAATTCTGATTTTTAAAATTCTGATTTTTTGAAATTCTGATTTTTAAAATTCTGATTTTTTGAAATTCTGATTTTTTAAAATTCTGATTTTTTGAAATTCTGATTTTTAAAATTCTGATTTTTTGAAATTCTGATTTTTAAAATTCTGATTTTTTGAAATTCTGATTTTTTAAAATTCTGATTTTTTGAAATTCTAATTTTTCGAAAATCTGATTTTTAAAATTCTGATTTTTATATTCTGATTTTTTAATTAAAAGGTGACCGTTATTCACTTGTCATTCGTCAAGAATTTACTGATCGTCAATTTGATGAACAATTTCATGTTAACGTTGTACTTAGCGGTACCTTACCCGAAATATCTGGACCAGTTCAAATTTCAATTCCTGAATTTGAAGAAAATTATCGAGTTGAAAAACAAGGCAATTTAATAATATTGGGAAAAAATATTTTTTATTTTTCTAAAGGAATGTTGAGGTCCTATTCTGAACGTTATATTCTTTTGCGTGGTGTAGGCAGTGAGGAACAAAAATTCCGGGTTACTGTAGACCAACAAATCCACTTCACAGAATGTCCATATAAAGAGCCTAGAGGACCAGATTCTTTCACTGTCAAATTTGAACGTGTAAATGCCATTTATGACCAAACTGAAAATGTTGTTAGATTTGCTTCACAATCTAGTATATTTAATGAAGGAGAAAAGTTTGAACGAGAACCAATAATTGAGACAAGTGTAGGACATGTTCCAGATAATAGTGGTGGAACACAGGTGAAAAAAAAAATATTTTTTTTGGAAAAGGGTACCCACGGGTGATTTATGGTCGAGAGCATCTTCCTGCTCTTCTTCTTCAAAAAATCAACAAAAATTAAAAAAATTTTTTTAAAGGATGCTTGTACTTCTGGTCGCAATTTTTGTAATTTACCAAATATGTTGTGTGTCCAAATACCATACAATCCGGGTTATAGATGCGATTGTAGACCTGGTTTTAGATTATTTGAGGATGATAGTGTTGAGCAAGGAATGGTTTGCAAATTAGGTGCAATTTTTTAAAAGCATTTAAAAATTATATTAACTATAATTAAAAATTGAATAAATAAGCTTGAACTTGAAAATAAAAATAAACTTAACATTAAACTTAGAAATTAAAATAAACTTAAGTTTGAACTTAAAAATAAAATAAACTTAAGATCAGGCTTGGAAATTAAAATAAACTTAAGCCTGAACTTGAAAATGAAATCAAACTTAAGATCAAACTTAAAAATTAAAAACTTAAGATTAAACTTGAAAATAAATATAAACTTAAGATCAAGCTTAGAAATTAAAACAAACTTAAGATTGAACTTGAAAATAAAAATAAACTTAAGATTGAACTTGGAAGTTAATATATTCAGCTTTAAATGTAAAAATAAAACAAACTTAAGATTGAACTTGAAAATAAATAAATTTAAGTTTGAACTTGTAAACGCAATAAACAATTTAATAACGAACCTTTTTATTTTTAGTTGATAAATTGGAGAATATTGTTCTTCCCGCGCCTTCCACGGGTTCTCCTGCTTCATTACAACTTGGAGAATGTACTGGACATGATCAATGCCATCGATGGGGTAAATTTATATAATTTTTTAATCAAAATTTTTTTTCCTTTTTCGGTGAATGTTTATTTGGACTAATTCCTGGATATCCAGGGAAATGTAAATGTAGAGGGTGGTATGTAGGTGATGGAATTACTCATTGTGGACCTCCAGGTAAAATTTTTAAAAATTAATTTTTAGATTTAAATTAGAATTTTAGACGAACAACAACAAAATCAACCACAACCGCAACAACCTGTTATCATTACTCACAATCGAGGCATGAAAATAAAAATATAAAAAATTAAAAAAAAATAATATTTTTATAGGGGAAATTTGTCACAATTCTGATGAATGCGGGGATAATGCAAAATGCGAATATTCTATAAAACATGAACATTATATTTGTTTTTGTTCTGATGGTTATTATAAAGTTGGTGAAGGAAGTAATTTTGAATGTTTACCGGAAACGAAGCAAACTACAATAACAACAAACATTAATAATCAACAACAAACATTAAAAGAGAAGGAAGAAAATGTTTTACAAACACACGACAACAACCCTTCCGGAATTGTTCCAAAAACACGGAAACAATGTTCAGATTCTAGCGAGTTTGTTTTATTCTGATTTTTTGTGTTTTTATTTGTTTGGATGAAATTCTGATTTGTTTTTGTGTTTTTATTTGTTTGGATGAAATTCTGATTTGTTTTTGTGTTTTCTTTTGTTTGGATGAAATTCTGATTTGTTTTTGTGTTTTCTTTTGTTTGGATGAAATTCTGATTTGTTTTTGTGTTTTCTTTTGTTTGGATGAAATTCTGATTTGTTTTTGTGTTTTCTTTTGTTTGGATGAAATTCTGATTTGTTTTTGTGTTTTCTTTTGTTTGGATGAAATTCTGATTTGTTTTTGTGTTTTCTTTTGTTTGGATGAAATTCTGATTTGTTTTTGTGTTTTCTTTTGTTTGGATGAAATTCTGATTTGTTTTTGTGTTTTCTTTTGTTTGGATGAAATTCTGATTTGTTTTTGTGTTTTCTTTTGTTTGGATGAAATTCTGATTTGTTTTAAACAAATTCTGAATTTGTATTTTCTTCGTTTAAATAAAATTCTGATTTTTAGTTGTCATGTGTTTGGAAGTTGTCTACTTTCAGAACAAACAAATACACACTATTGTTTTTGTGTACCAGGCTTTCAAGGGGATGGAGTTGACAAATGCGAAAGTTCTGGTAATGTTTTTTAAATAATCAGAATTTTTGTTTATAAATTCTGATTTTTGTATTTTCTTTGTATTTTAGAATAATATTTAATTGTTTTCAGAGGAGTGTAGTCCAACAAACATTCAGGCTTGCCCACACCCCAATCAAGAATGTGTTTTTGAACATTCTCTTCGCAAATTTGCTTGTCAATGCAAAAATGGTGATTAAAAAATAATTATTTATTTATAATAAATTTATTTTAAATCAAGGGTTTATAAAACAAGCAGACGGAAAGTGTCTTTTCGAACCAACAGAACCTCCACCTTCTTCTGTTGATCGTTGCAAACAATGCGGGGCTAATTCACAATGTGTTAAACAACTTTTGGGAGGGGGAAAAGAAGAATTTATTTGGAATTGTATTTGTAACCCTGGATTTACTGGGAATGGTTTTGAATGTAGAGAAGGTAGGTATTTGTGTTTTTAATTAAAAAGAATTTTTCCTTGTTCAGAAAATTGTTTGGATCGTCCACAAATGTGTAGCCCTAATGCTCAGTGTTTACCTGATGGCCAAAAAGCTTCTTATTTGTGTGTTTGTAATTATGGATTTAATGGGGATGGAAAGATTTGTGAACGTATGTTTTTATTTTATTCTGATTTGTTTTTAGTTTATTCTGGTTTGTTTTAATTTTGTTCTGATGTGTTTTTAAATTAATTTGTTTTGAAGAAATTCTGATTTTTATTCTTAAGTTTTAAACAATCAGAATTCTTTTTTAAAAAGAAAATTCTGGTTTTTGTGTTTTTTAAAATTCTGATTTGTTTTCTATGTTTTAAAAAATCAGAATTTTTTAATGTGTGTGTTTTATTTGTGTTTTGTTGGAATTCTGGTTTGTATTTTATTTTTAATGACCAGAAATTTTATTAAATGTTTTTGAAAAATTCCGATTTGTATTTTCTTTTATTTTAAATCAGAATTCTTTTTAATATTCATTAATTTACAGCAAAAATTCTACAAACAAAAGAAACACCAGATAAATTGTTAATTGGGCGTGGAATGGCTATTATTCAAAGGTCTTCAATTCCTAATTTGGATGAATCAGGAAGACAGGTAAACTAAAAGATTTTATAAAATAAATTTTTATTTTTAAAGTTAATTGTACAGCCACATCAAACAGTTGTAGATATCGACTATGACTGTATTTCTGGTTTGTATTTTTTAATAATCAGAATTTCTGTTTTGTTTGTGTTTTAATGTGTTTTCCCCTTTGTTTTACAATAATTCTGATTTTTTAATAATTAAAAAAATTTTATTTTTCAGAAAGGATATATTGGAGTGACATTTCTGGTAATTAATCTTTTTTTTATTTTATTCAGAAATTTATTTTTTAGGCCATTCCATTCGTTCTGCATTTTTAAATGGTACAGAAATTACTTCTGAATTTAGTGATTTGCTTAAATCGCCGGAAGGTAAATTTTTATTATTAAATTCTGATTTTTGGGAATTCTGATTTTTAAAATTCTGATTTTAAAAATTCTGACTTTAAAAATTCTGATTTTTAAATTCTCTTTCCTTTCAAGGTATTGCAATAGATTGGCGTTCACAAAATATTTATTATGTTGATAGTATCAAAAACGAACTGGGTGTTTTGTCTATTAATGGAAAATTTCAAAAAACACTTTTAAAAGAAGGGTTGAATAATCCAAGGGCATTAGTTATTGATATGGAAAGTCGTCAACTTTTTTATTCTGATTGGTCGAGAGATGCCCCAAAAATTGGAAGAATTGGTTTGGATGGAAGTGGAAATAAAGGTAAAGGGGGAAATGTTTTTATTAAATTTTGATTTTTATTTACTTAATTTAAGCTTAAACTTAAAAATTAAACTAAACTTAAGATTAAACTTGAAAATTAAAACATATTTAAGCTTAAACTTAAGATTGAACCTAAAAAATAAATTAAATAAACTTAAGCTTGAACTTAAAAATTAAATAAACTTAAGCTTGAACTTGAAAATTAAATAAACTTAAGCTTGAACTTGAAAATTAAATAAACTTAAGATTGAACTTAAAAATAAAATAAACTTAAGATTGAACTTGAAAATTAAAACAAATTTAAGCTTAAGCTTAAATATTAAATTAAGCCTAAGATTGAACTTGAAAGTAAAAATAAACTTAAGCTTGAACTTAAAAATTAATTTTTCTCGTTTCTATAAATTCTGATTTGTATTTTTTAATTTTAGTTATAATTTCTGATGAAATACATTTACCTAATGGACTAGTAATGCTTCAAACTAGTAGAAGGTTATGTTGGGCAGATGCTGGTAATCAAAGGTTGGAAATTTTTTAATTATCAAAAAATAATTTAATTTTTAGGCTTTCATGCAGTGCTTTGGATGGGTCTAATAGGAAAGTGGTAAATAAATAAAATTAATTTTTAATTAAAAGAAAATTTCTTTTAAAAAGATATATGCTCCATTAGAATACCCTTTTGGATTGACTGCTGACAGTTTAGAAGAGCGTTTTTATTGGACAGATTGGAAAGAGTAAGTAGATGGCAATTTTATTATTGCTGGGACTCGAAAAATTCGAAAAAAATTTGAACGAGCTTTTTGGCCGCGGGCAATTCGAGAGGCTTTTAAAAAGCTTATTCTATCCACTCATTAATTTATCAAACAAAAAATATGTATTTTCCGATTTTTATCCGAAAAAAGCTGGACGAGCTTTTTGGCCGCAGCCAATTCGAGAGGGTTTACTGAGCTTATTCCACCCATTCCTCCCTTTAATTAAAAAAAATTTTTTTTCAAGTCAAAAAATCCATTCTATCGACATTACCGGAAGAGGATATACAGAATTCTATCCTGGTGCTGGAGGAAGGGGTAAACAACAATTCGTTTTATTCCCCACAAAACTCTTAAATTTCCCTCAGGCAAACTTTATGGAATCCTAAGTCTTCCAGTAAAATGTCATTTCAACACCGCACCCTCCGAGTGTATCCAAAAAGAACACAAATGTACACATTGGTGTCTGCCAGGTGCTTATGTTGGTGCTTTTACTTGTGTATGTCCAGATAATGTTAAAGGGTTGAGTGGTTGTTAATTTTAATTTTTTTAAATTTTTCTTTTTACTGCCGTTTAAATTATATAATTTTTATATTTTACTTGCCTTTCTTTTTTTTTAATTTTTAAATTTAATAAATTTTATTTTACCTAAAATTAAAAAAAAATAATTTTCCATTTAATTAACATTTATTTATTCTTTTACACACTTGTACTTTATATTTAAATTAGAGAGAAATAATGGGTTTATTTTTGTTAGAGACCGGGCTTGAGGGAATAATTATTGAAATTCAATTGAACTCGAAAAAATATTTCTAAAAATCTCTACAACAATTTAGAGGTTTTTGGGATATTTTGTCACCCCTTGAAGATTCTCTAAAAAATAAAATATGGTGCCTCTCTGTCCAGTCTCTTTTCCTTTAGGTTTACATTAATTAAAATTGAGTATCGTGTAAATATGTGTATGTGTGTCTATTCGTTTTTTTTGTAAGCAGAAAAAAGGCAAAAAAGAGATTGAAATAAAAATTTTTTCTAGTAATTTAAAATCCTATCTAAATCGAAAAGTTATCCCTTCCAAATCTCTTTTTATAACCACCGAGCTAACTTTATGTGCTTCTTTTTAAATTTAGGTATATAGGTGTGTTTATATCAGGGATGGGCATCCTTCCTTATTTTAAAAAAATGTAAGTCTGGGGAAAATTCTGTCTTACAAGGGAACATACCAAACTGTGAGTCAAAACTGTGTGGAGGGAAATTCCACTCATTTATAGGGGAGTTCCTAATTATTATTATTTTTATTATTTTTTTGTTTGATAAATTAGTGAGTGGATAGAATAAGCTTTTTAAGGGCCTCTCGAATTGCCTGCGGCCAAAAAGCTCGTTCAAATTTTTGAACGAGTTTTTTGGTTTGGCGTTCCTAATTATCGCAAACTTTGAAGCACCATAGCTTTTATAGCACATTCCTAGTCAAAAAAAAAACAAAGAAAATTGTTTAGAGTAAATCGATGATGCTCTACCGAATGGTACCAAAAAAATAAACAAAATTGTGATTCACAGTTTAGTATGTTCCCTTGCTAGCAAAAAAAAAATTTTTTTTATGGAAGAAAAAAAGCTGGGAAAAAAAAGAGCACATCCCTAATACATAATGTTTTACATATTTTTTTGAATAAACGAGAAAAATTTAATCAACATAAAATTTAAAAAATTAAAAAAAACCTTTTTTTTAACTTAATTATATTGTGTCCAACCACTCCATACCCTCTTTCTCTTCATTTTTTTTAAAATTTAAATTAATTTTTTTGGCCACTTTATTTTTATTTATTTTCCCCGTAGTTTTCCTCTTCAACTAGTAGCAAGTACTAGGCTTCCCAACACCATTATTATTATTTTTATTATTATTACCGTTGTTGTTGTTACATTTTGGAGGCGTCGTTCCTTCTTGATTTATTGATAATGATTCAAATTGTTTTTCGATTATTGATGGTCTTGTATTGTCCTTCAAATTTAATTTTTTAAAAATTTATTTACTTAAGCTTTAAAGGTATGAAAATCAGAAAATAACAAAAAAAAAGTTAAAAATCGCAAAAAAATTTTCTGATGACATTTGATCCCAATAATTAATTCTAATTTTTTATATTATAAATCCTCACCTATTCAACCCTCCCCCCAAAAATTTTTTTTTCGAATAATTCATTTAAAAATTAGAATTAATTATTGGGATCAAATGTCATCAAAAAAAATTGTTTTCATATAATTACTCGCTAAAATAATTTTGTGATTTTTTCCTTTGTTTTTTATTCTAGTAATCCCAATTCGATTCCCAAATTCTAATTCGATTCCTAATTCATTTCCCAAAAAAAATTTTAGAAAAAACACTCTCCCCTTACATTTTCCTCAGTCAAAGGATGATACGGATCAATGAAAGTTTGTTGTTGTTGATGAGGTTGATAAATTGGATAATAAGTTGGGTAGTAGTGCAATATATTAGCTATAGAAAAATAAATTAATTTAAAAAAATAATTTTTTTTAATTTAACCATTATCAGTAAAATATTGGTATTGGGCTGGATTTGCAGCATTATTGATCATCATTGGCTATAAAAATTTTTTGTTAATAAATTTAAAAGATTTTTAAAAAAGTTATTTTAAGAAACCCATAAAATATTTGTTTTTTAAATAGAAAAATTTTTTGGGGAAAGAAATCGAAAAAATTTTTTTGATGACAGTTGGTCCCAAATAAATATTTTGACCCAATTTTAATTCCGTACTTGCTTATAAACGTACAAAATAATTTTTTTATATATATAAAAACCAATAGTTGCTATCCCAATCTCAAAAATATTATTTATTGGGAAGAATCCGACAAAAATTTTTTAATGACATTTGATCCCAAATTTAAATTTTTTTATTTTTAAAAATAAAAAATAAAAAAAACCTGTACAAAACTAATTTATATATATTTAAAAAATCAATATTTGCTATCCGAATCTCAAAAATATTATTTTTGGAAAGAATTCGACAAAAAATGTTTCAGATGACATTTGATCCCAAATTTAATTTTCTTATTTTTAAAAATCAAAAACTCAAAAATAAAAAAACCTGATATTGGTATTGCAAAGCCATATACGGATTAATATATTGTTGCTGATTAGGCAATATATTTGTAGCTGTATTTTGTGGCATTATAGGTGGTGACATCAATGGTTGTATTGAAAAAAGTGAAGGAATTTGTGAACGTTGTTGTTGATGTTGTTCTAAAATATTTAAATTATTTAATTGTTGCTCATCTTTTTCTCCTCCTCCTTCCTCACTTTTTTCACCAATTCCATTTGTTGATTGAATTATTGGTGGTAATTGTTGTTGTTGTTGTAGTGGTTGTTGTTGATTATTAGTGATTATTGGTTCACTAAAAGCACTAGTTGGCGAAATTAATGACGGCTTTAAAAAATTAGATTTTTTTTAAATTTTTCAAAATTTATTCAACGTTAGTATAAACTAAGTTACTAGAAAATTTATTACTAGAAACCAGGGAACGGTCAGGTTACTTAAAACTCGACACCTGAACTTTGAACTTTTGAGACCACAACCCTTTCTTTGAACCCAATCCATCCCCAGCTAGAAACCACGATTTAACACGGTTTGGTCTGACAGCTAATTTTTGAATTTATCGATCTGACTGACAATGAGCTCTCTTATTGACCTGATTGAGACTAGAAACCACAATCTGTCCAGTAAAAAAAGACGCTCTGGGCGTCTAGTTTTCAATAGGTCTCTTTGGGGTGAGCTTATATTAGGGAATGGGTGTTTATTATTTTATTATTATTTTTACTTTTTAATAGGCCTCCTTAGCATTTATGGTATTCAAAAATCAAGTGTCGTGAATGACTCCCCGCCCCCCCCCCCCCCCCAAAATAAAATTTAAAGAAAAACCTCATTAGTCAACACAATCTGTCCTGTCGGATAAATTTGGAAAGGAATTCCTCCCCCTCCACAACTTCCATTTCCCCCAACAGCCATTTGATGATGAATAACAGCCCCACTACTTGCACTACTACTACAATTTGAAGTACTCATTCCTTCTCCTCCACCAGTTACAATTTCCAAATTTGAAGGTTGTAACCAAGCAGTAAATTGTTGTTGTTGATTAAACAAAGTTGTTGTTGAAGAATTTGTCCAATCAGAAATTTCAAAAGAACGTGTACGTCTAGATTTGTTATTGTTGTTGTTAAATTGTGAACTTCCAGAAGTATAAAAACGATTCCGAAATGGACGAAATGATGAGGGAGGTGGCCCGCCAAAATTAGTTGTAGTGTTTCGATGATTTCCAAGTGTCGAAATGTTTGACTTGAAAAAATGAGAAATTTTTTTTTATTTTTTAAAAATTAATAGAAGGGTTGGGGATAGGTAAGTACCAGTACAGGATAAATAAGTACCAAATTTGGCCGGACCGGAACCAAAAAAAATCCCTTAACTGAAGTTAAAACGAAACACTAGTAAGTGACTATGAAATTTAATTTCTAATCCTTATAAATCTACAACAAAAAGGAAAAATGTGTTGTTTCCAATTGCTGATCAAAAATATGCATTTTACGAAGAGACTAGAAAAGAGGAATGATTGAGGAAAGACCGGCTAGAAACGGGATCCCATGCGATATTTTGAGGGATTCTGCAATAAAATTTTGCCTGTCTCTAGTAATTATGTTGATAAAGATTATAAAATTTTTGTCCAAAATATTCGAAAAGATAAGGATTTCTCAAACCTATTAAAATAAAAAGAAACCTCATCAAAACTCTGCACATTTCGCCGTCCAAAATGAAATTTGTCTTCAAAGTTTGAATGTTTAATCAACGAACTGAACTTGATATCAGGACTATAAAATAAAAAAGAAATTAATTTCTTAAGTAGAAACTGAAAAAAAACAAAAATTATATTTAAAAAACCAATTTGAGAAAGAAAAATATTTTTTGGGACCAAATGTCCATTTTTGGATTTTTTCGGATTTCCTTTAAAAAATCCCCTAAAAAAAGTAAAACAAACATTCGTGTATGCCCCTTCTGTTTAGTAATCACCACTTGTTGTCCACTTTGATCCACATTGTGAATAAGCCCAAAGAAAGCCGCAACACGATGAATCAACTTTTTATAAAAAAATTATTTAAAATTTTAAAAATAAAAAAACCATTCGATTGTAGGAAGATGTTGGAGGAAACCAATGATAGGATTTGCTAGAAAATATTAAAAATAATAAAAATTAGTTTAAACAAATTTTTAACTGAAAATCGAAAAATTGGGACCAAATGTCCACCAAAATTTAAAAAAATAAATTTAAAAGATAAAATAAACCTTTCATCCTCAACAAATTTCCTCGTCTCCTCTTCAATAAAAAGCAAAAATTCCCGATCTTTAGCATTCTTATGAAGTGTGTTCTCCACAAAACGTAAAACATCAATACCCATAGAATCGGCATATGAAAGATCTTAAAAAAAATTTTTTTTATTTTAAAAATTCAAAAAGAAGTTTAACTTAAAGAAATCAGTTTTAAGTTTCTGTAGCAGAAAAAAAGTATCCAAAACTCAATAATAATTAAGTTAAATAAGCCTGAGAAGCTTAACGCAATCAAATAACCCAGGTGCTCCAAGATATCATAAAACATTTAATCCTTAAACTTTTTCTAGAAACGTGGCATGTACCTAATGGCTTTAGTAAATCTTCCAATTTCTCAGTAAAACTTAGTATCCTAGACCAGAAATTTGGAATTCCAAAATCATTAGGGGGGACAAAGGTACCCAAAAAACATAAGTATATGTCCACAGTCCAAAACCTAACAAAGAACCTTTTTTCATCATTGCTTTCCCTTGTTTAAAAAATAACAAAGAAAAGGCAATTTAGACTTTTCTTACAGCTAGCAGTTAAAAACCCACTAAAACCCTTATAAAACCAAACAAATTCAACCTCTCGTTAACTGCTTCTTTGGAGACTCAGCCTGCTTTATAGACACCTCCTTATTCTCATCATCCCCAACAACAGCATCGCTTCTAGTAAACACTTTTCTTTTGTTTAGAGTATCCTCAAATTAAAAAAAATTAATTTAAATTTAAACACAAAATAAACCTGTCTTTGTTCAGCCATTTTTCTTCAATTTTTAAATTAATTAATAAATAACCAAAATAAAAAGAATAAATAAATTTTTGTCAAATTATTTCCAAAATCTCTGAAAAAAATTTAAAAAATTAATTAAAAACAATCAAAAAATAAAAACAAAAAAAATAAAAAATGATGTCGCATTAAATTTTATGTATAAAAACAAAAAAAGCGGGACATGTCCAAAACGGCGCGCGGCCATAACGGCGCAAAGCCACAACTTGCTCCAAGATTTTTTAATCTTATCAAATTTAGCATTAAACGGTTCCTCTCATTGTGATAAGGAGATTGGTACCAAAAATGTTAAGGTAAAGAAAATTTTCAGGTAGTTATGGCTTTGCGCCGTTATGGCCGCGCGCCGTTTTGGGCTAATTAAAAAAGCGCCTGTTTAAATTTAACACACTATTTCTTCTTTCTTTTTATCTTTTTCCGAACATGAATTTAAAGAAAAACAGAAGAATCCCCCTTACACTTTTCTATAGAAGTTTTCTATAAGGGCTTCTAATTTGTATTCTAAAAATGGTTAACTTAAATCCCTACTCGCCTAAAGACAAGGGATAATAAATTTCGAAATCGGTATTTTCCAAAGCCGGAATAAAAAAATAGTGCGTAAAAAGAAGAGAGACGGGAAATAAGAGAGACAGAAAAAGAAGAAGAAGGAAATGAAAAGAAAATGTCAACAACACATTTTGCCAATAAGGCTAAAAATACATATTTCGCCAATTAGTTTGGTGACAAAACGAGTAATTTAATCCTTATTGGCAAAATGTCGAATTGGTAAAATGTGAAAGTCGAATAAGAGAATTAATAGTGGGACGTTTCAGTGCCCTCGTTCAGTGCGAATTAAAGAAGAGAGACGGTAAGAGAGATGCTTACGTTTTGGTGCCTATATTTGAGAGTCTTCTCTCCCTTTCCAATATTTTTGGCTTTTGGTTTTCCACTTCTTTCTCGACTTAAAAATGGTGTAAAAAAAGAAGAGAGTAAAAATATTTCCCTTCCGTTTCCTTACAAAAATTAATTAATTGCCTTTAATATAAATCATTTTTATTTAAAAAAGTTTCTAGGTGTAAAAGGGTGGGACTCATTTTTGCATAAAATTTCAAGTAAAGAATACTTATATAAATTATTTAATAAAATTTTTCTCGCTCTATTTAGAGTAGAAATAGTTTTTGCTCAAAAAAATTTTTGAAAAAAAAAATTTTTATTGAAAATGAAGCTCCTTTTATTTTCTTTATTTTTAATTGTTGCCTTTGAATTTCTAACCTTTTCAAACTCAACAATTGTTAGACGTGAAAGTGTTCAAGTACAACCTGTTAATAATACAGTGGTGAGCGGAAAAAATATTTTTTTATTTAAAATTATGCTTTTTGGGAGACGGAATGAAGTGTCTTTCCCTAAGAAGAAAAATTCTCTTTTGGGGGAATTTTTGTTGAACTCCTTCAAAAGATTGGGGAATAGTTCTCCCTTGTAGTTCACTCAAGTTCCCAAATTTTGTTTCCCTTCGAATACCCTCTCCTCTTAGAGATAAGGGCCCGGACTTGGGAAGCTGGACCTTGAGTCTCTATGTCCTGGATACTTGGGACCGACACAAACTCTTCGAATACCCCATCCCTCCCCTTACCAAAAATTAAATCACAGTCCCCTAACAAGTCCCCCCCCCCCCAAAAAAATTAATTTAAAATTCGCAAAAAAATTCTAGACGGACACCAAAAATTCAACTTCTCCTCTTTCAAACAAACCACAACCAGAATGTAAAATGCAATGCCGTCCATCCCCGTTAAAAAGAGGAAGAGAATGTTATATTGAATGTCATGGAGAATTACCCGCAACAGTTCGAGTAGCCCCCATTTTGGACCAAAAATGTGCTGAAAAGTGTAATGGAGGGCCTGTTGGGGATTACTCTAATTTTAAAAGAGAATGCGCTGTTAAATGTGCAATTCCTGAACGAAAATAGAGTTGATAGATTTTTTGATAAATTTGATTTTTTAAGAATTGTTTTTGATTTTCAATAAATATTCTTAAATAAATTTTATTAAATATTTATTTTCGGCTCCCTCCATATTTTGCTAATAAAGTTTCCAGTTTATTGGCAAATTGTCGATTTTTAGCCTTATTGGCAAAACGTCAATTTTTAGCTTTGTTGGCAAAATATGGTGAAACGCTATTTTCTCTTTCTCTAATCGCCTAAGAAATAATGGGCACCCAAAAACTGCGCTTAAACGTCCTCTTTGAAGGACACTGAAATTGTGGCGACGAAGTGACCTATTCTACTTTTTTAAAATTTTTAAAAAACAGTCATTTTGCCAAACTGTTGATAAATGGACAGTTCGTCCAAAAATGAAAAATTCTCTCATATTTAAAGAGAGATAAAAAAGATTTTCTCAGTGGTCGTCGGAATTTGGTCTCTTTTGTTTTTTTTCTCCTTTCTCCGTTGTCTCATCGGCATTTTGGGTTTTCTTCAGCTGATTAAGGGCATAATTTTTTTGATTTTTTTGGGGGCACTTCTCATTAATTTTATTCAAATTTTTCCTTTTTTAAAGCTAATTCTTAACAAAAATGAATACAAACATTGTAAACCCCAAAAAGGCACGACGAATAGACAGCGACCAATTCGATGTTGGATCGGTTACGAGTCGAATGTTGATGGGGGAACGAACATTGTCTATTATGTGTCCTTTTATTTATTTGCCTTTTCTTTATGCTTATGCTTTCTTTGGTGCTTGGATGTTTACGGTTTTTTTGAATATTCTAATTTAAGGCTTAAATTATTAAGTGGGAGGCCATTCAGATTCCTTAGAGTAACAGAAATCGAGATTTTTTAAAGATAAGGGTCTGGACTTGGAATGCTGGATCTGGAGTCTCTATGTTCTGGAGACCTGGAATATGAAGTCTCTAAGTCCTGGACCGTCTCCAGAACCTAAAGCATCCCTAACCTGTGTTCTGAAAAATACGGGCTTGGCCTAGCTCCATCTCTAGATTAATAGGACTCCGTCAGGATTTTGTTTACTTTACTCAATTCTATATATGTTCCTGAATCCGTCCTTGGACTTGGGACATAGTCAGATCCAGGAGGAAACCTGGAATCAAGGAAAATCCCGACTTGTCCCAGTTCGATCTCTAGAGTAATAGGTAGAGTAATGGGACTTCTCTCGGATTTGGTTTACCATATCCCAATCCTATAAAGGCTCCTTTATTCAGGAAAAAGTGAGCCTGACCCAATTCCTAGGCCCAACTCCCAAATTAAAAAAATAATTTTTTTAGCGAATTGAAAGCAAACATAGTGCAGTACAATCGCCTTACAAACCAAACAACCAAACTAACCAAACAGGTTGTGGATCCAGGTTTTTTATTCAAAATTAAAAAAAATTATTTTTCACTTTTTAGTTATGAACCATTTGCTGATGTTGTTAGAGATGGGATACCTTATTCAATAAGTGTGTTTACAACTGTTGGATATGGTGTTCAGGTTATTTTTTGGAGTTTTTAAATGAATTTTTTTACGTCTTGGAAAAATTCCAAAAAATTTCTCGAAATGCCCAATTTCTCATAACGTCCATTTCTCGAAATGCCCATTTTCGAGAAATGGAAAACGTCAAAATTTCAAAATGTCAACTTTTTTTCTTTAAAGGCCCCAGAAACTTCAGCCGGCAGAATAGCTACAATTTTCTATGCGATGCTTGGCATTCCCTTATATTTTGCATTTACTGCAGATATTCAGGATAGAATTGATCAGTTAATTTTTGTTTGGCTCTATGGACTAATTTTTAACAAAAAACGACACCAAATTAAAATTGCAAGATGGAAAAAATTTTTGGTTACAGTTTTTATTGCCGTGTCCTATTTGTTTATTCAAGGAGCCATTACTATGGTATTTTTTGAATTCAAAAAATGGCCGCCGGTTGAGTCGTTGAGTCCCGCCGGTTGAGTCCTGCAGCCTTATTTTGGCCCTTAACTTTTTCATTTCTTAATGGATTTAGATAATTAATATACCATTCGAAAGCTCTTGATGTAAGGACTATTTTGTCTAACAGTATTGCTCTGATCAGATCAACATACAAAAAGTTATGGCTTAATAAAGGTCAAAAATCACGATTGCGCGCATTTATCTAGATATAACTTTTTGTAGAATGATCTGATTAAATCAATCCAGTTGGCGAAAATAAGCCGCACACCCAGGGCTTTCGAATGATAAAAAAATGTATTATAATTTGTTGAGAACCCAAAAAGTTATGGACCAAAATATGGCTCCGGGACAACTCTACCCAAAAATGGTGAATTCTCAAAACGTCCAAAACTCATAATGTCAAGATACCATAATGTCCAAAAAAATTTCCCCAATTTTAGTACCTCGAAAGCAAAGAAGAATGTGGAGGCCGTTGGACATATATGGTAGCGGTATATTTTGTTTTCCAATCTGCTGCTCTTATTGGGTTTGGGGATTTGACAGCATCAAGAAGTTTATACTTGACAGTTCATTTACCAATGTTAATTATTGGGCAAGTATTGTTACAATCACTTTTTGCTGAAGCAATCGTAAGGAAATTTTTAAAATGTAATTTTTAGTGGTCAATCTCTCTCCCCCTCCCCTCTCCATCAAAAAATTATTTCACAAAAATTTTTGTGCCTCCAAAACTAGAAATCGGACATGCAGATTCGTATGAGAATCGAACTCATGTCTCGGAAAATCTATACTCTAACTGAGATTTATGTTCAAGATCTCTTCCCGGTCTTGTCTATATTCCAGATCCTTCTCTTGTATAGGAGAACAGACTCCTGTTAATGGGACACCGGGATTACGTTAGTGCACAAATCCCCCTCCCTCTCAAAGGTGAGATCAATCTCTTAACATACACATTTTTTTCTAATTATTTCTTCCAAGAATTTTTTTTTATTTTTTCAGAAATATATTCGTTATAAATTTCCTTTATGGGTTGAAAATGCTTGGGATGCTTTTATGAAAGCTGCATTCAATAAAAACCCTCCAATAATGGTTAAATTTCCTCAAGAAACACAACCATCAGCTAGACCAAAAAAGAAAAAAGAAAAGGCAATATCTAATAAAGCTAATAATAATAAAAAGGTTAGGGTATAAATAATTATATTTACTAATTAATTTATTTTAATTGTTGTAATTATATTGTATTATTTTTAGGTTGTATAAATTGTAACTTATTTTTACTAGAAATTTTAATTATTCCAACTTTTTACAATTTGTAAAAAGATGTAAAATTTGAACCTTAAAAAGTACAAATTGTAAAAAGTTCCTAGCTAAACATTTTACAATTTGTAAGGTTTTTAAATTTAACTTTCTACAATTGTAAAAAACAATTAACAACTTTTTACAAATTGTAAAGTTTTAAAATTAACTTTTACAATTTGTAGAATGTTCAAATTTAAAAACTACAAATTGTAAAACATTTAATTTAGATTTACAAATTGTAAAGTTTTAAGTTCAACCTTTTTACAAATTGTAAAAAACAATTTACAACATTTTACAAATTGTAAAGTTTTAAAATTAAACTTTACAAATTGTAAAAAGTTTATTTGAAAAATTACAAATTGTAAAATAATTACACTTAAAACATTTTACAATTTGTAAAATAATTAAACCTTTTACAAATTGTAAAAAGTTTTATAAAAACCTCTAGTTTTTTACAATTTGTAGTTTTGTCTTTTTTTTAGGGGGGGGGGGTATTTTATACTATATATTCATATCTTTATCAAACAAACAATTTTAAAAAATACATTAATATTTAAAGCAGTTTTGTTCTGATTATGAATATTAATTTTTAGTAAAAACATTTTTACAACAAAAAATGGGTATATAAATTAATTTTTAAAAAACAATTTTTAATTTCAAAAATCAAAAAAAAATTCTTGATAAAAAAGCTTTTCTTATGAAAGGATTATGGAGAAGTTAATATAAGATTAGTCAACAAGTATTCAAAAATATTTAATTAATGAAGCTCCAAGTGTTTGGTTTTCTCTTTTATCTACCCCTAAAATTAAATTCTTTTTTTGGTTAAAAAAGAGAAATCAGGGAAAATTTAAAAAGGGTGGGGGCGGATTCCCCCAGATCCGATGTCTGAACGGAAATTTACCGACACGTTAATTTTACTAGAGGTCGGTAAAATGTACTTCCGGGATCCCGAGTCGGAATTTTTTTCCTTAACCGATGCCGGAATGGGATCCCGAGAGATAAGTCACGAAAAAATCCCGCGGGATCCCGTTCAGCGCGTCCTCTAAATTTTGCCCATAAACTCAAAAATTACCTAAACAAACACTTGGTACGCCAAAAAAAAAACAATTTTAAGCTTATAAATAAAAAAACCTTGGAATGTTACTATAATTTAACTGCATTGCAGCAATTTATTCATATTCTTCAGGCGACAAAAATTTAATACTCATTTCTGGGACTGTGTCAAGCTCTTTATTGTTGTTGGAGGCATTGCTTAGTTTTACAGATTTTTTACGCATTTGGATTATCAAATCTTTTTTGTTGTATTTACCATTTGGATATGTTTTGTAGTAATATTCGTCTTCTTCTTCAACATTGCCCTTTTTTAAGAAAAATTAAGGTAAATTTTTAGGAAATTTTTTTGAAAAATTTTAAATTTTTTTAATTTCCAAAAAAATTTTTTAATTAGAAATGTTTTGAAAATTTTCTAAAATTTATTAAAAAAATCTAAGGTTTAAAAAAATTTCTTGTGGAAATAAAAAAATATAACAAAACTTGTGGACTTTTCATAAGGAAAATTAATTTTAATTTTCTATAGATTTTTTCAGAAATTTTCTTTAATTAGAAATATTTTTGAAAAAATTCCTAAAAAATTTTCATATGAAAAGTCCGCAAGTTTTGTCCGCAAGTCATATTTTTATTTTTTAAATTTCTCAAAAATTTTTTAAAATTTGTTTGTAAATTTTTAATAAATTAATTTAACTTAAAAAATAAACCCTTACATCCTCTGCTAAACTAAAACTGTGTTGAAGATTTTTAAAATCGCCATCCAAGTAATGTCTGCTATAACGATGAGCACTCTAAAAAATTATTTTTATTTTTCTAAAAAAATTGGCGTTGGTCTAGTTTATGCGTCCAATGAACTTTTATGCGTCCAATCAAAAAAATTGGATTTTTCTTGGTATTGCAAAGTTGGGGTATGGTTTCAAAACTTTTCTTCATGTTCCCAGACCCAGTGGGTGTAGGTCACGATAACGAAGAAATGTCTTGGAAACATATCCCAACTTTGCAACACCAAGAAAAATGCTATTTTTTTGATTGGACGATTAAAAGTTCATTGGGCGCATAAACTAGACCAGCGCCAAATAATTTTAAATTCAAACCGAATTCATTTCCGCAAATTTATCTCGGACAAAAACACTAACAGATTCATTTCTTGGAATTGTATTTTCACGTGGTCTTTGTAAAGCAACAGAAGAGGGAACAACTACACCTCCCAAAAGGGGTTGTTCTGTTGTGGTAAGGTAACGTTGAGATATACTCATTCTGGAATTAAAAAAAATTTTCTTTAAAGAAAAGTCCGCAAGATTTTTTTGTCCGCAAGTCACACTTTAAAGTTTTATCTAGAGCAGTGCCCTACGACCGAATTTTTCCGGATTAATCCAGTCCGAAAAAAATCCGGCTACAAGAAAAATAATAGGTCTGTCTTGGAGGAAAAAATCCAAAAATCTTTTTCCAAAATCATTTTTAGTTGCCTTTTCATGGAATAATTTTTAAATAATTCTCGAAAAATTTGTTTAAACTTACGGATATTAAGAAAAACTTGCGGACAGACTTACAAGGAAAGGATACGAGGTGATACCACAACGCCAACAAAATTAACACATTATTTAGAGGGGAAAATTATGCCAAATTTTGGGACTTTGGAGGGCCATATTTAAGCCAGATCAAAAAACAGACAAAAATTGCACAAAATCCTTGCTAGAAAGGGCACATTCTCTATCGAATGAGCCCGGTCTCGACCGTTTTTAGGTCGGACACCTCGCAACCTTTCCTTGTTAGGAAACAAAAAAATTAAAAAAAATTTTTAAACAAACCTTGGAGGCAAACTCTGTGCCAATTGTAAATCTCTACAGCTCTGTACTGTTGGCATTCCGGCAAATGATCCATGTTTTTTAAGATAACTGACAGCTTCTGTTACTTGAATTTCTTCGTTGTATTTGACGAGTTTCATTCCCCTATCTTCCGGTTGGAGAGTAATAAATGGGCGAAGGTATTTGTCGTTAAAGCGTTCAATTGTCATTCGAAACTTTAAAAAAAATTTTTTTTAATTTCAAAAAAATTTTCAAAAAAAAATTTCGAAAAAATTTCAAAAAAATTTTCAAAAAAAAATTTCGAAAAAATTTTCAAAAATTCTCAAAATAAACCCAATAATTTCCACGTAGCCCAGCAATACTTTCAACACCACCACCAATATGGCTACAAACATTATCTGCAATCATTTCAAAAACTGTCTTTTTACGAACCTCGTGTTGTTTAACTTTAAGATATGTTACTAATTTTTTTATTGAGCCTCCCTGAAAAAATAATATATAGAAGGAATTGTAAAGATTGAGGTGTCATTTTTCAGATTTTTCTTGAGACTATTTTTTGTGGAAAATTTTTGGCAAATTTATTTTTGCGTATTTTTTTGAGGATTCTTTTTTCTGATTTATTTTTGCATAGTTCTTTTTGCGGATTTTCTGAGGAATTATTTTTATTTACGGATTTTTATTTTATTTTTGCGGATTTTTTTAGTAGACTTTTTTCCCGAATTTGCTTTATTTTTCTAGACAAGAGCGTCCACATTATAAATTAATCTGTCTAAAACAAAGAAAAATAGGGGAAAGAAGCACCAATGTCCCCAAAAATCGGATTTTATTCTTGCGGACACTTTTTGCGGACTATTTTTAATGCACTTTTTTCGCGGATTTTCTTTATTTTTCTGGCCAAAAGCCTCCACATTTTAACTTAATCTACCCAAAACAAAGAGAAAAACAGAAAAAGAATCCCAAAAATTCCCCACAAAAAATTAAATTTAATATTTAACAAAAACCTGTACAAAAACAGTAAAAACAATAACAATAATAGTAGTCGAAGCCAACATATTTTTACAACAAATTAATTCCTGATTTAAAGACATAACTAAACCATAACAAACAGCCCCTCTAATTCCTCCATAGCCCATAATAAATTGATCAACAATTCCAATTTTTTGTAAACGTTTTTTATTTACTAAAGATGTTAGCACACCAACACTAATAAATCGAAAAACAAAAATTGCAAAAAGTGTAATGAAAATAAAAGCAAAATCCAAGTCATGATTTTTTGAAACAGCGGAAAGGCCAAGAAATACAAATATAACTGCTTCACAACTGGAATTAAGGAGCTGGTTAAATAAGGTTTTGATAAAGGACCAAGGGCGTAGCCAGGGGGGCTTCCGGGACTATAGCCCCCTGAAATGGGGAAAGTGAAAAAATTTTAGGAGGGAAGTGATCAGAAAAATCAATTGGCGCTAATAAGTGAATTTTTTGGCTTACGGCCTTCTAAATTTCTCGAAATTTTCGCCTGCAGCGCTGAAAAAATAAAAATATATGTACAAAAAATTTGCGTTCTGGACGCCTAGATTTTGGCGCACACCCCATTTTAGCCCCCTAAAATCGACCTCCTGGCTACGCCCTTGTGAAGGACAGGCGTTAAAGAGGAGCGTATACGACCAGAAACTTGTAGGCATCCCACACAAAATCAGACAGATTCCTTAATGGGTCCCATACATTCACATGAGCGTACTATCCCTAAGCAAAAATAATTTTAAATTTTGATTTAGGACTTGAGTTCCAAAAAACCTCTAACAATTAGATGGAAAGCATGTCCAATCCCAGACCCAAAAAAATAATTTTGATAAAATAAAATGAGGGACGCATACCCTCACATAGGACAACTGTTCCCAGAACCCAAATTTTTTTTAATAAAACGGAGGACTCATCCGCTCCCCTGGGAAGCATGCCCATCCCAGAGCCAACAATTATTATAAAATTCAAAAAAAAAATAAATTAAAAAAAACCTAGACGAAAGTGTCTTCATAAAATAATTAACGGTAACCAAAGACTGTTCAGAAATATTTCCAACAATATATTGCTTCATTCCCATTCCACAAACAACAATTGCCAAAATTCCTGATAAACCAAAAGATTCTGCTATTAAATAAGCCAAATAAGGGAAAAGAAGGCATGTTAATGGTTGGACAACAGAAACGCCTGCACCAAATCTAAAAAATAAAAAAAAAAGAATTTTTGTAACCCTCATATGTTTATCTATGTTCTCCAAAAATTTCAGAATTTTTGGGCCAGAATTTCAGAATTTATGACCAAAAATGAATGTTGCTTCTCCAAAAATGACTTATTTTTTGAAGTTTATCGACTATAACTTGAAAATTATTTGATAAAAAATTCTGAAATTTTTAGTGAAGGTAGCCAATGACCTTAAAAATTTTTTAGAAAATTTTCATAAATTTAGGTTAAGCCTAAGTGCCAACTTTGAGTCGCGCGCCAAAACGTCTAGGCGCCAAAATGAACCTCAAAATTCATTCCGGAAAACACTTTTCTGGATTTTTATATTACTTGGAAGAGTATTCTCCAAAAATATTAGAATATTCCCTTCCCTAAAAAATTTTAATTAAATTAATTAAATACTTTGTAACAATTCCAGTTAAAACAGCCCACAACGCACCGACCAAAATACCTCCAACAGAAACCCAAAAGAAGGCGATTATGGCGAGTAAATAATCTGTCCAAAAAATTGCGTCTACTCCGGCAGCAGCCATAGCGTGTAAAGTGTGATAAAGAACCTTTAAATAAATAAAAAAAATATTTTGTCCGCAAAAATTTTTGCGGACAAAAAATTTGTCCGCAAATTTTTGCGGACAATCCGCAAAATTTTTTTTTAATTTTTAAAAATTTTTTACAATAGTAACAGCATCATTAAGCAGACTCTCTCCAAACACACAAATATAGAGAAGTTGGTTAACATGAATTTCCTCAAATACACAAATTACCGCTACAGGGTCAACAGCACTTATTAAAGTTGCAAACAAAAATAAATCTATTGGTGATGGGTGGCCATGAAAATAATTTTTGAATGAGTAGAGGGTTAGGCCCGTTGCTGCTGTGTTCCATAAAGTGCCTACAACTGCGTAGGTTGTTATTGTCCCGATATTACGGAAAAACTGGAAAAAGAAAATTTTTTGGAGGTTTTGCGGACAAAAATTGCGGACATATTTATTTTTGCGGACAAATTTTTTTGCAGCTAAAATTTGCGGACAAACTTTTTAAATGAAAAATTGTCCGCGAAAAAATTTTTGCCCGCAAAAAAATTAAATTGTCCGCAAAAATAAAAATGTCCGCAAGTTTTGTCCGCAAAACCCAAGATTCAAAAAATTAAAAAAACCTTTCCTCACCTCCTTGTTAGGCATAAAATATCCAGCTTCCAAAGCAATCGGCGGCAAAAGATAAAGAAAAAACCAATCGGGCTCCAAATAAATTTCCTATACTTTAATAAAATAAATTTTTTGCTGCAATTCCAACAAGCTAGCCTGTTCTGGAAATACAAAATGCAAAATTCCACCAAAAACACTTCCCAATACCAACAATAAAGCTGAATCTGGTAATACTCCTTTGATTCTTTCCAAACGGTGAAAAACTAAATTTTTTAAATTAAAAATTGAAATTTTTTAATTCCAAGGGTGTGCGCAAATATGTCCGCAAGTTTTGTCCGCAAAAATTTTTTTTGCCAATATAGTAATAAAAAACAAACGCAAATTTGGAATAAATGACAAAAAATAACTGGGAAGACAAAAATGGCACACACCCCAAATTTTAAGAAATTAAAAATAAATCCGCAAAGAAATTTTTTGTCCGCAAGTTTTGTCCGCAAAAATTTTTTTTGTCCGCAAAATTATAAAAATTAAAAGAAACCTATTTTTGCCAATATAGTAATAAAAAACCAAAATGCAAAAGTAAGTTGTGTTTGATGTTCTTCAAAATGCATTTCAAAAAATACAACTTTGTCCCTCCTAGCATAATGATGAGAAAGTGGTAGAGATGAAGAAACATTTATTTGGTCAATATTTTGTTGTGAATTAATAGTATCATTATTTAAAGTCAAATTAATATAATTAGGAGTAGTTGATGTTGATGGAAAAAGAAGAAAAAATTCTGTTGTATTTGAATTCATTTTCCCTTTAAAAAATTAATTAGAAATAAATTTGACAGAAAAAATTTTTTTGGTTAAGTGGGTAAGAGCCCTGAAATAGGTCGCGGGTTCGAGTCCTTTCAGGGGTTATCGATATTTTTTGATAAAATAAACATTTTAGAATTCATTTTCCCTTTAAAAATTAATTAAAAATAAATTTGACAGAAAAAAATTTTTTGGTTAAGTGGGTAAGAGCCTTGAAATAGGGTCGCAGGTTCGAGTCTTTTCAGGGATAACTAATATTTTTTGATTAAATAAACATTCTAAAAAATAAAATAAACATTTTAAATAATATTTTAGGTTCAACAATTTTTTAGAAAATTGAAATTGGCGAAATGTAAAATATTTTTGGAAATGCAGATTTTTCTAAAATTTGCGGAATTATTTTGCGGATTTTTCACCACAAATTTTATTTATTAATTTTGGGTAGAGAAATCAATTAGACACGAAAAAAGGAACAAAAAAAGGAAAATAAAGCTTATCTTTAAATTAATTGTTCTTCAATCTCTAATAGAGAAAAATGACAAAATCTAACCAAAAAGCTATTTTTTATAAAGCGTTCAGCCAGAAAAACAATAAAAAAAATTAATTATATATTAGAAAAGCCAAACAAAGCTTTTTGGACTAGACTATAAAAAAAGAAAATAAAAAAATAAAATCAATCAAGCTTTCCCCCTATTTTTGTGTCTGCTTAGAGTCGGAGAGGGAATAATTATAATGGTCATTCTCTCTCCTTTTTTCTATGTCTTCTCTACTGTTACCTTTAAAAATGCACTTTTTATTCAAGAGAGGGGTGGAATTTTCGTGAGGAATTTTCTTTTTGGTTTTTGATTATTGACTCATCTAGGGATTATTTAGTGATGAAATTGGGGGAGGGAGTTGGGGGGAATTCCTTTCATTTTAATTCACATTTTTAAAATTCTAGAAAAATTTTAATTTAGCTATTTTTGGCATAATGTTTATGTAGGCGGAAACATTTGTTTTTAAACAAAACTTGTTTTTTTTTCTTAAAAACAGTTTTTCCATTGACATAACGGCAGAAATCATTATCCCATAATTTTTGGGAATATAATTTTGTAAATATCAGGGATCCCGCCGTCCCAATTTCAGTAAAGCAGCTGAGATATATCTATTTCTCTCCATCAGTTAGTCCAAAAGGTTAACTAACGACGGCTGGGCGCATTTCCAATTTCCAAAAATTCTGAATTCCTAACGTTTCTAGGGTCGAGAATTACCGATTTTCGAATTTGAGAATTTATTTTTCATGACGTCAGGATCCTTGTTAATTTGGGGAATAAAATTTTACCAAAGACAAATTTTTTTGGGGTTTTAAAAATTGGTAAGCCAATGTAAGAACATTGAAAGAAGAAGAAAATTTTTAAAGAAACAAAATTTAAAAAATTTTTACGTCAAAGCTATTGTTCTTTAAAAATCATCACCACATTTTTAGGTTACTATGACATTAATTCTTTTTATTTTTCTATTTTTCTACACAATCCCCTTATTTTTAAAAAAACATTTTGGAACCAAATAGGATTAAAAATCAACCAAAAAATATTTAAGTAGACTATTTAAATAAGCTTTAAGTTTAGCTTAAAGGATTATAAATGGGTTAAAAAATAACAGGATAAAATGGAAAAACGCCTCAGGCAAAATAAAAATATTTTTCAGACGTTTATCAATTTATTGGTTGCCTAGGGACCCAATTTTAGGTGTTTATTGGGTGAAAATAATTAATTTGTTTTTTTGTCTGTATTTGTTAAAAATAAATAAAAAAAATTTTTTCAGGCTTAAAAAGCGAACAGAGTGAAATCTAACGAATAAAAATAATTTTTTAAAAAATATTTAAAAGCTTTTTATGAGTAACAAGCAAATAATAACAATGACATAAATATGGTTTATTACAATAAGCACTATAATAAATAAATAAAAATGGAAAAAAAATAAATAAATGGAGGAAAGAAAAAAAATAAATTAAAGGAAAAAAGGAAAAAAATATTAAAAAATTTTTTTTAATTGAAAAAAAATTTTTTTTAATTAAAAATAGTAAAAAAATTAAATTATAGCTTGCTTGAAGAGTCTTAAACAGAAGGTTGTTTTTAAATTCTGATTTGTTTTGAAAATTCTGATTTTTAAATTGAAGCAAGATGAATATGTTTGTTTTTGTATTTTTTTTATTAAATATGTGTTTTCATTGTGTTTTTAATAATTGTGTTTTGTGTTTTTATTTAATTTTTGTTTATCTGATTCTTTCCGGAAAACACAAGCGCAACTCTTACAATTATTTCATTCAGGAAAACACAACCGGAAAACACAACTAAAATACAAATTCTGATGCTTTCCGGAAAACAATAAATTAAACTTTCCGGAAAACACAAAAAATAATTTAATTTCTCATGTTTTTTTAAAATTCTGATTTTTAATAGAAATGTGTTTTAGAATATTAAATATTCCGATTTTTCCATACACCTCTGTGTTTTTAAGTTAAAACCCCCAAACATTCACTACCTTATTAAAAATAGAGTGTTAACAACATTCCAACAAAACACATCCGGATAAAACAATTTTTGTGTTTTTTTGGGTCATATCTCTCTTTTAAAAGATTTATAAGGAAGAAAAACGATTTTAGCTCTTTTGAGGGAATTTAAGGAGGAAAATTTAAGAAGGAAAAATTTCGGAAATGCCCGCACAAACATGTTATTTTATTTTAATTTCCATATCTGATCATTTTTCTTTGTTTTTAATTTTCAACGTCAGAGAATAGAGAGAAATTATTTTCTTTTTTTTTATTAAAAATATTCATTTTTTGGAATTATAAATAAATATATTTTAGATTATTATCAAAATATTTTATTAATATTATTATTTTCATTAGCGCACTACACTAACACTTTTGCTTTTATCCTCAAAGACGCGTAAAAATTAATGAGGAAAATAAAAATCAGAATTTAATAAAAACATGAAGAGAATGTGTTTTTATTAAATTCTGATTTAAATTCTGAAAAATAAAAATCAGAATTTAATAAAAACATATGTATTTTCTTCATGTTTTTATTAAATTCTGATTTTTATTTTTAAAAAAGTTTTACAGAAAAACCAGAATTTGATAAAAACATAGTGAAAATAAAAATCAGAATTTAATTTAAACATATTTTCTTCATGTTTTTATTAAATTCTGGTTTTTATGTAAAACTTTTTCAGCTTTCCGGAAAACACAGAAAATAATTAAATTATTTTTAATAAATATATTTTCTGATCTTTCCGGAAAATACTCAAAGTTTATTTGTTCCGGTGTTTTGAAAAATACAAATTCTGATTCCTCTATAAAACAATTTAATTTCCGGAAAACACAACAATTTAAATAAATTCTGATTTTATTAAATTAATTCTGATTTTATTAAATACTACTCTATCTACTATACCCCCTTCAGTACACGTATAAATAAAATTCTTATTTTCTTCTTTATTTTCCCTCAAAATTTTTTTTCTTCATTTTTAAACCATAATATGTATCTATAATTTAATATTATACAAATCATTTAACACAGAAAATCTTATTGAGAAAATTTTTTTGATTTACACCTGATTGCCCTTAAATGCACAAGGAAAGGCGCAAATCTAACTAAGAAGGGAGCCAAGGCGTAATTTTGGTTTCCAAAATTTTTTTTCTTTTTTTCCTTTCTCCGTCTGATCCTCTTTAAAACCACAAAATTGTCCCTTTTTTCTTTCCTCTATTCATCTCTCACCTGTAGGGCTTAGTGACCACCAAACCTTCATCATGGCCTTGCCGGGACAAGGCCATCACATCGCGCATAGTAGCAACAAACAAAACAGAAAAAACTATAAAAATAAAGCAAAGCATGCAATTCACCGATATATTCAAATATCCCCTTTCTATCAGAAAAACCTTTTTTCTCCTGAATAATACAGAGCATTTTCTTCTCTTCAACAGTTAAAAATGCTGCTAAAATTTTCTATTATTTTTTCAGAATTTTTTAAAAAATTAAAAATTTGACCAATCTCCCCCTAAAAATAAAAAAAATATTTTTTGGCCATAAAAATATTATAAACCTTCCTCTTACAAAAGAACGATCCCTCTGATCGACTAAAAGGCAAACTTCTCTATTTATTTTCTGTTCATAAAAACAATTTTATATTGACCCAAACAAAATATGAACAAACAAACATATTAAATGCAGGTGGATTTCTGATTTTTTGTATTTTCTTTTTGTTTTTAATTATGTTTTGATTTTGTTCTTGTTTTGTTTATGAGGATTGTATTTTTGTTCCGGAAAGTATTGTTAAAAATACAACAAAAATACAACAATATATTTATGAGAAACAATTTTAATTATTATTTGTATTTTCCGGAATGTGTTTTCCGGAATGTGTTTTTGTTTATTTTCATGTTTTATTTTTATTCTGATTTTCTGATGTTTTGTGTTTTATTCTTTGTTGTTTTCATGTTTTTATGTTTCGATTTTATTCTGATTTTCTGATGTTTTGTGTTTTATTCTTTGTTGTTTTGATGTTTTTATGTTTTGATTTTATTCCGATTTTCTGATGTTTTGTGTTTTATTCTTTGTTGTTTTGATGTTTTTATGTTTTGATTTTATTCTGATTGTGTTTATTTCATGTTTTATTGTTATTCTGATGTTTCTTTGTTTTGTGTTTTATTCTTATTCTGTTGTTGCTCACTCTTTGCAGTTGTGTTTTTAATGTGTTTTTAACCCACTTTTAAATCTTTTTAATTCTGGTTTTTAACCATTTCTAGGTCACACAATAATATATTGAGGTAATAGGGGAGATTAAATGCTTAGCTTTACAAAAATTGAAGATTGTGCAATTCTTTAAAAATAGTCATTTTATTTTCCTGACACGCTCTTCTACGAAAAAATTTTTTTGTAATTTTTTTTCTTGTCAATTTTCCTCTTTTACAAAAGTGGTTTTATTTATTTTTGTAAGGAAGTAAAAAGGCGTCTTTAAAAGGAAGAAAAAAGGAAGAAGGAAGAGATGAGAACGTCCTTGAAAAGGCGGAAGGGTCAAAATTGAGGAAGAAAATAAAAAATGACATCAAAAAAAGTTTTCTTAAAGAAGAAAAAAGTCTAAAAATGCTCAAAAAGGCAAAGCGCCTTATTTTGACCTCAAACAGAAAATGCACAGGAAATAGGGCGGGTAAGACATTTTAAGAGTTTTTAGTTTAATAATTATATAAAGAATAATGTTCTTCTGATTTTGTTGTGTTTTCCGGAAAACATTTTAATTAAAGAAAAAAAATCAGAATTTAAACAAAAAAAACAAACTAGAAAACAACAACACAACAACATGTTCAAATTAATTTCTGATTTATTTATTTGTTTTGTTCATAATGTTTTTCTGATTTTTTCTTATGTTGTGTTTTCTTGTGTTTTTCCGTGTTTTACTGAGTAAACTAAAACTTTTTTCCTAGTCCAACATTAAATTAATTACTTAATAAACAGAAAGCGAAAATTCCCTTTCCCCATTTTTAGTTTTTGCAATCTTCGACGCATTCACAATTTTTTTATTTTTAACACAAAAATTCTCGTCTTTATCTCCTTCATTAATTACTCTCCTCCTTATCCCGAAACTGGGAGATTTAATCAATGTACTAAATAAAATTAAATAAAAAGAGGGGGATTTTTTAGAACAAAAGAAAGGAAAATTCCTTAGAAGGATTTCTAATTAATTATTCTGATTTTTAAAATCAGAAAAATTAATTCTGATTTTTTCTGATTTATTAAAATTCTGATTTTTGCTTTCCTTATGTTTTCAATTTCTTTTAATATTTTTCTGATTTTATTCTGATTTTTTTATTGCCTCTTTCCTCTTCCCCTCACTCGACCCGTTTATTATATTTATTTTTATGTGATTTTTTATTCAAACTTTTTTATCCGTCTAAATTATCCTCCTCATCTTTAAAGAAAAATAAATAAATACTCATGTTGGAAGGGGTATTAAATGAGGATAATTCTGATTTTTGTGTTTTTGTTTTAATTATGAGTTTCTTTTGTTCTGATTTGTTTCCACGTGTTTTCGTTCTGTTTTTGTGTTTTATTTTATTTCTGATATTCTGATTTTTGTATTTTCTCTTGTTTTTCTAATATTCTGATTTTTGTATTTTCTTGTTTTTCTAATATTCTGATTTTTGTATTTTCTTGTTTTTCTAATATTCTGATTTTTGTATTTTCTCTTGTTTTTCTAATATTCTGATTTTTGTATTTTCTTGTTTTTCTAATATTCTGATTTTTGTATTTTCTTGTTTTTCTAATATTCTGATTTTTGTATTTTCTTGTTTTTCTAATATTCTGATTTTTGTATTTTCTTGTTTTTCTGATATTCTGATTTTTGTATTTTCTCTTGTTTTTCTAATATTCTGATTTTTGTATTTTATTTCTAATATTCTGATTTTTGTATTTTCTCGTGTTTTTCTGCAACGGTTTAATTAAATTAGTTGTATTTTCCGGTTTTTAAAGTTTGTATTTTAGAAGTATTTTTCCGAAACAAAAATACAATTTAAATAAATTATAAGTTTCACTGTAATTTATTATTTATTTCTTCTTTATGGATTTCCTTTTTATAAAAATTCCGGCTCAATTAATTTTCCATCATCTTTAAATATTTTATAAAATATTCTTGTAAAAGCTCTTCATTTTTCCACTTTTAATAAATAAAAATATTGTCGACTTTTGACTGTCTCGCCGTTTTGGCGAAAATTTTGTGACTGTAAATATATAAACACTTTGCTTTTCTTGAACCATTTATTTTAAAAATAATTTATAATCGAATAATTGTTGCACTTTATATTTCGTTGTTTAATTAATTAATTTATTTTTAAAATTAAAAAAATTATTTTTTATCTGTTCTCCAGATAAAAATCTGTTCCCCTAACTATTGGGCGTTTTGTGGCTCCGGCACCTTAATAATCGTCGCTCTGACCGGTTCTGGTCAGAGCCTAAATATTGGGCATTTTGTTGCTCCTACCTTTTAAAAATCTTCGCTCCAGCTTCGGTTCTGGATCCTTACCTTCCTGAGCTAACTCCCGTATCCTTACCATTCAATACAGTTCTTCCACCATTTTTTCCCGTTTTTTAATTTTCTGATTTTTGACGGTCCCGTAGGTATCTAAAATAAAATATATATTTTCAGGTATTTTCTCCTCAATTAATTTTTTTCGTATACAACTTCTGCTTTTCTTTTATATTTTCTTAAAAGTTGCTTTTAAAAAACCTCCTTTCCAAGTAAAGGTAATTATTAAAAAGAAGAGCGTGGTGGTTGTTGTGGTTGTCCCCACTTCACTCACTTTACTCTTAAAAATTAATTTATAATTTTTGTACAAGTAGAAGGAAAGAAATTTTTTAATCAATATATGGCCTATATTTTCTTGAAAATTTTTTTGTTTTTATTTATGATGTTTGAATATTTTTATTTTGCCATTTTCATTGGCATTATGTTTAATTTTGGGTACGGCCCAAGTAGGCGCACGGCCAAGTAGGCGCAAAGTCATAACTTGCTTCAAAATTTCCAAATCTTACCAAATTTGGTATTAAACGATTCCTCTCATCGAGCTAAAGAAAATGGTACCAAAATTGTTAAGGTCCATAAATTTTTCAGGTAGTTATGGCTTTGCGCCTACTTGGCCGCGCGCCTACTTGGGCGTGTCCCCTTAATTTTTATTTTTTTGGCGTTATGTTGATTTTTGAAAAAAATTTTTTTTAAAAATTTCCCCTAATTAAAAAAATTTTTTTTAGCCTCCAAAAATGCTTATTATTGGCTTTATTCTTTCTTTTCTAATTTTGAACGCTCAACATTGTAAATCTATGCGAGTTGATCCACAAAGGATTATGGCCAGGCTTCGACTGGAAATGGAAGAAGCTGAAGAGAGGAGTGGCGGAAGAAATAGAAGACAATTGCTAGGAGGGGGTTCTCCTAAGGAAGAGACTATACAGGCAAGAATAAAAAAATTTTTTTCCTTTTAATTGGAGAGGTGGCGAAAAATTTGAAAAAAAATTCAAAAAAAATTCAAAGAATTTCAAAAAAAAAATTTTTCAAAAAAAATTTCAAAAAAATTTTATTTAAAGGTAACAGCACTATTATTTTCTTCTCGACTCTTTGAATACGGCCCAGCTGCAAACGACAAAGAATTATTATTGTCCAGTAACGGGGGCGGTTTGGATATTGCAAAAAGAATGCCCCTGTCCCGTCCCCTCCTATTTTATGGCCAACCCCATTCTGCTATTTGGATACTAAGTAATGGAGGGATTGGCTTTGAACAGTCGGCACGTCAATACAGAGCAAATATATTACCTAGCAATGTTAGAATAATCGCTCCCTTTTGGAATAGAAATGATTTGAGAGTTGGGGGCAAAATATTCTATCGAGAAGTTACCGGTAAATGAATATTCCGATTTTATATGTGTTTTCCGGAAAATTATAAAATTTGTTTTCCGGAATGTATAATTTTTGTATTAGTTTCCGGAATTGTAATTTGTATTTTTATTTATTTTCCGGAATTGTATTTTTTGTAATTTGTGTTTTCCGGAAACTATATTACTTGTTCCGGAAAATATATATGCTTTCCGGAAAGTATATGTGTTTTCCGGAATTGTATTTTTTGTATTTTATGTTTTCCGGAAACTATACATATTACTTGTTCCGGAAAATATATATGCTTTCCGGAAAATATATGTGTTTTCCGGAATTGTATTTTTCGTATTTTATGTTTTCCGGAACCTGCATTAAATATCCCGGAAAATATATATGCTTTCCGGAAAATATATGTTTTCCGGAATTGTATTTTTGTATTTTATGTTTTCCGGAAACTACATACATTGCATGTTCCTGAAAATATATGTATTTTCCGGAGTTGTATTTTTTAATTAACTTTCCGGAAACACAATTATTAATAATTCTTATTAGTATTTATTAAAGTTTGCATTTTCCGGAAGATTATATTCTTTAACGCAAAATTCTGATATTCACTTTAAAATCAGAATTAATTAATTTTAGGCGGCCGTGTACTCGACCGTGGTCAAAGCGAAATACGTTACCAATACGAACTTGAAGTTAAAGTACACACTGCAGTGCTGGTTACATTTGATAAAATGCAGCCTGTGGGGACTGATCCTTTACCTGACGAAGTAATTTGAATCAAAAATGAATCAAAAAATTTCTTTTAAAGAATACCAACACTTTCCAATTAGCCCTCTTCTCCACAAGCAATGGAACTTTTGCTAATTTTATTTACAGCAATATTGGATGGACCCAAGGGGCAGAAGCCGGTTTTAATGCTGGGGATGGAAACAATTTCTTTGCCCTTCCAACCTCTGGCACTGGAAATATTATGTATTTGGAGGATTATGGAAATACTGGTGAGGGATTTGTAAGAAAATTATTTCCGGAAAATATAACCGTATAGACAAGAAATGTCAGAGATTAAACTTATAGGTATTTTTTCCGGAAATTTACAAATACATCCGGAATTTATAAATATTTCCGGAAAATACAAAATACAATACATGTTTCCGGAAAATACAACAAGTTTACAAATATATTCGGAATTCAAAAATGTTTCCGGAAAATACAGATATAAATATTTCCGGAATTTATGAATATATTTCCGTTATCAGATTACTTTTCCGGAAATTAATTCATTAATGAAAATACATTTCCGTAAATATACTACCGAAAAATTAAACTTATGTATTTTCCGGAAATTTACAAATACATCCGGAATTTAAAAATGTTTCCGGAAAAGACATAAATATTTCCGGAATTTATGAATATATTTCCGGTATCAGATTACTTTTCCGGAAACTAATTTATTAATTAAAATACAATTCCGGAAATATACTACCGGAAAATACATTTTAATTTCTGTATAATTATGGACTTTACAATTCCGGAAATAAAATAGAAATATTTCCGGAATCTATTAATAATCGTCCGGAAATATACATACTACCGGACAATACTTTTCTCTCTCTCTTTAATTTTCTCTATTTTTCAGGCATCCCAGGAGAATGGATGTTTATTTTGGGAGATGAAAGAATTCAACGATGCAAGGCTGGAATTAAGGGGGATACTTGTGATGAAGGTAAAATTAATTTTAAAAATTAAAATATTTTTTTTTATTTTTAGCTTGCAAAGCTGGCGAATTTGGTCCTGATTGTGTTCGTTGCTGTCATTGTGCAGAGGGTACTTGTCATGAAGCTACTGGTGAATGTAAAAAGGGTGAATGTTCACAGTGCTGGACAGGGATTGCTTGTCAACAAAGTGAGGAGGGGAAGCTGATTTTATTCTGATTTTTTCAGAATTCTGATTTTTCTAAAATCAGAATTCTGATTTGATTCAGAAATCAGAATTCTGATTTTATTCTGATTTTTTCAGAATTCTGATTTTATTCTGATTTTTTCAGAATTCTGATTTTATTCTGATTTTTTTAGAATTCTGATTTTATTCTGATTTTTTTCAGAATTCTGATTTAATTCTGATTTTTTTCAGAATTCTGATTTTATTCTGATTTTTTTCAGAACAATCCCGTTGTTCAAACAAAGGCTCAAAATGTGCCCAAAATGCTCTACAAATGACAGATTATAATAAATGTGGAGAACCTCAATATCGTTGCGAGTGTTTGGCAGGCTTTACAGGGGATCCTTACACTGAATGTTCAGGTTTGGATAATTAAAAAATTTAAAAATTTTGAATTTTTAAAGATGTGGATGAATGTACTCGACAACCAAGCGTTTGCCACCAACTGGCACAGTGTTCAAATACACCGGGAAGATTTTTCTGTCAATGTCCTGAAGGGTTTCAAGGCGATGGTAAAATTGATTTTTTATAAGAAAAATTAAAAAAAAATTTTTTTGAAATTTTCAAAAAATTCAAAAAAAAATTTTTCAAAAATTTCAAAAAAATTTTTCAAAAAAAATTTTTCAAAAAAATTTTTAAAGGTATTTCTGAATGTGTTGCTTCATTCCTCTATCCTTTTGACCAATCTCATTTACTTCCTTCAAATGAAAAGGATGGAAGAGTTATGGAATGGAGATTAAGTCATCCTCTTCGAATATTTGGACGTGACAGGGACACTATTTGGCTGACAAATAATGGATTGATTTTGGTGAAGGGGGCCAAGAATGTTCCTTCTATAAGGGATGAACAACACAAACTTGATGGGATGGATGTTCAAGGGGTGAGATTTTTTGGTTGAATTTTTCGGTGAAGAATTTGGGAAGGATTTGGGTTTTATTCTTGTTTGTCTTGGGGTTCTGTAACAAATTTTTGGAAGCTTCTTAAACCTATAACCTTACAAAGGAGAGGTCCTGAGTTGTCCTGAGGTCCCACGGACACACTCTCCTTTGTTAATGGAACTGGGAATTGATAAGTTTTAGCTTCAGCTTATTGGAAATCTTATTTGTAAATTTTTTGCCTATGAAGGATTTAAATTTATCTTCCAACAAATTCATCATATTGTCTTAGGCTTAAGGACTCTATTTAGCTCAACCAAAAATTTGCTTGGTTTTTACTTGGTTTTTTTCTTGGGGGAGAGAGGGAGAAACCTCACATTTCTCGGTTCTGTTCTCATAAGTCTCGAAGGTTTCCAAAGAAGGTTACTGGCCCCAGAGCATAATAAAAAAACCAGGAAAATTAAGCTCAAACCTTCACAATAGGAACAAATTTTCCAAATAAAATTTTTTCTACATTTTTCTAGGTTGCCCCACTCTTTGTGCCCATCGATATGACTTCAAACGGAAAAATTCTAGTCGAAGAAACAACCGATCCTCGTATATTAGGCAAAGCAGCCCAATTAATTAATACACAATTGGGTGCTTCTTCCGAACAACAACCTCGTTTTGTAGCAACACACGCCTTATTAGTAACTTACTCAAATGTTAGTATAGGCATGTCTAAAACAACAAAAGAAGCTACAAATACCTTCCAAGCACTCTTAATTGGTGGAAAAGACAGGCAAAAAAGAGGGGAAAGTTCTACTGTTACTTTTGTTCAGTTTCTTTATCGTGATTTACATTGGGAGGGAGAAGAGGCTGAAGCTGGAATTATGTTAGGAAAAATTTTTTTGAAAATTAAACAAAAAATTTTTTAAGGGCTCCGGACAGAGACAACTCTATTTTATTGCCTGGTTCGGGTACTGAAGGTATTGAACAGCTTAGTCAACTCAGCAATGCACGGTGTGTTTATTGAGGGGACATTTTGTCCCATAGAGGGGACATTTTGTCCCAAAAAAATTTTTTTAAATCAAACTTTTTTCTTTTTCAGTTCCCAAGGAATTTGGCTCTATCGAATAGACGATTTGGTCCCTTCAGCCTGTTTAAGACCAGAATTACAACCTCCCTATTGTGACACACTCTCTGCAAGTCTCTCAGGACCGTCTAAGCCTATAGAAAATTCTATAGCATCAGCACAACCAAATACTTCCCCAAATCCTCCAGAAGAGAAAGAAAAAATTAAAGGGGAGGAGGAAGAGGAGGGGGAAAATTTTGACAAAGGAAGAGAACAACAACAACACCAAAATTTGCCTGATTTTTCAAGGGAAGAGCAAAGCGGTGAAGAGGTGGTTAAAATTAAAAATAAAAATTTAAAAAAAATTATTTTTTAAGAAACAATTTCAATTACAACCTTCACCAACAATTTTGCCCAATAAAAAACCAGCAATTGTGCAAATTCAAAGTAGAGAGTTTGAAATGCCCCCAGACGCATTTGAAGATTTTAATATTCGAACAACAATAAAAACAACTACAACAACAAACATTCCCACAAACATCCCAACATTTAATAAAAATAACGATAAAAACAAATGGTTGTCATCGCAACAACAAGAAAAACATGAAGAGGAGAGAGAAGAAGAAAATGAGGGAGAACAACATGTAATTATACCAGAATTAGTCAATTTACAAACAAAACAGACAACAACAACAAAAACATTACAACAAACAACACCTCAACAACAAACATTGTTTTCTGCTAAAACAACAGAAAAAGTTGCAAGTTTACCAAGTTTTGTTCCAATAGAAAAATCTCCATCAAAAATTGTTTTTGATGGACGTTTTCAACATAAAATTGAAGATGAAAGTTTATTTAATGGAAATAATAATAATAGTGGTGTTTTCCCTTCACCTCCACCAATGGAAACTATCTGGCCTGTAGAAGACAAGGAAAACATGAAACAAACAAAACATGAAAAACACGAAGAAATGGAAAATGTTGGGGAAGAAGAAAACAACGAAAACAACAAACAAACCAGTAAAAACATGCAAGACAACAAAAACATTAAAAACAACATCACACAAACAGAAAACACAAAAACATTGTTGCCAACAAGTTTAATATCAGAAGAAACTTCAACAACATTAATTACAACAACTATGGAAGATAGAAACAACTTACTCTTTGTTTTTAATAATACAAAAACGGTAAAACACAATTAAATTTTTAAAAACACAGGAAAACACAAAAATTTGTGAAAACATAAGAAAACACAAAATACATGAAACTCGAAAATACGAGAAAACACAAAATTACAAAAATAAAAATACAAGAAAACACAAAAATAAAAACACAAAAATACAAAAAATAATGAAATAAAAATACAAGAAAACACAAAAATAAAAACACAAAAATACAAAAAAAAATACAAAAAAAATATAAAAATACTAATTCTTACAGAAGCCTGTTGCTACAACCAAAAAAGTTGTTATTCAAACAAAACCTAGCACCACTCAAGTACCCAAACATAAACAAGAAAATCCGGATGGTGATGATTTGTTAATGGAAGATTGGGGTAGTGATAGAGAAAGTGGAAGTGACTCTCTATTAGAAGGGGTTGTTACTCCAAATAGTTTGTTAATTAATTTTTTGTGTTTTGATTTTCCTTAATTTCAGAGCTATCCATAGTTATTCCTATAGCTATTGTTCTTGTTTGGTTGGTAGTTCTGCTTGTTGTCGCTATATTTTTGTGTTGTCGAAGAAGGTTAGATTTGTCTACAATTAATTTTTCTTTTGTCTAGAATAACTTTAAAAAATTTTCCAGACAAACCCAAGAACGTCTACGAACACTTTATGGACCAGCATACCAAATTAGGCCAGTTTACACTATGCGTGTTAACAAACTTGATGAAGGAAATGGTGGGAGTTTTGCACCAACGGAAGGTAGTAAACCTGAAAATAATTTTAAAAAATTTTTTATTTAGGTGTTGGTAGTTATGAAGAACATTTGGAAAAGGCCGCGCAGAGGCTTTCTGCTGAATTAGCTTACAATCCCGTAAGTTTATTATTTTTAGAAAAATGTGTTTTTAATTTAAATGTTTTACGGAAAATGTTTTTCCGGAAGTATGTATTTTTTCCGGAATCTATTTTGTATTTTCCTTTATTTAAATGTTTTTTCGGAATGTTTTGTATTTTTCTAAAATGTATTTTTCCGGAAAATGTTTCTTTTCTTGTAAACAAGTTTGTTTGGTGAATAGAAATGCAATGTTTTTATTATAAATAAACAACACAAACTTGTTTTATTTGTAAAACAAACAAGTTTGTGTGTTTTTATAACTAAAAGTTTGTTTTGTTTAAATAAACACAAACACAACTTGTTTTAAATAAACTTGAAAAAACACAACTTATAAATATGTTGTGTTTTAAATTGTTTCTCTTCAAGTTTGTATTTTCTCAAAATTCTGTGTTTCTTTACCAACTTTAATTATTGCAGAATCCACTCTGGGCCGGACCTGGACGTTATTCTCTTTATGGCTCCTATTGGAATTTATCCCCCGACGCAAGTTCAGCAGCCAGACGTCCACCCCCTCCCACAAATTCCAAACAACAACAACGTTCTTCCTCTTCTTCCGCCATGGAAATGATTTCTTCCCCTCGTAGCAGTCAAGAAAGTAATAAATCACAACAACAATCTTCTGTATTTACTGGATATGCCCAACAAATATCTGGACACCACAAACCTTTTGGAAATAATTCTGGGGAGAAAGAATCACAACAACAAGAAACTTCTACAGGCGATCTCTTTCATCGTAGCCAGGTAGAAAAAATTTTTTTTGTGGGGAAAAATATTTTGAGACGCCAAAAATGGCGCTCATCCTTAGGTAATTTATAATTAGTCTGAGTAAATTTTTTTATTCTTTATTTTTATAGCGAAATTCAGCAAGTAGCGGACAACGTTTTAATGGAGCACGGCATTAAAAACGAAAAGAAAATTAGAAAAAAATGTAGAAAATGGTCTTTAAACTTGAGTAAAGAAAAAATTTAAAATAAAGGAACTGCCCAATTATAGTGTGTGCCATTCGTTTTTTTAAATAATTATATTTATATATTTTTGCAATATTTTTAATTTTAACTTGAGATGCCTTTTTGTGTTTTTACTGTTTTGTTTTAATATGTTTTGCCTTTCACACAAACATGTATTTTTTGCCTTTATTTAACTTGTTTAATAAAACTTTTAATAAAACACAATAAAATACATACAAACATTTGTGTTTTTACAAGTTTGTTTGGTAAATAAATGTTTATTTTAAAATAAACACACAAAAACATGTTTTATTTATAAAACAAATAAGTTTGTGTGTTTTTTATAAATAAAAGTTTGTTTTGTGAAACACAAACTTGTTTTAAATAAACTTGAAAAACATCAAAACCAGCTTATAAACTTGAACAAGTTTATTTTTATAATGTATTTTATTTTGTTTCCAAGTTTATTTAAAACAAGTTGTATTAAAACAAGTTTTAAATCAGGTTTTTATAATTAAACTTGAATTAATAAAAATTTGCATGTGCACAAATTGTTAAAACGCAAAAACTTAAAATGCCAAAATTAATTTTGCGCTCAGCTTTTTTTAAAGTAAAAATGATTGGCAGAATGAATGAATCCCCTGAGGGAATTTTCTTGTCAGTCATCTATCTCCCGAGTTATGGCATTTTCCTTTCTACTTGTCATTTTCTTCTTTTTATTTACTGCTTTTCCCCTTGTTTTCCAGACTTAATTTTTTTTCAATTTTCTTCCTTTCTAAAAAATCCTTTTTTTATTATTAAGGTTGTCTTTTACATAAAAAAAACTTTTTTTTCTAAATAACTGCCAATTTTTCCCCTCAAAAAATAATTTTAACAACCTCGAAAGGAACACAGAAACATTGATTTTGCAAGAAGAGGAAACGAAAAAAAATTTTTTTCTAAGGCAATCCACGCGTCTCACAAGATTTCTTTTATTGCCAAATTGCTTTGAAAGCGTGAGAAAATGAAAAACAAATGCTTGGCAATTTTATTTATTTTATTTTTTTATTTATTTTTGTGTAACACTTTTTTAAATTAAAAAAAAACTTTTTTTTCTGAAACCAGATGGCAAGGAAAAATCTAAATTTTCCTTTAAAAAATTTAAATTAAATAAAATTAAATTTTTGGGGGCAATTTATTAAGAAAAAAATAATTTATAAAAAAAAATAATTTATTAAAATAAATAATTTATTAAAGGAAGAATATTTTTATTTGAGGCAAAAAGCCTTAAAAACTCTTATTTATTTATGTCTACATTTATTTATTATTCTGACCTTTCTAAAGTTATCTTTCAAGTTTAAAAAAAGTTTAAATTATTCTTTTCCTGTAAGCATAAATAAAGGAACTCTATTTTAACTTAGAATAAACTTGAATAAATAAATGCGCCTGCTTCAAGTTTCAGTGAGAGGTTTATTTAAAAATAAACTTGTCTAAGTTTGAAACTTGAATAAATTATAAACTTGAAACTTGCCCAAGTTTGAATATTATTTAAGTTTATTAAGTTTATTAATAAACTTGAATTTTTAAATAAACAAACTTAAGTTTAAACTTAAGTTGAAACTTGCCTCTAAGTTTAATAAACTTGAATTAATAAAACTTGTTTATTAATAAACTTGAAATAATAAACTTGAATTTTTAATAAATAAAACTTGAAACTTAAGTTATCAAGTTTATTTAAAGCTTTCTAGTTACTAGCCTTGTCATACCCCAAAAATATCCATAACTCTTAAAATTTCTCATAAAATTTCAAAGAAAATTGGATTATTTTAAAAGCGTGGGAAGGCTATTGAAAAAGCAATATAAGAAGCAATTCTACCAATATACTTGAGAATATTTAAATATTGCCTTTTCTGTTTATGTTAGTCAATTCTCTTCCCTTCTCTTCAGGCTTAAAACACAATATACATATTAAATTTTTCTTTAATTTAGCTTCATCTCTCTTCTTTTTTTCTCTCTAAATTTGGTCATAAAATTTTTAACCAGATGCCCCTGCCATTTTATCCCAGTTTGTCTTCCGTTAGACATTTTGTCCCTCTAGGCATTATGTCTTGTGGCATTATGTCGTATTTTACTCTAGTTGGCATTTTGTCCATAAAAGTAAATATAAGCTCGGTTTGGTGGGCATGCCATGCCATAGGCTTCTTCCTCCTCGCTAATGACGTTTATTCTTCTTTTATGGACAAAGGCATTGACGGCATTTTTCTCTTCTCTATCATTTTTCCCTTTAACTTGTATTTAATATTTTCTCTATTTTACTTCTCTTTCTAGCTTAAAAGCTTCAACTTTTTTTTTCTAAAATACTAGTCTCGTCTTCACTATATTCTGACATTTTTTCTGAAAAGTTTGCTTTATTATATATTCCTTTTCCTCTTTTTAGCTTTTATTCCTTTACAATTTTTTGCGCATTTTAAAGGTTTCCAAAACCTATTTTTAAGTTTTTAAGTCGTGTCAAGTTTTTAAGTTTTTTCAAGCGCAAGCTTGAAAAAAGTTTGTGCGCTAAAGCTTGTTTTTAAAACTTGGGAAAACACCAAAAATTTTTTTAAAACTTGGAAACTTAAGTTTTAAAGTTAAGTCAAGTTTTTAAGTTTTTCAAGCGCAAACTTAAAAACTTGGTAAGACACCAAAACTTTTCAAACTTGAATATTTAAGTTTGCAAACTTGAAGTTGGCGTTTTGGCGCGCGTACAATTTTGGCGCACATTTTAATTTTCAAATATTCATAACAATTTTTATTTGTAAAAAATACCCCTATTTTTATTATAAAAGATACCCCAGCTGTGACACAAAAAATATTCAAAAAAAACATTGAAAGATTGGATATTTGGATAAGGGATGAGTATATTGTGACAACGTTTTTTTTTGTGTGACAGAAAAGTAGGGAAAAGGGGTTGAAAGGGGCCAAGTAAAAAATATGTAGAAAAAGCTTTGGCAATTCCCTCTGGTCATAGAAAGGCAATTTCTCTTTTCCCTCCTTTCATTTCATTTATTTTTTTTTCAAAAAAATTTTTTTAGTCCAAAAAAGGGAAAAAACCTTTTTTACCTTAAAAATTTGCTTTTTTCTTTAAAAAAAAATTAAATAGGTTTATTTAGTTAAGTAAATTTATGTTTAGTTATATTAGTCATTCTTTCCCTCCGTTTTTCTCTTTTCTTCATTTTTTGGCAAAATCTAAAGAAAAATTTTTTTCTTAAAAAACCTTTTTTGTTTCCTATCTTGTCATTACTTTAAAAAATACACAATGCCAAAATTAAATTTTTTTTTTCTCTTAAAGAAAAAAATTTTGTTTGCTTGTTTTTTCAGATGGGGGACCCTAAGCAAATTTTATTATTTTTTCTTGTAAATTTATTGACCTCATAACAGGCTGACCAATAGCCTCTGTTTTAAGGTCAGAGGTGGGTCGGAAAGTCAGAGGTGTCAGAAATAGGAAGAGCCGGAAATCACAACTGGCTCAAAAGTCGGAACTCGGAAATCAGAAATTTTTTTCGGAAATCGGAAGGAAAAAACATCGGAATTCCTACCCACCTCTGGTTGATTGATGTTTGTTAACTACTGGATGGGAGAGTTGTCTAAGCGATACCCTTCAATTTAAGATGCCTCTAAATTTAAGATACTTTCCCTTATAAAACACCTCCCCCTCCCCAATTTAGTAATATACCCTCTCGTACAGTTACGAATTTTTCCAACCCCCCAATGTTTACCTTATCGTGAGATTTTTTTAAATTTATTCTTTAATCCCCTCTTGTATATTGATTTAAAAAACACATTTATTTTTAGGCTATTTGTAGCTCAGCTTTGGCACACATTTAATTTTCTTCCTTCTCCTATTTTTCCTTAAAGGATGTATTAAATTTCTTTTTAATTAAAAAAATAAAAAAAAAATATGGGTGGCCAAATAAGCAGCAGCGGAAGTGGAGAAAACTTCAATACAACAAGAAGTTTTAGTAGCAGCAGCAGAAATAGTTCCGGCGGTCTGTTAACCTCCCCAGGCTTGAGTTCGATAGGCTCTAGTGGAAGAAAGTCGAGACATTGGAGAACGCCCTCAAGTTGTTCAAATTCTGCTAGCCCTCCCCAAATCTCGTCCTCTTCGTCTTTTTCTTCTGCTGGTTGTACCCCCTATTTGTCTGAACAACAACAAAACAAACAACAATTTATTAGACACCCTTCGTTATCTAAATCAAGTATTCGATCTTCTATGTATGTTTAAAAAATTTGATAAAAACCCTCAAAAAGATTTACAAGTAGACAAAAATGTCTCTGCCGTCTCTCTTATATGCCCGCAAAATATACACTCTCTCGCTCTCTGTCTAACCTTTCCGGAAAATTCAAGAATAACCTTCCGGAAAATGTCTCTGCAGTCTCTCTTTTATGCCTATAGAATATACACTCTCTCGCTCTCTGTTTAACCTTTCCGGAAAATTCAAGAATAACTTTTCCGGAAAATGTCTCTGCAGTCTCTCTCGTATACCCCTAGACTACTCACTCTCTCGCTCTCCGTCTAACATTTTCGGAAGTTGTTTTTATGGTTAGACAAAGAATGAGAGAGTATACAACGCTGCTTGAGTATACAAGAGAGACAAATTTTGTGATCTTTTGGGCATTGATATTTTTATTATCTTTTTGTTTTTTAATCCCTCTTCATTTTTAAGCTCCAAAGGTCGACAAAAAACCAACAGTCTAACCCAATGGAAAGCCCTTCCTTCACCGTCTCCTTTTGCCGATAATTATGCCAATGTTAATTCATTTATTGGTGCTGGTTCGAAAAGCAATCGGTTGCCTTCCTCAATGCTTGGACACAACCACAAAAGTCAGCATGGATCAAATTCTGCTAGAAGTGGTTTAGGTATGTGATTAAATGAGTATTTAATCTCTTGTGACGAAATGGGCATTTTTCGTTTTTGGGACCAAATGTCGCTTTTCCTTTATTTTTGTTTTCCTGGGACCAAATGTCTTTTTTTTGGTTCTGGGACCAAATGTCACTTTTTGTATCTGGGACCAAATGTCACTTTTTGTATCTGGGACCAAATGTCACCTTTTTCTTATTTTTGTTTTTGGGACAAAATGTCGCTTTTTTGCTTCTGGGACCAACTGTCGCCTTGTCTTGTTTTTGGGACCAAATGCCATCTTTTTTTGTTTCTGGGACCAAATGGATCCTTGACTTATTTTTGGGATCAAATGTCACTTTCCTTTATTTTTGTTTTCCTGGGACCAAATGTCACAGTGTCTTTTTTTGGCAGAAAAATGATTTTTTGATTTCCCCAAACTCCCTTTTTGACAAAATGGCAATTTTATTTCTTTTTGCCGAAATGTAGAGTACAATTTTTTGGCAAAAACTTTAATTATAAAGAAGCGATGTTTTATTAGGCTTCACAAAAAATATTTTTTTAATTAAAGGCTCAAATGGAAAAAGCATAAATGGCCCGTCAACATTTGTTTCTCGTTGGGGTGGTTCATTCACGCGTGCATTGCCTGGACTTAAAGGAGGAGGGGGAGGAGGAAATGTTAATAATTTTGTAGAAGGAAGGCATTTAATGGCCAAAAGTTTAATTAAAGAGCAAACAACCCAACAAAGAAGGCGGCATTTGCCGTCAAGTAAAAACAGAAAAGAATTAATTGAAAATAGTAGTAAAATTGAGGATAATAATAACAACAATATTTATGTAAATAATAATGAAAATTACGAAAATGATGATGTCTATAAGGGTGAATTTTTAATTTTTGTTTGATTATTACTAGTGATCGAGCTGGGTCTGGACAAAGGCCTGGGTTTTTCCTGTACCCAGAGTCTAGGCATTTTTTGACCTTCCTGGGGTTTTCCTGGATTACAGGCCCAGGATCCGGCCCAGGTCAATAAATCAAAACCCAGTAACATGCCCAGGCTTTCTCGATCACTAGTAGTACAGTCGGACCTCGTTTTGTAACGATGTCGAGTTTCCTTCCAGTCTAGCAAATAAAGCAAGAAATGAAAACAAAGTCAGGTTGGTCTGTTTTTGGGACCAAATGTCACCTTGTCGGTGGTCTGAGATTTTCCAAGATCAACTCCCAATCTTTTCTTATTTTCTGGGATGGGCTTGGTTGATCACCGAGTGGGCGAGAAATGATCAATGGGCCTCTCTTCGAGGTCATTTTTGTTTCTGGGACCAAATGTCACCTTGTCTTGTTTTCTTGACTTTTTTCTTTGACCTTTTTTTTATTTTTCACAGATTTGTCTACTTTAACAATCTCTAATAATTATTCTTCAAACAATTTTAAAAATACTCAAGAAGAAAAAAATTTGTCGGAGAAAGAAGTTCATTGGAGAAGAAGAAAAATATTAGAAAACAATTCTAATAGTAAGGACTTTTCTTTAAAAAGTTCTTTAAAACGAAGTGGTTCTAAACTGTTTAATGGACTATTACGTTCGTTAATTGGAGAGGATGAAAATGAGGAAGAAGAAAAAGAAGAGGAGCTTGAAAAGAAGAAAAATTGGGAAAAGGAGGATGAGGAGGAGGAGGAAGGATTTAATGATAATTTTAAGGTATTTTTGGATTTTTTTAATTTTAAGTTGAGAAAGTGGAGGGGGTTTGGGAAGGGTTACTTATGAAGGTAATGATTAGCCTTGGCTGACCTCAAACTCAGACCTTAGCTGTTAAGGTCTTAAATTTTTGTTTCTGGGACCAAATGTCACCTCTTGTTTTCTTGTCCAACTTTGGGGTACTTTGAAGTTTTGGGGTCGGTGGAAGAAAAATTAAAATTCTCGGAGGTCGTCTGACAAAATATCGTTTAAAGAGAGATTTTAGTTAGAAAAAGTATATCGAATTATGGTGATGTAGTTTTAGTCAAAAAAAACTTGCGGTTCGGTATTGGGATTGATCTACTTAAAACTAGAGAAGGAAGGTTTCAGTAAAAATTTTCAATAATTTTTTAAAAATTTAAGAATCGTCTCTATCTTGATGATAACAACAACAAAACAACAATTTTAAATAATTTACCACATAAACACAAAACAGCAACAATAAGTACATCCTCATTAAGAGCTTCTCTATACCAAGCGAAAAAGCGAATGTTACCAAAATGTACTTCTTCTGCCGCTAATAGACTTCCAAATAAAAATGGAAATGTGGAAATTGTTTGTTTGATATTTTAGAATTAAAAATAGTTACTGGGACCAAATGTCATCAAAAAAAATTTTTTTCGATTTTTTCTAAAAATTTTTTCTTTTTGCGTTGGGTTAACAAATTTTGATTTTTCTATAGTTCCTCCAAAGGAGATGATTTTTCTATAGTTCCTTTCTACTATTCCTCCAAAAAAAATTTTTTTAATTAAAAATAGTTACTGGGACCAAATGTCATCAGAAAAAATTTTCTCGATTTTTTTTTAAAAATTTTTATTTTTGGTTGTGATATTAGATTCTGATTTTTTAAAGTATTTATTCTTCAAAAAAAAATTTTTTCAAGTTTCTCAACAAGAGAGGTGATGGAGAACTTGTATCCTCCATGCTTTTATCGATGGCTACTTGTCCTTCTGTCGACTCTTCAATTTCTAATAGACGCCCATTTTCTGCTCCAACAGATGCTTATACTTCTACAAATGTTAAAAAATCTAAAGATTTGTGGTTGTCTGCGGATTGGAGTGGGGGAAACGAAAAGACTAAATTTTTGGACAATTTGAGTCCTTTGAGGCAGAGACGAAAAGTGAGGGGAAGAATTAAAAAAAATTTCTTTTTAATTTTTAAGATCATTCAAGCAAATTCTGGTGAATTAATTAAAGCTATTGGGTATTTTATTTGTCAACATTGTTGTTGGTATGGATTGCATGAACAGTTTGAACCGGCACATTTGGGGACTTGGTAAATAAATTTTTTTGTATTTTCTTAATAAATGTGTTTTTAAATTTATTTTTGTGTTTTGTTTGGGAAAATACAAAACTTTCCGGAAGTTGCGTATTTTTAATTAGTTTTCCGGAAATATCAGAATTATTAATTAATCTCTTCCGTAAATTTTTATTTGCAAAGAAAATACATTTTTAGAAAATACAAACATTTTCCGGAAGCTTCAGAATTTTTTATTCGGTTTTCAGAAGGTTGTGTTTTAGAGAAAATACATTTCCGGAAAATACATTTTTAAGAAAATACAACCTTTTCCGGAAAATACAACCTTTTGAGGAAAATACAATCTTTTCCGGAAAATACAACCTTTTCCGGAAAATACAACCTTTTCCGGAAAATACAATCTTTTCCGGAAAATACAATCTTTTCCGGAAAATACAACCTTTTCCGGAAAATATTATAGAAATATTAATTAATCTCTTCCGGAATGTGTTTTAATTTATTGAGAAAACACATTTTAAGAAAGAAAAATACAAAAACCTTTCCGGAAGCTGAATTGTCTTATCCCGGAAAATACAATAAAAATTAAATAAAAACACATTTAAAACACATTTAATTAATTTAAAAATACAAAGTATAATCTATTCACTTGTAGGCTTCGAAGTGTTGATCGGGCATTAATTTTACAGGTGTGGTTTTTTTTCTTTTTAATAAAAAAATTTTTTTATTAATATTTATATGGTTATTAGTTGGACCTTACTATTTTTATATTTTTATCTGAAAAAAAATTTTTTACGATTTTTTAACTTTTTTCTAAGAGTTTTTTTTATAAAAACTCCACGTATATCTGTCAAGATTAATGTAAAGATTATTTTTTTTAAAATGGACATAAATTTCTTTGTTTTTTTGTAAAAACATTTGATGTTTTTTAACTATTTTTATTGTTTTTTTTGAAATTTTTTACAAAATAACAAACCGAAAAATAAAATATTTTTGACGGGTTAAAGGGGAAAAACGTGTCCTTTGGGGATTAAAAAATAATTTTTTTTTAATTTTTAAAAATAATTTTTGGGGGAAAAATTTAAATAAAAATAATTTTAATTAAAATTTAGGGCTGGCAAGATGTAGCATTCATCAATCCGGCAAATTTAGTATTTTTATTTATGCTAATTCGTGATGCTTTTTTGCAGGGTTTTTTAATTAAATGTGAAAAAAAAATAATTTTTTAATTTAAAGGTGAATGTAAAAAATTAAATTCATTGGAAGAATTACACTCTTTTGTATTAATGTGTTTATATATTTCTTATTCCTATATGGGCAATGAAATTAGTTATCCTCTTAAACCTTTTATTACTGAAAATGCGGTATAGTTTTTAATTCAATGCGCATATTAGAGTTGTCTCTCTTCTTTCCGTAAGCAGGTGTCTACACTCTCTCGCTTTTTGTCTAACTTATTTCCGGAAAATAAATAATTGTAAAATACAATTATTTGTATTTAACTAACAATTTTCCGGAATTCTGATAGGGAAAATAATTATTAAAAATAAAATTCCGGAAAATACATTATATTTTTTATATTTTATTAAAGTGTATTTTCCGGAATTCTTTTCCGGAAAATAAATAGAGCAAAAATACAGCAAAATACATTCCAGAAAGAATTCCGGAAAATACAAAATAATTAATTTATTTTTCCGGAATTTAATTTGTTATTAGTATTATTTTCCGGAATTTTCTATTACATTTCCGCAATTCTAATCCGGAAAATAATTATAAGAATAAAAAATTCCGGAAATACATTATATTGTCTATATTTTATCAAACTGACTTTTCCGGAATTCTTTTCCGGAAATATAATAAAGCAAAAATACTGCAAAACACATTCCGGAAAGAATTCCGGAAAATACAAAATAATTACTTTGTTTTCCGGAATTTAATTTATATTATTTTCCGGAATTTTCTATTACATTTCCGGAATTCTTTTCCGGAAAATAATTATTAGAATACAAAAATTCCGGAAAATACACTATTATTCCTTCCGGAAAATACAATATAATTCCTTTGTATTTCACCAACTTAATTTTCCGGAAAGAATGTTAGACAAAAAAACGAGAGAGTGTGTAATTACTGAACAAATAATAAGAGAGACAAAAACTAACAGACATTATGTATTTTCTCTAATTTTTCCTACAGGATCGTTCACTTTTTTGGTCAAAATGTGTTAAATTAATTAAAATACATAGCAATCAAATGTTAAAAATAAATTCTTCTTCAACTCTTTTTCTACAAGTATTTACTGAATTGAAAAGTTATTGTATTCCACGTCAATTAAACAATAATAATGAATGGTTAAATGATGAATAGAGGGAGGAATTATTGGAAAAAATTTTTTTTGTATTTTTTCTTTGCTTCTCAAAAATCGGGTGCTCTCTACTACAAAAATTGCCAAGAAAAAAATTAAAATTTTTTGGGCTTAAAATTAATTTTTTTAAATTTTTTTTCATTTTTATATTGTTTTTCAAAAATTCTATATTCTTTTAATCTCAAAAAAATCGTTTTAGTCTCATACCCAAAAAAATAATTTTTTATTTTACATTGTGTATGATCTCTTTAAATATTTTTAAAAATCTTTAAATATTTTAACTATTAAAATCTCTAACAAAAAAATTTTTTTAATATTTTAAAATGTATCTCCTTACTTTTTTTGAAAAAAAAGTTTTTATTATTAATTAAAAAAATATATTTTATATTTTAAATTTATATATAAATTTTTTGCCATTTTTTAATTAAGTAGAAATTTTTGGCTCTTGTCCAGATGTCTAATCACATTTTTTAAGTATCCGGTTCTTCATTTTAGTATCTTAAAATCTAAGGGAGTAGCTTGATCTTCTCATCCACACCCGCACGAAATTTGACCTTTGGTCTAAAATGAAGGATGTGTTATCTGAACAGGAACCAAAAATGTTTAAAAATTTTAGGAATATTTATTCGAAAAACTTTGCTTTTAATAATTTTTAATTAAAAAAATATTCTTTCGATATAAATAATGAAAATTGAATTGTAAACTGATCAAGCTTGAGTGTGACGAAATATAAGAATATGAGTTAAGTGACCAAGTGTCCTACTGGCCAAAGGTTTGTTTGGTGTTTTTTGGTTAGAAAAATTTTTGAAATTTAAAATTGCTAGTCTTTGTCATTTTAAGATTTCCTTTGAAAAAAAAATTTTAACAGGCTAATTTAAATTTATTGAAACAAAAAATTGTGTTCTTTATTCAATGGTACCTAGAAACAAATTTTTCTTCTTTCTTTTTCCTTTTTAATTCCTGGTACTTGGAACATCCCTTTAACTCAAAAATTTTTTCTATTCAAAAATTTTAAATTAAAAAAAATTTTTTTTCTTTTTCAGATTTTTAATTTTCTTTTTCATTTATTTATTCTGCCAGCCACAATCTCCTTTTCAATCTTTTATTAAATAATGGTTACCTAGACAACTAAAAAATATTTTTTTCACGATTTTACCTGCTTAGAGGAGAGGGACTACTCGAATATATTTATTATGTCTTGCTGCTTATTCAAAAAGAGAAAACTATTTTGCTTGCTGACAGGTAGCAAAGGTTTGCCATTTATTTTAATATTATTTTTCTGGTTTTCTGGCAGTCGTTACGGCATATTTGGGTATTTGGGCGCGGTAGAGGTTGGGCGTGGGGGTAATAAAATTGTCGGGAATTGACCTATTTTGTTGAAATTTGGGGTGGTTGTCCGCAAGAGGGGTAGCTAAGTTCAGTTTAAATTTAAAAAATTTTGGGGTGGTCTATGGCAAGTTATGGCTTGAAAAAGTAAGGGGAATGGGCATTTTTGGGAGGATTTTGGTTTTTGAGGAAAATTTCGGTACTTTTCCATTATCCCTACCCCCTTATGTAAAGAATGGTCATTCTCCTCCCTCCCTCAGTTTCACTCAATTTTTCTGTAGTAAGGCAGTCCGCAAAAAAAGTCCGCAAGAAGGGGGTAGGTATAACGGAAAAGGACTAAAATTTCCCTGCCAGGCAAATTTTTTCGAAATTTTTTGAAATTTTTTGGAATTCTTTTATTGGATTGGGGAGCCCTTTCGGATTCTAAAAATCTCCGTTGTAAAATTTCCGAGGGTCCTTTCTATTTATAAACTCACTCCCAGACAACACTGCGCCCAAACGGGAATGAGCATTTTTGGGAAGATTTTGTTTTTGAAAAAAAAATTTCCCTGCCTCATTTTTTTAAAATTTTTTTGGAATTTTTGTATTAGATTAAGAAGCCCTTTAAGGATTTTAAAAAACTCCATGGTAAAATTTTCGAGTGTCCTTTCTATTTATAAACTCATTTCCAGACAATCCTGCGCCCAAACATCCAATTACCTCATCATATACCTTTTGCCTGTGTAATATACCTTTCCTCTCCCCCTCTTTTCTATCTGTTTATTTGTGCCACAGAAATGCTTTTTTAATGTCACTTCATCAATAAAACATTTTTCCGGCTGTTCCCACTGTGGGGTTTTTACCTTGACTTCCAGTAGAGTTTAAATAAATGTTCTTGGTCAATTTTTCTAACAATCGGAATATTAAAAAAAAATTTTTTTTAATATTCTCTGAGACTTTTTAACGTGAAGACAGTCTTTTAATGTTTTTTATACTTTTTTTGGATTTTTGAATGTTTTTTTCTTAAAAATATTTGAATAGGTCTACCCCCTTTGAGCTGCACATTTTTTGCTCTTTTCAATCTCCTTCAAATTTTTCTTCAAATCCTTTCCAAATCCATAAAAGCCTTTCTTGTTTATTTTTAAGTCATTTTGGGCATTTCATCGTATTTATGTTAGGGCTGTCAGCCTTGAGTCCGATACTTGAGGAAATGTTTAAATGTTTTTAAAAGCCATAATTATCTCTTGTGGATTTAGTGAAAGGATATGGGGGAGTTACGGACAGCACTGATTTTCTTGGTTTTTAAAATCATTATTTAAAATTTATTTTTCCAGGGTTCAGTGTTATTTAAATGTCAGAAGAAGTAGACTCACACATTGTGGAGAATTACGATATTCAAAAACGTTTGGGGAAAGGTTTGTCTTTTTAAAAAATATTTTAATTTTTTATTTTGTGGGAAACTTTGAAAAAATTTTTGTTAGAAAATATTAGCGACATTTTTTTGTAGTATTCTGTTAACATTTTAAGATTAAATAGTTATGGGAAAGTAAAAAGTTAATATGAGAGATCACGCGGGACCTTTTCTCATGCCAAATGTTTTTAAATATATTGGGAGGAGGTTTCGGAATCTAAATCCTCTGATATCCCCACAAATCTCTTGATATCTTCAGTTTGATGGATTTGTGGATTACTAGGAATATTGAAGGGTTAATAGGATTAAGTGGAGATATTTAGCTATTAAGAGGATTTAGGGGCGATGGATTTAGTATTTAGTCACTTTTGGGACCGGGACTTTGCTAACTTAATGGCAGCCAAAATTCAAAACTTAGGTCCTCAAATCAAAAAATTTAAAAAATGGTGACATTTTATCCCATCAACATATTTAAGGTGCTTATGGAATTGTTTGGAAGGCTGTTGATAGAAGAACAAATGAAGCTATAGCTTTAAAAAAGATTTTTGATGCTTTTCGGAATGCTACAGATGCGCAGAGAACTTTTAGAGAAATTATGTTTTTACAAGAATTTGGAAGGCATCCAAACGTTATTAAATTGTATAATATTTTGAAGGCTGATAATGACAAGTTTGTTTTTTTTGATAAGATTTAAAAAAAAGGAAGGGTATCAAAGGTTTAATAGGAACTCTGTTTAATCAGACCGTTAAACTAATTTAAAAACTGGTAAACGCTGGGACACTACTTGTTGATTCCTACACTAACCAGCACCATCAATACAAGGGATTCGGGGAGGTGAAAGCAGGGACAAGTACTCGTTGATTCTAACACTAACTAGCACTATTAACCTAAGGGATTCAGGGGCTTGGATAACTCAATCAAGTTTTCCTCGTTGAAGTTGCCTCATGTGTTAGCTGCAAGTCACATTTTTACCAAAAAGTTTTAGTGAGGGAGTAGAGGTATAGAGGTGAGGGAGTAGAGGTATATAGTTGAGGGAGTGGAGGTACCTACAAAAAATATTTGGGGGATGAATTTGAGGCTAGGGAATAACCCTAAATTTATTTTTAACTTTTAGAGACATTTATCTTGTATTTGAATATATGGAGGCTGATTTACACAATGTAATCAAAAAGATGACTATTCTTAAGGACATACACAAACAATGTATTTTTTTGAATTTTTTATAAATTATTTTATTTTTTGAAGATATAATGTGTCAACTCTTCAGAGCCATCAAGTTTGTTTTTTAACTTTAATTTTAAAGAAGCTCCCCGTCCAAGAATCTTTATGGGGTTATAATACCAAATGTCGAAATACCAGTCTTCCAAAAGACGTTGAAATGCCAATATGTGGGTATAACCTCAGTAGTTAGACCAACGTATAAGTCGAGGGCTTCCACAGGTTTGTATTTCAATGTCTTTTGGGGGTTTGGTATTTTGATGATTGGTATTACAACGAATTCCGAATAAAAGTATTTGATTATTGACGTGTTTTAAAAAATTAAAGTATTTTTAATTTACAGATTTTTACACAGCGGCAATGTTCTTCATAGAGACTTGAAACCGTCAAATGTATTATTGGATGCTGAATGTAGAGTAAAGGTTTTTTCTCCATTTTCTTGTGTTTTTACCGAAAATTTTCTTATTTTTAAGTTGGCAGATTTTGGGTTGGCACGCTCTTTTAGTCAAATGGATGACTCCCTAGATGGATCCAATGTACCCGAATTAACAGAATACGTAGCAACTAGATGGTATAGATCGCCTGAAATTCTGCTTGGTATTTTTAAGTTTTTGTGAAATTTTTTGTAAATTTTTTTATAGCTGCCAAGCACTATACAAAAGGTGTTGATATGTGGAGCCTTGGTTGTATATTGGCAGAAATGCTGTTGGGGAAAGCTCTTGTAAGGGGATTTTTTATTTAAAGAATATAGGTAATATGAGAGAGAGAGGGTAAAAATTTAACCGAGAGCGGGCATCTGTCCTGCGCGACCTCATGGCTTTGGCACTTCCGTTCACCACGTACATGTATTCTACCGACCGATACCGGGTCGATGCGTTCACCTTCTCAATTAATAATATAAATCTTAAACCGACGCCTGGTAAGCGGTTTTAAAAATACTAACCAGCTTGCTCTTTCCCTTCTTTTCAATATTTAATTTTTTTCATTTCTAGTTCCCTGGTAGTTCTACAATTAATCAAATTGAACGTATTATGAATACAATTCAAAGGCCTTCTAAAGTTTGTTTGTCTTTTTTAAATGTGACATTGAATCTTATTTTTATCAGAATGATATTGAAAGCATTGGATCTGCTTATGCTTCCTCAGTTCTAGAAAAAATGCCACAATGGCCAAAAAAGCCGTTAGATATAGTTTTATCACAAACTACTCCAGAAGCTTTAGATTTAGTTTCAAGGTTTTTTTTTTAAAAATTTTTGACAAATTTTTTCGATTTTCTAGACTTCTCATCTTCGCCCCACACAAGAGATTAAACGTTGAGCAATGTTTAGAACACCCATATGTCTCTCAATTTCATAATAAAGCAGAGGAACCGTCGCTAGATTATGAAGTTAGGCTTCCTCTTCCTGGTGAGAATTAAAAAATTTTTCAAAAATTTTTAAAAAAAAAATCCAAAAAAAATTTTTATTTTTAAGACCATATTCAACTTTCTATACACGAATATAGAGATAAACTTTATGAAATAATTTCTACCAAAAAAGTAAATATACAACGTATTAATTATCCCAATATAAACGATAAAAACACGGCATGTAATGGTTGGGTAGATAAACAACACCAACATCAAAACGGGGAAACAAAAGAACAACAGAAAAGAAGACAGTCAACAACAACAAAAGAGCATCATTTAAAAGAACAACAACAAAATGTTTTGGAGAAAAACAGTGTTGTTAACAATAAGTTAGAGAAAGAGAAAACAACAACAAATACAACAAATGCAACAACAAATGAGAAACATAAAAACAACAAACGGGTAATACAACAACAAACACAACAACAACAACATTCAAACACAACAACATCCCCTCTCCCTTCTATCCAAACAACAAAAACATTAAATAAACAACAAACACAACAACAAGAAACATCCCCAGACAGTGAAAAAACACCAAAACATGTTGCAAAACATTTGAAGAATAATAATGTTGGGATAGAGAAAAAGAATAATAATGGTAATATTAATGGAGGATTAAAACAACAACAACATAAATTTAATAATAAACATGAAATAGGAAGTTCACCTTCAGTTGAAAGAAATACTAGTGGAGGACACTATGGAAGGTTAAAAAAATTTTTTTTTCTGTTTTTAAAATTTTTTACGTCTTTTTATTTTGTGCTATCAGTAAGGGTTAAGCGCATGAACCAAACTGGTAATCTCTTGATAGTTGACCTCTTAACAGACTTGCTAGACGCCTCTCTCGTTACGGGCGATGATTTCAATTAATTTTAAGCGTTTTATTTACTTTTAGATAGTTGTCAGTGTTTTCCTGGTTCCATCTGGGTTTGGAATTTGTGAACCTTTTCCACCAAAAATATTTTTCTAGGAAATCTGTTATAGGGAACCTGTCCCAGAAATCTTTTTTTGACCCGCTTAGAACTGGAACCGTTTTCGATTTTTAGAACCAGGAGACTTTAAACAAAAAATACAAGGAGATACCTGAAACTTAATATTTTCTTTTTTACATAACAGGAAGATAGGGGTGAGCAATGGTATTACAACTTCAGCGACAATGAGTAGATCAATGAGTGAATCAAAAGGATTGAACCACCATCAAAACGGAGGATTAATACATTCTAAACTTCACCAAAATAATCAAGCACCTATAGCATTAGCAGAACCTAGCGATACTGATTTAGATACATGTTCATCAACATCATCAGGCTTAACTATGGGAAATGGAGGGAAAACTGCAAAAATAATGGGGAGTAATGGAACTTTGTTAAATGAACAGCAACATCAAAATAATACTAGGCGCTCTTTTGGAAATTTATTTTCAAATATTATACAAAAACAACAACATTCACATCATCAAAATAATGTGGATGATGTTTCTGTGATAAGAGGTTTTATTTTTAGTTAAATATTTTTAATGAGAAGGTCCTTTGCCTTTGTGAGCATAGAAGGTCCGCAAGTTTTATCCGCAAGTCATATAATTTAAATTATGTGAAAAAAGGGGGGATGTAGGAGAGTAGAGTGAGAGGTCCTTGGAAAGTATGAGGGAGAGGTCCTTGGAAAGTATGAGGGAGAGGTCCTTGGAAAGTATGAGGGAGAGGTCCATGGAAAGTATGTGTGAAAGAACCTTGGAAAGTATTTAGATATCCGAAACTGAATAGAAAAATTGAACGGAAAATCCTTAGTTCAGAACAGAAACCCTACAATGAGAGACTATCAAAAAGCTTTGTATAAGGTAAATAGTGAAGATATTTTTTCAAAATATTTCCTCTTATAGACAAAAATTGTGGACTTTTAGGAGCATTAATGAAAAGGGAATGGCAAGTTTTTTTTTGGGAGGGAGGGAAGGTACTATTAGTTTTTAAACACTTATGGAGGAATGTGGGTCAGGGGTGAGCGCATTGCGTTATTTGCGTTAAATTTTGGCCTTGCGTTTTGCGTTTTTTGAGATTGTTCTTGCGCTCATCCCTGATGTGGGTTTGTCTGTGAGAGGGAGGGAAGGGAGTTGCTGTCTTATTTTCTCTCCTTCTATCTAATAATTTTTATATACAGCTAGAGCACAAAGCATTGAATCTTCAACAGCAACAACAAATTACCCATCAAAATTTTCTTTGAGAACAAGAAGTCGAGAAAAAGTAAAATCATCTAAAGAAGATCAACAACAAACTTTATATATTGATGGAAAACAACAACAAAAATCTGCTACAACAAACAGTAGACGTTCGCATGATCGGTTAAGAATTTTTTCTGCTTTAAGACCGTCTAAAACTAGTGTTAATAATTAAAAAAGTTTTTTTTAAATATTTTTTTATTTATTTTAAAAATTTAAGTTTAATTATTTAGCCATATAAGTAAGTACAAGTAAATTTTTGTGGGGGGAAAAACGTTAGGTTGTGTGTGTGTTTCTCTCAACTCTCTCGTTAGTAAATTTAAATTGAGAATCTTAAAACCTTGTGTAAGAAGCACCTTTTAGACCCGTCTTTTTTGCCTGTGAGGAAAATAAAAAAAAAGTAAAAAAAAATTTGTCCGCAAATTTTGTCCGCAAAAATTTGCGGACAAGGTTTATTCTAAAAATTTCACCTTATCTCACTTTTTTACTTAAACGAGAGTTGGGGAGATGTATTCTTAATATAATCAGGTACTTGTAATTAAACAGAAAAGAATTAAATAGAAAATTCTTTAGCCTAGATTTGAATTGATCTCTCTCTTTAATTTTTTAATATTGTAATAATAATGAATATTTAATAGAAACAGTTGAATCCCTCTAATACTTCACATTTTTAGGACTAGAATTGGGAGGGTTGACGTATTACCAAGGGAGGGAGTTGGGGTTTTCGAACCGGGCGAGTCATTTTTTTCGAGCCGGCCGGACCGAGTCTTTTTCGAGCCAAAATTCATGCCCGACTTGATCTCTCGGACCGGGCCGGATCGGGCCCCCAACCCTATTACTAAGCGAGGAAGTCGTATTAGTCGGATTTGACTGTATAATATCTCGTATAAATGCATTTGTATATTTAATATATTTTATTTTAATTTTATCCGCAAATTTTGTCCGCAATGTTTTTTGTCCGCAAAAAAAATTTTTTAGATACATACTTGTTTTTAATTTAAAAATATATTCATTTTTGAATGAATTTTTGTATCTTTTTTTTTGTTATTTTTGGTTTCAATTAATTTTTTTTCGTGTTTACACAAAAAAATTATATTTTTCCCCAAAACTTGAAAAATAAAAGAGGGAACATGAGTCATCCAAAAAGAATAATTTTTTAAAAAAAATTAAAGATGTGTGTATATTTTTTTGAAGAAAATGATTGATGAAATTGTTAATTTAGAAAAATTATTTTTAATAAAAATGGGGGACAGAATTTTTTGGAAAAGAAAATTTTCGGGAATATATGGATTTTGTCCGCAAATTTAGTCCGCAAAAAAAGACATGAGAAAATTTTTAAGTTTATCCGCAAATTTTTGTCCGCAAGTTAATAACAACATTTTTTTTAAAAAAGGGGGACAGAATTTTTATAAAGGAATTTTTCGAGAATATTAGGAGGACTTGAGAAGTTATTAACTTTGTCCGCAAATTTTGTCCGCAAATTTTTGTCCGCAACTTTTGTCCGCAAAAATTAATTACATTTTCAAAAATAAATACATGTTTGGCGCGTTTATTTTCTTTTATTTTTTCTTGGCATTGAGTCAATTTCTTTTTATTTTTTTGTTTTTGTACTGCGCCAAAACAGAAACAGGGAAGGAAGTTATAATTTTATAAAAATATTTTTTTCAGATTTTTTAGAAATTTTTTTATTTTTGTATTTTTTGGATTAAAAAAATTCATTTAACTCAATTAACACTTAAAAATGGCAGAGGAAAGTTTTGTTAAATCACAGGTTTTTTTATTCTATAATTTTTTAAACTTTTTTAAATTTTAAGTTGGCTGCGTTCTGCAAGGCGTTAAACAAAGTTGAAGCACCGCTCAAACAAAAACATGTTAGGGCATTGGTTGTTGGAACGGTTAGTTTGTTTTTTGTTTGTTTTTGAAAAAGCTTTCTTGAGTTCTGTCCTTTTTTCTGTTTTCATCGGATCGTGATTAGATTACTGCCTGGTTTTTGAAAGTCACTTAAGTTGCTAACTTGTTCTCCGTTTTATACGTTTCACGAATTCGAATAATTAAATTGAATTCTCTTTGGGTTTAGAATTATGGTTTTTAAGGGTTCTTAGCGTTAATTGTTCGAAACTAGTGTTGCGCCGGAAGTTCCAGGATTTTCTGGTCCGGATTGGTTGTAAAGTCGGAGCGAAACACTATTAGAAATATATGGCCAGTTGAGGACAGTTATAGTAAAGGGGCTGAATCCATCCCATAAACTGGCAAAAGATTCATGGGACTTTTCCAATGCAATATTGTTAACAGGTCTTTGTCAGCTATCCCACCGCCGACTGATCGTTTCCATTTTTTGCTTAAATTTCTCGGCTGGTAAGAAACTTGGTCCAATCTTAATTCCTAGGTGTTTGTTTAAATTTTTAAAAATTTTTTATTTTTTTCAGCACAAACTCCGCTCTTCTCGTATTTTTTGGCATTCAGTTTCACGTATTCAATTAGAAAAGAATCCTGTCTTGACTTGGAAATTTTGTCAATTACTTCATAAATTAATTCATGATGGACATAGGAAAATAACAGAGTCTTTATAATTTTTTATAAAAATTTTTTTGTTTTAATTTTTAGAGAAAGTGTTGGGCATGTTTCTCGTTTAAATCAATTGGGCAATTTTTGGCAACATTTGAGAAGTTCTGGTTATGGACAGGCCAATACATGTTTGTTTTTGGAATTTTTAATTTTTGTGGGTTTTATGGGCTAGCCTTTTTTCAATTTTTGCTAGAAAAGTTTTCCTGGTCTTTCGTGGAATTTTTAGAATTTGAATTTCACTAGGAAATACTGTTGACCGTCGTTGGATTTTTTTAGAATTTGGAGATGATTTTGCGTTTTGAGGTCACCCCAATTTTCATTCTTCCCCTCTTTTTTATTTTTCCACAAGCAAATCGCCTTCTATAATAGAATATAGATTGGACAGGGACGTTTAACTTTGTGGAAACTAGAGACACAATTTCAAAAGAAAATTTCGAGTCCACCCCAGAGTATTGACACCCAAAGTATCGACACCCAGAGTATCGAATGACCCAAAGTATCGAATTTTTTAAACTTCATAATTAAGTATTCCAAGGACGGGGAAGTCTTTTTAACATAGGGAAATTGTTCCAACAATGGATCAAACATCGATCATGATCAATATGTCCAATCAAAGAAGAGTGATCGATCTCCAAGTAGAATCTTGTTAGGTCGCTATGCTCAGTTCGATCGAAAACACAATTCCCCGATGTTAGAACATCATGCCCGATCATTGGAATACTTAATTATGAAATTTAAAAAATTCGATACTTTGGGTGTCGATACTTTGGGTGCGATACTCTGGGTGTCGATACTTTAGGTGTCGATACTCTGGGGTGATCCCAAAATTTCGGTTATAAATAGGGTTGGGGTTTTCGAGTCGGTCCGACCGAGTCTTTATCGGGCTTAATTTTTATCGGGCCGGCCCGACCGATTCTTTTTTGGGCCAAAATTTGATTCCTGATTCTATTTTTCGGATCGGATCGGGCCCCCTAAAGTTCAATATTTCTCGAGATATTGAGTTTCGTACAATTTCTAGTCATTGTATCCTATTTTTAAGGTTATTGTAAATTGCTGGTTAGCAGACTCCAATTTCATAAAAAGGTTTTTTTTATTTTTTTAAAGGAATTTTTCTCAAATTTATTTTAATAGTACCCAAGTATTCCTGGCAATTTGAATTTAAATCAACGACAGTTGGATACGCTTAGTTCTGATATAAATGAAACTTATGAATTAGCTATCGATATGTTGGACCAGATGGATGAACTGTTGAATTTAAAAGCTACTAGTTTGTTTAATTTTTTGGAATTTTTAAATTAAGGGTTGGGCAATCCAGGAGAATTGGGGTTTCTTCGAATAGAAAGTTTAAAAATAAGAAAAAGGGGTTTTCTAGGGTAAAAAAATATGCTGATCACGAATCTGAGCTTGGATTTTGAAAAAGTCGAATCCCGGACCCGAACCAAATTTCGAACCCTGAACCCGGATTTTGAATAAGATTTCGAATAATCCCCTGGATTGCCAAGGGTTGTATTCATAAATGTAAACTTGGGATTTTTTAATCAGATGAGTTTCCATGGTTGTTACGGGGTATCCAAAATCCTCACTTTTAACGTGAAATTTTATCTGAAATTTTTTTTGAGAACAAGATACTAAACCCGAGCTGACTTTATTTTTTAACTTGAGTGCTACTGTTCCGTTTCCTTTCCATATGCCATCTTGCAAGCTTTTGGCTTGACTGTATCCATGGGTCGGATTTCAGGACGACTCGATAAGGTGTGCGGCAAAAATTTGGTTTTTTCTGAACTGACATCCCAACTGAAATTAATATCATTTAACTCAATCAAGTAAACTAGAAAGTTTTTAATCCATGGGAGGAGGGAAATGGAAGCAGTAATATCGTCAAGTCCTTTCGGACTCGAAAATCAATCCTATACCTATTCAATAAAAATAACTTTGTTTTTTCTAGTAATGTCAATAATGGATTCTATGCGTTGGAGTTCTCTTGTTCCACAAGGCCAATGTTTACTGGCCCCATTAATTTTGGTTATTCTTGATACTTCCAAATTTTGTTTGTTTTTTTTATTTTTAAAAATTAAAACAAATTTTTTTTGAAGACGATTTTTTGGTCAAAGCCCACTTTAAACTTCACAAAAGTTTACCAGCCGATACTTTAGTTGGACATAGAGAACGTTTTTATGATTTATTTAGACGAACAAAAAAGTTTTATGAAGAGACTGCAAATTTGCAATATTTTAAATATTTGGTACAAATTCCGACTTTGCCATCGGTTTGTTGTTTTTTTCAAAAAATTTTTTTGAAATTTTTGAAAATTTTTTTTCGAAAATTTTTTCGAAAAATTTTCGAAATTTTCAAAATTTTTTTTTTCGGAAATTTTTTGAAATTTTTTTTTGAAAATTTTTCGAAAATTTTTTTGAAAAATTTTTTGGTTTTTTTTGAGAAAATTTTTTTTGAAATTTTCGAAAAGTTTTTTCGAAAATTTTTTTTTGAATTTTTCGAATTTTTGAAAAATTTTAAAAATAAATAGATTGCTCCAAATTTCCAACAAGCATCTGAATTGGAGGATTATAGAGCTCCCCAAGCTTATTTGCATGCGGGTACGACTTCAGAAAATGGTGATCAATCGCCGCCAGATTCGCAGTCTGTTTGTGATGAGGTTAACTTTTTAAAGTTTGGAATGGTAATATTTCGAAATGGTTAAATTTTAAATTGTTGTGGAATGGTCAAAATTTGGATTTAAGAATGAGATATCTTGTTAAGTCATCAGATGTCTCCCTTTCCCAGAGCCGCATGCGAAAATTTTGAGAATTTTTGTAAGGCCAGATCACTTGTTTTTGGCGCAGCTTTTGAGAGTATTGGAAGGCCTGTTGGGAGACCATCGTTTAACCGAACCGAAAATCTTTGGTTTTTCGGTTCGGTTCCGTTTTAAACCGACAGATTGCTGCCGCGTTGACTAATATCAGTAGCCAACCAAATTTTAAAAATTAAAAAAAAATCTCTCATTTTTTAAAGCAAATAAGCAGCATAATTGACATTTCTCTTCCGCAAATGGACAATATTTCAATGATGGGTGATTCTATTGCTTCATCCACCTTACCTCCGTCTACTTCAAATAATGCTGGTGCTCAACCAATTTTTGATCCAAAGTTTGAATTTTTTGGAGTTTTTTTTAATTTTGAGTTTCTTTAGAGATGAAATTATTGCTCGTTTACGACTTGATATTGATGCTGAAAGGGATGTAAAGGAAAAATTATTTGAAGGTTATATTTTGTTTTTATTTTTAGGATTACTTCGGGAGCTCATTTAAGGGATATACCCATGGGATAGAAAAATCTTATTTTATAATAGAGTATTGCTTTTCTGAGTTGTTGGTTTGAACTTAACCTAACAATAAGAATCGAATTGTAAAATCCTCGGTATGTTCCAAAACTGATAAACTAGGTGCTGAGAACTTGGTAAAGTTGGGAAACGAACTGATGGACCTATAGGATTTTGCGATTGAACCCTTTGATATTGAATATGGTTTTGAATCCCCCATTACTCTTAAATTCTCTTTTATGTTTTTCAAGATCAAAAAATTTTTTTTTGAAATTAAAACTATTTACTTGTCTTTGCATTAACCGACGCAAATTGATCTTTAAAGTTCTGTCTCTTCTTGCAATCAGAAATTTTTTTTTATTTAAGAATGCAAAAATCGCATAGAACAATACGAAGCTAGACTACTCCATATGAACCAGGAGATTGATTTGCACAAAGAAGCTGCTGAGGAAAAGACAAAAGAATTGGAAGAATTACGTGTATTGAGTACAACTTTAGGACAAGAACGTCAACAAACTTCAGAGGAGAGTAAACGAAAAGTTGATGAAACTGAACATAAATTTGCAAAATTGAAAGGAGCTTATCAACAAATTCGTGAAGATCATATTAAGGTTTTTATTATTTTTTTGTATTTTAGCGATTTAGTATTTCGACGTTTAGTGTTACGGCGTCGTGCCGATTTTCTGATAATTTTTAAACGATTTTCTAGTGTGTAGGCGACATATATAAGTGGACATAGTGCCCGTTAAACCATTTTCAGGACTGGAACCATGGCTGGACGCAATTTCGGACTGCGGATTGCGTAGAAGTGCGTGGTTTTTTGACTTGCGGATTGCGGCTGTGTAAATTTTTTCAATTGCGTCCAGCCCTGACTAGAGAGCCCCAATTTTGGATTTCCTTCCTCTTTCTGGCCGGATCCTTTCTCGGATCTTTCCTCTTTCTGTATGGATTTCCTTCCTCTTTCTGGCCGGATCCGTCCGGTTTCTTTTCAGATTAATACTCCGAAAGACCCGGATTCGGAGCCCGACTTCAGAAAAATAAGCTAGGGACTGATGCGTTACCGGACACCAAGGATTTGGTTTACCTGACTATTGGGGGGTTTTAAAAAATTAAATGTATCGTTATCCTCATAAGGTATACCAAAATTGTCATGAACAGCCATTACGTCAAAAATTATTTTTAGGCTCTCACAGAGATTCGCGATTTGCGGGCTAAAATAGATTCAAATCTTAAAGCATCGGATACAAAAAATGAGGAATTGACTCAATTAAAAGCTAAAATGGAGCAAGATGGACTTGAACGGGAATTTTTTGAATCTCAGGTTTTTTTAACTTAAAAAATTTTTTTAATTTAAAATTCTAATTGTAAGGCCAAAACACTTCAAGAAAGTATACAAATAAAAGGACAAAAATTGATTGAATGTCAAACAAAAATTGAACAATTAGAATCTCAACTGGAAGAACTTGAAGATGTTTTGGGTAAATTCAAGGTGGAATCAGCAGAAAAATTGAAACTTGGGGAAGAGGATAAATTAAAAATGGGAAATGAATTTTTAGGTTTTTTTGGAGGTTTTTTAATAAAAAAATAATTTTTTTCAAGATTGTATAACTTCTTTTGCATTGAATTTAATGGAACAAACTAGTGAGGATTCTCAAAATGCTACTTCTATTTCTTATCCACCACGTTAGTTTTTTTTTTGAATTATTTTTATCCGTTCCATCCTCACACAAGAGTTAGGTTGGAAGTCTAATTCAAGATTTTCTCGGTTTTCAATACCTTCATCATTGTTGCTACCACTACCGGCGTCTTTGATATTTTTGGGGTCAAATGCTTTTCATTTCTAAATTTTTTTAAGAGGAGGCAATAGGGTTCCTTCGAAAATTTGTCTGATTTTTTTTTCAATTTTTGAGGGAGAGAAGAGAAGTGGTAGTGCGAAACTTGCGGACCGACTTTTGCGGACCTGGGGTTTATGTTTTTGTTTTTCTATCGTAACTTTGTCCAAGCTTGTACAATCTCGATGATTTTGATGTCATTCGACTCAGCTCGTCGAGCTCTTTCGAATGAGCTATGTTTCGAGAAATTCGTCGGGTCCGCAAGTTTTTGTCAGCAAAAGTCGGTCCGCAAGTTTCGGCCAGCCAGAGGAGTGGTGTATACGAGCCGATAATTGAAAAGAAAAATTGAAAATTGCGGAAGAGGAGAAATTAAAAATTGGAAATGAATTTTTAGGTTTTTTTGGAGGTTTTTTAATAGAAAATAATTTTTTTCAAAGATTATTAGGACGGCTCGTTCCCTGGTGTATATTCACACAATTTGTGTTTGATTTTCTCTAATTATTATTTTTATTTTTTTTAAGATTTGGCAACTTCAAAACTTAAATCATTTATTGAACAAAAAGATTTTGTAAATTCAATGTTTAATAATAACAACAATTCAAAGAATGAATTTTATAAAAGTATTTTACTTGTCGCCCAAAATATGTCAGATATTTTATTGGTTTGCCCATCTGCTGCATATACTGCATCTATTCAACATTTTGAAGGTTTTTTGGAAATTTTTATTGATTTTTTTTTCTATTAAAAATTTGGGCGGGGGACATTTCAGTCCCGAGCTCTATAACTCGAGAAGTTCCGAGTAGTTTTTGGAACTCTTGGTATCGTTGGATAGAGGATTAACTAAGCTACAATTTAAGCTATTGATCGAAAAATTCGATCGAAAGGTACCAAAGTTATGAGTAAAAAACATGCAAAAAAATGACTTTTTTTTAAAAATGGCGGTTTTTTGATAATAACTTCATTATCAGTTGATAAAATTATTTTATCTTTGGTATCATTTTGTAGGGAATTTAATCCTCTATCCAATGATACTAAAAGTTCAATAAATTATTAGAAAATTCCCGAGTTACAAGGTCGGGACTGAAACGTCCCGGGACTGATGTGGGACGTTCCGAAAAATTTTAATCCTTTACCAAGGAAAAAATTTTTTTCTTTAAAATAAGAAGCTAATTTTTAATTATTTACTGAAAAGGATATGAATATTGTCATTGGGGACCTCCTCTTTTATTTTTTCTTGGTTTATCTAAAAAAAATCACTGCTAGTTTTAACGGTGATGGGACGTTTTATCCGAAACCTAAGAGTCGAACCTCTGTCTTTTTTGACTAGAAATACCAAACCTTTGCCCCAATCTAGAGTAAGTTAATGAGAGAGGAAAATGGAGGAAAGTGAAAATAGAGGGGGAACCCAATAGACAATATTTGTTTAAAAGAAAAATTTTTTGTAGAAGTAAACGAACAATGTCGTCAAATTCAACAATTATCTTCCACATTCATTAAAGAAAAGAATTTGGAATCTTTAAATGAAATATGGAAAGAATTGGAAAATTTAGAAAATTTAATGTTGGGATTACCTAAAGAAAATGTTGATTTGGATGTTAATACAGTTGGTAAACAATTGGAAGAAGAAATGAATTGTATGACTGAAGCTATAGCTGCTGCTGTTGAACATATTAATGAATTACAAAAGAAAAGGTTTTTTAAATTTATTTTTTTGTTAAGGGTATTTTTGGAATAATAAGAGGGATTTTAAGAGGGTGACATTTGGTCCCATAATTTTTTTAATTTTTTGGTACTTGGGGTATTTTTATAGAATTAGATGGGAATCTTTTACTAAAGGTGACATTTGGTCCCATAATTTTTTCGTGTTTTTTGTTGCAGTTAAACTTCATTTTTAAATACCCTCAAAATTATGTAAGTACCTCCCAATTTGATTTTTGGGATTTTTTAAAATCTGAGGTGACATTTAGTCCCCCCCTCTTCCCCACAAAAAATCCTTTTAATTTTTTTCGGCTCCAAAGAGTGTATCTAAAAAATGAGGGGGTTTTGACTTTATTTGTCAGTTATAGGGCTTTTTTGAAACAGTTCTTTTAGAATAGTTAAGTTGATCAGAACTAGGCATATCAAAAATTTAAGACATTTCATCCCACTTATTAAAAACTTTGGTACCCCTCAATAATATTTTTAAATATACTCTAAAAACCTTTTAAAAAATTATTTTTTAGACAATATTCTAGTAATCCCTCAAAAATTATTTTTTCTAGTCGTGAAACAAATATTGGAATAAAATTGGAAGTAAATGACAAAATATTAAATTCTTGTAATGAATTAATGGGTGCCGTTAGAGAATTGGTAATAAAAAGTAAAGAAGTTCAAGAAGAAATTGTTTCTAATGGAAGAGGGCAGGCTACACCAATTGAATTTTATAAAAGAAATCATTTGTGGACTGAAGGTTTTTTTTTGAAATTTAATGACATTTGATCCCATATTTTTAATTAAAGGTTTAATTTCTGCTGGTAGAGCTGTTGGTGTTACTGCAACTGAATTAGTGTAAGAAACAAAAAAAATTTTTTCTAATTGTAATACAACCGAACACCTCGTTGTATCATCCTCCCTTAAGACTGAAAAAAGCCTGTGCCTTATAGCAAGGGCGTAGTTAGGGGGTTGATTTCAGGGCGGGTTTTTTTTTCTCAAATTTTTCACCTTTTCCCATTTCGGGGAGGGGAGCTTTAGCCCCAGAAGCTCCCTGGTTACGGCCTTGCCTTATAGTGAGCTGTGTCTTAAATAGAGGATTTCTTTTGCGCAGCTATTTTATGGTCCAAGTTGAGAAAAGGGTCAGGTCAGGATTCGAATAGGGTGTTTCGGGTCAGTAAAGTTCGGATTTTCGGAACCTTACTGTATTTCTCCTAAAAAAATTTTTTTTATTTTATTTTTTTTATTCCTCTAGGAAATCAGCAGACAAATTAATAATGGAAAAAGGTGGCAAATTTGAACATTTGATAGTTTCTGCTGGTTCTGTTGGTGCTAGGTTTATTTTTTTATTTTCTTTTTAAATTAAAAATAAAATTTTCAACAATATATGTAGTCTCGAAAATTTTTTAACAAAAAAAATTTCTGGACATTAGAGTCTCAGAAATGTGATTTTTAATTTTTCGCGAAATTTAAAAAAAATTTTCTTTTTACGAAATTTCGTCTAAAATTTTTTACTTTTCGAAATTTTGTTTTTTCGTGAAAAAATTTTTCGAAATTTTGTTTTTTCGCGAAATTTCGTGAAAAAATTTTTTTAATTTATTTCCCTTTCTAGTGTTGCCCAACTTTTTGTTTCTTCACGTGTAAAGGCAGATAAAAATTCTCAAAAATTGGTTGGACTTGGAAAAGCTTCAAAAGATGTAAATAAATGTACAGCAAATTTAGTTGGAATTGTTAAACAAGGACAACAATCACTTGGGGAAGAAAGTATGGATTTTTTTTAAAGGGAAAATTTAATTTTTAATTAATTTTTAAAGAATTACTCGATTTTTCAAATCTTTCATTGCATGAAACTAAAAAGGAGGAAATGGAGTCACAAGTGCGTGTTCTTGAATTGGAAGCGGAATTGTCTAGGGAAAGGTTGGGGAAACTTTTTTTAATTTTCGAAATTTCGGGATTTTCACGAAATTTCGTCTAAAAATTTTTTGAAATTTTAAATATTCGAAACTTTGGATGATCACAGAATTTTGTGGTTTTCACGAAATTTCGTTTAAAAATTTTATTTTCGAAATTTCTATTTTCACGAAATTTCGCATATTCGCGAAATTTCGTGAAATAATTTTTTTCGAAATTTTTTCTGAAAAATTTTTTTTTTCTTGTTAGGCTTCGATTCGCAGCATTGCGAAAGCAACATTTTCATATTGCTCAGTTAGTCTCTAATAACCAGGAAAATGGAGGTGGTAATGGAGAGACTGACACCTCACCACCTGAGTCTTGATTTACTTTTTTTTAATTTAAGAGAATCTCCCAAATTCGTAAAAATTTATATTGGGTGTTTTTGGATATTGAGAAAAATGTTTATTTTAAGATTTTTTTTAAATTTTTTCTAATTTCGAAATTTCGTATTTTTACGAAACTTCGTGAATTTCGCTTTTTTCGAAATTTCTTTTTTTTCGAATTTCTTCCTCTTCTCATTTTTCTCTTAAAAAGTGTAGCAATTTAAAATATTCTCTTAACTCAAATTGAAATTTAAAAAAATTTTTTGCCCATTTTTTAAATTTTATTACTTATTGTTTTGTCCAATTTTCTGACTTTTTCAAGAAAACATTCTATCTTTTTAGTTCTTTAGAAAATTCTCTATTTTATTGAAAATTACTATTTTACGGTTTAATAGGATCTGATTTATGGGCATGCCTAAAGTCCCAATGCATTAGCTGAAAATTTAAATCAAATTTTTATTTTCACGAAATTTCGGATGTTTCACGAAATTTCGTAAATTTTTTTTGAAAAAAAAGTAATATTTAATGGGACGCATGCTGCAAACCAGAACCTTTACATTAAAAAAAATTTTTTTTAATATTATGAATTACAAAATAAAAATATATATGCGATTTCTTAAATCTGGGTTTGTTGGAAATTAAATATTAAAAAATATTATTATGGGAAAATTCGACTAAAAAAGGGAAATTGAAAAAAAATGGGGGAGTGTTTCTAATGAAACAAAAAGGTTTGGGTATTAAGATTAAATTCTGAAAATTAAAAATCAGAAATTCTGGTTCTCAGAAATTCTGATTGAAAATCAGAATTAGTGGATTAAAATCAGAATTTCAGAATTTTTAATCAAAAATTCTGATTTTCAGACCAGAAAAAATATTCTGATTTTAAAAATCAGAATTTTTTATTAGGATTCTGGGGGGTTAATTATATATACAATTAATTATTTTTAGTTTTAAACCTTCTTTTAGTTTTATTCTTTATTACAAGTTGGTGGCCTAGGTGTATGTGGCATTTGCACTTTTGTTGGTGGAAGAATTTGTTCAGATTCAGAATTTGCACTATCAGAATCATTTTCCCCCACAACATTAATATTATTTGAAGAATCCATAGAAACTACTCTTCTCCCAAAAATTGATGATTTTCCTCCTCCCCCATCTATTCCACAAGGCGTAACAACAATTGAAGGTCTGCGTTGGTGTTCATCTCCTTCATAAAGTTCAAATTTGTCGTCTACTGCTAAGGAAGCTAATCGAGACATTAAATCAAGGTTACAGACAACGGGGGCCATTTCGGCGTGTTGAACCTTTTAAATTTTTTTGAATTTTTAAGAGGGGTGGAGTCCAACCCCTCACTTTAAGATAACAATTGGGAGTAAAAGGGTTCATAATGAGGTGTCTTAAATAGGGAGATGCTTGTCTGGGTAGCTCCCCAATGGTCAGAAAAATAAAAAGCGGAGAAAGGCAGTAAAATAAAAAAATATACCCATCCAACAGGAGGCGAACTTGGCGGTGATATAAGAAATTGTTTCTCTAGAGGAGGCAATTTTAAATGCCCCTGTTCATCCTGATCCACTCTTCTAGCCATTTTTATATTTTTGGCAAAGAAAGCTTTCATTTTTGCTCCGTTAAATGAATGGTGTTCAACAAGTAATTTTGCAGCTAAAAGGGGATATTAGAGTCTCAAGTCCAGAAAATCCGGTACCTGTGTAGTTTACCCCCCATAAGCCCCGCCCTTTTATTTTCTATAAAATGATCAAACGGGTCTATATTTTCATTGTGGTCACTTTCTAAAGAAAAAGGAAGAGAGGACAAAGGGGGCGGGGCTTATGGGGGGTAAATTACACAAGTATTAAATACGAACCTGTAGCATGCTCTGGCTTTTCAAAAACGATGCGAACACGTTGAAAACTTTTTAGAAAATCAATTCGGATAGGATCAGTGTCACAAGTAATTTGTTGAAAAAGTGATCGAAAATTTGATTTTTGTTCGGGGTCGTCAAACAATTCTTTTGGCACATCCTAAAAAGATGGATTGGGTAGGAAGCAATTAGTTAGACCAGCCAAACCTCACTATAGGATAGGATTTACCCTTAAGGGTCCATTCTCGGGATCAACTCCCATAGACCTTAGAGGATCAGTTGACCTAGAGAGTTGACCTTTTGGGTTGGTCCCAAGCTAGAATACTTCCGGTACCTTAAATTAAACGTACGGTTTTTCGATCCCTATGGGGACACCTTATAGTGAGGTCTGAGGGATCAACCCGAATTTTTTGGGGCAAGTTGATTAATCAAAGCAGACTTACTCTAATAATTATTGCAGTAGGTAAAATTTCTTTATCACAGACTGTCTCTTGTTCATGTTGTTGTTGCTGTTTTTCTTCTGTCAAGTCGGACACTACCGGTGGTCTTTTTTCCAAAACATTCATTTTTGTAGATATTCTAATGGGGGTTTTTAAGTCGATAAGAAGATAACTCCTTTAAGAAGGCTAAACTTTTTAACAAAAAATGTAGAAAAGCAAAGTTAAGTATGTGTAAATACTAACACAAAACAAACAAAAAACAAGAGAAATTGTCAGTGCCATATAGTGCTTCTCCTCTTTGTGAGGAATTCTTATTTTCCTTTTTGGCGCTCTCGGCTTTTTTTTAATAATTGGATTCAATTTTTTGGGGGGATAAAGAGAAAGTGTATGGCTAGCAAAGGCAAAATAAGGAAGAAAAAAGAAGTTTTGAAGGTTTTCCTCAATTTTAGTAGTTAGCGTCGTCGATTTTATTCTCTACTGTGACTGTTTCCTTGTTTAATTCACAAAAGGGAGGGGGGTTGTGGAAAAGAAGAGAGATTGAAAAATGAATAGAGGAAACAGAGAGATAGAGAAAGTATTTATTTTTTATAAACGACAAAATGCCAGCGGTCAAAATGCCAGCTAACAATGCTTTTCCTCGGTTCTTTTCGACATTTTGTCAATTTTTGGCCTTATTGGCATTTTGTCGTTTCTGTCTTTAGTATTTTAATGAAGAAGTTAGTGTTAGAGTATTAAAGTTAGAGAATTAGAAAAACAAATTTAGCTGCACATTAAAAGTTTAACAAAAAACCACACAATGTTAATGGGGGCAAAAGCGTTGTGTTTCCGTAAACAAGATTAGCTGAAAGAGAAAATATATATATTTTATATATTTTTTGATAAGGGATTAGGGCTAGTTAATTTTATTTTTAGCTTTTTTGTGGAATTTTGCTTAGACTCTAGTGTCCTTCTTTTATTGTAGGCTTTTGGGAAATAGTAGAGGGTTAGAGAAAAAGAGAGTTTTTTAAGTATTTTTCTTTTGGCGTTGTTTTATTTGGGGAAAAGGGGGTTTTGCCAGCGATTATTTATTTTATTTTTGGCTTGATTTTTTTACATTTTTCCTTTTCTTGTGAGTAGTCATAGGTAGGGGGATGTCGCGGCTGTCACTAACCTAATCCTTTTGATCTCACTGTCGTGTGGTGGCGGGGGCTGGTAAAAACCTAAAGGGAGAGGGCATGTCGCGGGTGACTTTTTGACTTTTAAGCCAAATCCTTTTGATTAGTTTTGACTTAAGGCCAAATCCTTTTGAGCGGCTGGCTGGTCAAAGCTCAAACCTTTAGCGCGAGTTAGTGCGGTAAAAGCTGACCAACCTGTACCTATAGGAGGAGAGGGAAAAATTGATGTCGCGGGCGTCGTACTCCTCCTCCCTCTCCTTCCCTACCTCTTCTCTCTCCCTTTTCTCTTCTCTGGAAAAAAAACGTCGTGGGGTGGTGGGGGTCTGGTAAAACCAAAAGGAAGAGAGCATGTTGGGGGATCGCGCGGCAAAAACCTAAAGGGAGTGGACAACTTGGCAGAGTCTTGGGGTGGAGTGGGAAGGGAGGCCAAGATTTGTGGTGGAGAGGTCAGACAAACGATAGAGTATGTGCATTTATTTGTGGGAAAAATCAAAATGGAGAGGAAAATTCTTGCGGAGAGATACGATAAAAGAAAAGTGAATGGCAATATTTGGGGAGGATGGGTCAGACAATAGGAAATATTTAATTATGAGAGGAAAACCAAAAGGAAGAAGGAAGAGAACCCCTTTTGAATGTGGACATCGTCGTCTAGGGTGGCAATAACTGAAATGGATAAAATAGTCTTGTAATCAAATAGTGATGAGAGGGTAGAGAAAGTGGTTTAAGGGGTAATTTGTGAATCATCGTCGTCGTCGTGGCCGACTTTTTGACTTTTAAGACAAATCCTTTTCATTTGTTTTGACTTGAAGTCAAATCACTTTGACAGGTCGGTGATAACGAGCTTTTCCTCTCCATATCCTACCCCTCTCATCCCTCCTCTCTGATACTACTCCTCCTCTCCTCATTCTTTCTCCTCCCCATTTTATCTTGTCCGCTATTTTCTTCTTCCTCCTCCTCCTCCTCCTCCTCCCTCATATTCCTCATATCTTCTCTGATCATGACTTCTCCTTTCCTCCTCTATCCTACTCCTCTCATCTTCTCCTCTCTGATACTACTCCTTCTCTCCTCATTCTCCTTCTTTCTCCTCCCAATCTTATCTTCTCTATTTTTTCCTCCTCCTCCTCCCTCCTACTCCTCCCATCTGCTCTGATCTCATCTTCTCCTCTCGGTTCTTCCTCTATGATACTATTTCCTTCCTCCTCTCCATATCCTACTCCTCTCCTCGTTCTTTTTCTCCTACTCGTTTAATCTCTATTTTCTTCCTACTCTCTTCTACTCTCTCATCTCCTCTCGTATCATCTTCTCTTCTCCTTTTATCCTCTCCTTTCCTTTGCGGTTGAACAATCACCATCGTGGAGTAGAGGGGTCTGGTAAAATCAAATGATGAGGACATATCGGTAGAGTTGTGGTGTTGAAGGGTAATTTGTAAGCAGTGGTGAAAAAATAATTTCTAAATTTGAAGTGTCAGTTATTTTGTAATTACTTTATTACAATCTTATAGAACCATTCAACAAGTGATCTATTACCTCATCGAATAATCAAATTGTTCTTTGTAATTAACCAAACAGTGTTCGTGTTTATTATGTATTTGTCATAATTTTGTAAATTATTGTCATATCTTATAAAATACATTTGCAACTTTAATGTTTTAAAGTGGTAGATTTTAGGGAGAAAAGTGCATATTTAAGAGTTTGAAAAAACAATGTGCATAATTAACCTTTAGAAGTTGTTAATTTTAGGGAGAAAAGTGCATAATTAAGCATCACAAGTTGTAAAAAACATAGTTTGGAGTTTGAAGTAGTTAATTTTGGGGGTAAAAGTGCATATTTAAACAAAAGAAAGTGCAAATTTTAATTTTTTTAAAATCTACGTATTTTTTTATTAAAATATGCGTGCGCGTACATTTTAGGTATGCGTGTGTGTTTTTGGGGTGTGCGCGTGTTTTGTGTATGTGCGTGTTTTTAAGACGTGCCAGTTTTGATTAATGTTGTAATCCACTGAAAACCCGAGTATAAAAGGGTGTAGATTTTGAATTTTGTTTCATTATTTCAAAATGAATCAAAATTTGTTTTCCCAAATCCTCCCAGAAGTAGATTTTAATATCTCTTCCAGTGGAATTACCGTCCTAAGTTCCCGACTTACCACTCCAAGATTTATTCCTTATGATCAATCAGGGAGATGTAAGGAGTGTAAGAGTACAGAAGTGGAAATTGACTTTATTGTGACTAAGGAAGGGGTTACGATCTACTGTACACGAATTGGCTCAGGTACCCGATTTATCCCATTCGATACAGTTTATGAGTTGCCCACACATTGCTTTTTCAAAGTCAGGAACAAGGGTAGAGTGTTCAATGTTCCTCATGGAGTACAAGCGCAACAGATAATCCATCAAAATCCCAAGAGAGGGAAAAGGAAAATTGATGAGCTGTCTACTCTTACTCCAACTGCTCCAACTAATAATTTGTCTTCTCCTCATAGCTCCCCTACTCCTCCTCTACATTCCCCTCCTCGAGTTGATACTCCTCGACCTCCTACACCTCCTGATAATGTAGAGTTTGAGAAGGAGCTCCAGGAATTTTATGATAGTTTAATGGCAGCTACGACTGGATTAACTTCATCTCCAAAGAAGATGGAAGAGAAGGTTCAGAAAGAAGAGAAAATAGATGATACAAAAGTTCCTATATAAACTTTAGTTTTTTTTCGTAAATATTATAATTATGGAATTACAATCATTTTCAAATAAAGACTTAAAACTTAAGTTACCTTTTGGTATGATTTTGTCTGGGCCAAGCTCAAGTGGAAAAAGTTCATTCCTATTAAAATTTATTGCAGACTCCCAAGATTTGATTGAACCCAACCCAAAAAGTGTACTGTATTGTTTTGGAGAGATGAACGATAATATCCCTATCCTTCAGAAGTCAGGAGTTAAAGTTTATGCTGGAGTTCCTCCAGAGGATTTAATAAATAAGTTCCAAAAACCATTATTATTAATTCTTGATGATTTATTGTTGTCAATTGATGAAAAATATCTTTCGGAGCTATTTACAAAAAAGTCGCATCACCAAAATTTTGCAATTGTTTTTGTTACACAAAACCTATTTGAAAAAAAGATTAAGGTTGCGCGACAAAATGCCCAATATATTGTTTTAATGAGGTCTCCAAACTCTGCACTCTCCGTGAGAAATATCGGAGTACAACTATTTCCACGTCAGTTAGACTATTTCCTCGATGCGTATAAACAAGCAACAAATGAACCATACGGATATTTGCTCATTGATTTGCATGCATCCTCAGACCCATCTCTAAGACTCAGAACAAACATATTTAAGGACGATGAGGATAAGATAATTTTCATTTCAAAAAATGTTTAGTCAATTAATTTGTGAAAATAAAGAATTTTTACGCTCTTTAGCACATACAAAATCTGAAAGTAGAAGCAGAAAGATTTTACGAAAAGCAGATACTAATCAGTTGTTATCTATAGTTGAAATTTGTTTGAATATTGTAAAATCACGTTTTAACCTTAATACTCGTCAAAAGAAACGTTTGATACCTCATGTAGATTTTATTCGTCAAATAAGCCGTGCTAGGAGTGAGCGAGGAGTAAGAAAAGTTTTAAGGCAAAAAGGAGGAGGATTAGGAGTATTTGCTGCTCTACTCACACCTGTGCTTTTAGAATTAGCTAGAGCGATTAGTATAAAAGACAATAAAAATAATTAAAATCAAACATAAATTTAACAATAATGGCAAAAAAACTAATTCTTGTTCCAGAAGAAATTTATAGAGGACTGACCTCACATAATATTAGTGAACCAAATTTAGAGTTTACAAGGAGAGCGGTTGAGAAGGCTAAAATTAAGAAAGAAAACCTCTCCGCCAAAAATATTCATTACAACCAAGAACTAAGACGCTATCTGAAATTAAGGAATGAGAGTGAAAATAGACCTGTCAGAGTCGAAATGGTAGCTAACCCCAAAGGAGCAATTATGAATAGTGATGTTAACAGACCTGCAACAAATATTACAGACGATAATGATGATTTATGGATGAGCGATGATTTTTCCTATTCTGCGTACCCACAAGAGCCACCTGCCTTATCATATAATATTGTTCCCCCTTTGTCAAATTCTTCAATCGAACAAAGAGCCAACAAAAGGCAACGACAAAATTTATTAAGGGCTGGAATTTCCCCTACTCCTAACCCTAGACAAAAAATAAAGAGAAAACTTGAGGGGGACGATTATGGACAAAATAAAAGACAACATTTGATTAATTATAAAAATGAGGCTCGAAATGAGTATTTGAAAGTTTCTGAAAAGGCTAGAAATAAATTGCAAAAATTAGAAAGGAAAAAATTATTGAAAAATTGGAAAATTCCTTATACTCCTGAATATAATACAAATGTCCCGGTTGATGATGATTTTCCTTCAGATCCTCCCACCCCAATTCTCCCTAATATTCCTGAAGGTATTGATGCTCCCCTTGTATCTGACCATCTTCCTCCTAGACAAATTATAAAAAGGGGACAGACAGCAGAGTTTGAGGGTATAAAGAGATGGAAAAAAGGATATGATACAAATAAAGAAGCAAAATTAAGACGTGAACAGAGAAGAAGGGGATATTTACAAAGAAAAAGTCATATTCGGGAACAAAAGATTCCTATTGATCAAACAGCATTAGTTCAAACTCGTAGACAAGATGATATCCAAAGACGTCAAAAATTAAAAAGAAAATGGGAAGGTCCAGACGAAAGTCCTCTAATCGCATTGAAAAGAGTGAAACCTGTTACAAAAATACAATCAGCAAAAGCCGGTAGAGAATGGATGTTAAGACTTATAAAAGCTAAACGTAAAGAAGCTGGTATAAAAAGATTTAAACCCACACTTTGGTAAATGGCGGATCCTACAAAACTTTTGAACCACCTTTATAATGATGCAGATTCGCCTGCAGCTTTTTCAGGAGTTGATCGACTTTGGTATGAAGCAAGAAAAGTTATCAAAAATTTACCTAGAAATATTGTTCAGAATTATTTGGAGGGGCATAGGACTTATACGCTTATGCGTCCTAAAAGAGTTAATTTTAAAAGATCAAAAACTATAGCGGCAGGTTTTATGACAGATGTGCAAGTAGACTTGGCAGATATGCAGGCTCTCTCCAGGCATAACAAGGGAAATAGATATATTCTTTTAGGGGTTGATGTACTTTCTAAGCGTCTCTTTGGCGTTCCTGTTAAATCAAAAGGCTCAAAAGATATGTTAGATGCATTCAAAAAGTTAATTAGTCAAATGCCCATGAAACCTCATAGGATTTTCTCAGATAAAGGGTTAGAATTTAAAAACAAAGTTGTAAAGGAATATTTTGAAAATGAGGAGATTCAAAAGAATGAGGCTACTCATTCGACTGTTAAAGCTTCTGTGGCCGAAAGGGCTATAAGAAATGTGAAGCAAAGGCTCTATAGATATTTTGCACAAAACAAATCTTTAAATTGGATTGATATACTTGATAAAATATTAGATGGGATTAATAAGTCAAAGAGCAGGGTGCATGGGATGCGTCCTATGGATATAAATTTTTCTAATGCACAAGCGGTGTGGGATCGAATGTATGCAGATGAATTTTCATCAAAGGAGAAGAAAAGTAAAGCAAAGCTAAAGGAAGGAGATTTTGTTCGTACTAGCATGAAAAAAGGATCCTTTGAAAAAGGTTATATTCCAAATTGGGGAGACCAAATTTTACGAGTAGATAAGGTTCAAGATCAATTTTATCCCGTCAGATATAAGATTATTAATGATAACGGAGACAAGTTTAAGGGGTATTACTATGGAGAGGAGCTAGCTCGTGTCAAAAAGGATGCCGATACAGAATATAGGATAGAGAAAGTCATAAGAAAGAAAAAGAGAGCAGATGGAACATATGATATTCTTGTAAAGTTTGTAGGGTATCCCGAAAGGGAGTGGATTCATGAAACCCAACTAGTATAAAAGGGTTCATTTCATTGTATTTCTTTCATTTTGATAAAAATGTCGAATAGTTTTTATGTTTGTTTATTGAGTAATGTTTCAGATTATCCACAAAATCAGCCGAATAAATTTCGTGTTCACTTACCCAAACCCCTTTATTTTACTGGTGACTGGGTTTGTGGTGTCCATAGTATAAGCTATCCATATTCCTGGCCTTCTACTATTGGGACTCTTGACGATCAATGGATAGATATAAATTTTACAGATAATAATAAAATGGGGCAAGTCATAAGAATTCCTGTTCCAAAAGGCTCCCACAATACACCAGAGGAGCTTCTTCAGTTTTTGATTGCTACTTTAGAACACCAAGGTGCAGCTTTAAAAACTTCGCCTCTTGAAAAATCAGATGGGTTAGTGAAGAAACCAAGCATACTAACAAGAGATAAACGTGAGATTGACCCTAAAACTCCTCCTAGAATTGAAAAAGATATAGAATTACCTGTAACTCCGCCATTAACTAGCCCAACGACTGAGACAATAGAGGAATCTATATATCCGGTAACACCTCCTTTATCAAGTCCAATATCAGATAACGAGACACGCCAATTAATATCGAATACGCCTTCTAATATTAATCAAGAACAAACACCTCCTAAAAAGGACCCAGAGATAATAATCAAACCCGATCTCATAAAATCTTTAACACCTCCAAGAGTCGAATCCCAAACAAACCAAACGGAAAATAAAATACAAACAATAATTAGCCCGCCTCCCAGTGAGTCAACATCTTTGAGACTAGAAGATAGATCAATACCTGTAATAAATTCAACTTTATCTCCGTCTCCTCCTCGTGCCCCAAAGATAGATCCTGTTAATCCAAATCAAACTTACAAAACAATTTCATCTCCAAAAAAACAACCTGAGCCTCAAAAGACAATAACACCTCCAAGAGTTAATCAAGACAAAGAAAAATCATATACAATAATACCTGTAATTCCTTCAATAGAAAACCAGGAAATAGAAAAACCATTAATTAAAAAACCAGTAAGCACTCAAATAGCCGATCATGAATCAGAAAAACAATTAGTTACCAAACCTGTAACACCTCCAAGGGTCCATAAAGAACTAGAAAAACCATTAGTTACAAAACCTGTAACACCTCCAAGACTCCATAAAGAACTAGAAAAACCATTAGTTACAAAACCTGTAACACCTCCAAGACTCCATAAAGAACTAGAAAAACCTTTGCCTACAAAATCAATAACACCTCCAAGAACATATTTAACACATCCTATATCTGCACCACAAACTTTACCTCCTCGAACACAGAAACGTCCGCAAAGTCCCTTAAAAAATCAAACTCCTCCAGCAAAACAACCTTCAAATCAAACAAATGCAAATATTTCGCAATCCACTCAAACATCACCTCCATCATCCCCTAGTGTTTTAGATGCTATGGGATTAAAATCAGACAAAAATATTTCAAGAGGAGATAAACTGTTTGAAGTATTATTTGGAAAGGAAAATAAAACACCGTATGATACTACCTTTTTAAAACAAATTATTGATTCAATTAATTTATCTTATCATACAGATTTTAAACGATTTAAACTTGTATTTTCTCATATGAGTATCAAATATCTGTCATTTTCACCTCAATTGGGATATGTTCTTGGTTTTGCAAACCCTCAACATGTCCAAAATAATGAGATTGCCAAGTATGGGTGTGATTTAAGAGGAGGGTTTTCTAGCTTTGCAATCTACGCAAAGGGACTTACTGAAAATATGATTGTTGGAAATTCTCTCAGCTCCTTACTCCGAATCGCTTCTCCTTTCCTCCTCTATCCTACTCCTCTCATCTTCTCCTCTCTGATACTACTCCTCTCCTCATTCTCCTTCTTTCTCCTCCCAATCTTATCTTCTCTATTTTTTCCTCCTCCTCCTCCTTCCTACTCCTCCCATCTGCTCTGATCTCATCTTCTCCTTTTCTTTCTTCCTCCTCTTCTTTCACATCCTTCTAATCTCTATTCGTCCTCCTCTCCCCTTTTCTCCTACTCTTCCCCCTTTCATCTTCACTATTTCTTCCTCCTCTTCCTCTCATCTACCCAGCTATTTATTCCTCCTGCTCTCTTCCACTCCCCATATCTTCTCCTCTCTTTTTCCTCCTCCTCTCTGCTACTCCTCTCATCATCTCCTCTCCTCTTATGTAAACAATTAACTTAAGTTATGAGGACTTGTGAGATAAAATTAAAAGGAAGAGACATATTTTGGCTATGAAGGTTTGTTTGAGGACAAATTTGTAAATTCTGTATGGATTTACGAGTGACACAATCACTATGTTTTTTTGTATTTAATACATTGTTATTGCATATTTGCAATAATTTTTATCGTTTTTTATAAAAAACATGTGCAATATTAATGTTTTAAAGTGGTAGATTTTAGGGAGAAAAGTGCATATTTAAGAGTTTGAAAAAACAATGTGCATAATTAACCTTTAGTAGTTATTGATTTTAGGGAGAAAAGTGCATAATGGGACTTTCGATCTAATAAAGAATGGGTCGACAGCTGTGAATATTAAATTTAGTCAACCTATTCCAGAGGGAGGAGTCATGCTCATAGTTATGGGAGAAACAGATGCCCTTATAATGTTGGATAAAAATCGATCTATAACGAGCGATACCACTATATAAACCTCAAAAATTGTTCATTTTTATTTCATACTTAATAAAAAATGTTTTTTAAAAGACTTGCCAAAGTTTTATTCTTAATTCGAGTTTTTACTCCTTGTGTAAATACTCTAAGTACTGATGGAAGTGTAGATGTCCAAAATCTTCCAGAATACCGAGAATATTTACGTAGAATGGGATATCCCCCAAAGAGGAACAATACTGCTACAAGTATACCTCCTCCTATCATTTCTGCTCCTCAACCTTTTGGTAGTCTTCCTCCAATTCAATTATGTAAGGAGACTCCTGGAGATATTTATGGGCACATATTTTGCTGGGGGATGATTTGTTTGTATGCACTACTTATTATAAGCCTAATAATTTATCAACTTCGATCAATACTTTGGGTTAAATTAAATATTTTACAAAACAATGTACAGCAGCCAGATAACTCAAATTTTGAGAGCAAATCAAAAGACGAGCAAAATTTTCGAGGGGTGCTTCCCTTGTGACTTGCTACCTTCTCCTAATATTTTGAAATGGCCTACAGCTCTTATTGTCAATTTAGATTCTCATGATATGGAAGGGTCGCACTGGATTACACTTTATTTAGAAAAAGACCGAATATTTTATTTCGATAGTCTTGCATTACCTATAAGCTCATGTATTGTTAAATCATTTTTAAAAAATTTTAAAAATGTAAAAAGAAATTTTAACCCTTACCAATCACCCCTATCAAAAACTTGTGCTCACCACTGTATTTCCCTAATATATTTTTTATCCCAAGGCTACTCCTTACCCAAATATTTGAATTTATTAGAGTCAATTAGTAATACAGATTTATTTGTAACTAAAATTGTAAACAATATGATAAATAATTAATTATTATGAATTTCTAGATAACTTTTTGTAATTTTAAAACAATCAGGACAAAGATATAATTCGTACTTGAAATTATGTTCGTATTTGGGTACTATAATTTCGCACTGCAAACGACTCAAAACAAACTTTAGACAATCATGGCACCACTTTCCAGCTCTGAAGTAGTTTATGAGTACACTCAGTCGTGCTCCCATGTCAAGCTGAACGCCATCCTTGATAGCCTCGCTCAAAGCGTTCATATATTTCCTCTTATTAAATTGCCTATATTCGCACGATCCGTGCATAAACTTAATAAATTCTTCTTCTGGCGAGGAGCTCATTTTCTTTGAGAAATTTTTAAAATGATTTAGTAAAATGAGCGGAAATCAAAAATTCAATTCCTTGCACAAATTTGACCTAAATATCAAAATGTAAACTTTCAAAATATCAAAAAACGGGAGTATATAAGAAAAGAAATTCTTGGAAAAATTCATTCAAAAAAATGAATTCTCATTCCTCATCCAATAAAGTTCTTGATGAGTGCACTAGAATTTTGGGGTGCTCTGCAAAATCCTTAAGAGACCACCTCAACCATCCTGATAACCGTGTGCTTATCTTTAAGGAAATACTCGGTCGAAAAGTCCAAACGACCTATGAAGATCAAAATGGCTTTAAGAAAACTTTTCTTATCGATGGCCTAACTCGACATGGAGGGAATTCTCTCGTCGCTTATGGGAGATTACCTTTTCCATACAATGTGAGCGTTGCTGCTCACTACTATGCTCGACACCGGATTCGTTTACGTTATCCCTACTTGCAATGTGTCGTAGAGCGATTCCCATTTGGAGGAGAGGACCGATATTACCCAATGGAGTTGCTCGAGTTTGTTCCAGAACAAGAGGATCGAATAGCAGGCAAATGGATGAATCAGCTTTCCAATGATTTATCAAACAAACTAAAAATATCTGAAGAACCAAAGAGTCCAGTGACTATTTTGAAGAAAGATCAAGACAATAATTTTGAACTTTGGTAATAATCTGTAATCAATTTATTTTTGAATAAAAATTTTTAAAAACTTTAAAATTTGTATCAAAAACACAAGCGACTCCTAAAAATACGCGCGCATGCCAAAGACACGCACGCATACCTAAGATTCATAAATAAGAATAAAAAAATAAAAATTGCATATTCTTCATCAATATATGCTCTTTTACCCCTAATATCAATCATTTCATTCTGTAAACTTTGCTTTTCTTAATTAATTTTTTCTAAATTATGCACTTTTCTCCCTAAAATCTTCTATTTAAAACTCAAAATTATTCTAATTAGTTTTCTCAAGCTCCTAAAAGTGCACTTTTCCCCCTAAAATCTTCTAGTTTTGACATAAAAAAATGCACAGCTTTTTATAAAAAATTTATTTCAAGTGAAACTTAAAACAATAAAAATTGTAATAATAAATTTGAGAAAAAAATGTGAGGGAGGAGACAATTTTTGAAGAGTTTTTTCAATAAGGTTTTCCTAACGCAAATTCTTCTTATCTACAATCATAACATTAAGTGAAAAGGGTCTCCCCCAAAGAGTTACTCCTGAACTTTTTTTACTCTGTGATACTTTATAGAACTGGTTTAACATAGTATTAAATGTATTTTCAGTTATAGGTCGAAGTGGTATCCAGATATCCGTATGGAGCAACTCACTAGTTAGAGTACATCCCAGCATTTCTGGTTTAACTCCTTTAGCCCGCGCATTTGATATTGCATTATCGAAACAATGTTGAAAAATACCACCAAGAAGAGTTTCCGGGTCGGCTGGAATATTCTTTATCAAATATTTTGAATAGCTTTTGACAATCTTAAATTTTTCAATGTATTGAATATTATCCTCAAGTTTTTTAACATATTCTTCTGGAGCTCCTTCTCCTGTTTGATCTCTAGAAAGGAGATTATCAATAGAAAACGATCGCACGACTCTTGTAGGAAGATTAGACATTATTCAATAAAGCAAAATAATCAATAAAAATTTAAAAAAAGTAAATAAATGTGTTAGAAAAAATCTCCAACTTTTTATTCTCAGAGTTTTCACTGGATTACAACATTAATCAAAACTGACACGTCTTAAAAACACGCACATACACAAAACACGCGCACACCCCAAAAACACACACGCATACCTAAAATGTACGCGCACGCATATTTTAATAAAAAAATACGTAGATTTTAAAAAAATTAAAATTTGCACTTTCTTTTGTTTAAATATGCACTTTTACCCCCAAAATTAACTACTTCAAACTCCAAACTATGTTTTTTACAACTTGTGATGCTTAATTATGCACTTTTCTCCCTAAAATTAACAACTTCTAAAGGTTAATTATGCACATTGTTTTTTCAAACTCTTAAATATGCACTTTTCTCCCTAAAATCTACCACTTTAAAACATTAAAGTTGCAAATGTATTTTATAAGATATGACAATAATTTACAAAATTATGACAAATACATAATAAACACGAACACTGTTTGGTTAATTACAAAGAACAATTTGATTATTCGATGAGGTAATAGATCACTTGTTGAATGGTTCTATAAGATTGTAATAAAGTAATTACAAAATAACTGACACTTCAAATTTAGAAATTATTTTTTCACCACTGCTTACAAATTACCCTTCAACACCACAACTCTACCGATATGTCCTCATCATTTGATTTTACCAGACCCCTCTACTCCACGATGGTGATTGTTCAACCGCAAAGGAAAGGAGAGGATAAAAGGAGAAGAGAAGATGATACGAGAGGAGATGAGAGAGTAGAAGAGAGTAGGAAGAAAATAGAGATTAAACGAGTAGGAGAAAAAGAACGAGGAGAGGAGTAGGATATGGAGAGGAGGAAGGAAATAGTATCATAGAGGAAGAACCGAGAGGAGAAGATGAGATCAGAGCAGATGGGAGGAGTAGGAGGGAGGAGGAGGAGGAAAAAATAGAGAAGATAAGATTGGGAGGAGAAAGAAGGAGAATGAGGAGAGAAGGAGTAGTATCAGAGAGGAGAAGATGAGAGGAGTAGGATAGAGGAGGAAAGGAGAAGTCATGATCAGAGAAGATATGAGGAATATGAGGGAGGAGGAGGAGGAGGAGGAGGAAGAAGAAAATAGCGGAGAAGATAAAATGGGGAGGAGAAAGAATGAGGAGAGGAGGAGTAGTATCAGAGAGGAGGGATGAGAGGGGTAGGATATGGAGAGGAAAAGCTCGTTATCACCGACCTGTCAAAGTGATTTGACTTCAAGTCAAAACAAATGAAAAGGATTTGTCTTAAAAGTCAAAAAGTCGGCCACGACGACGACGATGATTCACAAATTACCCCTTAAACCACTTTCTCTACCCTCTCATCACTATTTGATTACAAGACTATTTTATCCATTTCAGTTATTGCCACCCTAGACGACGATGTCCACATTCAAAAGGGGTTCTCTTCCTTCTTCCTTTTGGTTTTCCTCTCATAATTAAATATTTCCTATTGTCTGACCCATCATCCCCAAATATTGCCATTCACTTTTCTTTTATCGTATCTCTCCGCAAGAATTTTCCTCTCCATTTTGATTTTTCCCACAAATAAATGCACATACTCTATCGTTTGTCTGACCTCTCCACCACAAATCTTGGCCTCCCTTCCCACTCCACCCCAAGACTCTGCCAAGTTGTCCACTCCCTTTAGGTTTTTGCCGCGCGATCCCCCAACATGCTCTCTTCCTTTTGGTTTTACCAGACCCCCACCACCCCACGACGTTTTTTTTCCAGAGAAGAGAAAAGGGAGAGAGAAGAGGTAGGGAAGGAGAGGGAGGAGGAGTACGACGCCCGCGACATCAATTTTTCCCTCTCCTCCTATAGGTACAGGTTGGTCAGCTTTTACCGCACTAACTCGCGCTAAAGGTTTGAGCTTTGACCAGCCAGCCGCTCAAAAGGATTTGGCCTTAAGTCAAAACTAATCAAAAGGATTTGGCTTAAAAGTCAAAAAGTCACCCGCGACATGCCCTCTCCCTTTAGGTTTTTACCAGCCCCCGCCACCACACGACAGTGAGATCAAAAGGATTAGGTTAGTGACAGCCGCGACATCCCCCTACCTATGACTACTCTTGTGTCCTCATATTTTGACAAGAAGGCGTAAAACCCACCCGACAAATTAGTCAAAAGGCAGTGTTTGCAAAATGTCCATTTCTGACCTTAGTGGCGAAATGTCCATTTTTGATTTATTGGCAAAATGTCCATTTTTGGCCTTATTGGCAAAATGTCCATTTTTGGCCTTATTGGCAAAATGTGTTCCTTCATGTTTTTCTAAATTTGTTTGATTTTTGTTAGATTTGTTGTTTAATTTAATAAAGTTATGAGTTCCTCTTCGTGTCAACAACAACACCAATATCCTCAAAATGAGCAAGAACAAACAACAAGTTTTAATATACCTTCAATTCCACCTACAAATCAAGCGGAAGAAGAAGCAAATAATGGTCATTCTATAGCTTGTTTGGCTATTTTAAAAAGAATTTCTGATGTATTTATTGTTTGTCTAATATGTTTTGTTGGAATACTTTATGTAAGGATTTTAAAGAATTTTTAAAAAAAAATTTTTTTCACACAGCCTTGTCTACTTAATTTGCCATATTTTCTCTTCTTCTTAACAATTTTAACGTGGCTAGCAATTTATACTCCTTTAAGAAGGCGAAAATTTAATTTTGTCAAAAATGGTATTCTTGGCTATATAATTGTTCACTTTTTGGTTTTAATTGCATATCAATTTGTATTTTTTCAACAATTTGTGGAGCCGACGTCTTTTATTGCAAGGTTTAAGATTTTTGTGTTTGATGGATATAAGTCGATTTGTATGTGGTTTCGGCTTTTATTTTAGTAAACAAATTAATTTTTTAATTAACAAGTCTCAGTGACCGAATGGTTAGCGTTTTGGGTTGGTAGGGCGAAGGGTTGTAGGTTCGATACCCTGTTGGGGTTGCGGGTCTTTTCCAACCATTTTTTGACTTTTTAATTTACCTAAAGGTTCTAATCTATTTTACAAAATATTTTTTAGACTTTTTGGCCTACCCGTCTTAATAAAATATACCGGTTTGCATTGGTGGGATTTTCAATTAAACGAAAATGTTGGAATTGTGCCTTTTCTAAATTTTGTTTCTTTGCCTATTCTTTACTTAATCCTTTCTATACAATTGAGGTTTATTTAAAAAAATTTTCTTTTCCTTTTTTGCTAATTAAAAAATAATTTTTTTAGTTGGACAAAAGATGGAACCAAATCAAGAAGTTTAACAACAACAGATCATTCAAGTAGAGGACAGGGAGATGGAGATGATGAGTCGTTACATGATGAGGTTTTTTAAGAATATTTTTTTTAGTTGATTTTTTATGTTTTTCAGTTACTTCTAAACACGGCTGGGAATGATTCTGTTGATATTATTGCTTTACAAAGAATTACGTCGCATGTTATGGATCGTGAAAAAATTAAGAAATTGATTAAATGTATATTTTTTAATTTATAAAAACCTGGATTTTTGATTTTGGGTGAGGACCAAAATTTTTCGGTCAAAAAAACTAAAAAAAATTTTTTTTGACTTTTTTTTTGAATTTGAGTCAATGAAAAATCAAAGAACTCGGAAAATACCTTGGTCTTGACTTTGGATCCAGATCCAAACCATGTTCTGGATCCAGATCCGGGCGATTACTAAAAATTTATTAAAATGATTTTTGAACGGAAAAATTAAGAAAATGAATATTTTTCTAATTTATATTTCCTTTATTTAGCTAGGCGTAAAACAATTTCTGGTGCAGCAGCAGCAACCTTATTTTTAACATTACAAGAGATTACCTATTTATTTTTGTATCATTGTTATGTTTTTGCTTTAGTTTCAATGCTTGTAAGGAATTTTTTATTAATTTTAATTAAAAATTTTTTTATAGGTTTGGGCACTTCTGTATCACTCAATTATTGGCCTTATATTTTTAATTTTGGCATGTTTTCTTTGGGCACTTGTAGATTCTCGTAGATGGTCTTTTCGATTATCTCCGCTCATTCTTGCATATGTTGAGGTTTTTTAAAAAATTTTTATTGAATTTTTTCAAATTTTTGTTTATTAATTTCTGACCATTTTGGGCTTTTTTCTTGTCTTTTTAAGAAAATTTTTTAAAAAATTTTTTAAAAATTATTTTTTAAAGTTACTTCTAATAGCTCAATACATTTACAATATGGATTTAGCAAAAGAATTAAAAAATGATGATTTACTTGAAATTATTGGATTTAAATATGAAGAGAATAAAACTAGAGCTTTTGTTACTATTGTAATCAAGGTTAGTTGAAATTTTTATAATGTTTTTTTTACCGGAAAATTACTCAAAATTATGGTAAATTATTTAGGAAAGGATGGTGAATTATTTGGTAAAAAATTTCTTCATTGAATTATTCAATTTTTAATTTTGACCATTTTGAGTCTTTTTTTAGTTATTTTTTCAAGTAGGGTTGAAAAATATTTTTTACTATTTTTCCAAAAATTGACTTGATTTTAATCTGAAAGGATTGTAAATTATTTTTTAAAAATTTGTCACTAAATTATTTTTTGACCATTTTGAGCCTTTTTTAGTCTATTTTTCTAGCAGGTAGAAAGATAATTTTTTACCGTTTTTCTCTTATTTTTTTATTTTAACATTAAAAACACCTATTTATTTTTTAAGTTTAAAAAATATATTTTTCATTGTACTTTTGTTTTTTTTAAATTTCCGCACTTTATTTTTTATTATTGTCATGGGACTTTTAGTGTATATTTTATTTTTTTTTTAATTTTTTTGAAACGGTTTAGTCTATTCAATGATTCATTTTTTCGCTTTTTTTTATCTTTGCTAGTATAATACGCGCCTATCACCTCCCAATCACCTTTTTTTTAAATAAAATATTGACTAAAAGGTAAATAAAGCAATAAAAAAAGTAATATTGAGGGATTGAAATAAGGGGGAAAAAAGGGAAGAAAAGATTAATTAAAAATAATTTTCAATGAAGAAATTTTTTTTCTTCAATTTTTTAAATTTTTTTTTTGGTAAATTTTATTTTTATTTTATTAGTTTATTTTTAATTTTTTTTCAAACATTTTTTTGGCTTGAGAAATATATAAATCGAAAAGTCCGCAAATTTTTGTCCGCAAAAATTTTTTTGACTATTCAATTTTTTTGGTGTATTTGTTTATTTTTTTGGCTTTTTTTAAAAATTTTTTCTTGTCTGAAAAGTTAAAGTTGATAGGTATAGGTTTCTTAAATTTTTTTGCTTTTACATTTTTTTTAAATTTGCGGACATAAACTTGCGGACTTTTTCATAAAAATTTTTCTTTTTCTTTTCAGCTTCTTTTAAGCCTGCCATTTTTTGCTCTTTCTCGATTAAATCTACGTGAAATAAAATATAATTCTTTGAGTACTCAAGATCGCTTAAAACATCTCAAAAATTATGGAACTTTTGATGAAAGTAATATCGATGGAAGAGGAAAATTGGTTGGCGTTGAGGAAAGAAAAGAGGTTAGTTAGTTTTTAAAGGGGAATGGTGGTTGGTATTGTAGGTAAAAAATTCTTTGGGGGTGTTATTGTAGGTAAATAGATGGGTTTTTGTTGGAAAGGGGAATAGGTGGATGAGTTGTGAGTGAAGTGATCGAGTTGGGATATAATGTCACTCCTATTTTTAATTTTATTTAAAATTGTTTACTCTTCTTTAACATTTAAGTTCAAGTTGCTTTTGGTGTGCGAGAGAGTTTTTTTTTAATCTAATTAATGGCTGGTCCTAAAAAATTTTTTTTTGAGAGGGAGGTAGGCGGATGTAAAGGAGTTGGGATAAAATGTTATCCTCTTTCCTTTATTTTTTAAAAACATTTCGAGAATTTTAAGTTTGTTTTGGATATAAGAAGGTTCAAAATTATTATGTATTGGAGGGGAAGGGGATTAAAAAATCGAATCTTTCGTTTTTTGTGGAAAGGGGAGGGGGAGGGGGATGTGAAGGACGTGGGATACAATATCATCCTTTTTTATTTTTTAAAACAATTTAAGAATAATTCTAAAATTATTTTTTATTCTTGTTTTTGATATGAGGAGATTCAAAATTATTTTTTGAGGTTATTATAGGGGTTGCCAAAATTTCCAAGTCGAGAACCGAAAGGTCCAAGTCAAGCCTGCGATATTTTGGTCCGAAAAGACTGCCCGATTCGATAAAATCCGACTCGATAAAAACAAGCCTGAAAAATGCCTCGACCGTCGGCTAGACTCAAAAACAGCAACCCTAGTTATTATCCACCAAAAAAAATTTTTTTTAATTTTTTTCGTTTTTTAGGTAAAAGAGGGCAGGGGGGTGGTGTGGGATATAATGTCTCCTCCCTTCCATTTATTTTTAAAATTTTATTTAAAAAATATATATATTTTTTTTTTCAGATTCATTTTGTATTTATATCCAAAGCTTTAACTAAATATTGGATTTTTCTGGTTGTAATTTGCCTTTTATTCAACACTCCTTTAGCTTCCAGCAACAATTTATTTTCTATTGGATTTTTTATTTTCTTTGTTTTTCTTTTGCTTATATTTCAGGTTTTTTTTTAAATATAATTTTTAAAAAATTAAAAAAAAATTTTTTTGGGAACAATTTTTTGATTTTGGAACATTTGGGGATATTTTTTGGTATTTTTGGAAATTTTTTATTATTTGTAGTATAGATTCTGAATTTTTCCCTTTCCCCTTGTGATTTTTGTATTTTTTTTATGGGAGAGTTTTTTGACTGAAAAAAAATTTTTTTTGACATTGAAAATGATTATTCATTTTGTGTTTCTTTCTATTGTTGAGAGAAATAGAGAATTAGATGAAAAAAATTTTTTTTTTGAAAATAATATTAGGTGGGATATAGTGTCATCCTTTGTACTTTTTTTTTGCAATTTTGATGAAACATGATTGTTGATTCTTCCATTTATTTTTTTTTGTAAAAGGATTTTTTAGATATTTTTTTGGGTGAAAAAATTTTTTTGAGATTTTTTCGACCAGAATTTTCTTTTGCAATAAATATTAAGAATTTTATCAGAAAATATATGTTCTGTTTAGAAACCCACGAAAAAATTTTGGGTTTTTTCAGAATAAAATCAGAATTGTTTTTTCAATAAATAATAGCAGAATTTTATTTTGGAATAAATCAGATAAGTGTATGTTTAAAAAATCTGTAGAAATTCTGGTCTTTTTTCAGAACAAAATCAGAAAATTTTTTTTGAAAATTCTGAAAAAAAGTTCTGAAAAAAATCAGAATTTTCTGAAAAATTCTGAAAAAAAAGTTCTGATAAAATCAGAATTTCTGAAAAATTCTGAAAATAAATCAGAATTTCTGAAAAAATTCTGAAAAAAAGTTCTGAAAAAATCAGAATTTCTAAAATAATTCTGAAAAAAATCAGAATTTCTGAAAAATTTTTCAAAAATAATAATTTATTTTATTTTTTAAAGATTTCGTTTCGCTTCTTCCGCAACACAATATTTGCTTTTTTAACATTATTAATAATTTATTCTTCCCTTGTGCTCATTTCAATTTATTGTTATCAATTTCCAAGTGTTCCTGAATTTTTGAATAAATTAACTGGATTAAATTTAAAATTGGCTGAAGAAATTGGGTTACAAAAATATGAGGGAGAAGATTTTGGGTAAGTTTGTGGCTATTTTGAATTAATTTTTAAAAAAATCAGAATTCTGGTTTTGTAAAATCAGAATTTATTTCAATAATTATCAGAATTTCTGATTTGAAAAGTCAGAATTTTCGTTCTGAAAAATCAGAATTTTCTGAAAAAAATTATCAGAATTCTGTTTTTATTTCAGAATTTTTAATAAAAAAAATTCTGAATTTATTTCAGAATTAGTTTAAAAAATCAGAATTTAAAAAACCAGAATTTTGCTTTGAAGAATCAGAATTTATTATAGAATTTTTAAAAATATCAGAATTTTTTGTTTTAAAAATCAGAATTTATGTTATGAACTTTTCAGAATTTTGGAAATATCAGAAATTCTGTTCTGGTAAAATCAGAATTCTTTCAAAAAATCTGATTTCTTTTCAGAAAGCATTATAATTTAGTTTTAAAAATCAGAAGAAATTCTGATTTTTTTATAAATAAATCAGAATTCTATTTTCACAAATTTTCAGAGTTTTATTCTTTCGTTTAATCAAATTAATTTCATTAATTATCGTTACAATGTTACAACTAAAATTTTTTCATCATGCATGGTCTAAACTTGTAAGAACTCCAAGTGATATTTCACAAGCAGATATTGAAATTATTGCTTGTAGTAGAGAATGATTGTATGAAAATTTAATTTTTACTTAAAAAATTTTTTTTCTTTGGGTATGGATTGAAAAATTTTCAGAATTTCTTTTTTGGAAAAATCAGAATTATACTTAGAAATATATCAGAAATTATCAGAAAATGTTTTTTGAATTTTATCTAAGTTTGAAAAAAAGAATTAAAATCCCAGTGATACTTTACAAGCAGATTTTTATTACTTGAATTCAGATTTATTTTCAATGAAAAAAAAATCAGAATTTTGGCGGTTTTTTAGTCAACAAATAAATTATTTCTTAAAAAATAAAAAAAAATTTGTTTTAAAATCAATCCATATATATTTTATGAAATTATTTGATAATTGTATTTATTTATTATGTAAATTTTTTTTTCAGCTACTTTTCTGTGCTGTATAAAATTAAAAAAAAATCTTTTTAACTCGAAAAAAAATTTTTTATTGCGCGATTCTATTTTCGCTTTTATATATTTTAATTAATTTTTTTTACAGATTTTTTTCAGCTTTTTTTAGAAAATTTTAAAAATTTTAAAAATGACACCATCAACAGCAACAACTACAAACAATTTTCTCAATAATTTAAAAGATTTTTGTTGGAGATTTTTGGAATTATATTTATTTAAATTTACATTATTTGTGCTTTTATTTATTTGTGTGGAACATTATTGCCTACTAAATTTATTTTGTATAATATTTATTTCAATTGCTCTGTCTTCCTCAACTTTTTGTGTTTCAAAAAGTGTTACGTTTGCACTATGTGCATATATGGCTATATTGTTTGTTGTTAGAAGTGTTTATCAGGTTTGGAAGAATTTTTTTTAAAATCAGAAAATTCTGGTTTTTTAATTAGAAGTGTGCTGGAGTTCAATAGTTTACATTTTGTTTGAAACCCCAGAATTTTTTATGAGAATTTCAGTTCTGAAATTTTAAGAATTTTTAAAATATCAGAATTCAGTCATTTATTGAAGAATTTCTGGTTTCATAATTCTGATTTTCAGAATTTTTACGATTCTGATTTATTTCTGAATTTTCTGATTTTTTAATTCTGATTTTAAAAGAAAAACCAGAATTTTTCATTTTTTTCAGAATTTTTTTAAATTTTGATTTTTGGTCAGCATTTTCGATTTTTTTTTCTATTATAGTTCTTATCTTTCCTGACCTAAATTCTTGGCCAAAATTCTATGAAAACCAGAACTTCTGGTTTAAATACTCAACAGAAATGACAGAAATTCTGAAACTTTTAATCAGAATTTTCGTTTCACTTTCTAATATTTATTTTTATTTTTCCAGTTTGATTTTATTCCTTCTATAGAAGATTTTCACTGGCCTTGGAATAAAATGTGTAACAGAAATGATACAATTCCATTATTTAATACAACTTCGAAATGGGTAGGGCTAGAAAAACAAAATGATGAATGGGTGGTTAGCGATTATATTGTGAGTTTTTAATTTTCTGAAATTCTGTCCGCAAGTTTTTTGCGGACAAAAAATTTTGTCCGCAAAAAACTTGCGGACACAGATCTTTGTCCGCAAGTTTTTTTTGCGGACAAACATTTTGTCCGCAAATTTTTATTTTTTTATTTTCCCAAATATTTTTTTTACAAATTAAGGGTTATACATTAATTCTCATCCTTATTGGACTTCAATTTTGTATTAAATATCGTCAACATTTAAATAGAAAATTGCGGAGTTTGGCAGAACCTCCTCCTGGAATTCTTTTTCCAAATGCTCAACCTGCTGATTTTGATAAAAGTTTAACTGATTGTACAAAATTTTTGTTAAATTATGGATTTTATAAATTTGGAATGGAGGTTTGTTTTTTATTTTTTGCTGCTTTGTCCGCAAAAGATTTGCGGACGAAAAATTTTTGTCCGCAAAAATTTTTGCGGACAGAACTTAAAATTTTTTTTCAAGATTTCTCTTGCATCTTTGGGTTTTGCTGCCTGGATGAGAATGGATTTACTTGGTGCTTTACTTGTTTTATGGTTGCTTGTTTTAATTTCAATTCCTCGAAATGCTCGAAAACGTCTTTGGCCTTTTTTAGTTTTTTATTTGGCTTTTGTTCTTCCTTTGCAATATTTTAGTGCTCTTGGTTTACCTTCAAATTTGTGTATAGGTTTGTTTTTTCTTTGAAGCAGCTTATTTTTTAGGATAGATATTTTTAGGAAATTTGGGTGTGGATTAGTTTTCGAATCCATTGACTTGGGTCAGATCCACGCCTATAGATTACATACATGAGATAACCCAGGATGCTCAAAAAATGTTAGTGCACATAATCGATATCGAAGAAGGTTGTTACTACTTTTCGAATCCACTGACGTTGGTCAGATCCTGGGCCCGCTGTCCGTGAGAGAAACCCAAGAAATCAAAGTGCTTGTTCAATCCTGTGTTCTCCATTCATGGATTCTCCACGAGAAAACTCAAAAAATAATGCTTGGGTCAAAGTTCAGAAAGAACCTCACGACTTTACACTTACCAGACACAATTTTTCTCTACAAATTAATCCATCCTTTGTTACCTCTTTTCTAAAAAATTTTTCTTCAGATTATCCATGGGATTATTGGCAACCCCTCTTCAACATTTTTCATTCAATTGGTAAAAGCTGGCAACTTTTGAATAACAACTTGTCCTTATTTTTGTGTCTACCAAATTATCGAATGTCTCCAGACCGCTTCTCTGATAACCTCAAAATTGATTTTATTCTGTTAGCAATTGTGTCAGCACAAAATAGAATGTTTAAACAAGAAAGTGAAGACCATCCTGCTGGGTCTAATGATTCTATTTATGTTTGTAATAAATACCAATTGTTAAAAGAAAATCCTCATTATGATTTTGTTATTGAACAGAGGTTTTTTTTGTTAATTTTTTAAAGTTTATTAGGATTATAAGGGGTTTTAATATTGTTTAAACAATTTCTTCCACCTTTTTCCTTTCACTCCACGTCCTCCGCGTTCTTTCTCATGGCAACTCCATCCAACAACTCCTTCAAATCTCTTCTCTCTTCTTCCCCTTTCCTCTTGGGCCGTTGTCTTTGAGAGAAACCCAAGTTCCTCCTCACACCAACTCTCCAACCTTCCTCCGTTCGTTCCTTCACCTCCAAATTCCTCCCTTTTTCCATAACAGGGGTGTGCCAGTTTTACCTTTCGCGACTTTTCGCTTTTTCCCTTTTTAAAAATCTTCTTGACATACCCTTGTTTCAATAAGAACTCCACCTCCTCCCTTTTCTCACCTCCGCCACGATGACCGACTGATTTTGGGGTGTTAGGATTAAATGTAATCCAATTTTATTTTTAAAGATTTATTTTTCTTAAAATTTTTTTTAATTTTTTATAGAAGCTTTGTTGATTTTATTAAATACATAATTTTTATGTATGGACATTGGATTACTATGGTTTATATTTTTTAAATCAAGGCCATTTTGTTAATTTATTCAGATTATGACTTTATGTGCTGGTCTAGGTGGAACTTCACTTTTTGCTTTAGGCTATGTAATCCTCGCTTTTTGGATGCTTTGGGAAGGAAATAATTTGTATACAATGCATCGGTATACAAAAACTTTGGCTCGTTGGAATACTTTGGCAAAATATACAGTTGTTATTATGCTATGTAAAATATTTCTACAGGTTTTTTTGAATTTTTTTGTGGTAATCTTGAACCTTTTTTTTACATTTTCCTCCAATTCTCTCCCCTGTATTCCTTTTGGTAACTAAATTTTGGTAACTTATTTTACGTCTGCTTAAAAAGATTAGATTTACTGTAAATACTCTAATAGAGGCCCACCTTTAATATAAGCCCATCTGGGGATACCCATTGAAAAATATAAGCCCAGGGCTTCAATTAGAGTATTTGCTGTATTTGTGGCACGTTCCCAAGGATCAGAGTTAGATGAAAATGTAGTAGGTAATTTGGAAATTGGATTTTTGGACGGCCTCTAATAGAGTTGAAATAATATATAAGAGTGGAATTGGAGGGGGGGGTTAGGTAAGTGTCAATTAAAGATTTAAGAATAGGATTTTTTTATACAAAGATTCATAAACGGGTTCTTGAATAATCTTTGGGTTTCCGTAATTGAAAACGAGTTGACGAGTTGGTCCTCGACGGGGAGGGGGCCATGGTGAACAATTTTCGTGGAGACAGCGCCACGGGAGGGGGGGGGGGCAAGAAAAATTTTTCTTGCGCTATGGGAGGTTGGGGGCGCAAGAAAAAAATTACTCGACTTTCGGGAACAGGGACCACAACCCTATTCCGGAACCAAAAAAAATCATCTTGGTCATTCGGTTTGGTTCTTTAACGACAATCTTATTCAAGAATTTTTTTTTAATTTTTTTATTATTTTTTAAAGTTAGTTGGTTGTGTTTTTATTGGTTTAATTCGTCCAAAACAATTATGTCCAGTTCAACAATTATTCTCAATTTTTTGTGTTAATCCACTTTCAATTGGAGAACTTCAAAAATTCTTTAGTGAATTACCTAGCGACGATACAGAATTTAGTGATTTACAAAGTTGTTCAAAAGGTGGAGATTCTTCAGAAGCTTCTATTGGATTCGATGCTGTAGCGTTTCTATTTATTATTTTTCAACTGAGAATTTTGCATTCTTGGTATTTCCAAAGATGTATGATTGAATTTAGATGTGAGGTTATTCAGGCTAATAGGTTTGTTTGGTGGAATTTTTTAAATTTTGGGGGGGGGGGGGGAAGAGGAGGAAGAATGTTTCTTTTTTTGACGCAATATGTGTTTAAGGGTACCTCGGATGGGTCAGATTACCGGAGAAACTTGTCCCAACTTTTTTTTCTTAACCCAAGCCCTTCGTACTTCACTAATTTTTTTTCTTGAATTATTTCATAGGATTGTTGTCCTATCAAATCCCCCCTTTGTTGTACCTCTCGTTTTTGTTTTTATTGAATTTTTATAAATAAATAATAAAGTGATTTTTTCAGAGGGGCTGTTTTAATCAATCAATTAATTGAAAAAGAGATGCGGGAACAAACGGAGCATCAGAACAAGAAACTTCGAGAAATTAAGGCACGAACAGCGGCCATCAGAAAACGTTATGAAGAACAACAGAGGCGTAGCAGTGGATATGGCGCTGTTGTCTTTTCTCCACAAACATATGGGCAAGGTTGGCGTTTTTGAGGGTTTTTTTAGTTTATTTTTAGATTGAGACTCTAAAGGTTTATTTTCGATAAGTTTCCGGAATTGTTTTACTTAAGTGAGTGTATTCCGGAATTATACATATGAAATACATTCTATTTTAAATATTTTCCGGAAAATTGTCTATTTAAATTTTGTGTGTTTTCCGGAATTTTGTGTTTTTAATTATTTTAAGTTCTACCTTTCCGGAAAAATACAAATTTTACGGAGATATTTCCGGAATATATTCTCACACCTTCCGGAAATTATATTTTCCGGAATTAAATATATGCATATTTAACTTCTATTTTTATATGTATATTTCCGAAAATGTTTTCCGGAAATTAATGGTGGTATTTTTAAGTTTTATTTGTGTATGAAATAAGCGCCATTTATCCTTATCTCATTCATTTTTCTATTTTTAATTGTTTTTTTTTCTCTCAAAAAATTTTTTTTCGTTCTCGTAATTTTTATTTTTTTCTGTCTGTTTGGAATTTTAAAAGTTGCTGTTTTTTGGATCTTTTATTTTTACTTACATTTTTTTAAAAAATCTTTTTTTTGCTTTTAATTTAAACTCTCAAGTAGTTCGTCCTCGCTCAATCATTGATATTGATGATCCATTACCAAGTTATGATCCTCGATATGCTCCGCCACCGTCAGCTTCCATTATGGGTTTGTTTTTGTTTTTTTTTTTGGAAATTTGTTGCTTGTTTTCCTTGTGTTTTGCATTTTTCCTTTTGCTCTAAATTGTGTTTTTGCTTTTATCCTGTGTCTTTACTTGTTATTTTTCCAATTGATTTGATTCCGGAAAACTGCTTTTCTACTATTAAATTTCTTTGTGTATTTTCCTTTTTTTCTTAAATCTTTTGTGTTTTCTTTCCGGAAATTTTATTTTGTGTTTTTACTTGTTTCCGGAAAATACATATTAATTTACTTATTTCCGGAAAACTTTTTCTATTAATTTTCCGGAACTTTTTGTATTTTCTTTTTTCTCTAAAACTTGTGTTTTCATTCCGGAAAAATACAAAATTCTGGTTTTAATCAGAATTTTGTATTTTTCCTTTTTATTTACTAAATTCTGGTTTTTCCACTATATTTTTAGTTAAAACACAATTTTCAGAATAAAAATTCTGATTTATTTTTTTGTGTTTTTGTGTTTTAGAAATTATTTTGTGTTTTTTTTTTGTGTTCTGTTTTCATTTTTGTGTTTTTTTATTTATTTATTTTGTTCAATGCGCGCATTCTTCCTTTATTTTCTTTTTCCAATATTTTTTTTTAATTTTTCTAATCACTTTCCTTTAAAAAAATACTAATTAAATTCTATACTTTAAATTTTTCCCTTAAGCTTAAAAAAATTTTTTTTTTAATTTTTTTAAATTCTATTTTTTAGCAAAGCGTGCTGGAGATTATTATATGTTTGAAGGCGATCCAGAAATTGATGATTTAATTGAACCTGTAATATCTTTTGTTCCAGAAGTAACACCGGGAGCTGGAGATTTTGATAAATTGGATCCTGCTCAAGTAAATTTTTTTAAAGGAATTTTGGGAAAAAAAATTTTTTTCAAAGTTATTACACACAGCACTTGGAAAAGATTTGGATTTAATCAAAACATTAGATTCTGTTGAAGAAGCAGAACAAATTAAAGATGAAAAATTGAGAATGATTGCTGCTGTTGCCCCGTCAGAAAAAGCTAGAGAAATTGCAAAATTGGCACTTAAACTTAGACATCAATCTCCTCCGAAACCGGAAACTGTTCATCATATGGATGAGGGTGATTATTATTCTATTGGTGGTCCTTCTACTTCACAAGGTTATTTTTAATTTTTTTTAATTTGGATTTTATTTGTGGGGGTATCTTACAGACAAATTATATACTTTGGGCCATCCACGCTTTAAATTATCCTTCCTGAAATAAAAGCATTGGACTTTTAGAAATATTTTCTATTGAGTTCATATGTAGAAAATTGATTTGGTAAGGGGATTTCATACGCTTTGATTTTCTGGGAATATGATTAATTTTTCTTCCCAGCCATAAGGAATTATTTTTTATTTTACTTAAAAGATCTGGTTCGAGGAAAGGTGTCAGAAAAATAATTTTTAAATTTATTATTTTTTATTTAGCAGAAAAATCAGAAAAAGATGAGGAAACGGACACAACAGATGGGATACCAATAATTCGTTTCCGCAAAAAAAGACAACAACAACAACCTGAAGATGTTATTGAAAAAGAATCAACACAAAAAGAAATTGAAGAACAACAAACAACAACAAAAATTGATGCTTATAGTTATGGTTTGTTGGGAAAAAAATTATTTAATGAATTTCTACTAGAGTTGTTGGCGACCGTTTTTAAAACCGGAATTTTTGAAATTTTTTGCCAAAAATTAACCGTCTTTAGAAATCTTTAAAAATCGAAAATGGTAAAATTCAATTTCGTACCCCCCCTTTTTTCCATCCTTAAAATATTAAAAAATGGTCTGCCAGTCTTAGGTTATAGAGCTCATCGATTGTGTCGAATGACACAAGCAACCCCCGGTCTTAACTTTGGGCCGAGATACAGACAAAAAATCTGCGCAAGGCGAAGGGTTTTGCACAAGCGTCTCCCCAAAGTAAAAGGATTACTTTGTGTTATAACTTTGTCAAATCTTCTTCTAAAACTCTCAAAACCGAAAACCGGGGATACCGGTTAATAACCGGTCGCCAACAATTTTTTTAATTTTTTACGAAAAATTTTTTTCTAAAATTTTTTCTAGCAAAAGCAATAATTTCCTTTTTTCAATTTTTGTGGAAAATTATGATTGCATTTCTTGATTGGATATCAGCATTTTTAAATAGACGTTCAAGAGAACATAGATATGTTGCTTATGTTTTAAATAAAGAAAAGGAACATTTGAAGGAAATGATGAGTAATGTATGGAGTTTTTTAAAGGTTTTTTGAATTAAAAAATTTTTTCTTTTTGAAGGAACTTTATGATGGTCAAATTTCTAGTTCTGATTTGAGGGAACGTTGGGAATCTCATAATATGCATATTGTATCTAGTGAAGAGGATATTAAAAGGTTTATAATTTTTAGAAAATTCCAGTTATCTTCCTATGATATTTATGTTATCCGAAACACACTTCTCTCACATGTCTACAACTGCGAAAAAAGTTTTTTTGAGATTATACTTGAAAAATAATTTTTTACAAAAATTATTTTCATATTCAATCAAAGATTATTCTAAAATTGAGAAGATCAGCGAGACTAAAAATAAAATTTTTCCATCAAGAGATGTCCGAGGCTCCTTACTCAAGTCTTTGGTTATCGTTTCATGGAAGATATTCGGATAATAATTATTTGGGACCTGGATTTGAGCATCATAATTCTTCAGTTCGGTTTGAAACCCTAATCAAGACACCTTAGGTTTGATTATCTTGGAAAGATTTTTCTGTCTCAGATCAGATATCTCTTATCTGATTTTTTTCTTTTTCAAAATTTTTTTCCAGATTAGAAAACGAAGCACATGATCGTTGGGCAGAAAGAAATGTTTTTGCCCGATTTATAAATGCTGTAGGAAATTGTATATGTGCACATACCGATATTATATGTTATGCTTTTGCTGTTTTTGTACATGGAAAAACTGCTGGATTATTAACTTTACCATTACCAGCACTAGTTTTCTTTTGGGGAACTTTGGCAAATCCTCGTCCTTCAAAATTTTTTTGGGTTACAATGATTATTTGGACAGAATTGGTTATTGTTGTTAAATTTGCTTTTCAATTTGGATTTTGGGATTGGAATTCTATTGCTGAAGAAGCTAAAAATTCACATAAAATATATAAATTACAATATATTTTTGGTGTTCAAAGAGTTGAATATTTTGCTGTAACTGATGTGGCTTTATTAATTGCGCTGTTTTTTCATAGGTTTTGAATTTTTTTGAAAATTTTTTTGAGGGGGTTTTGAATAATTTTTCTCGGGTTCTAGGTTGATTTAGGATCTTTGCAGGTTTATTTAGGTTTACATATTTTCCCCGGTTATTATTAACCATCGAAAAGAAGCTGAAAAGTTTGGAGCTGAAACCACAAAAAAACGCCCCACTTGTTCCTAAAAAATGCCCTACTGGTTCCTAGGTTTATCTTTAGAGAATTAACCTGGGTGTGTGTTGTTTCATGTGTGGTGTTAACGGAGGAATAATATGGGGTTTGTACAAAATTCAGCCTCCCTTTCAGCTTCTGGATACTCTTAAGAGGTGTCGGGTTATTTTCCTTTTCTGTTTTCAAAAATCCGCAACTTTTCTATCCGTAATTTTTTCTTAATCCAACCTTCACTCTCATTAATAAAATTAATTAATTAGATATATGCTTCGAAAACTTGGATTATGGAGAGATGCAAATTCCGATAGACTTTTAGCATATACTCCACAAATATTAAATAATAATAATGACAACAAAAATAATTTATCGTCATCATCTTCTTCAGAACAACAAAGTCCAAATAAAAAGAAAGGAAGAACACAAAATGGTTCTACAGCAACAGAAACTTCAGCAATTACAACAACTTCTATATCTGATGATCAAATTAATTTAGAAGAGGTTGGTATTATTAATTTTTTAATGAACAAAAATTTTTTCTAATTCTTTAAATGTGTATGTATTATCTCTAAATTTGTTTTTGTTTCCCTCAAGAGGGATTTGAGAACCTCGGAAAAGTTTTTTCTGAAAATTAAAAAATATGTAGTTCAAGGGCTTCTTTCGTTACAAGAAAAGTCGAATATGAATTTGTATTTTTTGTTTATTCATCCTTAACCCGGTTCCTTGTTTAGGGAGAACATTTTAGTCTAATTTAGGGTTGCCAAAATGGCCCGTCTCGGACCGAAAGATCGAGTCGGGCCTAAGATATTTGGCCCGAATTAGACCCGAAAAAGACTCGTACCGGCCTGACTAGATGAAAACAAGCCCTGAAAAATGCGTCAACCGTCGGCCCGATTCAAAAACGGCAACCCTAATCTAATTATAAAAAAGATTCACTATCAGATTAGGACACGGATACTGATTTTGGTATCCTTATCCGGATATTTACGACGATACAGACGGATATCCGCAAGCATTTTTACAATATTTGTATCCATGTCCTAGTCTGCTCACAATCAATCAAAAAACTTTTTTTTAAAGATTGATATTGAAAGCGGACATAAACCTACAAATACACCAGCAACGGCAGAACCTGTTTTAACAGAAAATTCGGTTAACTTTTAAAAAAAATTTTTTTTTAATCTAATTAATATATTTTAGAAGCCACCCTCACCTCCTTCAAAAATTGTACATTTAAGCGTTATTGGAAATTTTATTGAAAAGGTTTTCTTTTTAAAATTAAAAATAAATTTAATTTATTTTCAAGTTAATTTATCCAAAATTTCGTTATATTTGTGATTTTTATCCATTAATGTTCTTTTTGGATATTTTTTGTATGCTTATAATTGCTTTTGGTTATTCTTCTTTTGGTGAGGGAGGAACTGGGGATGTTGTTAGTGATATTAAGGTTTTCTTTAAATTCTTTTGGGAAATTTCTTGGAAATTTTTAGGAAAATTTTTCTGGGAATTTTTTTGGGTTTGGGTTTTGTTAAAAAAAATTTTTCACAAATTTTTTCGAAGTTTTTTTTGAAAAATTTTTTGCGATTTGAAAAGTTGACATTTTGATATCAAATAATTTTTCTTCAGAATCCCTATCAATTTTCCCCCTTTTTTTTATTTTTTGAAAATTTAAAATTTTGAGGGGTAGGGCTGTTCGCAATATACTAATAAAATTTTTACTCACATCAATTATAGTCCGCAAAATTAATTTCTAAAATCCGCAAAAATGTTGCGGACAGCCTGGGCGTGAAAAATTTTTTTCCTTGTTAGTGTAAATCCTTTCCTTCAAAATATTATTTTTCTAAATTTAAAATTTTAATTAATTTCAATTTTTTTAGAGTAATAGAATACCAATAACACTTGTAGTTATAATTCTTGTCCAATCTTTAATGATTGTTTTGGATAGAGGACTTTATTTAAGGAAAGCTGTTGTTGCTAAATTAATATATCATTTGCTTACTTTAATTATTGTGCATGTTTGGATATTTTTTATTTTACCTTTATTTACACAAAAGTTTGTTTCTTTTTTAAATATTTTTTGGGGGTTTTTAAAAAATCCGCAAATTTTTCTCCGCAAGTTTTTATCCGCATTTTTTGTCCGCAAAATTTCTGTTCGCGTTTTTAAAATTTTTTTACTTTGAACCGATTTTTTACTTGAACCTGGGCTTGTATTACCCCTTATTAAAATTATGTAGCCAAAACCTACCTTTCAGCTTATATTACCCGTTTTTCGTTGTAGAAAAATATTTGCGGACAAAATTTGCGGACATTTTTTAAATCCGCAAATTTTAAAATAAAATTTTTTTTCTAGGGAAGCATATACAAATGGAGTAGCAAGATTTTTATATTATATCAAATGCATTTATTTTTTAATTTCTGCTTGGCAAATAAGAAATGGTTATCCTTCTCTTTGTATTGGAAACTTGCTTACACACTCTTATGGTTTAATTAATATGGTTTTGTTTAAAATGTTTGTTTTCTTTTTAAAATTTTTTTTTAAATTTTTTATTTTGGGTCCTTGACTAAATTCTGAATTTTTTTAATTTTTAAATAAATAAATCAGAATTTAGAGGCTTTGGGCGTTTTGAGCCTTTTTTGATCGTTTTTCAAATTTTGACCGTTTTGAGCCTTTTTATTGCCAAAAAAATTTTTTTTTAATTTTCAGATTTATGATTATTCCATTTGTTTTTGAACTTCGAACAGCCATTGATTGGGTTTTTTAAAATTTATTTTTTTTAATTTTTATTTATAGACATGGACGGATACCTCAATGCCTATTTTTGACTTTTTTAATATGGAAAATTTTTATGCTGTTGTTTACAATTTAAAATGTGCTCGTAAATTTGAAGAAGCATTTCCTGCACCTCGAGGAGAACCTAAAGGGACTGTTATTAAGGTTTTTTTATTTTTCGGGAAGGGTTTTGGACGTTTTGGGCATTTTTCATTTTTTATAGAAATAAAAAATTTTTTTGAATTTTCCGGATGGGTTTTTGGATGTTTTTAATTTTTTAATAAATTTTTTCTAATTTTTCAGTATTTAATGGGCTTACCATTAATTTTAATAATGATTTTACTTGTTTGGTCACCAATTATTGCGTTTGCATTAATCAACACAATTGGGAATATTTCTCCTCCAGAGAGTGCAATAATGACTGTTAGCCTTGAAGGATTTCCTGTAAATTTTTTTTTATTTTTTTTTAATTTTTTGAAAATTAACAAAAAATTTTGTAGTAAAAAAATTCAAAAAATTTTTTCCAAATTTTTCCAGCCACTTTATAAAATGGAAGCAAAAGGTTTAGGATTAATGGCAATAACACAGCAAGAATATAATACATTAATTAGTAATTTTTCTGATATAAATGGAAGAGAATCTGAATTAAATACTGATGTTGTTGATAGAACAAGAAAAGCATCTGCTTATATTACACAATATACAGCTAAAGATATTCTGGTAAAATTTTTAATTTAAATCATGTATTTTTAATGAAAATACAATAAAATTCTGATTTGTGTATTTTTTGTGTTTTTTATCTGAAATACAAAGCAGAATTAAAATAAAATACAAAAATTCTGATTTTAACGAAAATACAAAAAATTCTGATTTGTGTTTTTTTTTTGTTTTTTTATTTGTATACAAATCAGAATTAAAATAAAATACAAAAATTCTGATTTTAATTTATTAATACTGCAAGAATTCTGATTTGTATTTTTTTGTGTTTTTTCTTTTCTGATTTTTATACAATTCAGAATTTCTTTAAATTAAATACAAAAATACAAATCAGAATTTTTGTGTTTCATTTTTGTTTGAAAATTCTGATTTAATAAAACTAAAATAACACATGAAAAATACAAATCAGAATTTTAAAATCAGAATTTATTTTAAGATGAAATACAGAAATTCTGTTTTTGTATTTTTTTGTATTTTCTTAATTTATATACAAATCAGAATTTCTTTTTTAATTTTCTAGAAAGTCAAATTTCGTCCAGAATCTGAAACTTTTTGGCAAATTTCACCAGTTTCTTTAATTGCTTTTCGTGACTTTTTACAAAACAACAATACTGGAAATCTAGAATTATCTTTTAATTTTGAATTTAAAAGACCACAAGAAGGAAAAAAAGAGCCACAAATTCATAGTTTTACACAAAAGGCAAAAATACATGGAAAAGAATTGTTGGATGCTATTGATAATCGTTCACATTGGGTAACAGAAAATTGAAAAAAAATTTAATTAAAAAAATATTTTTTTGTAGTTTCAAGTTTTAAATGCTCTACCAACATATTTAGTAATTCCTAGTGAGGGTGAAGTTCAAATTGCAAAATTATTACAACGTGCTGCTGAACGTAGAATTAATTCTGATTCACCTTCTAATATTACAAGAACATTTAATCATTGGAAAATGAGGCTGGTTGAGACGCCGGTAAAAAATTTTTAAAATTTTTTTATCAAAAATTTTTTTCTGAAAATTCTTGAATTTTTAAAATTTGGGAAAAAATTTCTTTGCCTTAAAAAAATTTTTCTCCAAAGACTTCCAACTCAACTTATTGGCTAAGTCAAATGGAATTTAATGAAAATATTACAAAACTTACAGCAATACCTTCCCCAGAATTGATTGAATATGGATCGAGAGATTTAAATTATACTGAATTTTTGGCTTTAGTTGATAGAGTTTTTCCTTCTTGGTTAAATAGTTATGTGCAGGGAGGGTAAATAATTTACTTAATTTATTTATTCTGATTTTAAAAAAAGAAAATACATATTTTTCAGAATTTTTAAAATTCTGACTAAAAATACATGTGTGTTTTATATTTTATACGGAAAATATGTATTAACAAAAATACATACTTTTTGTGTTTTCCTGAAATTTATTCCGGATCAGAATTAGGTATGTATATGTATCTAATTTAAATTTATATGTGTTTTCCGGAAAACATATTCACAAATATATAACCGGAATGTATTTTCCGGTATTTTTCAGAATTGTAGCCAAGTTTTTAAAATCAGAATTTGTGTTTTACTAATAAAAATGTGTTTTTACTAATAAAACACCAGAATTTAAAAATCAGAATTATTTCTCTTTAAGTATTATCTTAATGTATGCTGGTATTGTTCTTTTTGTTGGCCGTTTAATTCGCGGTTTTGTTTCTTCACAACCTTTGGATGTAATTATCAATGAAATTCCAAATCCTGATCATTTATTAAAAATTTGTCTCGATATTTATTTGGTCAGGGAAGCTAGGGATTTTGTTTTGGAGCAGGTAAAGAATTTTTTTAATTTTGAAATTTTGTGTTTCGAGAAACTTCGAGTTTCGAAAAAAAATTTTTTGGCAAGAAAAAAATTTTTCGAAAATTTTTTGGAATTTTCTGGACCTCTAAAAAATTTTTTGAGCGGAAAAAATTTTTTTTTGAAAATTTTATGCAATTTTTTGGACTTCAAAAAAATATTTTTAATTAAAAAATTGTTTTTATTTTAAACAGGATTTATTTGCAAAATTAATTTTCTTGTTCCGTTCACCTCAAACTTTGATTAGATGGACAAGATACAAAACAAAACCCGAGTGACACAATTTATTTTAAATACATTTTAGTATTTAATATGTTTTAAATTTTTATTATTTCTCTCCCATTTTGGTTTGTGAATTTTTTTGACTTTTTTTTAATTTAATTTTTTTTCTGATATTTTCTGATTTTTTAAAGAAATATCTTTAAAAATTCAAAAAAATTTTTTCTAAAAAAAGATCTTTCACTTCAATTTTTAAAATTTTTTTTCTTTTTTTACTTCCGCTAGCTAAAAATGTGTACCTAATTTTTTAAATTTTAGTTTTCTACCAAACCTATTGAAAAAATTATTTCCTTCCTCTTTTTAGATTCTTTTCCCTTGCCAAAATATATAAAAGATAATTTTATTAAATTTAAATATATCTAGAGAGATTTTTTTATTGTTTAATAAGCCAAAGTTTTTATTAGAGCTCGACATTTTCACTTTGCCGGGCCCGGTATCCGGGTTTTTTTCTTCCGCCCCGACCCGGGCCGGGTTTTCCGGGCTAAAACCCCGAAAACCCGGAAACCCCGAAAACCCGGTTTTTTTACACCCGGGCCCGGACCCGGTTTTTTCAAAATTTGAAAAATTCTTAAAATTCAGCTTTTTTCTGAAATTTCCTTATTTAAAATTGAAATTTATCAAAAATTTAAGGTCATACTTCAATACCTACATCCTGAATAGTGGAAAATTTGAAGCGATATAAGAGTATCAAAGGATTTGACGGGATTAAGTGGGATATCGGTGGATTTGAAGGGGTTTAATTTATTTGGATAGGCGTTTGGTGCGATTTATGTATTTTTTGAGGTATTTTGCTTGATATCCGGAGAGTATATATCACCTAGGATGGGTTAACAGGGATTTTGAGGTATATCGGGAAAAAATATTAATAAGATTTCGCATAAAAATCTTTACGTAATAGATAACAATATATCTGTGATTCAAGTGATATCTGAAGAGGTAACCTTTTGATCCTTGATAACACGCCCAAATATAGAAGCGGATTCGAAGGTATATCGGAAAAAAGAGGGAAGTAGAGGATATAGGTGATTAGTACTGATAAATTCATAGATAACATTTATCCCTTAAATACCTCGATGTCTGGAAGGATATCGGATTAAGAAAGATTTGGAAGGACAAGAGGGATATGCAGTTGGGAGGATTTAGAATTACCGGGCATTAGGGAGGATTTAGAATTTTGGGGGAACAACCTAGCTGATTTTTTACTTTTCAGCACCGCAGGCAAAAATTTTGGGAACTTTGATGTAAACAAGTAGATTTTTTCCCCTTTTTGGCGCCGCAGGCGAAAATTTTGAGAATTTAGGATGTCTAGAGAGATAGATTTGGCCAAAATGTTAGAATTTTATTTAAAATTTACTCAAAATTGGACCCGGGCCGGGCCCGGGTTTTTCAGATGCGACCCGGGCCGGGTTTTCCGGGCTAAAACCCCGAAAACCCGGAAACCCCGAAAAACCGGATTTTCTCAAAAATACCCGGTTCGGGGCTACCGGGCCCGGAAAACCCGGTTCCGGGCCCGGCCCGGGGTCGAGCTCTAGTTTTTATTAATCCCTAGTAGGGCAGTTTAATAAAACCCCGAACTCCGACATGTCCTCCCAGCAAACCCTGATCCCTTCCACATCCGACCCCGAAGGCTCGGGGAGCTACCCTAATCTCTCTAGTTACCTATATATAAATTTTAGAGACATCGAGATTATATTATATACCTTCATTTTTTTGATTTTTTTTATAAAATAAAAAATGCTTTCGATTTTATAAGAAAAAATAATTTTTTGACTTAGAAATTGTGTTTTATTCACTTTTATTTTTTTAATTTTAAATTAATTTTTTTCCTTTAATTTTTAAAAGAAATATCAAAAATGTCAACAAGTGGAAGGTTGGGATTTGGAGATATTGGTAATTTTTTTATTTTGTTTAGAAAAAATTTTGTCTAATTTTTAGTGCCAAAAAGTGCTCTAGTTCAGGAATGGGATGTTGCACGCAATGAGGTGATATATAAGAGGTTTTATATTTTCAGTAAAAAATACAAGTTCTCAGAGAAATGTATTTTAGGTGTATTTTATTGCTTCCGGAAAATACTCAGAAAATACATTTTACAAAAAAATACATTTCCGGGAACTTGTATTTTAATGACACACACTTCCGGAAAATACTTTAAAAACAAAGATATAAATTGTATTTTCCGGAATGTGTTTTCCTAATAGGTATATTTCTTTCCGGAATAGTTATATTTTGTAAATTAAATTTATAACTAATCCGGAAAGTATTTTCTCAAAAAAATACATTTCCGGAAACTTGTATTTTAATGAACATACACACTTCCGGAAAAGTACTTATATTTAAAAAATACAACTTGTGTTTTCCGGAATGTATTTTACTAATATATATTTCTTTTCCGGAATTGTTGTATTTTGTAAATTAAATATTTATATAACTGTCTAATCCGGTAAGTATTTTATCTAAAAAATACATTTACATCTCTAACATTTTCCGGAAAACATTTTCCATTGTATTCCATTTCTCTATTTATTATTGTCTTTTAGTGTCTTAAACATTTTTTATTTTTAAGTATTTGGATGAAGGCTATTATTGTGAAATTCGAAAAAATTGGGAAGGAAAAAAATTTTCAGATGAGCATGGGCCAATAAAAATTTCAATGAAATGGCATTTTGAGAGAATGATGGGAAAGCCTCACAAACGTGTAATTCGAGTCAAGATCGTTGCTCCTTTTATTGATGATCCTGAGCCGCCTAGTGAAATGGCTGGCATTTGCCCTGATCTTTGGAATTATGAATGTGTGGAATTGTTTTTTGCAAATAACAAGGGACATTACACAGAGGTAGTTTTTGAAGAAAATTTGAAAAAAAATTTTTTTGGAGAGAAAGAGAGAAGAGAGAGAGTAGGAGACGTTTCCGTTCAGTCTTGAGGCCTTATTTTGGGCCATAACTTTTTCAATTCTTATCCGATCTGAATAATATTTGTTTCAATCGAAAGCTCTGAATGTGTGTATTATTTTAACTAACAGGATTGATCTGTTCGGATCTTTCTACAAAAAGTTACAGTCAATTAAGTGCGCGCAATCTTGATTTTCGGTCTTTATTTAACTATAACCTTTTGTAGGATGATCTAATCAACCCAGTCCTGTTATCTAAAATAATCCTCACATCCAGAGCTTTCGATTGGTATTAAAATTATTTAAATTGGTTAAGATTGAAAAAAGTTGTGGCCCAAAATATGGCCTCTAGACAAAATTTGCTTTTTTTCAATTTAGGTTGAAGTTGGCCCCCATGGTCATTGGCTTGTTTTACTACACAAAGGATATAGAGAATGTATAAATAATGGGCAAGATTTACAATTAGAAATTGAAAATGAATGGAAAGGTTCTGAATGGCATTGTATGGTGGAAATACCTTTAGCCTATTTGCCTGGAAGTAAGAGAAGGAAAAAATTTTTTTAACCAGCAAATTTTAATTTTAGATACCCCCAAAAATTAAATAAATACCTCCAATAACTTAAATACTTTCCAAAGTTTGTGGTTGTCCCTCATGGTCTTTAGCTTGTTTTACTATCCCCCCTCTCCTTCATTTAAAACACCTTCATATAAGCCTACGACTTATTTTCAGTCCCAAGGGGTATTTAAGAACGAGATTTGTCTAGATTTTTTAATTATAAATCATCTTTCCCTTTTACATGATATTTTCTTTCTTCTAGACATAACCAAATTTAATGCTTATGCAATACACGGTTCTGGAGATTCAAAACATTATGAATCTTTGTATGCTGTCAGTGACGGGACATTTAAAGAACCCGACTTTCACAGACTTGAATTCTTTGGAACTATAGATACAAGAAGAATTATTCCTTCAGATTATAATAGACAACCTTTTGATGATATGAAATATGGAAATTTGTGGGCAGAAGGATTGAAGGAGGAATAAATAATAGTAAATTGATTAGATGGGAGGTGATCTTGTGGATTTACAAGTATTAAAAATGTATTTTTCCGGAAAACACATTTTACGAAAATACATTATTCTAAAATACAAAAATACATTTTTCCGGAAACTTGTATTTTATTGAATGTACACATTTCCGGAAAAATATATTCTGGATTTTATAAGTATTAAAAATGTATTTTTAAAAATATATTTATTTTTTCGGAATAATGTATTCTCAGAAAATACATTTTACAAAAATGAAATACAAAAAAAATACAAAAATATATTTCCGGAAAAATACAAAAAAAATACAAAAACACATTTTTCCGGAAACTTGTATTTTAATGAACGTACACAGTTCCGGAAAAATATTTATATGTATTTCTGAAAAATACATTTTTATACAAACAAAAAATTGTATTTTCCGGAAAATATCAACCGGAACATGTTAGCATACACATTTCCGGATACATTTAAATGAAACACTTCCGGAAAATACACAAGCACTTATAATAATTATATTTTCCGGATTATATCTTCTATAATTGTATTTTCCGGATTGTATTTTTTAGTTTAAGTTAGCATACACATTTCCGGAAAATATATTCTCAGGAAAATACATTTTACAAAAAATACATTTTATAGTAATATATTTCCGGAACCACGCATATTTCCGGAAAATACATATTTCTGAAAAAACACATTAATCCTTAACAGCCACTAATAAGGTTACAGGTTCGAATCCTTTTGTCTGCAACTTTTTTTATTTTATTTTAAATTAATTTAAAAATCGTTTTTAATTTTTCCTGTTGTTCTATAAATATTTTTAATTATATTTACTTGATATTTAAACGTTTTTTACAAATTATATTTAATTTTTCATTTAAATTTTATTTTAAATTTTTCAATAAGTTATGTTCCAACAAAACAACGATTTTTGTACAGTTTGTGGCACAATTTTGCCGTTGCCTGAACTAATGCCTTCAACCGTGCAATGTGCTCTATGCAGAAATAAATGGCCTGCTAAACGTTTGAAATTTTATTTAATTTTATTTTTGGGGTTAGACCTGAAGACCTATTGACACTGAAGAGCTACAACTTTTAAAAGGAAACGTCGAAGGATTTGGTGTGATTGAGGTGGACACCATAGGTTCTAAAATGCAGAATGCTTTCAAAAGCTGGGTATTTATCCCTGTAATCCATCGATATTCCCTTTCAAAAGTTGTAGGTCTTCAGGGGTAATTGTGACCTACTAGGGCAGGAGTCTTATCAATTGCAGTTCGAAGGGTTGACTAATTCCCTTTCCCAATTTTTTTCAGTTGATCAAGAAAGAAATACCTTTACCTACAAACGAAGCTTCGAAAAAACACAACAAGATGACGATAAAAATTTAAATGTGGAGGAAGATGTGACAGTGGAGCATTTGTGTCCAAAATGTGATTATAATGTAGCTACATACACAACACAACAAACGAGATCGGCAGATGAAGGGCAAACGGTTTTTTATCAATGTGTGAAGTGTAAGCATAGATGTATTGAATATTCCTGAGATTTTGTTGAGTTTCCTTTTGATAAATAAATTGTTGATTTTTTGAGGTGGTCTTTGGGATTACTTTAATATAAAAGCTCAAGTTTAGTTCCAAGTTTATTTTCTATAAAGACTCAGAGGCTAGACCTAAATTCTTGAAAATTTTCTCAAATTTCTTTAACATCGTTGACTACCTCCTTAAGAAATTTCATAAATTTTCTTCAAATATTTTCAAAGTTAAAGTCAATAGACCTCGAAAAATTATCAACCTTCAAAAAGACGAGATTTTTTGGCACTTTTTCGATCATAACTTTTTTATAGAGAGGCAAGAATTTTGATTTTCTGGAATATTGGAGCTTATTTAATGCTCTATCCAATGGTACTAGAAATATTAAAAATTATCAACCCCCTGATAAGCTATAGGGCTCGGGATTGAACTGTGCCGGGACTGAACGAGGAATACCCGTCTTTTTATTTTTGTGACACTGAGAGAAAGTTTGGGGTGCGACTGGTACGAATGTATCCTTGACCGATTTTATTATATTATTAGTTTATTATTTTCTATACACTTTTTATTATAAATTCTTTTAATAACAAAGTAAATAATTACTAATGTTAATTAAATTTTTATTTTTATTATTATTTATTTTTGATTTTGTAAAATTGCAAAATGATAATGAATTAAATTATGAATTTTCTATTGGGTACTTTGGTTGTTTCCTCACCCACAGTGTTTAAGATGTACATAATGGTGTTGTGTAGCTATTAGAGATCGAGCTGGACCTGGGTTTTTCCTGTACCCAGAGTCCGGCAGATGAAGGACAAACAGTCCAGGCATTTTTTTACCCTTCCTGGGTTTTTATTGGGCCTGGGTTTTTTCTGGACTACAGGCCCAGGACCCAATCCAGGCCAATAAATCAAATCCAGAATCCAGCTATAATATAAAGGCCAATGAAGGTGTTATTCTAGTTGGATCATACTAGCCTGGCTAGTCATTGATCTCCTTCCTTGGTCTATTCCACCTCCCAGTTCTTCGTCTAAATGGTACTTTTCTATTTCTGATAAAAATGCTTATTCTTGTGCACGTCGACGCTGGTGAATCTCGGACACCCCCGGACATAACAAAGCTACCTGTTGCTAAACTCACACAAACCTATTCCTTTTTGACCATTTTGTACATCTTAAAATTAACTGGGGTGGGCATACATAAGTGCCCTTCCGTTAACCCAAAAAAATATTTTTAGCCAAACAACAACCCAAATTTTAACAAACAACTACACAAAAATTTATGAAAATTTGTTAGAAAAAATTTCAAAATATTGCATTACAAATAAAGAATATGAAGATTTTTATAAAATCAAATTAAAACCAGGGCTTATTTCAACCTTTTTCCCTTTTCTAATTGAAGTGACTGTTAAACAAATTGGACTGAATGAACTTCGTCATTGTTTAAATTTGAAAAAACAAAAAATTAATTTTATGGATATGGTCGATGAAGAAGTTGAAGAGGTCAGTTGAGCGCTCTTGTGAGAGAGAGGGTAATATTAACGCTTAACTCCCCCCCCCCTTTCTCCAGAATCTATGGTGGTATGTGTACCAGGGGTGTGCCGAAAGTGATTTTGAAAAGCGGACAGCGAAAGACGAAAGTCCAAAAAAGGCGAAAATCTGCGAAATCCGAAAGACGAAGTTAGTCTTCCTATGAGTCTAGAGAGCCTTTAGTAAATAATTCAAAAGCCCTACTTCTATTTAAATAGGATCCGTAATCAGATAAAACTTTTTCCTTTCAAGTCAGATTTCATTGGTTTTAGTGCCATCCTCTTTCAATTGACATATAATTTGCCTTAGAAAAGGAACAAATGCCACAAAGGGGTTCAGAAAAAAAGGGGAGTATAAACGCTACTATTACCAACAGAAGAAAAGGAAAAGGTGGGGGAGATCGGATTGTACCGATTATTCCTGCAAGGAAAATTTTTTTAAATTAATGCCCAAAAGGCCTTAATTCAGCGCTCGACTGACTTCACCCACCCACCATATTTTAAGGAGAACAAGACAAAATATACTAAAGAAGCATTAGAATATTTCAAAAAGAAGGTCTATAGATTTTCTGAAGATTTAGTTGCCGAATTAAAATTTTGGCCAGAAGATGTTGAAAATGCTCAGATATTTTTAGACAAAAAATTTCCACAAGTTCGACAATTATTTCAACTAAAATGCGAAGAAATGGGAATAAAAAACTTTAAAATATTAAATAAAAAATTAATTGATGACATGTTTGAGGAGTTGAGGAAAATGAAGAGGGATGTCCATTTTAAATTTTTTGATTTAAATTTAAAGTCGTCTAGCGCTAATTTTTTTATACCAACTTTAAATTGTTCTGATCCTAAATATTTTGAAAGACTTGGATTGGATAAAAGTTAAATTGAGAGATTTTTTTAATTTTTTAACATCTCGGAATCACTCCGGCATATACATTTTAGTGATGTTCGGGAGGAGAAAAAACTCGGGAAACGAGAGTCGGGTCGGGAAATGACCTCGGGAGGCCTAAAATTCGGGAAATTTTCCCGAGTCGGGATCGAGGGGGGGGGTCAATTATTTACCGAGACTTGAGGATAATTTATCCGTCTTACAATGAATCGAGCCATACTCTGAAATGGCCTTTCCATTTCTACGTGAATCTTAATCTTTAAATCAATAATTTTTATTTTGAGCAAAAAATGAAATTAAAAAACTATGAAACGGATTCAACACAAAAAACCATTAAAAATGCAAAATAAAACAAATGTAAAGGCAGTAAATTTGAAATTACACTTAGACTAAAATCCGTGTATTTTCTTTCCGGAAAGTTTTACATAAAAATTTACAAAAAATTTCCGGAATTAAAAATAGATATTAGAGATCGAGCTGGACTTGGACCATGGCCTGGGTTTTTTCAGTACCCAGAGTCCAGGTCCAAGCATTTTTTACCTTCCTGGGTTTTTACTTGGCCTGGATTTTTTCTGGACTACAGGCCCAGGATCATTTCCAGGTCAATAAATCAAACTCCAGAGTCCAAAACAGGTCCAGGCTTTTCAAAAATCTCGATCTCTAATAGGTATGTATATATTTATTTGAGAATGAGATCTTTAAATTTTCTTTTTGACTTTCTTTTCCTTGGCAATGTATTGTTTTAAAAATTGTTGTAGAGGAAGTGGGGTGATTGTTGTTCTGACCCGATAATTTTAATTTTTTTACGAAATCTTTTTTTTTTAATTTTTAAAGAAATGTTGTTGCTCACTCTCACTGATATGTTTTTCAAACTGAAAATTGAAAAAAAATTTTTTAATTAAATATTGGAAGGACTTTGTATCTCAGTCACTCTCTTATACATCCAACAAAATACCTATCTGGGTGGGTGCTTAAATAATTATTAAAAATTGTGGCCTTAAAATCGGGATTTGTGGCTTGAATAGTAGGGACGACGAGGTGTCCTTTATTCCAAAAATAAGTATATTTTTTAAAGTATAATTCAGCTTTACTTAAAAATAAAAATTTTTTATAACAAAAACTACCACAAAAAACAATTTTCTCAACTCTAAATAAATTAGAAAAATAATTGACCATCAAAAAGATTTGAACCCACGACCCTTTGGGGAGCTAGTCTAACACACTAACCACTCGGCCACAAACGATTCTTAGCCTATAGCAATTATTTAATTCTAAATATTTACCCGTCTCTTCAGCAATTCTATCAGGTAACAATTCATTTCCATTATTACTAATTTCTCTCCCTCCTTCAGAGAAATTTGCTGAAGTAACAATTTCTTCTGTATGCCTCCAATTAGAACAACTATCAATAGAATCACCAAAAGTATTATCAAAAACAGGGGAACAAGTAGAGGAATTTTGGGAAGAAAAATCATCTTCAAATTGTTGGGGTAATTTTGAACAATTTAACAAAATATTTTGATTAATTGAAGGTCTATCACTACTTTGATGTGATGGTGTAGAAGATGAATGTGTTGTTATTGTTGTTAGACATGAAGAAGGTTGTTGGGAGGAAGAAGTGTTTGTACCTTTTTTAAGAGAGAAATTTATTTAAAACTTAATTAAAAATGTTTTTTTACTCAAAAAATGAATTAAAAAAATTTTTTTATAAAAAACTAACACAAAAAAAACTTTTTTTTAAAACTTAAATTAACATAGGAAAAAAGTTGGGCACTAAAAGGATTCGAACCCTTAACCCCTTTGGGGGCAAATCCAAACACCTAACCATTCTGCCACCGACGCTTATTAACGAATAATTAATTTATTGATATATTTCTAGAAGGGAAAATATACTTTCTCTCTTATCAGAGTAAACAATCTAATCAGATTTTTGGCCATAACTTTTTCAATTCTTATCCCATTTGAATAATTTTTATATCAATCGAAAGCTTTAAATGTGGGTAATATTTTATTTAACAGGACCAATTTAATCAGATGACCACAAGAGAAGTTATAGGCAAATAAAGACTGAAAATCACAATTGCGCGCACTTATCAAGCTGTAACTTTTTAAGTAAAAATTCTTCAAAACGAAATTGGTAGATAAAATAATCCTCAGATTCACAGCTTTCGATTAACATAAAAATTAGCCAAATCGCAAAAGATTTGGAAAAGTTATAGGTCGAAAGACACCACTGGTCAGGCTTGGTTTGGCCTATTTGACCTTCTCTGACCCCCCAAAAATAAATTCACAGGACCGGAAACCCCCCTCTGTCCTCCCAAATATTTTTTAAAATTGTCTCTTACCAATCCCAAAGCGTATACTCGTCCTAGGAGGTCTCGATTCTGGAAATAATTGATGAAAATGAGCTGCCCAGGGTTTTGCCTGTCTCCACAAGGAACGTCTTCTCCTCTTCCACCCTCCACTAATTCTTTGTGAGGACCTTCCCAAACTTGAAAAACTTCCCCTAGGTGTGGGTAATCTATTGGAGGATGAATTTATTGTTCTCCATATTCTCGAATTTTTTTCCAATTTTTTAGATTTTTTGGAATATCCATCCAAATATGTTGAAAAGAATGTTTCCAATTGAAAAGAAGTTTTTTCTTCTAATAACCAAAGTAATAAACCAACAAAAGTGCTTGACATACCTTCAAAAATAATTTTAAAAAAAATAATTTTAAAATTAAAAAAATTTTTTGTGAAAGAAAATAAAATGGAGGGGATGACATTTTGTCCCATTTTTGGATTTCTCAATGAACTTATTATTCAAATAATATTTTTTTAAATAATTTTACAATGATAACAATTAATCTCCAACAAAAAAAAATTAAAAAAAAATTAAAAAAAAATTTTTGTCTAAAAACTAATTTAATATTTTCTTAAAGTGACATTTTGTCCCATTAAAAATTTATTTTTTCCAATTTTAAAAAATATTAATTAATTTAAAAAAATTAAATTCATTTTCCCCTTCTCTCTTTTATTTATTTATTTTAAAATTTATTTTTATTTATTTTTCGTAAAAAAAGTTTTTCTCTTCCCCCTAATTTTTTCTCTTTCCGGTTTTCTCCTTTTAAAATAAAAAATTTTTTTTACAAAATGTCCCCATAAAATATTTATTTAATTTAAACAAAAGAGAGAAAAGGACAATAAAATAAAAAATAAATAAATAATAAATTTTTGAAGAAAATTTTTTTTCAAAAAAAATTTTTTAGCAAAAATAAAGAAGATTAATTAATTAATCTAAAAATGTGAAGAACTCCAAAAATTTGAAAAAATAATATTTAAAAATTTTTTTCATTAAAAAAAATTTTTTTTGTTTAATTTTACTACCATAATATGTCCAAAAATAAAAATTAAATTAATAACTAAAAAAATTTGGAAAAAATTGAAAATACTTTTGGTGGGACAAAATGTCACTACATTATAAAATATGGATATAGTGTAGTTCACCGGAGGTAAAAGTTCGGGACGAGACATATGTCATTCGATTCGTCTCGGCGAGCTGAGTCGAATGACACCAAAATCACCGTGATTGAACAAGATTAGACAAAGTTACAACACAAAAAACCTAAACCTATGGAGCGTCGGCGAGGCGCTTGTGCAAAACCCCGCGCTTCGCGCGGGGTTTTGCGGCACGCGCCTCGCGGGGAGTCTACGGGCGCTGGGTCTGGGCTCGTATCATAAACCTATTCCTATCTCCCTTGCTCTGGAAGTATTTGGGGCCTCCGTAGCAGCAAAAATCTCTACAGATGCCATAGGTAAGGAGCTAAAAGAAAAGATCATAACTTTGTCCAATCAAGTCGGATTTCGTTGATTTTGGTGTCATTCGACTCAGCTCGACGAGCTCTTTCGAATGAGGTATAATTTACATTTTCGAATTTTTCACCCCAAAAAAGTGCTTGGTCCCCCCTTTGGTTTTTCGATCTTTCGGGACCTATAACTCAGTCCAGAATCATTTCCTGAAATTGGGAGTGGTACCGTTCGACTCAGCTCGCCGAGACGAATCGAATGACATATGTCTCGTCCCGAACTTTTACCTCCGGTGAACTACACTACAGCCTAAAATATTTATTAAATTAAAAAAATAAATTCCCCAGGCATTAAAATAAAAAATTAAAAATTTTTAAAAAAAATTTTTTTAGACCCCCAAAAAATTTTTTTTATATTTTTATTAACAAGAATAACCAAAAAAACATTTTTACGGGCTAAAATAAAGCTAGAAAAATAATTGACAAACAAAAGGATTCGAACCCACAACCCTCTTATAGTCAAATCAGACACCCTAACCATTCGGCCATTACCACTCAATACTCAAATTAAATAAATTAAGCATATATTTAAAAGGGGAAATTTTCCCTTTATTTTAGGCCAAATTCCCCCCAAAATTTTTAAAAATTTAAAAAAATACCTGAAAGTAAAATAATATGAAAACAAGTAGATAAATGAAAATGTAATTTTTGTGGATTAGAATCATCATTTATTGGCCCTGGAAACATTAGAAAAAAATCATTTGCCCCAGGTGTATACCAAGCATAAACACAGTCAGCAAATAAAGAGGTTAGTCCACAAAATAGAGAAATTTGGCCAAATTTGCTTGGGACTGCACACAAAAATATTAATTGTAATAACCACAAGGCGAATGCTAACCTTTAAAAAAAAATTTTTTTTTAATTTTTAAAAAATTTTTTAAAATTAAAATGACGTTTCGGCGCACAAAAGGGTTTGGCGCCGAGTTGCTTTTTTGGGCTATAACTTTGTTCAAACTCAACCAATTAAAATAATTCTTACATCAATCGAAAGCTCTAAATATCTAGAATATTTTTCATATAGGTTACTTTCCGATTCGATGTTTAGAAAAAAAGATATGGGCAAATAAGTGAGGCTAATCGGGATTTACGGAGTTAATCGACCAAAACTTTATTTTGAATAATTAAATTGACCATGCCCTCTAAAAGGAAAATAATCAGGATATTTAGAGCTTTCTAATGATATAAGATTTAATATATAAGATCGAAAATCAGAAAAGTAATTGAATAAAAAAAGGACCCTTCTTCCTTTAAGGAACCCTCAGATCCTAAAAATTATTTTCCTTTTATTTTTAATTAAAAAATTAATCTTAAAATTTTAATTAATCAAAAAAAAAATAAAAATAAATTTAAAAAATAATAACAAACCATAAAGCAGCCATAGTATAATACCCAGCTAGTCTATATTGTTTCCCCCACAAAAATCCAGTTCTATCCACACTTAAGTATTCCATAACGCGTAGTATAGGGAAAGGAAGACCTTTCTGTAAAACTTCGCCAACTTCCATTCCACTTACTAAAAATTAAAAAAAAAATTTTTAGAATTATTAGAAGTCTAAAAATAAATTAAATAAGTCCCCCAAGCAAAAATAGAAAAAATTTTTTCCACGACCGGACTCGAACCCACGACCCCCAAACTAGGTGAACCCAACACCCTATCCACTACACCACCAGAAATCACTTTAAAAATTATTAGAAGGTGGAAAATTTAATTAAATTAGTCTTTCCAAGCAAAAACAAAAAATTTTCCCTCAGCCGGATTCGAACCCACTACCCCTCTTAATTTGTAACCCAGCACCCTATCCACTACACCACCACCACTACTTACAAGTTTTATTAAAATAAGCTTATATACACCCTAAATTACCCTAATAATTAAAAATACCCACTAACCATCATCAAATTCAAATCTTTCATTGTAAATTAATTTGGAATTTTGTGAATAAAATTCTTCTTCAATTTGTTCATTTTGTAACATAGTAAAGTTTGTATTATTCAAAGAATTTCCAAAAAGTAATTTAGAAATATCACTTTCTGCAATTTGTGGAAGCTTTAACTCTCTGTTAATTTGTCTTGTTTCTGTTGTGTTTAGGGGAAATAATTGTTCCTGAGGATCACCTTAAAAATTAATATATTTTTTTATTTAGAGGCTATTTTAATTGAAAAATGTATTTTTTAAAAGAAAAATCGTTTAAATTAATTTTATAATTTTTAAAAGGCAGACAAGGACAGAAGTGACATTTGGTCCCAAAAACGAGAAAAAAATTTTTTTAATTAAAAAATAAAGGGAAAATGAATATTTTAATTAGAAAATATTTTTAAAATAAAAGAAAAATTGATTAAATTAATTTTTGGAATTTTTAAAAGGCAAATAAATACAGAAGTGACATTTGGTCCCATAAATGAGAAAAAAATTTTTTAATTAAAAAATAAAGGGAAATACGAATATATAATTTATTAGGGGTCATTTTTAACTAAAAAATATTTTTTATAAAGAAAAATCGTTTGAATTAAAATTTAATAATTTTTAAAGGAAAATAAGGACAAGGTGACATTTGGTCCCAAAAATACAAAAACTGTAATTAAAGGAAAATTATAGAAAATCCAACTTATTAAAGATCATTTTTGAATAAAAAAATATTTTTTAGAAAGAAAAATCGTTTGGATTAAAATTTTGAAATTTTTAAAGGAAAATAAGGACAAAGTGACATTTGATCCCAAAAATAAAAAAAATTTAAATAAAACTTAATTAAAAACCAACTTATTAAAGTAATATTAACATGTGTTAAACCAACATTAACACCCAAAGTAGCCTCTATTCTCTGTCTAGAATGTGCCCTCAACGTTGTAAATATTTTGATTTCTCCATAATGCCATCCTGGGTAATTTAAAGAAAGCGCTATAGAGGCCCCAATAGACATTGAAAATAAAAAACAAAATGTGGAAAGTGCACGTAAACGACGAATTCCTGGCAATATTAAAATAAAGGCGATTGTTGGTGTTGCAAATAACCAAACTAATATTGCTAGACCCAAGTCGAATAAGACTGGGGTTGGAGTGTTGTCACCATACCTGTTTAAAAGAATAGAGTATTAAATTAAATTTTGGGAAAGAGAATGTTTTCTGGTTAGCTAATAAAAGTTTATGGATGTGGAGAAAAAATACAAAAAAAAAAAATTTTTGCGGACAAAAAATAAAATTTGCGGACAAAAGAAAAATTTTTGCGGACAGAAAAAATTGCGGACAAAAAATTTTTGCGGACAAAAAATAAAATTTGCGGACAGAAAAAATTTTGCGGACAAAAAATAATATTTGCGGACAAAAAAAATTTTTGCGGACAAAAAATTTTTTGCGGACAAAAAAAATTTTTGCGGACAAAAAATAAAATTTGCGGACAAAAAAAATTTTTGCAGACAGAAATAAAATTTGCGGACTAAAAAATTTTTTTGCGGCAAAAAAATTTTTTGCGGACAAAAAATAAATTTTGCGGACAAAAAATAAAATTTGTGGACAAGAAATAAAATTTGCGGACAAAAAAATTTTTGCGGACAAAAAATAAAATTTGCGGACAAAAAATAAAATTTGCGGACAAGAAAATATTTGCGGACAAAAAATTTTTTTCGGACAGAAAAATTTTTTGCGGACAAAAAAATTTTGCGGACATAAAAGAAAATAAAATAAAAATTCGTTTAAAAAAACAAACCATGTTGGAGCCCCATTTTCCCGAAACGCATCAAACCAAGCAATACTCATTTCCTTTGATTACGTATTTATTCCTCTCTTCCTTTATTTGTTTAATTAAAAAATATTTATTGTTGTCAGTCTCCAAATTATTAATCGTGTAGAACATGAAGAGAAGAAAAATTTGAAAAAATTTTAATTAAATTTAGACGTTCTTCTCTTTAAATAATTTTTTTTAAAAAATATTCCTGA